ACCGCAACAAAGGCGGACACAAGGCGGGCACCGGTTTTATTAGCGATGCTACAGTCAGTAGTGGGGATAAATCAATTCGCTTATGGGATGTTATGACAGGACTATAACAATCTACATTAGAGGGCCATACTGAGCATGTTCAGTAATTATGCTATTCCCCGAATGGTATCACATTAGCATCTTGTAGTGAAGATAAGTCTATACGTCTATGGGATACTATAGTAGGATAATAAAAATTTAAATTTTAAAATAACGGTATTGGGGTCTTTACAATATGTTTTTCTCCTGATGGCACTATATTAGCTTCAGGTAATGAAGATGGATTGATTTGTATATGGGATGTTAAGTTAGGGCAATTAAAATCTAAATTAAAAGGTCATAGAAGTTAGGTTTGTTCAGTAAACTTCTCTACTGATGGTGCTACATTAGTATCTGGCAGTAAGGACATGTCTATGCGTTTATGGGATATTACAGGACAACAACCATATAATTTAGTTGGTCATGCTAGTGGGGTTTATTCAGTATGTTTCTCTCCTGATTGTGCTTAAATAGCATCTGGTAGTGGTGATAACTCTATTTGTTTATGGGACGTTAAGACAGGGAAACTAAATGTTAAATTAAATGGTCATAGTAAATATGTCAGTTAAGTATGCTTCTCTCCTGATGGTTCCTCATTAGCATCTAGCAGTGGAGATATGTCTGTGCGACTATGGAATGTTAAGCAAGGGAAACTGACATATAAACTTGATGGTCATTTTGAAGGAGTATATTCAGTATGCTTTTCACCTGACGGTACTATTCTAGCATCAGGTGGTGGAGATGAGTCTATCCGTTTGTGGGAGGTTAACACAGGACAACTAAAATCTAGAATAACTAATCATGATGGCGGGGTCTTTTCAATCTGCTTTTCACCTAATGGTTCTACATTAGTGTCTTGTAGCGCAGATGAATCTATTCGTTTATGGAATGTTAAGACAGGAGAACAAAAATCAAAATTATCTGGAAATAGTGGATGGGTGTTTTAGGTATGTTTTTCTCCTGATGGTACCCTGATAGCATCAGGTAGTAGAGATAAATCCATCCATTTATGGGATTCTGAAACAGGACAATAAACTTATAAATTAGATAGTCTTGATGATGCTGTCTAATCAGTGTGCTTCTCTTCTGATGGCACTATATTAGCATCTGGCTGTGCAAACAACAATATTCTTTTATGGGATGTTAAGACGGGATAGCAAAAATTTAAACTAGTTGGCCATTATAGAAACGTCACTTCAGTATGCTTTTCTCCTTTAGGTACTTTATTAGCTTCAGGTAGCATGGATAATTCTATTCGCTTATGGGATATTTCGTCTGAACAATAAATTTACCCCTTGAATAATATCAATTGTGATACTAAGAATAAATTTCATGCATCTCTTGAAAATCTTCCATTTAGTGTAGAAGGTAGTATCAATTTTTCTATATTTAGTTAACCAAATTATTACTATTCTTCTAATATCCCAATAACCATTATTTTAGGCTTAAGGAGCTAAAATATTTAAAGGAGAATTGCAAACTCATTCAGGCATAGATTTACAGAAATTATTTAGTTAAAGAGGAGGTTTAATTTTGGAATCAAATTTAGAATGTTCACAAAATACAGATTAAAATTGAATATTAAAGATGGATTATATAAATATAATTATGAATAGTCCTTTAATTTTTTCTGTTTGTTAAGAAAAAGGAAACTATTGAAAATACTTTCCAAAATTTTTTTTTCGCTATATGTAACAAAGCTTTTTATATTTTTATAAATTAATTTTAGCCTTCTTTTTCTAAATCTAGAGGTAGATATCTTATAGATACCAAGTTTATCTTTTATATCACCATTTAGCTTTGATATTTAAGAATAAACAACAAATTAATCTAAAAATTCCACAAAAAAAAATTTATACCAATTAGGAATGTATGTAGGTCATATTTTAAATCTAAAAAGTAAAAAAATAAAAATAATCTTAATAAATCAGCTTTTCTATAATTTTAATATTATTTTGATTTTGCATATACCTTTAGTAATTAAAATGTCCATCATTTGAATAGATTTTATTTATTTTTACACTCTTAATTTTTGCCTTTAAATAATAAACCCTTTCATAATTTATTAAAGATAAACCTTTATAATTTTGAAAAGTAAGTTTAGCAGATTAGAAATTGAATAAACAAAAACATTGTAATATTATTAAAAACAGTAACAAAAAAGAAGATTAAAGTATTCAGAAAATTATCCAAATATATTTAAAATGGAAAAAAGATATAATAAAAAATTAGACCTCCTTATTATTATGCACTTAATAAACTTGAATATACCTTCCACATTATCCTCAAAGCGGCTTGAGTAAAAAGAAAAGTTAGGGCTTTCATCTTTAAATTTCATTTTCCCTCCCTTAATTGATACCTGAGTTCTCTAGACTTCATGGTACTCCATCTACTCATCAGTATTTTATTCACACTCTTCCTGGTGGGCAGGAATACATTCCTGTGGACGCTCCAATGAAGACATTATCAAGAATTTCTGATAAAAATTTCTTTTACATGATTATATAGATTATTGATAGAAAAATGTTAGTATTCAATTATTACTTGTCAGTATGGCTCACTTCGTGATTAATAAGGTCCACACTTAGTTGAGACAAGTGCTTGAAGTTTTCTAAACAGTGAGAAGAGTTCAAACAAAGAGGAATGTGAAATAATTTATAGAATTATATTTATGAAACTCCTTAAGATATGCGATGAGTTTTTCATCCCTTTGGATGAATTAAAGTCTCGAATTTTAAGATAAAAACAGTCTACATTATCTTCGATTGTAAACTCTAAAATTTGGATTAGGGACATATAAAAAATGAAAGATAATTTGTACGATAAGACTTGATTCATGCCTAATTCTTCAAAAATTTATTCAACATTCCTATTATATAACTCCGATCTGCTAATCTAGATTGGTTTCTTGAGGGAGTTACCAACTTAAGATATTTACTGTGGCAACCCTTTGCTTAAATTGCAAACTTCCTTACAGACTCTGAAACTGAACCTATTATTATAATACTTTCATCATTAATATTGTTATATTTATAAGGAAGCCTTTATATCTCTTTATGTAGCTAACTCTTTCTACTATATTAATCCATTCTTTATATTAACTAATAGTAACTAGACCAATGTTATTATGCCAATTATATCTATTCTTAATAATACTTTCCCTATAGGATATGTGTGCAAAGTTCTCATCTTATTGATAAGAAATGATAGTATTGCATTGACCACTATAAGTAGTAGAGTTCAAATTTGGAAGATTTTATTTGATGAATGATTTATGACATTAAATTAATAACTTGAACACCAGCAAGTAACCTGACTTTTAGATTCTGACTGCCCTTCTGATAAATTTTGCTCATAGATAATTCGTTTTGTTTTGAAAAAAACACATTTTATTACTTATTATAATAGAACTAATATCAGGTTTTGACCATTTTTTATCTTAAATGTATCTAATTCCCAATTTTCCAGAAGACAACAAATATATTCTTTCACCCATAGGCTCTTTGCTTCTGACCAGTCCAAAATTATAACAGTCTCTCGTAAATTGAGATTCCCCTGAACCTCCAGTATTCCGATAAATAGAGCCTTTACTATGGGAACACCCATATCTCCTCTTCTATTAATATCCTCATCATTTTTTGGCAGCAGAGAGACATTCTTACTATCCCTCTGAGGTGATGTTGAATTTAAAAAGCCTTTTTAGACTGCTATTTTCCTGGAAATATTACTTTTTTGCGATTTTAAAAAAATTTGAAAGTGATTATTATAATATATCAAATTATGGCAGAATAGGATGGTTAAATATTCTCAGAGAAATTGCATTATTTAATTTTTGGAAAAAGAAGATAGGTTGAAAAACTTTAGAAAATAAATAAATTTTTGTAAGGAGAATTCAACACTATCATTTTAAAAATTAGAATACAAAATACTTTTATATATTGATAAAGTATTGCAGATTTGATTCACTTTTGGGTCAATAGAATAAGAAACAAAAAATTTATTATATTTATTTTAGTTAAGGGATTGTTAATGTAGATCGAAGAATTCAATAAAAATCAAGAATCTCAAAATTATACAACCCAAATTAATAATATCTTTCCTTTAAGATATTAGAGATAAAAGAATAAGTGTTTGAAATCAATATAAAAATACTTGACTTTCTTAAAACATTTAGAGTCTTTTAAGATATAAATTATGAAGGTAAATAATCAATATTAAAAGAAATAATGATTAATTTTATATTATCTTAGAAATGAAATTATTTGTCATTATAAGAGTACTATTATGGTGAAATTAAAAAAAACCGTTTATTTTCATTACTGCTTTCACAATCCATTTATCCGATAGTTCCACAATCTTGTTAGTTGTAGGTTCTTGCTCTTCAGTGCTTTGGCATGAAGAATTTGCATCTTTCTTAATGAATTCTAAAGTCGTTGTACCAACAGCGTTGCCCAAAGAGACTTCAGTACCGTCAGTAGTTGTGGATGCTTCTAAAAACCTAAATCTTCGAGCTGCTTTTGGATCTTCGAGTTTACTATTGACTGAGAATTCAACATTATTATCAAGAATATTACTATTCAGTGTATAATAATTCAATCGGGTTACTATTCCTATTTAGTTGGCTTCAATTTTTATAGACTCCATCAACAGTAAAGGTAATATCAGCATCTCCAACTTTCCATTATTCAAATCCAGTCTATTTGACTCTCTGAACAACATAGAAGTTCTAGCCAGCGTAAACTTAAAGTTAATCAATAAGAGTAGAGCAGGTTTAGTCACTGCAGAATCCTACTTCAGTGTCTGCCCTCGATACACAATTATCTTCTGATGCACAAGCTGGAGTATCATCTTAAGCTTCAGATTTTGCTTAGGCTGTTATGACATTACCAGTCAAATCAACTGCTATAAAAAAAGTGAAAAAGAATTAAGCTATTTTCTTCTCTTAGATTTTTAGCTTGACTGAATAGTAGCACGTATAAACAATTTTAGCAGCTTGCTCATTTTTAAATAATTTGCAATCAGTGTCTGCATTTAAGATGTTGAATTCCCAAAATCTTAATTATTTATTGTCATTATAGCTGCTTGTAATTTGTGAATCATCTAATGTTTCACTTAGAAAACTAGACATATATCCGTATATTAATCTCTCAATATATACTTTGGCACTCCATCCTGTTTTACTATAGGTTAGTCTTTGGTATCAGGGAATGCTAATTACACTACAACATCCTTATTTTCTAAGAAATCAACTTTTCAATCAAACTTCAAAGGAGGTTTCTTCTAGCCACCTTCTTATTTAGCTTAAACTTTATCAAAGTTTTCACAAGTCTAAGCTACGCATCTATCTTTGAAAACAATCTAATTATCTGCACAAGTAATCTCAACGCATTTTTCTTGTTCTTATTTATCTTGAGTCCATTATCCTTTTGATTAAGACGGTCCTTATGGTTTATATCCTTGGCCTAAACCTTATCCCATCCATCCTAGTTTTAACCCATTTACCCTCGAATTGCACCAGTTTGACCTTATCCTTATCCCATTAATCCTTGATTTGGACTCATTCATCCTTATCCTTATCCAATTTATCCTTTGATTTGAACCCATTTAACCTTATCCCTTCCCATTTTCCCTTGATTTGGACCCATTTGTCCTTATTATCCAATTTAACTTTGATTTAGACCCATTTGGCCTGGAGGACTCATTTAACCCTGTCCTTATCCCATATATCCATAATTTGGATCCATTTGTGCTTAATCTTATCCCAATTATCCTTGTTCCATTTATACCTAGTTTGGACTCATTTAAACTTATCCAATTTATCCTTGGTTATTCCCATTTTACCTTATCCAATCTATCCTTAATTTGGACCCATTTGACCTTATTGCGCTGTGGTGGTGAACATTTTTTCGCCTTTCCACCTTTTTGTGGACCTCCTGAGTATCCACATACCACCTTATTATGTATTTCATGGTTATTAATCAACTAAATACCATAAACCTTATAGATATCTGTTGTATTTTATTGCAGTTATTGCCCAGTAGGGGGACCTTATGTTTAATCAGAGTTTCCAGAACTAACTAATAAAAAATAGGTTATAAGATCTTACTAGTGATTGCCTTTGGAGCATCTTAATTAAGTTATGTGAACACTAAAGAAATGAGACAAAAAAGTAGTAAAATTTTTACAATTCAAAATAACATTAAATTTAATATATAATTCAAATATAAATTTCACAATTTTTAAACATAAAATTAATAGTCTAAATTGAAATATGATTAAAATCAATATGGTATCATTATAATATATCATTATCTTTAAACTCTAGTAATGTAAACTATAAACGTATATTTCAGTTCATTAAGAAAATTTAGCATTAATTGAATTATTATTGAACCATAAATTATTTCTAACTTTTAAGCTTATTGAAATTTTGGTTTATTTCTAAATATATCTTCGAATATAAGTTTAAATATTTCTTAATATTAATGATTTGATTACTTAATATTTACTATATAATTCATAATATAATAATTTCATGTAAATTTTTCAATATTTATCACTTTTATTCACTTTGAGTTTAACTTATATTTACCATATTGCTTGTTTATATAAAGCTCTCAACTCCAATAAGACTTTTTCATATTTATATAAATACCTTTAGTTCAACAAATAAAAATGAATATAGAAAGAAATCTAAACTAGTGCGAGACTTAATCATAAATACTTTATGGCTTTCGGATAGCATTTTTCTTTTGCTAATTCAAACAATTGCCCTATTCTAATATCTTAAAATTTGATTCGGCATTATTTATGGATTTTTAATTATTTTAAATAAATATTTTGTAGTGTTAATAGAGGTTGAACTTTTAGGAGGGTAATATCTTTTCAATTTAACCTCATTACAGGTTCAATCTAATGACCCAAGGCTGCATTAACTTCTCTAAATTTCTAATTGCATATTCGTTAAAATTTAATACAATTTTTATTCTTGAATTAGGGTTTTTTGCTTTTAAAGTTAATTATTTCAGAATTTGAAAAATTTGATTGTGATAAAAGCCATAATAAACGAAGCTGAGCATTAGTATTTAAATTCAAATATTTTTTCATATAGTATTGATTAATTCTAGCTCACATATTTTATTTAATTAGAAATTTTGATTATTGAATTATACCAATAAATTACAGACCATCGTTAACTCTCAGATTAACCCTTGCTAATAAAATTAATTAATTCAATTTGGAGACCATAGATATTTTTGTGTGTTTTAATTAAATAGGCCTGAATTACCATATTCATCATTATGAACCCACTCTTTCTGTTCAAAGCTTCTAAAAAATCGCTGCTTAAGAATAAAAAAATAAGATAAAATTTGAATTCTTATAGATAGAATCATATTCCAAGAGAAAAAGAAATTGTCATTACTAATTTATGAAGGTAATTAAATACTTCTATTAAATAATATTCCCACTTTACATTTTTCAGTTGAAGTTTAAAGTATTAAATTTCCTGTTATCATCCCATTCATTACAATACTAACAGGTCAACTCAATTTTAGAAACTGCAAGTTCTTTTGATTTTGCGAAAGTCTATTGCAAGATTCTATGCGGATAGGAATAAATAATGCGGCTAGAAATATATGAGTTCCATCAAAATTTGGAAGGCAAAATCATCTGATATAAAAAAAGATAGATCAAATTAATCTCTTTCACAAACAAAATTCATCAGCAGATTTTCCTTTTATAGATTTATTTGTCTCTACCACATTTAATCATTTATTTACCATCTTGTTTAGAGATAATCTACTGAATTTATTTATCTAAGGGTTCGCTTATTATTTATGTACAAGTCCAACAGGAATTTATGATATAATATTCTTGTCATATGATCTAATATTAGAAGGTTTTTATTATTTTAACTCTCAAATAAAATGTAATTAACCTAATATGTTCTTTCAGTGTTGATATATTTTTTTTCTAGATATCAAATTCAAAAAAGGAATGAATTAAAATAGAGGAACCATATGAACCAATATTTAATTACGATCAATCGCAAAGTAAATTGAGTGTAGAAACCTGTTTTATATAAAGTAAATATTTCAATTTGTCACTTTTTTTAAATAAAACTTTTGCTAAAGTTATTTCTAAATTTTTGAATAGTCAAATCAAGGATTTTTAAGAGACATTTTACTATACTTAAGAATTGTTTGTGCTTTGTTCATAAAATAAAATACTTGTTTTATAACTGGAATCCGATGATACAATTTATCAATCCTCTAAATTCATTATTTACTATAACCTTTTGATAAAAATCGATACCATAAATTTATTGAAATGTATAAAATTAGTATCTTATGATTAATAAATAGTAGAAAATATAAATCATATTAATAGACAATAATTTATTCATAAATTTTTAACTAGAAAGATGTTTAATATGTATTGAAATTTCAAGTTAAACTTTATTTTCAATATCCTAATTTTCGCTCTTAAAGTATATATATAAATTGAATCTTGGATGGTATCAAATTATTTTTTGGATAAGTTTATTAAGACAATTTACTATATATAGGTAATTTTTAAGATTTTTCAATTTACAAAAGATACCTGTTATTGAAAGAGTGGCTCAATTTCTTAGCATAGATGAATGAATTGCTCCTAAAATAATATTGATTTAGTTTCATAATTCACACTTTTTCCATGTTCAATTTATTTTTCTTTTATTATAGCAAAGTATGAATTAAATTTCTTATTAATACCATTTATTTATATTCTAATATTACATTTGATATTCCTGTTTTTACACATCAGAGTAATTAAAAAATAGGAATAAAAAGTTGATATCATAGTCTATCTCATTCTCAATCTTATTATAACAATAACTCGTTTAAAATTAATATGTTATTTAATTTCCTAAAATGTCATAATATATAAGATTTTGATTTGATTATGATAATATAACGATGATTTATTATGATAAAAAGGAGGCAACAATCTCCATATTTAACATTAAATATTAAGAAGAAATTGTTAAATAGTGTAACAACATTTTGTAATTAATCATATCAATTATTAATTTTAGAATTCAAGGTTTGTTTAATAACAATTTCATTTTGTAATTAGATCTAAATATCAACAATATATTTATGAATTATTGTTGTATCTTTTCCTTCTTTTAATTCTTTTAATTTTGTCAAACAAAAGAGTAACCTTTATAAATAAATCTTTATAATTTACTGCAAATATTCTAAATAGTAACTAAATTTATTCGTGTATGGAAATAGGAATTAGATTGCTAATAAATTGCTCAATTATACGAAATAGCCTGTAAAATCAGCCAAAGTTTCTCTAAATGGAAAATCTTTCGATAAACCATAGTTGATTGTTTAATCTACAAGTAATTATTTAGCTGTCTCAAGCTATATTATTGCTCTTTCAACATCTGCTAAAGAATGATTGGTGTTAGATTTATGTTAGGATTTATGTTTTATTGCTTTGCTATGCTAATAAAAGCAAGATGAAAGGTAGTATAATTGTTACTTTATTTTGATTACATCGGCATGTATTTATCTTTATTGATTCCTAAAATGAAATATGAATATACAAATGCTTATCTAGAGAATCTAAAACAAAATGCATAAAGGTAGCTATTTAATAAAGTTGATCTGATATTTCTAGGGTTGATTAGAAGCAGGGTAGAGAGGGAGACTATGGAAGTTTATCTATTTTTTGTGGATTAGCACTTTACACAAACTATGGAGGCTTGATTTAGAATTAAGGGATTTGAATCATCTGAGGCGTTGGAGAAGTTTTAGTGATTTGAGTGACTTAAGAGGATGGTTAGTCTTTTAATAAAGGGTGAGAAAATAAATTATTCCAAGTGATTCTTTTATTTTCATCATACTTTAACATATTCTCTATCAAATTAGCTATTTCTTAAGTCATCTATAAAATAAAATTGTACTTACTCCAGCAGCAGAGAGATTAATTTTTATTGGGTCTGATTCTAATTATTTTAGCTTCATTATCAATTAAGGTAAACTGCCTACTTAGTATGGCAGGCCTCCAAATATAAGTTCATAGCAAACGATTCCAAGCTTATAATATTATTTCAATTTACCGAATAGATGTCTGCAGAATTTGTAAAATTGGAACCCTAATCAAATAATTGAGGTGAGGCATATTTTGGTGTTCCAGCTTTAGTAAGCTCATCATTTGTTTGATAAACTCTGGCTAATCCAAAATCAGCAATCTTTTTTAATAACTATATCTACTTTATATACACCATCCAAATATAAAATGTTTTAAGGTTTAATATCTCTGTGTATCACTTTGTTATCATAGAGTAGTTTATAACCTTTGATAATTTATTTCAAAATATTAATAGCTTCCACAGGAGTGTAATATTTATTGTTTTTCCTCCTTTCCTTGAACTGCGTTTGCAAATCACATTCACATCTTTCCAATATTAAAATAATTCTTTATTTATTCATATCTACATGATGGACTCCTACAATGTGTTTATTATTCCTTCCCTGTTCCATAATCATCTACATAAGTTCCATTTCTCTACCAGTCTTAGGGTCTTCTACTTAACCTTCGATAATCTAATCTAAATATTAATTACTTTTGCGCATAATTTTAAATTAAGGTTTTATGTATCTTCGCATGCATAAATCTTCCCATATTGACCTTCACCAATAAGGCTATCCTTATAAATTCTATACTATGAGACAACTTAGATGTTAGTCATACGTCTGATAGAATTTCGAATTAAATTATTTTCCCCTCTTTATTATTTTTCAAAATGACTTTTCAAATTCTATTATTAATCATTTCAATAATATTATTTACATTTTACTATTTGAAATGGTTTAAATCCAAAAATAAACTACTCAGTAGATGAATTAAAAAGAATTCCTCTTCAGATCATGTGGTTTCAATTGGACTCTTATTAATAACATTTCATATATGATGAGATAGAAACTAGGGAAAATTGGATTGTTTTTAATTATAAAAATATAATTTTTAGAATACATATGGTACATTTTTTTAAATGAAGGAATATTATATATATTTGGGTATTATATAGAATATTGGTATTTATAAAAAGTTTTTCCTTAGTATAAATGTTAACACAATGTCATTAAATGATATCTATACTTGAAAAATTTAAAAAAAAACAGCCAAATGAAGGAAATAGTCTTTATTTTTATGATGTTATATGTGATAGTCATTTTATTTTCCTTAATAAATATGTAAACATGATATTTCTATTTTATGATGTGATTTTTATGAAAATTAACACATAAATTATCATTCAAGTTTTTACATACATTGAGCATACTTTTTTAGTCATTATTCTAATTATTTCTAATTTAAATTAATTGAATCGAGAAAAAATTAGAAGTATAAATAATTTTAGAGGATTGTGTGTTCAATGAAAATGATCATGATTAAAATGAATTAATTAAATTGGAAGCAATTATAATACTTTATTTACTTAATAATTTGGCTCAAAATAAAAATTATTATTTAGATCAAATTTGTATTTTTATAAATCATAATTCTGATATTTCTAAACATTTTAATATTTTTGGATATACGGAATCACAAAGCTTAAAATATAGTTAAGGTTTGTTCTATAATATTATTTAGCCAAGTGAGTATCAATTCTCTCCTAACTTCCTGCACCAATAATATAAATTCTTTGTTTAATTTAAGCTTTGTCAATTTTTCGATGTAAATATTTTTTTCACCACATTTTTAAATTGTAATGTTCATTCCCAATTCCTGATTGATCAATATGTATTGGTTCTCTATACTCCGATATGTGATAAAAAATGAAAATCTATACAGGAATTGCTTTTTTATTCTCCTTTGTAGTGGCTTTAAAGTTGAACTTAGATGTATAACTTTATGTGTATCCATGTCCTTTAAAAACCTCTAAAGGGACTAATTGTCAGTTTGCAATCTAAATGTTTAAAAAGAATCATTATATATATTTTTAAAGAACAAAGATTCTTAGGATTTTAGTAATTCAAACACATTCATTCAACCAAGTTAAATGTTATGCTTCGATAGTAAATAGGTAATCTTATAATAAATAATCACTCATCTATATGCTATCTTAAATCTGCTGCAATTATTTTTTGACATTCCAAATATGAAATAGATATAGGTATATTTTTATGCATTTTTCGTGCTATTTATTTTAATTTTAATGCATCCTAACTGGTTTTTGAAAAAACATTATAAGAATGGAATTGGATATAAATTTTTCGTCAATAAATAATAAATTTCTACCTAATTCCAAGAAGAAAATATAAATTATATATAATTTTTAAACTGACGAATCAAACTTAATAAAAATTTCAATCAAGAATGTGATAGAGGACATATATATATTGTTTTGTAAATTTTTAAAAGCATAGAAAGATCAACGTCAGATACAAATACATTATTAAAGAAAAATATGTCAAGTAGAATAAAAAATAAGAATAAATAAAAAGCCATTTTGTAAGAATATAAATAGTTTAAATGTTTAGAATAATTTGTTGAAATACTAATTTTATTATCAGAAAAATTATATGAGGAAAAGAGAATATATTAAAATAACTTTGAGAGAATAAGAATATTATAGACACTGATAAAATAGAGAATTAAGATTAAATGGAAATGTGTTGGGAAATTTATTAGATTTAAGAAATTATTAAAATATAAATGAATTTATCATTTTCATTTAACATAGAAGTAAAAGAAATTAAATTGGATGAAAAATAACAGAATTAGATAAAATTTGAATAGAAAACACGCCAACGATAATATTTTATATTATTCTAAATAGCACATAGAACTATTGCGACTTTTTAATGTTCAAAAATTTATTCATTTCTTGAGTATTTGTTTTGTTGATTAGATTATTTAATATTTTCTTGAAGTTTATTAAATTCTGAGGATATTATTTTAAGATTTGTATATTGCTATTAGTATATCTTAGAATTTATGTATTGATGAATTGATCTTATTTTAACGATCGTAAATACATGGTTTGAGTTTATATTAATGCATGCTTCTAGATTTAAATAATTTGATGAGTAACTTTCGATAGTTTACATTAAGCAATGTTCATTAAGTCTTATATATTTGTATATTTTGATATGCATCTCTAAAATTTATTAGTACTATAAATTAAGAGAAATTCAACTGTGTGTATGAGCGCAATCATAACTCAAAGCTTCAACAATGATGTCTTGTTTTATTAACTCAAATTTTTAAATTAAATCAAATAACAATTCATTTTTGTAAGTTTCAATGTAATCCAATTTAAATTTAAGTCATCAATCGCCAATTTATCAATCACTTAAACTAAAATACCAATTTAAAGAGTCCACAGTCACAGGAGTTCGAATTTTAAAATTAATTTCAAGAGTAAAAGGATATAGAATCTTGTGTAATAAGTTATACATTTCAGACAAATCTCATCGCCAAAACTTAATTCATAAATGCAATTAATATCTAGAATAAATTGGAAATATATTTTGGTTATAGTATCATTAATGTGAATTTAGGTTCTTCTAGATGTTTCTATATTTCAAAATTATAAATAATTGCAATTGCAGTTAATTTTTGTATCTCGAGTAAATACTTCTAGAGGTTTATAAAATTTATGTCTGTGTATTGCAAAATAAGTGCAGTAATTTGAGATCAATCTCCATTTGATCTATCACCGTAGTGATTTTTATTAGTTTGAGAAACCTTTGCATTTTATAGATTATCATTTCATTCTCTATTTATTCCTTATATATCCATATTTTTGTTGCTCTTTCAACTTAAACTGCAAACTAATCACTTTGTAATTATTTTAATGAAGATTTTTGATGAATCGTACTATCCACTCTAGGAATCATAAGGTGAATAGTTTATTAATAGTATTTAAAATTCTAATTAAATTCTAATATTTATACAATTTTTTATATAAAAATATGATAAAAAAGAAACGCAAATCAAAATATTAATTATGTGTTTGAGTACTTTAATAATACTTATAAGTATTAATTAAATAAAAGTAAAAATAATAAAAATTAAAATATTTTTAAGCTGTGGTTTATTTAAAAAAAACAGTTAAATACAAAATTAAACTTAGTGTTATCAGAATAACAAAATAAATTGTTATTTTTATGTAAAATTTATTAATTTCCATTTTATATATTATTCTCTTTGATCCAAACCTAATTTTATTGTAGTTTATCAAATCTAATGTAGAATTCAACATCAAAAGAAAGATGGATAAATTGAATTTTAATTATCTCAATTTTATTATGATTTATGTGCTTTTTTGTTTCAGAGTCTTAAATAAGGTAGTTAAATTAAAAATTCAGAAGAAGAAAAATTTTCCATTTCAAATCATTTAGTATCATTTATTTAAATGATGTCTAAAAAATAAAAAAAAATCAATGATTATCCTAATCATAAAAAATGGAAATAAAATATGATTAGTTATCGTTATTAGAGAATAATAATCATATTTACTAAACAAAATTAAAATCAAGGTTTACTATTGAAATTTGTATTATATCCATATAAAATGATAAAATGTTTATTATTAGTAAATTTGCATGAATCAAACAGAAATATATGATTATTTTAATTAATTAAATTTAACTACTTTTTGAATCACTAAATAGATCATGTTTTTTAAAAATATATAATTTGTTACAATAATAATTAGACCTTACATAAACAAAATTATTTAGCATTTGAGTCTACTTCCTAAATCATGTATTTAGTCTCTTCTCTTTTAAATGAATTATTGAATATTCATATTCAAAATCTATGAATTTCTGTGTTATTTTATAGTTATATTGATCTTCATATCTACATGCAAAAATGACATAAATCAAGAAATTAATTAACAAATAGGAGTTAATAAAATAAATTGAATATTTTTTCAAAAATATTTTATTCAATCCATCAGATATTTAAGTTGCTTGTGTCCTAGTATGGTTCATATAATGGAGAATAATTTAATGATAAATTTAAATTATTTTATTTCTATTTATAGCACGAAAGCAGATAAAATGGGGGTCTGGAGCTGATAAATAATTGTGGTAAATTATATTAATCTTATGTCTATGTAAACTATTTTTCTTCATTTACAACATTTTAATCTGGAAAAAAGGTCTAGAAATTATTATCAAAAATATGTTGATTATTTAAAATTCGTTATAGTATGTTGTTTTGATGATTCTGATTGCTGTAGAGCTTAAGTTTTTTATTATGTTTTGGCTTAATGATTTTTCTCTAATTTATGTTTCCTAAATTTTTATTATCGAGATATTTTTAACTTAAATTAAACAACACAATTACTTCTACTTCCCCAAATAATCTGATACTGTTCGTACTCTTTTTTTCTCTTTTTCATCTAATTCATCTCCCAACTAAATTGATTTATTATCAAGTATTAAATTTTTGAAAAGGTCTTTCATTTATTTAGAAATATTGAATTATTTAGGAGAATTTTCTTTATTATTAGAAAATATATGAGAAATAAGGGCAGGACGTAAAGAGGCTGTTATTTTTGAACCTAATATTAATAATGATTAAACATTTATTTCTTTGATCTTTTGGTAAAGTTGCTTTCAATAATCTTCTAAACACCTTTTTAACAATAGCATAAAATTAATTCTTGACATCTTAATCAGTTCTATGATTGAGCTTTTCAGCAATTGAGGTCTATTAATAAGGAATTAATACCCATTTATTCCCATATTTCATAATGAGTTCAAAAAGAATATCGACCTCTTGCTCTGTTAATTTTGTTTTATTGAATTTTGAGTCTAGATAATTTTAATATCTTTCTCTACAATCTTTAGGATTCCTTTCATAGCCTTATTATATAAGCAATTCAGAGATTTATTTCCAACCTTATTTTTTACTTGCATACATGTCAACAAAAGATTACAAGAGGGAATCCTCCTTTAATAGAAAATACTTGTACTCGATTTGACCAAGGGATTCTCTTTTTATTTTCTGAGTTTGGATTGTTCAGCATATTATATATTAACAAAATCAAATATCAAACTTTGGAAGATTTACACTTTTTTTAAGTACGTAAATTAATGATATTCAATGATTAGCTCATTGCGGAAAAATATCCAAATCGAATTCTTCTTTATGAATAAAACCAACCTGAGTTACTATTAAAGAAAAGGATCCAATAGACCAAGAAATTATATCTTTTTTCTATAATCTCTTCTTTAAAAATTATTCATTACCTATCTCAAGTCTATTAGAAAGTTAATTTCTATTTAACTACTAATCTTGTTGAACTGATCATTATTTTAATTTCAGATTACTTGCTATGTTAATTTAAATGTTGGGTCTATTTAAATAGATGGTAAGACAAATTTTTCTTCAATTATGTTGACCATTAATGTGTGAGGTCTTTCCACAGATAAGAAGTAATTATGATCACATACATAATTTCTTTTTGTATTATTCTTTTTGTAACTTTAATTTTAATTCATAAATATTAAATTTATTTAATTTCTATACAAAATACAATTTATGATTTTTTATTAACATTTAAGTATAAATAAATCACATAATTCAAAAGTCTTACCTTATAATGAATTTGAAATAATTTTATGAACATATTTATCATGTTTTAATTTCTTATATACAGATTTTGATATATATATTTGATATGGTTCAGCGTAATTATTTGCAAATGAAATATCTCAATTAATATAGTTATTTATCTGAAACCATTATATAACTAAAACTTAAATATTGGAGTTTTAAAGCGCAAGTTGATAATCGAACTAGCACAAAGTATATTATGATATTAAGCAGCAAAGTTTATTAAGTCGTAATGCTATTTAAAGATAACTTATAGAAAAATGACTAATTTCATATAGCCAATGAATATGTTAGAATTTCTGAATTTAGGAAATAATTTGATTCTTGAAAAGAGAATGGATCTTTGCGATAAAATATGAAATAATGTATAGATAGAAACCATATTATTCATTTAATTAATTTGAAAAGCAGTTTTGATTATGTCTGAACTCAAGGATTTAATTTGCGTTTCATCTTCATCAGTTGGTTGGAGTTAGAAGAATTTTAAATACTCTATAGATATTCTATAGATATATATGAGCTTCAAAGAAGACTGAGAATTATAGTTTTACAAGGTACCTTATTGTACAACTTAACCAATGGTTATATTGAAATAAGAGAAATTGAAATAATATTTTAAAATTTAAATAATCCGATTTATTCAATTATCTAGAGGATACTACTGAAATACCTTAAATAATTACTCTGAATTTTCAAGACAGGTCCTAATATAATCTTTCATTTATGAACTTATATATGAGTTCAAGGACTAATAAATGACGAATTAGGTCAAGAAACGCAGGAAATCTGTTCGCACTATTTAGCATTTTTGAACTACGAAAACTATTTTTATTAATTGTGATCTGTATAAATAATATTAATGAGTGATAAATTTCATAAGTTGAGTAGTAAATGGACGATATCAGAGAAATACAATGCTAGTCAAAACATAGATTATAAGAGAACTATTGTTGATATCTGTTCTTTTTCAACTGTTGAGGAGTTAGGATTTCTGATGAAAAAGACTATATATTCAAAATTATCAGATATTTTAAGCGAACCTTAAAAATGCAAGATGTATTACAATCTAATAGTATAGATTTAAACAATTTCCTGATGAGAATGCAGATGCTTAAATTGAAGCGATATAATTTTTTAAAAATGACATCAAGCCTTGGTGGGAGGATGAAAATAATAAAAATGGAGGAGAGGTTCAATTTGACATTTCAACACAATATTATACAGTTTATGATTAGATTTATATTGATATTCTCTTGCAAATTATAGGATAAGCAACAGAAGAATTAAGACACGTAACTAAATCTATTTATTTAGATTAATGGATTGAGAGTTTTGGATAAAATTAATGCCAAATAAGGAAATAGAATAAGAATTGAATTATGGATGGACATTGATCCAAAAGATTAAGATGAATCCATTGGGAAGTTAATTGAATGGATAGATAGTACATTAAAAAAACACAAAATTGATATTGATTAAACTTAATTTATTAAAGTGTCTCATAGAAAATGAGAATTTCATTTGATTATATATAAAAATTTATATTAAATATGGGATCGGTAGTTTGTACAAATAAAAAAAGTCCACCCAGCACTTTAGCTGATGTGCCCAATCCATACTTAATAGATGATAATCACACAGAAGTAAAGGATAACAATGATAAATATTTTGATGATGGAGAGCTGAAAGAGTTAGAAAATAAAGAATTTAAAGTTTAAAAAATAGGAAATAAATGTATTAAGTAAAATTAAAATCATTATCAAAGATGGCAGTCTTTAAATCAGTATTTAGGGTCTGGTTCATTCGGTTCTGTTGAATTAGCCAAGGATATCGAATAGGGATAATTTATAGCTGTGAAATAATTGTCTATTAAAGGATTCAATCCAAAGCAAATTTAAGCTGTATATATTGAATCTTGAAGTAGTTAGAAAATTGATTAATTTGAATAGGAAATAAGAGTACTATCAAAATTAGATCATCCAAACATTGTAAAGTATTTAGGAATGGAACAAACTTAAAGTCATATTAATTTGTTTCTAGAACATGTGTCCGGTGGATCTATTAAATCATTATTAGAAAGGTATGGCAAATTCCCAGAGAATCTAGTCCAAATCTACACCAAATAAATACTCTCTGGGATTGAGTATTTACATAAAAATGGAATTATTCATAGAGATATTAAAGGAGCGAACATTCTCGTAGATGGAGCTGGAGTTTGTAAATTGGCTGATTTTGGCTCCAGTAAAAGGTTGTCATTTGCCAAAGAGGAATGCAAGACTTTTACAGGAACTCCTAATTGGATGGCACCTGAAGTGATTAGTGGAAAGGGACATGGGAGATTTGCAGACATCTGGTCTTTGGGATGCACAATTATTGAGATGCTCACAGGTAAACCTCCTTGGTCAGATGAAACCAAAAATTAATACCAAATTATTATGGAGATCATGAAAGGATAGCCTCCAGCCTTCCCACCAAACTTAAGCTCTTAGATAAAAGAATTTCTAGCACATTGTTTTTAGTAAATTGAAAAGTCAAATTATAATAGATAAGAACCCCATAAGAGATGGAATGTTATAAAATTAATGAATCATCCATTTATTCCAAGGTCAGGTAATACTACTTGCTCTGTTGATATTAGTAATATGTTTAAGGCACTACAAAAATCATGAATTGATATTAAATATTATAGTTTTTTTATATTATTTATCAATGGATTAAGATCAAGAAATAGTATAATTCAATAATAAAATAGGAATAAGAAATTAATGCTTTGACAATTTAAAAGTTTTGGAGATTAAGAAAGCACATTAAAGCTTCCAGACAAGTTGTTCCTTCACTAAGGGAGAAATTTCATTTCTATTATTCGAGCATCAGTTTCAACATGAAAGCAACAACATCCACTTAAAGGTTATATACTCAGATATAAATTTAGATTATTGACTTTTATAAAAAACAAGAAGTTAAAATCTTTTGGATTTAATTTGTGTGATAATCCAATGTGTTAATAATGGGTGAAGCAATAAAGATTAAATTAAGACCCATTGCCTTTCATATTCATTCACAAAGTATATATTGGATCAATGGATGAATTACAACTGTTAATTGATTTCAAACTTTTTGATCCAATTATGAATTAAGGTTATCAATCTAAAAATTTTAAATTTAGATTATTTGAAACATTGTTTGGCTTGTATGACACCTAGAGAATCAATAGAAAATCCGAAATGTTAGAATTGTTAAACAAATTACATATTTTTTGAGAAGAAAGGTCAAGGAGTGAAAATATGTCCAAAATGCAGGGAGAAATAGGATGAGGATAAAACAACATGTGAGAAATGTCAGTTGGAGTGTATTAGAGTTAACGAAATATTTATTCATCTTAAGGACATTTAATGATTAATAATTATAAAGGAAGATGCTAATAAAAAATATATAAAATTAGTATAATAAATCAGATATTATCCAACAAATAAAATATCAAAAAACACGGGCTGACCAGTATGGCAATGGCAACTGTCAAAGGGGATAATAATACTCCCAAAAAGAAGTAAAGTATTCCAAAACCTATTTTGCCTCCTAATCTATATCTTCTTAATCTAAATCCACATAGTCTTCTAGAAAGTTCATAAGGAGCTGCAACTATTAAGTACATGAGGAAGAATGGCAAAAGGGCTAATAATACTGAAACGAGGACAATAGTAAGTAATATTTTTGGAATGATCATCATAACTCTTAGCAACATAGGATTTTTGAAAGGTTAGAGATTGGATCCCTATCCACCAGGGACTATGATTGAAATGATTAATTACAGACACATCCGAATACGTTGAAAATTACATAATGATATGAGGAATACTTGCCTCTGCATAGCCAACAGAATTAATATTTGCATTTGTAACAGGTCATGTGATTGCACCCTCCTTTTTTTTGGATAGGAGCCTTGCAACTGGGACAATCAAATATTAGATTATCCTTTCTGGCTTACAAATATTGAGCATCCATAGCTTAAATGCAATTCATTCCTTTATGATATTGATTCCCACATTGAAAACAAATAGATTATCCACAAATGCAAGTAAGTAAATCATTTCCATTTCCTATTACATAATTTTCACAATCCTATTATAAAAAATATATATTACTGGTTTTGGACACCATCTCACATTTTTGTTCTAACTAATTACTTGTCTGTTATAGAATCTCTTATATTTTTCATATATCTTCTCCTAAACTAGCCCTTTAATTTGTTCATCATTAAATGCTACAGTACACGAAGTTTGTGGACAAGTGATACTTAGAACGTTGCCCTTCAAAATGTTTTAAGTGAGATGTTAAGAGAGACAATCACTACAGAAGTCATGTTTGCAATTTAGTGGGGCTATGAATTATTCTTTGGGTTTATCAACATAGCAGATTTGACATTCTTATAAATCTTTTGATTCTTTTGATTATTCTTCAGGTTTAATCTCAAGTCTTAGTTCTGATTACCAGGATAATCCAGAATCTCCTCTTAAGATTATTTTTTTTTATCTTGCTTCCTCAGTTACCAAAACTTTTAAACCTTCAGTTTTTATTTCTTGAGATACCATGGACTGCATTTAGGAATGAACTGTTTTGCCATTAAAGGATTACTGATTCTATGAAATTTGATGATAATTTGGATCGCCAGATTGATGAGAATCAACTTAATCGAAACCCTTGCATTTAAGTTGTACACTTCTTCCCAATTTTGGTCCGTGAGAAACGAACAGTTATTATTAGTAAATTGGCAATACAAGTTATTGGTATTGAGGTTTCTATTATTCAGACTAACACAATTACTCCATGTGATCCATATTAATAATTAATATTATTACACTTTTACTTTATATTATTATTATCATCTACGCCAAATAAATATAATTAATAAGAAATATATAAATAAATATAACTATGAATAATCACAATTCCAAAAATTAGAGATTGTTACATTCTATCAAAATAAACAATATTATTTTTGATCTACTATTCTATAAATATATTTTATATATTATTTTAGTATCTATATATAATTTGCAATATTGATGTGTTATATATTCGTGCATTCAACTCATTCAGGTTATATTCTGGTTTATAGACAGGAATACAAATAAATTAATGAGGATACAAATCGTAATAAAGTAATCAATAAATTAGATAGATTATTATTAATTATCTCTATAAAGTCATTAATATACCTTGTCGTTTTTAGGTTATTATGCAATATATATTTAATCAGCAGAAGCAAAAAATTATTAACCTATTTTAATAATAGTAATATCTAGAATTACGCCTAATAGAATTCATGTTATTAGTAAAGGAGTAGACTGAAAATAGGTGCCCTTATCTTAGAGTTACATAAATTAATTAGACTTTTAGTAATATAGGTTGACATCAAGATATTTTGAAGATAGAAGATGTTTATACTTGAGAGGATTACAAAGAAGAATATCGAATCTATTATAAATATTAAAAGGATCTGTATAGTAGAGAAAAATTTTACTTAATAATTAATTGAGTGTTCCTTAATACGTAACATTTTGATTATTCTAAGAAGGGGATGGTGGAAGATACCCTCCACTTTATTTATTAAAATCTTTCTTCATATTTTTTTATGATAATAATTTTCTAAATATATGTCATACCTCCTTGATAAAATTCATTCAGCCACTATCTATAAAAGACCTAAAGAAGGATCTTTAGAAGTTGTTGATATTGTTGGACATTGGGGAATTGTAGTTGTTAATGATTCTGGCAGCTATCTAGTCCATAATATGCCTGACACCGGAACAACTGCTACTTCTATATCAAATCTGTCAAATAATTGGACACCTGTTGCACAGTTACAAGTTGGACCGAATAAAACTATTCAAGGAATGTTTAATTCAACAGGACTGGTAGCATATCTTCCAGAAGGATTTGTAAAATATGTTTCATAAGGATTCTGTACAGGTGCAACTGGAAGCATGGCAACATATTTGAGTTAATGAGTCCTTTATCATAATATCAATATAAAACAATGTATTTTCAAAGTTTTTGTTATGATAATGTAATGAGCTTCAATTATTCTATCAGAAATTATTTATCACATTGAGCGAATTATTAATTTAAATTAAGCCTGACTATAAGAGTACTATAAGTTATGTAATTTTCAAAGATTAATATTGTAATGAGGAGGAGAAAAATGAAATGGTTAAATAAATGAGATTACACATATGATTTACTTGCTCAATAAATTATGATTCATATGCATATTTTAAATATTAATAATGGACGTTGATATAAAACAAGGGCGTCTCAGGCCAGTCCGCAGAAATGGATTGATTAATGGAGTCAACCCTTACCAATCACTTAGTTGGATATACACTCTATATGATATAATTGTGGCAAATTTTTTTGCCTTTGAATTTGAAGAAACAGGAATGAAGGTATTGATGTTTTCATTCAGGAACTCCAATTAATACTTCTCACAGCAATAGCTACTTGCATTATTTATTCATGTCTCAGAGCCACATTAATAGATCCTACTGATTCTCTAGTAAAGGAAGAAAAATTATCAAAACTACAAGGGTATAATTAAATATTGCTATTCGAAGAAAAGAATTTAAGACTGACATTAAATCATATTGTTTGGTATGCTAAGCACATGTTCAAGAGAAAACGAAACACTGTTGGAGTTGCAATAAGTATTAAAGAGTAGTAATTAGATGCGTATCAAAATTCGATCATCATTGTATTTGGTTGAATAATTGTATTGGAGATAAGAATTATTCCTACTTCTTTGTCTTAGTATTGTCATTAGTTGCACTCAAGATATTTAGAATTGGTTAAGATATCAAATTACTTGTTCTGCATACCAATTTTGAGGTGTTTGTGTATATTTGTATAGCAGTAGACCCACCAGTATTTATTGTGTTGGCATACTTATTAATTATGCACTTATACTTCAAGTAATCAAATATCATTTATGTTAGATGGAATAATATATCTACGTATGAATATATCAAAGCCAAAAAAGAATCTAAGGATAAGGTGATGAAAACATAGAATGTATAAAATAAATAGATACAAAATGAGAGTAGTACTGGTTATGGATAATTATTATCAACATCAAAGCGTTTCGATTTAAAATCACAATTATCTTTAAAGACTGGAGATACAAAGAAATCTAATCCAAATTATTTCTCTAATAAATAAGAAGATGGTAAGAAAAACAATTAATAGACTTAGCAATAATTTACATAAATTCCTAGTTTATTCACTTCTAAACCTACTACTCCTGGAAATGATTAAGATAAAAAACAATAGATTAAATAATTGTCAAAACCAAAAGATTTGGATGACTTGAAAGACAAATAGATATATAATCAAGTGATAGTTGAAGATTCAGAACCTTAGTTAAATGAAAGTTCTGATGAAGATGATATTGATAATGAAAATCAGAATCACTGTCCTCAAAATAGTCATGTATTAGGATTACCTTATAATGTCGAATAAGTAGTTGCCAAAGAAGACTAAATAAATGAAAAAGATATGGCGATCAAATAGGAGATAGAAATTGAACTAGATAAAGAATCTGAAAATTAAGATAAAATATCGGATAAGTAATCTCTACACGCATAGGAACCTCCTCTACCATCAAAATGGCACGCATTTTAGTTAGGATTATAAGGAGATCCAAATAATGTGACATCGCCCAAAAATCAAAAGATATAATGTACTCAATGAATTATTATTTTTATAATTAAATTATTTTATTATATAATCTATTAAATCAGAAATTATCCAAAAGTATGATTTGTAATATTTACAACTTTCAATATATTAAAAAAATATCTATTTAAGAAAATGACAAGAAAGAAACGTTCTCTTATATTATTATTAAACTATAATGCAATTATATAAGTTTTTTAATGTAAATAATTCTTATCAGTAGCTCAACCTATATAAATAATATTGATAAATAAATCTCAATGAAATTTAATGACAAATAGATTATATAATAATTCATTATTGATTTTAAGCAAAGAATTTACTTTTTATTATGTTATAAAATTCATCAAAATTAGTTTCACTTTTATTTTTGAAAAAGTATTCTATTTCTTTAATTGAACTAACTTATGGTAAATTTAAGACTTGCCCCACATATTTAAAATTTTCTTAAATTGCGTCTATGTCACATATGTTGTTTATTTTCAGGCATATTAGAAGAAATAATTTAATTAAAGAATACTCTCTTCCCTAACATTTTTCAAAGAATGCTAAAGATTCACTTAAAATTCCTCTATATGCTAATTTATATTCTTCAAAAGTCTCGTATTGCAAATTCTATTATTTTAGTATTATAATTACATTGTTTAAAAAATGATCATTTTATGGTGGATTTTATCTAAATATTGAATATCCTTTGTATAATTAAGAGAATGTAAGACCAATGAAGAGTTTCTGATCTTTTTCCAATTCATATTGCAATTTGTGTTTCATTATTTTATAATCTTTATTCTTAGAAATAAATTAAACCCAATCGCCTTAGTGTATACCAAATACATTTTTGTCCTAATTTAAGTCATTAATAAATTCTATTTGCAAAACTATATGTATTTTACTTAAGGCAAAGCTGGTCTTCCATAAAGTTAAATCATCACTTAATCTTTTAAAATTTTTGATCATCTCATTCAATTTTTTCACCAAACCAAAACGATATAAAGAAAAGAATATATTATTCCAGATTGATTATTGATCAAAAGACTCAATATAAAATGGTAATATATTTTATAGCTCTCTATTAATTTCTTCTGAATCCACCTCAAAACAATTAATTAATGGGTGCTATGTATTTAAAATAGGAGGATTGAAATTGTCTTCATCACCTAAAAAGGATGGCGATTCCGGTGGTTCTAAATTATCTCCTATAATATTAGGTTTTTATCTTTATTAAACATAAGGTCCTTTAATTTTGTTAGGATTAATAATAGGGACAATAATAAATGGAACTATTTCTTCAATTTCAACATCTTGGTTTTATCTTGCTTATAATTGCTCATTGATTATTATATTGCAATTCTAAAACTCATTCTAATAAAAACTCAACAATATTGAACTGTTTGGAGTATCAAACATCTAAACCAATTTTAAATAATCAGTTCTTTAAGATCTATTTTTTTAGAGTAGTCCTTAAATAAATATTTTTAATTTTTAAGAGTAGTTTGTTTCTGCAATAGCAAGATTAATTTTATCTTCATTTTCACCAAAATTATTAAGAGTGTAATTTGGCAACTCTTTACCAACAGTTAGATAATAGATCACTCTACCTAGCAAGAACAAGTCTACCTTCTCATTCAGTTGAGTGCTGATTACTTATTCAGGCACTTTGTAATCCATTTTTGGATAGTATCCAAATTCCATTAACATTGGGGTCGTTCCATTAATCAGAATAATATTATCAATATTGAAACATCTACCAAGAAGTGAATTAGAATGTAAAATCATTAAAGCAGACACTAAATCAGAAACAATATTCAATATTGTTTCTTCTTTGGGTTTAATGAGATCTCTTAATAGTTTGTATTCCCCAGGATATTCAAAGGCTTTATAATTATGCCCATCTGCACTCCTTTTGTAATTTCTGAGATACTTGCAATTATGAACTAAGTTTAAATCCAGAGCTAGATATTCATCTAAGTCTTGATTCATCGTATTTTTCTTGTAATAAGCAAAATATTTTTGACCTTAAATGGATACCTCTCTTATATCAAAAGTACAAGACTTTATTCTGGATGGCTCCCCAATTTGATTAATATTCATTATTTAAATTGAGATATGATAATTTTAATATAGTTTCGATCAATAGAAGCGGAGGTCCCAAAAATTATAATTATTTATTAATCATAATATTAAATTCAAATAGTTGATATATTTTCTACCTATTTCGTGCTTCATCAAGTAATTAACCACCTACTAGAACCATTCATTGAATGAGTTGATATCTAGTTTAATGTATTCAATAAATTGCTGATAATTTGAAATCTCTTTGATATTCAAGGTTTCCAAAATATATTTATGACATTCAAGTTATGGTTTAAAGAGGATATCTGCAAATGCGCATAAAATCAAGCCCTACCTTAGTTTTTGAGCTGTTTGGAGATTCATTGTAAAATCAAGATTTTCATTTATTATTTGCAATTGAATCAAACATTAAGTTCGATATGCATCAAGAAATTTGTTTGATTGTTCCTAATTACTCAAAGAATTATTGAAGTATTAAAGATTAAACAACTATAATTACAACAAATCTAAATTATCGACTTCATTCTTATTAATCTGTAATTAAACGCATTTTATTTCATTTTCCCTATCAAATGACACTTTCAACATATTTGCATTGGTTTTTAATTTTTAAACTTCATCGTTTATTGTTTTGGAATTAAAAGTTTTATATGATTTCCATAACTTCATTTCTAGATCATCTTTAGAGAAGCAAGTAGAATTTTCAATTTCTAGTTCTCTAATCAAATATAGGTGAAAGTAGACTTTTCCAAAATTAAGTGCCAATATTGTTAAACATAGTTCAGGGACTATGTCTTGGTTGTAATCTTTCAGAATACTTATAACTTCATCGAAACATTGGAATTTACTTACCTCTAATTTAAATTGGTACTCCATCAAGGTGTTTTCAACAATTGAAAATTTCTTTACTTGTTTAAAGGATTCTTATGTTGTTGATTGAAAAGAGCTTAAAGATTAATCTAGTGGAATAATCAAAGACTCTTATAAGGCAGTATCAGTGAGAATGTAAGTGGAACTCTTCTCTTATCTTGATTCTCTGAAGAAAATCCTCTAGTCAATAATATTCTATTTTGGTTTGAATGTTTTAATTTAAGAATAAAATTCTTGTATACCCTGATTGCTCTTAAGGAGTCTAGCCAGATCTTTAAATTGCATTCTTTTGGATAAATTAAATTGAAGTAGTCCAATCAAGAGTTCTTTAATGAGCGGTGATCGAATTTTAGATAATTCCATATTTAAATCGCGAAAGTTCATATCTAATAGTTGTTCTTATAATTCTAAAGGTTTTCGAAAATACAATTGGTAAAGTACACACCCTATCAAGAATTAATCAATTTCAATTCCATAACATCGATATTTTTTATTGAGCAATTCTGGAGGGTAGATTATTAGTGGAGAGGATAAGCCAAACTCCATTAGAGTGATTTTTTATTAGGTTTCATTCCACAATATATTATTAATATTGAAAGTTCTCCCTGGGATGTTGTGTTAATGTAAAATCTAAATTGCTTCTAACAACTATCCTATGGTTATTAATAATTTAAAATACGTGCTATCTTTACCAATAAGTTTTCATCTTGTGTTTGAAGAGATGAAAGTAATTTATCAGTCTCAAATTTGAATATGAATTTTTCCTTATTAATCATTTTAGTATGTTGTCGCAAATACGGGGAGTGTATGAACAAGTCACACATCAAAAACTCCTCTGCTATGTTGTTGTTGATCGATTTGTACTCGTATACTTTTTCATCTCCGAAGCGTATAATACTTATTTGAAATCCATATGATTGTATGCTTGATTTCATTATTACCTTCTCTGAATTTATAAAATAATTTTATTATTAGTATTTTTATTCTACTCAACAAATGATTAGCAGAACATAATATCACTTACTGAAATGGAGTGGAATCAATCGATAGAGAATTAAAATGGGTTTTATTTGAGGAATTTATAACAGAACTTCTAACACCTTCTTATGAATTTATTTAATAATTAAATTACTTAATCTAAATGAATAAACATAATATACACAGTTTATCTGCTCACAGAAGGGTTATTTCATCCTCCATAAAACCTTCAGTAAGCAGAATAACCAGTTCACAGTCCAGATCTAAATCGAACTACAAAACTCTCAATCAAAGTCCCTTAGCATTCATCTTAGAATCTGTTATACCTGTTATTCCAGAGAAATCAAATGTTCCCTTAAAGATAATCGAGAAATACTTAGAAGAAGGTTACTTAATCAAGAATCATTAGACTGTTGTTTCCACTTTAAAACATGTGTCTCGAGAGGTAAGGAAATATTTACAGTATAATTTTATCTAAGTTTAAGAACTTCCTTAATAATATTCATTTTAGGTTAAAGATCCTAAATTGTTGTTTCGTATGTATGAGACTCTAATAAACTTAGATCAAACTATCATTTAGGATCTTTTCGATAAAAAATAATAATTGGATAACTCAGATCTTAACAAACAACATCCTAAACATCACTTTAGATTTGATGTTCAAATTAAATGCATTGAAATACTTAATGAAATAGTATCTAGCATTTTAAAGACCATAGATGACAAAGCTATTGCAATATTTATTGAATAAATTTGGAAAGCCATAGTGATCATCTTAGATTTGAATACTCAATGGCAATAAGATCGTTTTTAATCACTAGTCAATGAGTAGATTGAAAGCTATAAGGAGAGATTGGAATAAATGAAAAGTGAATATAAATAATTGGAAGAAAAGTATCAAATGCAGTTACGAGCATATTAATTAAAACTTGTAATTGAATAAAAGAAGAATATGGCATTAAGAGAAGAGAACAACAAGATGTGTCAACAATATAACAATTTAGAAGATCAAATGAACGAACTTAGTAATATTGAACATGCCAAAGGAGATCTCCAAAATATCAATCAAAAATTACATGAAATGGACTTAAACTTCATGAGATTCAATAAGGAAATCTATGAATCTCATTAATAAGCATCAACTTCTATTAAGTAACTAGCTAAATTGTTGACAATCAAACCCATACTGCCAAAATCATTTGTACAATAAAAATATGAGCAATTGAACATCAGTTTTAAAGAATAAAAACCTTGTATTGAATTGATGGTCAATCCATTAATATCCTAAATTGAAATTGAGTTTTATCATGTTGATCAATTCAACAAGAAATAACTAGCAAGTGATTTTCTTTAGTTTCTATTCCAAAATCTCAACTTTTATTCCTCACAATCAGGCCCTGAACTCTTTTCCTTATGGATTCATGCTGATGAATAACAATTTGTCAATAGTAGAATAGAATTGTTGAATAAATTGAATCAAAATAACAATAATGACTATTACATCAATGTGTGTTAATAAATCCTTGGTATCAATTCATAATATCCTCTATCTCACAAGATGATAGAAGAAACCCTCAGATATATCAAAATTATAGAACTAACCTTTTTGTAGTAAACATCCCCTAATTAAAATTAATAAAGATCGAGCTTATTTCTCAAATAATCAAGTTCAATCGATTTTGAATTAGAAATTAATTTAGCAAAGTATTCTAATTATGTTCTATAAACTGTAGTTATTCAACCATCTTGCCTCAATAATTATATGAATATGTAGAATCTTCATCTCAATCCAATATCAGACTGATAAATTTCACATACCTAGCTATTGTATTCCTCTAATAACAGGAGAGACTGAAATGGAATTCCTTCTCTAAGTTTTATTTGAGCAACATCAATAAATTTAGTTATCGGCTAGACACAGTTGAACCATTCTACAATATCGATGTATTTTTGGTATTTAGTTGTTATTCATATTAGATCTGGTAATTGATAATTACTCATTAAAGATCGATGATAAATAAGAAACAAGAAGAAGTAGTATCAAATGAGGATTTCTTTGAATAACTATACTTACTTTGGGTACACCATCCTAGGTGTTTAATTAAACCATCAAATGAATTGTAATTGAATTAATCTTCTTCACCCACCAATAAGAAAGTTTCATCCCAACAACCACAATAAAAATCAAGTCCTCAGATCAGAAAACAAGGAACTATGCAATCTGAAACATCTCGTAAGAAATGATTTTGTATTAATTTTGTTTTAACTACATAATAATAATAAAGATATAGTCTCATCTAAGAATAGATATTCTTTTAACATATTTTGTTTAAATCTAAAATATTCATATAATTTGATTATTTATGGACTCGAAATGAGAATTGAACATTCTAAATCCTTTTTCTTTAGTCGAACAAAATATTGAAAGAGATTAATTTTATATATCCTTTTATTAAAATTAAATTGAAGTTAATCAACACATAATTATTAAAACTGAAATGTCTGATATTATATAGAATAGACATGATAATTCTAGTTTTAAATAATAATTGTCTTTAAATTAATCTAAGGGGTAATCACCTAATAATAATAAACTTCAATGTCCAGACTGATCAATAAGTTCATAATCGGTTTAATATCTTAAGCAAAAAAAAGAATTAATATTGAAGTGTTAGGATCAATATTCACAAAGAAGTTTTGAGTTCAAGTAAATTTACTAAATAAATCCTAAAAAAAGGTAGAACAAAATAATAGTAAAGATTAGGTGTAATAATAAGAAAAATTGAAAATTAAGAAATGATTATATATGAAATTAGATTTTCTCTCATATTCCTTATAATAACAATAAGTAAATGAAAATTAAAATTGTTATTAAATTAAAAATTACAATTTTCAATTTACTGTATTTATTGCAATAAACAACAGAAATTATAGCATTTTCTGCAGCTTTTAAGTTGCATCAACTTTGCTATAGCTTATATTACTTTTCTTATTAAACCATCTTCTTGGATTTTATTAAGGATTTCTTCCTAGCTTTGATCGTCATCTTCAACTTATTAGGGTTTTTGTTTTTCAGTAGTAGTGACTCAGCTCATAGCCTTTTTGTTTTTAGTGTTTTGCGTATTCTTACACATCATTGAGTTTAAATTAATTCTTTTCCTACCTCTGTTGCACAAATCTTTTTGGTTAACTCCTAATTAGTATCAGAGCTGCTTTAATTGAATGGTAACTTTTGCCATCCTAATAAAACTGAAATTTATGTATTTAATTATTGTTAAATTTATGATAATAAGATGATGTATATATAGACAGCAAATATCCAAGAATGATCCTAAAGAGATAATAGAAGTTTCAAATGCACTTTAAACCTTTTCGAGTGTACTTAAGCCAGGACGAAATTACAAAGTAAAAAAGTTAAATAAAGGTTGCAACTAGACCAAATTGTATTTTTTGAACAATGATGGCATTTATAGAATAATTAATAATATGACTGGCGTATTAATATATATATTTCAATCTGTTAATTCATCAGACTCATTTAGGATGAGTCCATGTTCATGAAAGTCTCTTTCTTAAATAGCTTTGGCATCATGAAAAGTTCTTTGAAGGATTGTGTGAGATAGAACTCCAATTCTTAGATCCATCTATTTGATTTCTAACTATTAAATAATAGGTATGATGTAGATACTCTCAATTTAGTGAGAGCAGCCTTGATACTGATGACTGGAGATTAATTGGTGGAGACACTACCATGTTCATTTAATTTGTTTTGAACAGTTTCAAATTTCTCTTGTATTTGTTTGTATTAATCAGTCATTTCTTTTTTTGCATTTGTGTAGTTCTGATATTAGAGTTCAATCTTTTTATATTCTTCATTTTTCTTTTTGAATTCAGTGCTCTAGAATTAAGTTGATTATTACCATTTCACTCATATTCTCATTGATATTATATTCTCTTTTTGTGATTCTATCCAAGATTTCTCCCAATTCATCACCCATTCTCTCTAATTTGATTCTTGCCTCTGGGAGAATAGTTTTAATTTAGTTTGAGTATTATTTGGTGGCATCAAAATGTTATCTCCATTCTCCTGCATCTGGTTTGATAACTATTTTAATCTTCTAGGCTGCTCTTTCAACTTCCTTTGCCCATTCCTTTGGATTTACATTGGATTCAATAACCATTTTGTCTTCGCTTTCATATTTGAACAATATTGTTACTCTTTTTGGAATCCCTATTCAGTAAATACATCTTCAGGCTCTTCTTCTGATGCTACCTCTGGATCGGAATCTGATGATACACTTCCTGTTTCTTAGACTGGTTCATCATCTTGTCTTCTAATGGATTAGGTTGATTAGTTACGTTTAAGATTATTATTCAATTTTGGCTTTCTTGTATTGGAATTTCTTTTTTTGCAATGCTTTGGTTGCCAATTACAGCAACACATAAACAACATATTCTCCAAATCCTTATTTTAATTTAATTGGCGGAAAGTCAACTTCGATCCCAATATTTTTCAATTCATTTACTATTACATATGTATAAAGAAATTACTTATATTCTGAGATAAAGTCACAGGATCATCAAGTTTGTTAAAATCACTAGTCTGTACATCGTTTTATTGAAATAGCCATTTTACTAATCTATTCAAATACAATTCAAAAGTTACGTTTTAAATTAATTGAATTATTCACTCGAATTAGTTTGATTTACAAAATATGCTCTATTCAAAGGTTTACCACCTCTAGTTATAAATATAGAACTTCACTTACTTCTATTTTAAATAACTTTGTTCATAATTCAATAATATTAATTTGTCATACAACTCATCCATCATTGCTGTTACATCCAATTAATCCTAAAGAATTACTAATAATTGATTACTTAACCTGATTACTATTCAGACATTATAAATTAATAAATATTTGAATATACTGTTTAATATATATATATATTAATGTTCTCTCAAACTTACCAATTATGCAACATTATTTTTTGTAATGACAACAAGGCATTTTCTCTAATCATCTAATCATCATTCCTTGCTTATTTCATAATTTCTTATTTTGCATTTAATTATTCCAAAACACTAATGAATTTACATATAATTATATTACACTTTACCAAATGGATGGAATCTACAAAACTCTCCTAAATCATAACAAGCCACAGCAATATTTTGATTATTATTTGATTTCAAGATTTCTGCTAATTTCCTATACTCTACTGATACATTAATTACCTAATAAGTAAGAAATCATTTTCTTCAAACTTCTTGACATTCTCCTTCCAGAATTTCTCAGTATGGACTGGACTCCAAGTTAAATTTTGAGCATTTAATTCCTTTACATATTTTTCAAATGAACTAACATTCTTAATCTATAACTATACGTTAAAATCTTCATGTTCTTCTCCAATATCTCTCCTACATATTTGATATCATCTATTAAATCTTAATCCTTGAGATTTCCTTTCAACAATAAATCAACCACTTTGATTAATCCATTGTCAACCATCAATTCAATGCATTAAGCTGATACGTCAACCAAATTCTTGAAACAAGCAAAAGAAACTCTCAAGATTTTTTCTCTTGAAATCTTTTACACTGATTCTATAATCATTCTGATCAAACCAATTTATGGGTCATTGAATAATGGAATTGATTCATTAGTGAAACTCAATAACCATAATGCTAAAATTGTATAATAAGCTATATGTAAGTCTGTTGGATATTTGGTTAATTGATTAGATACTCTATAGAGATAGATATAAGATTATTACATCTTTATTCCACCACTCTTTATAAATTATATTGCTAATGAATCGTGTTTCAGAAAATGCACACAAATTGGCATAATCATTTAATCTGAAATCTTTAGTTTATTTCCTATATTAATATTATAATATACCTATTCCTCCAATAAATAATATGACCCATTCTTTTGCATCATTTCCTCCTTCATCTGCTATGATCATGGTGACTATCTTAGCTGCTGCTTCATAAACCACTTTGTCATATCCATCAAGAAACAAGAATTATTTCAATTTAGGAACAACCTGTGGTGTCAATGCTCGCATGAATTATTTGAATAATCTCTGATTCTCTATGATCTCATTACATAATTATACCAGATATTATTGCATCAATGGTGGTCAATATATATGTCATCAAAGGTTTATCATGTGCTACATTTTCGATAATGTCCAATAGCATCTAAAACACACCAACAGAGTCAGTCTCTAATAATTTCTTTTGGTCTTATAACTAATGATTCGATTGAATCAATACTTTTGCTTGTGTAAATTTAATGAACATGTCTTTTGTATCTCTCTTTATTGATTTTCCATGTTAATCCAATTATTTGAAGCAGTCTTCGCAGTCCTTCAGCACTTTGTTTAGTAGTTGTTCTTATTGGTAAAATGTTATGGACTGACAGAAGTATTTCCTGTTTCTAAACATATATTAATTATGAGATTTATATTGATTTTATATTTGATTTTATTTATATATTTTATAGACTACTCCAAATATTTGTTGCAAACTTCCATCTTTCAATATTAATTTCTTTTATTCCTAAAATTGGGTGTAATCATCATTATAATTTAGAAGATACAAAACAATTAATTAAGATAACGATTATATTATAACTTATATAATCATAAAATCAAGATAAATCACACTAGAGTGATTAGCACTAAAAACGAAATATTGTTACTTATTTACACATTTATTTGTGATAAACCATCAATAAACTAAATTATTATTAAAATCTACCTCTATGCAATTGTTAATTGGAGAATTGATATACTCATATCTTTTTATCTCATCTTTAGGTATCATCTTTTTCATATAGAACAATTTTCCCCTTTATTGGAGATTAATTATCTCTTCTCCTACCATCTTTTCAATTTCATACACTATGTATTGCAATGGTTCAGTCAATTTCTTAATGTTGAGATTCAACTTCTTCCAAATTGAAATACTTAAACCATTATTCAATTTGAACTAATAATAATAAATAAATTAATTACTTCTTGTGCTTTTCCCGGTTGACTCTGCATCATAAATGGAATGGCAGCATTTAAGAATGTATTTCTATATTAAGTAGATTTCTGTAGTATTTTAATCAATTCCAAAGTCTGTAAGGCTGCAATACACGATGTTGTGGTTGCCATGGCTGGAATAATCTAGAGAAAGATCATAAAATATTATATTACTCTTCCTGCTTTTAATTTGGTCCACATCCAATCTACTCTTTAGATACCATAATTTATTGCTCTAGCATTAGTGGCATTTTTAATGAAAGATACATGATGATTAGTGTCATTATCTTTTTCAAATTTTTGAGGCTATGGCAATTTCGGTTAAACCTTATTTAATAATGACTTAGCCTCTTAAATAAGTTGGTCATAATTTTTGACTTCAATAACGATCTATTTTTATAATTGATTGTTTTTATCTTATATCTCAATTATCTATTGAATCTTATTTTATTTTATGTCCATCTTGTGAATCTGAACATTCTATAATATGAGATTCAAATCATATTAATTGGGAATTGCAATATTGTAGATTTATGCAGTTAATATAGCAAAATCTTCAACAAATTCAAATGCAAATTTTTCACCAAATTCAATGGGTTGAGGAGATCTCTTAGGAGGAGCCCAAAAAGGTTGACCTTCTTCAGTTACAGAATTTAATGGAAAAGCACTCGTCAAAGTTATTATATCCTGATTGAATAATTTCTGGAATTTTAATCTTCCCATTATCACACATTCTTAAAAAGAGGTAGGATATTTGTTTAACACTTTAATGGCCATTTCTACAGTTTATTATAATGGAGAGGGATCCTATATTAATTAAAACAAAGCTTATGGTTTTCTAAAGAAGTACTATTCAAACTTGTCACGGGCCCATTCTAAACAATGGATATTAGATTCTGGAAACATTTTCAAAGTGCAATATGGTATGTCATTGATTTCTTCAGGATCTTATTTTTTTACATATCTTTCAGTTTATATATAAGGTATGATGGATTGTACATGTCCTTTTGATCCAAAAGTACCACTTTCAATTAATGGCACTCCATTCTCAATACATTTAGAATCCATAAACAATCTAGTCTATACGTTATCCAATGCAGTAGTCATACATTTCATTTAATTGTAAAAGTTAGTATGATAGATATCTTGAGTTTCTGGGCATACTTTATCTTATCTTGCTACTATATTGATATCTGGATTCATATATTTGACAACGGCAGCTGCTGTCACACTTTTAGGTTTCCTAATGTGCTTTTCTCTAAAAAGGAATTAACGACCTAGATTTGAGTTTTTAATGATGTCTGGATCAGTTACATATATTTTCCCATTTTTACTAACACCTAACATTGCAAAATTCTTAAGTAATTCACACCCTATGGCTCCAGCACCTACGACAAACACATCAGCATTAAATATTTAGTTGATATTTCCTATAGTGTTAGCCAAATCGGTATATCTTGTATTTTAATTCTATTAGAATCCTAATTTCGACATGCATTCTTCATATTTTTTTAAATTAATTTCAAGATTGTTAGGTTGACTAACTTAAACAAAGTTGAATTCTGTCAGTTTAAATGGAAGTACATCTTCAAATGATTAGACATAAACTTAATGGATTGGAGAATATTTTTTATTTATGGCTTTCAAAACTTCTTATGCTGCCATTCCACCTACTAATGCGCATAATGGCTAGAATTATGTATTCATTGACAATAATGTAAATAAAGGTAACAACTCTTCTTGATATTTAGTAAGCACGCATTCGTTGTATTTAAAATATAGTTTTTAGTTTAGATCTGATAATCTCATTGATGTTATAAACATTTTGATTTTTTCGATGTCCCAATTATGTGTCAATTAATCTTTTGCAATAGTATTCAAACAGAAATGAATGATATCTCTTTTTATTAAATCAATTCCATCAAAAATTCCAACATTATCACAATAATGATTGAATGAACTAATCGCCTTTTAAATTCGATCAAATTACAGCCTAATAGGTTATTTCTATTGATAAGCTATACCATGACTAACATACTTATTAAATACTCTATTGGTTTCTAATTCAAATGATTATGTTTTAACATTCTTTATTTTGAATACTTAATTGTAACTCTCTCCAATGCCTTATTCTTAGTTGACCTCTTTAATAATTACTAAGTCATTTTCACTTAGATTATGATTTTGATTCTTAAACAAAGTTACAACATTATTAGATATATTCTCAATATTGACTTCTGACGATTATTCACCATCTTTGTCTTCCACTATAAATTCATCTCCAAAATCTGTTACAATTCTAGCAAAAATGTTTCTTGTTTATGCCAAAATAACTGCAAGTTTATTATTAGTTGATACCTTACTTGCAATATCTGGATCCTATGTGACAAATACTTAAATTTCATCCAAATTCAATTCATCCAGACTATTTTAGAGAACATCTATTTAGACATATGGATTTAAATGTCTCAATTTATTTAAAACACTCAAATCTCTTCTCTTTTTCAAATCTTGTTCTGTTAAATAAAAGTTGCTACCTAAATCACTCATCTAAGCTAGTTCCGAATCAAACAGGATCAATCTTTTTACACCTGATAAAATTAAATTTTTAGCTATTTCAATGCCTAAACCATTCAAAGTGTGAATAAAAATAGTAGATTCGCTTTGCTTCTTGACTGCATCTAGACCCACAACTGCAATGTATCTACTCATCAAATTTTGTAGATTCTTATCATTTAAATCGAATTGTCTTTATTATACATTTTCATTATAATTGACATCAATCTCATTTATATTCAAACCTTAAGGCATGAGCATCTGTTTTTTAGTTTTTTATTCTTATTATGAATAAGGAGTTTCGAAATTCAAACTGATTTCTTTCTTCCTTTGATTAACTTGGAAATCTGTTTCAATATCGAACTTCAACTTCTCTAATTCCACTTTCAGTTCCTCATATATTTTTATCAAGTCTTATTTATAGAATGAAGGTTGTAAGTTGTAAGTCTACTCATTCTAAATTTGATTGTAAGTTGCTGGCAAATCGGCCTATTCTATCCATAATTCAATCTCCTTCATTATCAATTCCTTACGCAAATAGAAACCCTTCTTTATTACTTCTTCAAATCCTCTGGGTGGATTTTGTAATTATTCTATCATCGCATATCTAATATTATTAATCTTAATGAAATTGCAATATCCTCTATTAGCTTATCCGACATTAAGAGTTTCCATCTAAGATTCCGGTTTATTAATCATAAAATTTTCACTCATCACTAGAGATTTAACCGAAAATAATTTTTCTAATATTGTGGAGTAATCAACGTTCCAACTATCATCCCATGTACCAAGTAAATCTAACCAAACTCTTCGAAAATTATATAAATTGGGATTAAATCCTACTTTATCGTGTCGAGGAGTTGCCAATTTAATCTTTGGAGGTCTAACTGGATAATCATTTCCAAAATATAGGTCGTACAAGAATGCTCCATGCGCATAAGGTGTACCACTGCCACCAAAAATTACGATTCTCATACAATCCATTCTAGCATTATCATGTCTTATGAATATGGAATTAGTTGCTTAAATGGGTATGTTCTATTCAATAGTTGATATCTGATTCAAAAATTTTTAAATTTTATATTCTGATCGACTTTTAGTTTATTGATAATACTCTTTCATATTAGACAAGTATTTCGCATCAGTCTTTATTTCACACTTTCCAACTGCCAATATTTTCATAAAGGTACTATACAATTAAAGCTTACTCAATTTAGCATCCTCTTTATGTTTATGGTCTAAATCTAAAAATTTTATATTAATTAATCGTGCAGCATATAAACTAGCTTCCACATATTGATACAATTACATAAATTCTTTATGGGTATTTAATATATAACTGCCTGCTTATAAACGCATTATTAGTTTATTATTAAATGACTCCATTTATCTAAATAAACATATATTCTCATTTGATATGAATAACTTCAATGTCATCTCACTTTATGCTAAACAATAGATTAACTTTACTATTTGACCAAGTGTTTTTTAACTTTTTGATGATGTTAAATTGATACTTTATAAATATTTAATGACAAATTTTATAACATCCGATGATTATATGCGCTAAAGTATTTTTATGCTAACTGGCTGATCTAATAATTGAAGTATACAGTTTAATATATTTTCAAATTTCGCTTTTTTATAATTTTAATTCTACTTGAATTATTAGAATTATTAATCTTTTCCATTCCCAACATCTTTAGGATTTCCAGAATCCATCCTCTAATTCTTATTAATATAATTCAATTATTTTTCTGCAGTAATCACTATCTACTCAAAGATTCGATATTTCAATATAGCTATGAATTTTAGATATGGTTTTTCTTTAAAAAATTGATCTAATTTTTAATAAATCATCGAATTGAGCTTTTCATATATCTCTGTAATATCTTTATTCTTGTTCATTTCAACTAATGAAATTAAATATTTTTAGAATTCCTCAAGTTATACAATATCCTCTTGAAATTCCTCAATCTAACAAAAAATTTACAATTCATTCAATAATTCCTTAACCTCTACATTATCTTCTCCTAAATACAATTTAATCTCATCAAATAACCTTAAAAAGCCTCCCATCGATTTTCCAAAAGAAACCAGTAATGACTTCTAATAATTACTGTTAAGATAAAGTATCTTAGTAACAGGGTTAATCACCTCTATATCATTAATTGAACCCTCTCTCAAATTTGTAATGTTTATGTTTTCATCATATAATTATCTCAATTATGTTAATGTTTCTGTTTTTGGAATAAAATGAATTGGCTACATTCTCAATTGAGAATAATAGTAATTCAATTTTTTATAATAGTTCTTTTCCAATGACTGAACATTCTACTCGATTAAACTATCCTCCATCATTTTAGAATAGTTTTCTAAAAAAAGTTCACTTTGTAATTTTCTCTCTTACACACTTACTTTTGGGTGGAAGCATACAAGTACTAATGGCGCTTGTTGACTATTCAAAATAGGTATGATCACTTTGGTTATCAGATCCAATTCTTTGTGTTTCAAACAATTTATGAAATCCTCATACAATATATCAGTGAACTATTAATTATCCTAATAAGAACTAAGAATTCTGGTAATTAAGTTTACCATATAGTCTATAATCAAAGGGTCTTAGAACCAACTGGGTTGATTATCAATTCCATAGGCAGAAAAACTATTTTTGATACTATTATAGAGGGTAGTGTGAAAAGTAATTTAGTGAAAGGATTACAAGATTTTTTCGTTTGTTGTGAATACCAAGAAAAATTCCAATAGATTTTTGATTTTTTGATTATAACCTTGTTCTGCACTATTGGCTTCCAAAAGACTAAATAATTTAAATATATTATATACCTATCAAGTGTTGATTTCAGGAGAAAAATTATTTCATTGTACAATTAATCATTTAACTTGGAATCAGAAATATAAGAAAAGGCCAACAAATCTAATTAACATGGTGTCACATTATTAGTTTCAAATACTTAATTATTGATTTTACTAATGATCTAGTTTTGTAATGATTTCATTTAGTTTTTACTTACAAATGGTTTAGGAGGATTAATTGAAAATATTAAAAATCTTGGCAAATAAATTCTGATTTAAAAGAATATATCATCTTTTTTTTTATTGATTTCTTGATTTAAAATTATATTCTTCAATAAATCTATCATAGATAGATCACTATTTATAAACAATCCAAAAGGATGTTGTTATTCTATTATTTAAGTGTATTCTGAATGTTATCCAATCTCATGAATCTAAAAGAGCAATTTCAATAACTTAGTTAACTAGCCAATATGCTCAGGAGCATCTAATAATAATATATTTTGAATAGTCTACTTTATTTGTCTATCTCTGTCAATTAGAATAAGTAGGCAATATAATTGTAGAGCCTTGCTTCTCTTTTGAAAAATAATAAATCATCTAGCAGTATAGCATATTCTAAATCAGTGATATTTGATTCTTCCAACAAAATCATAAATACTGGATCATCATCATCATTAAGCTCTTGTATTTTAATATCCTTTTAGTCTTGTTCAACTTAAATAATATTCAAACATACTTTATGGTTAGTTGCCACCTTGAAAATCAAAGTCATCATTATGTTACATATTTCTATTAAATTTTTATTTGCTTAAATCATTAAAATCAAATTATCAACGATTAAAATGAGCATTGATCAGTTAACTGGAGAATTTTACATTTTTTCATAAAAAATATGAGGCAAGATCAAAGTATATAATAATTAAAGACAAGTTATTGTAATTTTATATTTGATATTTACTTTTGCTTCATTAGTTTAAATTAGCATTTACACATCTAATATTAGTGTTTTGAAATGGCAAATCACTCAAAAAGTTAATGAGAAGAATACATAAAAATTTCAGGGTAATGAAATTATATTCAGCATAATTATTATATTATTAAAATATCAATGATAAAGTTGCTCATAGTTATAGTGATACTCAATATCACATTATCAGCTCCTATTCTTAAATAATAAATATTAGCAAGTAAGAAGGCAAAGAAAGAGCCTGCTCTTGACTGGAAGAGTGCTTCAGAGTATTCAAATAACCCTACTTACACTTAAGTCGTTGAAGTTGCCAAAAAGAACTCCTCCTAATAATGCAAATTGAGCAAAACTGTCAAGCTTAAAAAGGTTTTAAAAGTTGCTAAGCAATTAGTATAAGGCATGTTGTGGAATGTATTATTGATGGTATTCTAATTAGTTACAAGTTGAGTTTTCTGATAAATCAACCAAAGTGTTGTAAGTATATGAAGATTTAGATGGCTCATTTGAATTTGATACCTGCAAGGATACCATTTGATAAATTAATATATTTAGTATAAAACGGTGAGATTATAATTATATTTTAATAATACAATTTTAATCTAAAGGCATGACTTAATTTATGATAAAAATTTGTATTTTGTTATTGTATCTCTGCAAATTCAAAATAATAATTATTAGATAAATACTCAATTACATTATTTATATAAATAAATATAACTTTCATTAAAATGGATATGCCTTGACTGTCCAACCACTCAAAGGCTACTAATCACAAGAAAGGACATCAATGATAAATTGGTAATATATACTCTTCATTAAACAATTTTATTTGTTTCCAACATCTATGTCATAAAAAGAAGACTTCCTTACTGTTAATTCATTTGAAAGCAAATAAACAATAATTTAGTGATTATAATTATTATAAACCAAGATCACTCTCATTCCTCGAATTTAAATTCATTAATTAGTAAAATGATTAGCTTGGTTTACTATCAATTTAAGTGTTGTAGTATTGAGCCTTACTTCTATAGAGATTAGGAACAATATTTTCAATGATTTCGTAAGAATCAACAATTTATTAATCAGTTGAATTAATATGCAGATCTTCATAAAATAAAGAAAAATGGATGTGAACTTATAATTAAATAAATTGTATCTTTAATTAATAAGTTCGCATCATTACACTTAAACAGAAACTCACTCTGAGCTGAGAAGGATGATATAATTAATTTTTAGCTATGTTAGTAAGTTTAGGATATTTGCTTAGGGAATTAATAATAAAAGAAACTGAAGTGAGATATACGATTATGAAACTTATTTAAATAAATGTATATTTTTAACGAAAAAAATAATTATCAAATATAGGTGACATAAGACAATACGCCATCAATTGAGAATAGAACACAATAGGATTTGATATCGAGTGTCAGAAGATAAGGCACTCCTAGATAATCGAAAGTTAGATTCGTCAAGGATCCTTTAGAAAATGAATGCCATTTTGAGTAACCAAATCCGTTTCTATTCAATGAATAATTGAAACATAGCTTTAGATTATTTGGAATAGAAAACTGCCTTGAACTTAGTTAACGAGTGTAATCATGTAATTGGTCAGACTCATAAAATAGATCAATTTAAACTATTTCAAAATGGAAATCGATTTCGAACTTAGTTGAAATAAAGATCATCAATCAGAATGTTTATGTTGTAGTAAAATTATTTGCTGATGATCTCTTATAATGTAAGATCAAAGTATAAGAAAGATATAATAAAATTAAATAATTAATTTAATAAAAAATGAAATCAAAGAACAAAAATGATTCTTTAAGAGATGTTTAAATGTTTAAACATTTATTTGATACACTTCAACCAATCATTGACTAAATATCATTTAATTGTATTGTTCATGTGAAAAGAATATGAATAAAATTAAGTCTAAAAATTTACTATCTGAAAAACCAGATGAAATAAGAGAATATGATTAAATCAAATACTCAAAAATCCAACAGGATCTCTAAGGGTTAGAGTAAATACTTGTAATTAGCAAGGTAATACTCATTAAATGCGAGTGAAGACCCTACTATAATAGTCAACCTTACATGAGACGATGAAAAAAGAGAGAGAAAGGATGAATGCTATGTTGACGGAGTTTCTAGAACATGATTAACATTAGGAGAGGAACTTGTAACTGAAGGCTAGAAGGAATCTAATCATGGATTTAAATAAAGGAAACAAAAGATTTCATTCCTTTGAACCAGATTAATATAATTTAACAGATCCACTTAGTAAAGATGCCAAATTATATGCTTACATGTTTATGAAACCAAATAACGATGATCCAATCTTCAAACCATCAAGTCATTTGAATGTCCTTTCTCAAAGTACTAGATCTTAAAAGAATTTTAATAGACATTATTTGGCTTATTTCAATGAATAACTCTGGCATTCTAGAGATAAAAGTTAAAATGAAGATTCATCATTTAATTAGGTGTTAGAAATGAATATTGATAATTTATACAAAAGAAGTGCAAACCTTTAAAGTAAGATCTTGAATACTAAATCTGAAAAGTTGGTTAGAAGAATAAGACAATTCTTGAAGGTCAAACAATTAACCACATAAATAATTAAAGTTAACGAATTAAAACTCTTTAAAATTAAATTATTATGATTTATATAACTACTTACATTCATTTATATATTTATTATCTTCCATAAATTCCTGCACTGTACTGTCTCTTTTGTTGTACTTACTTTCCAGCATTATATTGAGGCTATTGTCCTACTCTTTATTGTAAATAAGGATTATTTTGATTCCTAGGGGAATTGTCTCGAATTCCGTAATTCTGTTTCAAAAATGTTGGCTTACAATATTATTATGCATTGATTCTTTAATTAACAATATTTAATTACTGCTGTTTTTGATCCTGATGGTACATTTTTTATCCGTAATATTATGGAGTCTAAGGATGGTATTCTATTTTTTAAGCTTAGGCAATTTGAGGTTTAGCCAAAGGAGGTTTGCATTTTAATGGAGCACCTTATGATGGGACGCTGATCAATTTTTTTCTTAATTATTATTATTGTTATTATTATTGTTATTATATTTCCATGTTAATTCGAGGTTATTAAGATATTGGATGGTCAGTCTCAATTTTAAGTCCTTATTATGAGTTTGATCTCTTCATCTTATTTTCATATTTGGATTTTGGTAAATTATCCTTCAGTTACTTTAGATTAAAAGGGAGTTTGATAGTTTATAATAATTTGGCTTACTTAACACCATTCTACTCCACTTCCACCAATAACGATCCACTATTCTTAATGACCTTTGGATTCTTAAGAATTTAGTCACAATTTGGTCTACTCTTTGGATCAACTTGTAAAAGAGTCTTTAAAACATCGGATAGATCTGAACTGTATTTTTGTGGCATAGGATCATAATAACCTGCTTAAATCTTCTTATTTAATGATAGAAGGTCTCCTGCTCTGAAAGGAGGTTGAAATGTAGCTAACTCATAGATAATACAACCAATTGACCAAATATCACAAGGCCATGAATATTATTCACCCTTCCAGATTTCAGGCGCAGCATAATCTAATATAAATATTGATATCTATACATGGAGTTCCTGTCTAGGTCTTTGCATTTGCCCCATGAGTTACCTTACTGATGTTTAAATCTCCTATCTTATAAATGTTTCCTTAAGGAGTCTTGGACACAAATACATTGGCTGATTTGAGGTCTCTATGTAAAATGCCATTGTCATGCAATATTTTCACTCCAAGTGTGATCTATGTTAATATATTCCAAATTTCACCCTCCTAAACTCCACCCTACAATTTTCCTTACTTTAAAATTTGATTTAAGTCTCCTCCAGATGCAAACTCCATAATAACATAAAGAATTCTTCCATCTTAATCAATAAAAGCATCCTTAAATTCTACTATATATGGAGAATCTAGTGAGGCTAATATTCTGATCTCATTCAAAGCATTTTCTCTCTCTTTCAAACTCTATTGCGAAATATTCACTTTCTTCATTGCATAATATTGACCATCCGATTTTCTTTAGACCTAAAGGTATCAATTCTCATCATACCTTATACACAGAAGAGAATGAGCCTTCTCCCAATTTCTCAAGTATATTGAAATCCTATATTGAACTATTAGAATATTATTATTGCATCAAGTTTTAATTATAATCACATTCATTTTCAAAAAAAATCGAATTCTTAATTTTCATAATTCTCCCAAGGGGTAAATTCAAGTGTAGGTTCGCTTTTTTTCATTTTTATTCTTTAAGATAATCTCCTCTTTTTTTGTTATGTCTATTTTGCAACCTCTTTTTACTTTGAAATGATATTTGGTAATTGAATTATATTTTCTTTATTAGCAATTGTGGTCTTACGAGGGAGAGGAGGTTTCGAGACTTATTGCACTTAAGGAAGGTGTTCATCCTCTACCTCTGTCTTTGTTTCAAATGATTTTCTTCTAAATCTTTGTTTTTCTAATTTCAAATGAATAATTCTCAATGCATTTTCACTTGTCTTTCCTAATTACAATCCTTTGTAAAGATCCTGTTTAATTTCGTTGATTTCTGTTGTTTATTTGAGTCTTTCAACTTTCATTGAAGTAGATCTTTGTTCCTTATTAAATCCAAATACAAAATTGTAAAAATTTTATCGTTGATTTTATTGGCAGTTTATCATTTAATTTATAAAAAGTAAATAATCACAAAAATTAAGTGAATAAATTCAAAGAAAATTTAATTATTCACAATTTTTAAGTACTAAAAATTAATAACATCATCCTAAGAGTTTAGAATATTGATTTTAATATTTTTGTATGGAAATGATAATACAAATATAATATGAAATCTTATTAAACTTGAAATATTATCAAACATCATCTTCCTAAATGATATGATCTTTCTCTAATTTGGGGATTGTAATTCTACTTTTAGGAGTAAAGAATGTTTTGAATTGTATATTCTAAAGCAATTGTAAAGACCCTTGAACAATAATCAAAATAATAATGATCGCAAAAAGAATCAAAAATATTTATTCCAATAGATTGGTTTTTTGAATTGAATCTGCCTTAATGACTCCACAGGCTGGAATAGATGCATATTCAAACTTTTTGCAAAGTTAGTTCATAATTTACTTAAATGGAGTATTGGTCAAATCTTAATCGTCTAAATTTAATGCAAATTTTGTTTTATTGTATTGTAATTATTTGTATTGATCTAAGATTCTATTAGTTTTCAGAGATTGAATTTGTTCTGATGGTCCTTCAAAACTATTTTGAATGCAATTGTCAATAGATTGAGTAGAAATATTATTGTTTGTAAAGTAGTTTTCAGAACATGACTTCATTTCGCTTGGTAATTGCATGCATTATTGAGAGAAATAGATAGTGTAATTGAAATAGAATTGAGGCTATTCTTCTAATACACATTGTTATCTGAGCATTTCTGTCAATATAGTTTGACCTGAGACTGATTCAGAAAACTCTTGCAATATTTATATTTCATACAACAATACTAACCTCCTCCAAAGCAATTTTGTTCAGGCTATTTGTACTGATGTCTAGTATTGCAACTGTAACATGGCAATAGGTGTTATGCTATTATTAGATTTACTAATTGATATTATGGAGTAGATTACATCCTTTTTATTTGAAATCTAAGAAATACGATTGAAATTGCTGAAAGAATGGCAGGTGAGAGTTGTCCATAAAATCTAAGCCGATGGTCAGATTGACATTTGGTCTCACATCAATAGATTATACCAATGAAATTAATATAAAGAAAAGCATTAAATTTTTATTAATGAACAATAGTGAATATATAGTGAAATTTGTCACAAGCTTGCCATAAGAATATCAGATAAGCAACAATGAAATAGCTGTTCAAGGAGATATGAATTAAGGGGATCTTAGTTCTCTAATTTAATAATTACTGCTAGCTGAGAACCCTGATTAAGAATATAATTAATTATTCGATTTCTTTATTAATGGAATCAGTTTGAGATCTACTCTACATGAATTCATTACATCAAATGAAATCGCAACTGAAAAAACATTGTAAATAGAATATCTATTTGCTGTCCCAGAACCTAAATTAAAGCAAACTATAAATATGAATGACTGGATCATAGCAATAGGTAGATTAAATAATCATATCCTTACATGTTTATCTAATGGAGACATTGTGGTTTGTTCTGAAAAGGGTAAAATTCTGAAAACATACAAAAATAAATTGGCAAAGAGTTTTACCATTTATGAAAATATAATAATTTCTACTCATTGGGATTGCACTGTCAGAGTGTAAAGGATTACAGACAATTTGGAGTTGATTGCATAAGGTTCTTTGCCATCATATGGAGAATGCAGTTGTATTAATAAGAAGAATACAAATGAATTTTGTGTTGGTACTGCCAATGGAGAACTAGTATTCTTTGATCTTAGTGCAGTGTAAAAGTAGGTGATTGAAATGGTCTAGAACTTTAAAGTGCATTAATAACAAATAACTTGTTGTCAATGGATTAGAAATAGCACTATTTTGACTGGGTCTTATGATCACTCAATTTGCCTATTCAATAAGAGAACAGAATCAATAAACAAATAATTGTTTGCTAAGGATTCAGCAATAATTGGATTATGTTATTTAGAAAACAATTAATAAATTGTATCAGTCCATGAGGATGGATATATCAAATTGTGGGATAGTTTGAGTGAATAATTGATTAAAATATATAAGAGTTCATTGTCTTAGTTAACTAGCATTTCTGCTAATGCTAATGGATAAATCATAGTGGTAATACATTGTATAAATCAATTTTAGAGTTCTATGGATGGAAATACTTACTTGTGGGATCTAAGAGGAGAGGTACCATTGTATTAATTGAATGGAGAAGGAAAAGCTATGGCTTGTACATGGATAGATAATAAAATACTATTTGGAGGATCGACTAATAAATTATATGTGTATAATTGTTGATAGGAATTATTATTTATTATTTTATTATATTTTATCATTCATTATTACTATTGTTAATATATTAATTAATTTATTAATGAAGGCAGAAGTAACTAAGAGTAAGATGTCAAAGGAAGAGTATGAGAAATTCAAGAGAGCTGAGAGGAGAAAGAACAACAAGAGCAAAAAGAAATGCACTAAAGAAAAGTAAGAAATTATAGAGGAGGTAGTCAAAGCAGAAGAGGAGCAGGTTGTTTATGATGAGGAGACCTTTTAAGAGATAGAAGTATATATCAGATTGAATAGTGTAGATAGACGCTCTAATTACGGGAAAACATTATGACAATTTTAAACAGGTTTTTGATAATTTCAATCAACATAATGAAAGATTGATGATGAAGACTTATGAGAAGGTTTATGAGAATGAAAAAGAGAAGGAGAAAGAATAGGAAGAATAATAAGCAGCAGAATAGCAGTAATAATAATAGCAATAATAAATTCAATAATAAATTAATGAACCAAATTAAACAATTTAAAATTATTTATAATAGGGAAAAAAGAAAGAAGCTAAATTATCAAAGAAATAAAGAAAATAATTAAGATGGTTGAAAGTAGCTGAATTGAAGTAGAAAGTAAGGAGACCAGATCTAGTTGAGTTTTGGGATATCACATCTCCAGATCCCATGTTTCTAATTTAATTGAAGAGTGTACGTAATTCAGTGACTGTTCCTAGACATTGGTCATAAAAGAGAAAATATTTGTAAAACAAAAGAGGAATATTGAAAGAGCCATTTCAATTACCAGATTACATAGAGAAGACAGGAATTGCAAAGTTAAGAGATCCATTTGTAGATAGAGATGGAGGTAAGATGGTTAGATAGAAATTGAGAGAAAGAATGAATCCAAAATAAGGCAAATTGGATATCGATTATTAAATATTACATGATGCTTTCTTCAAATACTAAACAAAACCTTCAATGACAAAACATGGTGAAATCTATTTTGAAGGTAAAGAAGAGGAGATGAGAGCCAAGAACTTTTGTCCTGGAAAGATGAGTGCTGAATTGAGAAGTGCATTAGGCTGTACTGATTTCTAAGCACCTCCTTGGTTACCAAATATGTAAAGATATGGACCACCACCAAGTTATCCTCATATGAGGTTTATAGGAATGGCTAGTATCTTTGCTGAGCCCTCTTCATATCACACTTCAGTGAAATAAGTGATTGAGGATTCATGCAAAAAAGCAGACTAGCCAGGACTGTATGCTACATTCAAATATTATGATGAGGAAGATCTAAATGAATTATCCTAAAAAACAGGATTGTAGGCTGATGCTCCTGTGGATAAATCATTGTGGGGCAAGATAGAAGAAGTGGAGGACGAAGCTGAAGTAGAATAGGAAGAAGAGGAAGAACCTGAAGCTCAATAGAGATAAGAATAACAATTCGATTAATCATATCAATTTGGAGATTCAGAGACTCGTCTTCCTGGTAGATCTATCAGTGGACTCTAGACTCCAGATGTAGATCTTAGAAGAAGTAATCTATTTAATTATAATTTTAGATTTACAGAATGATCCAAGACCTTTGTATTAATAATTGGAATAAGTGTAGATTGATCCTAGTAGTGGAAACTAAATTTTTATGACAGGACATACATATGTATTGCCAAAATAATGATTATTATTATTAAAATGAATAATTCCTATTGGATTAATGTATTTAATAAGGAAATCTGTTTCAATAGAACTGATTATGACAGAAGTTTCAACACATCCAAAAACTTGTCTATTTGTAATCGAGTTTATCTTGCAAATAACTAAATTGAGAGTATGATAAATAAAGTGATGATGGAGTTAGTTTGGTTGGAGAGATAAAATTAAATTTGACTCTCCTGGAATTAAATAGTATAGATATAACCTATATTTACACGTTGCATACACTGCTTCAGATTCATTCCCTAAAACATGAATTTTAGTTGAATATTCCAGAGAGAAATCAGACTTTAATTTTTAGCCAACCCATCAATATGAGAGAATATTCATACAATAGTCTGTGATATTAATTGATCGAGTTCCATAAACCTTTATTACAAATCAGTATATACTGTATTTACTCTAGAACCAGCAGGAATTATGATTGAAATTTCAAGTCAAATGAAAAAGTTTGAGGATGAAGGTGTTAAAACAATTTGAGGATGACATAGATGCACAATTTCAAAAAAAGTAAAATAAGAGTATTTAACTTTAAAAAACTAAAAGATGGGCAAATTTAAGTTCGAAGAATGAAGGTGAAAAACAAAAATGCAAACTAAAATTATCATTAAATGAGTGTAATTGTACCACTGTAGAAAAAAAATTAATTTAGAGAAGGAATGATAAGGATTAAGGTTTAATTGATAAAGTATGAAATAAATGAGTATATAATAATCAAATTCAAAAGTCCATCAAGATTTTGGTTTTCTTATGTTTAAAAAAGTCATTGAAAGTTTAAAAATGATGATCCTCTTCTATTTTATAAGGTTCAGAATAATCTATATCATCTTCAAAAACTATCCTTTTTGATGGAAAATATTTCTTAAATAGCTATTTACTACTAGAGGCATAAGTTATAGCAGTCTTAATTACTTCCTCATTTTTTATGCATTATTACTGTCCTGGAAATGCACTAAGCTTATCTATTAAAAAATACCCGAATCTTGCTTTGTACAATTATAAAAATTATTTTATTGATGGCTATTAGTCTTCCAAGACAATTTTTAAGACTCTTAAATCTTAGTTGTCATCCCAAATTTCGAATTCTTCTTCGGCACTTATATTGCTTTCAGATGTGTAAATAGATAAGAGAGATGGCACCTATTGATAATTCATAAGGGTTGTTGAATTGATTTGGCATTCCAATTAGCTTTCCTAATCACTTACACTATCTTCATCGCCTATATTTAATAAAATGTGGATTGTACTAGAATAGTCTATTAATTATTCTTGGGATTGTGATCTTTTATTTGAATATTTTTTGATTGACTAATATTCAAAGGTTATGAGGCAAATGCTTTTTATTTCAGATTCGGATTGACTCTTTCGTTTTCTGGTTTCAAATATTTTAATTTGATTCATTTTTAATTTATTATTTTGTAGAATATTGATGTTTATACCAAAAGGATAATGAAAATCCTGGATACTTTAATTACAAAGAGATGATATCTTCTTACAGTTAAAATAACAACAATCAAGAATTATAATTTGATAAAGGTCCAATAGTTATTTTTAAATATATTTATTAAATGATTTATATATAAGGTATGTTAATAATCAATAATGCATTTTTTGCTTATTTTCTTTTAAAATGTCATTCATCAACTTAACTTAAAAGGTATTAGGAATCTTAGCTTAAGGAAGGTTGGGTGTTATGATATCCAAATATGTTTCTGTAGATGCATTAGACTGCATCTCTCTTTATTTCAGCCATTTTTCATAATATTCATTCTTCTGTTTCTTTTTTACATTGTTCAAATAGTAGTACTCACTGCATTCATTTTTCGTACGATTCTCAATGGCCTGTCGATGGAATCTATTATTCTAAATCCCTAAACTGTTCATTAGATTAATTAATATTCGGTTTATTATAATGTGAATTATGCTAAGTACCTTTGAAATTTCAAAATCAATTAATTAATAAATTCAATTTCTCTAATATCATCTTATGATTAGAGTCTACAGAATTACAAAGATGCTCAACAAAAAATAAATATTTTTGGATAATATTTATGTATATTAATTTGTTGAATGAGAGAATAAAATTACTAATAAAAAAATAAATAAAACTAATAGTTAGTGTATCTATTATTTTAGACCCCCTTTATTCTAAGACTATATAAAATGCATTAGTTGAAATTGCATTTTTGAGAGAATTAGACATTTTGATAATATTATAAAATAATTTTAAGTTGAAACATTCTTATTTCTGATTATAAGCTTTCCTAGTGAACATTCTGATCTATTGTTAAATCTATATATTAAATATAAAATGTGTGGTGATAGATTTTATATTATAATATTTAATTATTTGATGGAAGTGTATACTATAAGCAACTTTATTTTAATATTTTTGATATTAGATATTGATGAAATAGGTCACATCTAATGGATCTGTTGACATCATTTAATTAAGTATTATCTATAAATTTTATCATATTTCGATGATTATTGAAGGTGTCACATTGATTGCTTATTGATTAGAAGTGAGTAGGCATTTTGAAAAGAGTGAATTATCATTCCTGTATTAATGCAATAAAAGGAAAGAATGTTTTATACAATATTTAATTATAATGAGACTGTTAATTATTTTAAATTGCAATGAAGCATAGAGCTGCAACTAATAGTTTAAATCAAAAGGAGAACGAGAAATACATTGGGAATCAATATGCCCTCAAGTCCAGACCACCCTTGCAATAGGAATTACTGATGAACCTGAAGAATCAACAACTGAAGAATTTAGATGCAATTAGTTAAATTCTACAATCGAAATTTTGTAAAGTAGAGAAACGAGACAATGTTGAATACTTCAAATTTGATTTCAAGCAACAGAACATTTGTGATCGAGTGAAGTTCTTAATCAATCAACCAGACGATGATACAAATAAAACTGAATAATTCAAGGCATAATATAAGGTGGGTAGTCGAATAGGTCAAGGTGCATATGCTGCAGTGAGAGTTGCTATCCAAATAGAGAGTGATACAAAAGTGGCAATAAAAATATATGAAAAAACTAAGATTAAAGATTTGCAGAGGAGGAAAGGAGTGAGAAGAGAAATTGAAATATTGGAGAAATTAGATCATCCGAATATTGTTAAGATCCTAGACACAGTGGAATCAAATAACCATGTGAATATAATATTGGAATACGTTAGCGGTAGTTCATTACACCATTTGGTTAGAAAGTAACCGGTACACATTAATTCTAATCTTAGGAACGAAGATTGGAAGAGGAAATTGCCAAAGGAATATTCAAATAAATTCTAGATGCAATTCAATATTGTCATTCCAAGAACATTGCACATAGAGACATCAAATTAGAAAATATCTTGTTAGACGGACTTACTCCTAAATTGATAGATTTTGGATTTTCAACTTCTTTTCCCATTGATAAGAAAGTCAAAATGTTTTGTGGCACTCCAAGTTACATGGCTCCAGAAATAGTTACAAGATAAGAATACAGAGGAGACAAGTCAGATGTCTGGGCATTAGGAGTTGTGCTATTCACTATGCTCTAAGGAGTATTTCCATTTAAAGGGGACACTGATTAAGAATTGTATAGTAGAATCCAATCAGGAGAATTTACCATCATTCATGATATATCCAAAGAAGCTATTGCATTATTGTATGGGATGTTGACCATTGATCCAGATGAAAGACCAACTGTTGTGGAATTGCTGAATTATCCATGGTTTAAAAAATATCAATAAAATTTGGAAACAGAAGAACTCAAGAAGAAACATAAATTGCCTGAAGATTTAATTGAAGATCTCAATACAATCACCAAAAATATGTCCTATATTACTCCTACTAGTTAGATTAAGCAACAGTTTTATTTTGATTTCTCTCATCTTAAAAACAACTCCAAATAAAATAATACTAAAGTATTCATATTCTTAACTTAGGCTATCATTCCAAAACCTAGTTATTTCACTACTACAAATGCTTAAGCCAAACAAAGAGAACCTCAGTTTTTTAAAGTTGATAGAATTCTTACCAAAAATGAACGACACACCACCACTCATTCCAAAGAAAGATAACCTACACTATCTAAAGAAAGACAATCATCTTATAGTTTTGAATCTAGTAGAGGTTTATCTTAGAAAAAGAATCCTCACTAATTGACTGTTCATCCTAGTTTCATTCCAAGCGAAAAGAGTTTCAACTCTGTCAAGAGTCCATCAGTAGGTATGACAGAAAAACGTTCTTTCAATTTTATTTATAATTGATTATATTTCAAAGGTGTTGTACAAAATATTACATACATTTTTTTCATTTATTTAATTCAAATAAAATTGAATAATTACCTAATAATTAATTTAAAATGAATTCAATAACTTTTAAATGGGAAAACAGCTCAGAAGTCTAAACTATACCAATTTAAGGAATCAAAATCTAAGTAAGAGACCTAAGAGTCAAAATTGAATAAATGTTCACATCCAAGAAAGACGATATCCAAATGCTTTATGAAGAAAAGATTTTGAATATTAGTGATGAAATTAGAAACAAGCAAATGATAATATTAGTTCGAGTTCCAAAAAGAAGAAATATATGTCTTTCCTGTTTCTCTAGAGATTTTGAAATTTCAACTCCTTGTTGTTAAAAATTCATCTGCTCCACTTGTGAGAATATATTTTGTCAGAAATCCAAATGTTTCTTCAATATCAATTCCCAATGTCATTATAAATACACAGAATCATTTCAAACATTTGTACCAGAGCCTCCCTGTAATGAATTCATTACATTCAATTCTGTCTTCTACCTCATGAAATCAAATAAAAATAATTTAGCTCATGCCAAAAGATTCTCAGTTTGGACAGTCAAAGAAATCACGTACTTTAAATTAGCGCAAGAATGCAATATCCCTGCAAATGTTATTTTGATTTTTATTAATAATGATGAATTTGTTGGTTGTGCTAAAATGATCAATCAACTTGTCGTATATGATTAATAATTCCCTAAACTTAAGACCTTTAAAATTCAATGGCTAAGAAGATAGTCATCCATCAAAACTATTTATGATTTTCCATCTTTTGAATTGTATGAGGGATTCAAAATTCAACATAGCATTGCAAAAGCCATCTGTCAAACCTTTCCCATTGGACAAATGCAAGTTGAAGTTAAATAATAATCAAGTACAGCTGATGAATGGGATATTGATGAAATTTTTAGAGATTAAGAAGAAACTGTAAAAAAAGATGAATAAATTCAGAATAATCAAATCAAGACTTCTGACTTTTGTTAGTCTAAACAAGAAGTAAAAGAAATATCTAAATAAGAAGATAAAGAAACATCTAAATAAGAGGATAAAGAAACAACTAAATAGGAAGATAAAGAGACAACTAAATAAGAAGATTATGCTAAGAATACTAATAATCTAAGCAATATTGTTCAGATCCTTCAGACCACATAAGTGTTATTTGATAAAATTAATAATGGATAGATACCAGGAATCAAAGGTGATAATAAATATACTCATCCAATTGTAAAATAATTATGTTATAATCTTCTTTCAAATACACTATTAAATAAAAATAATAAGAATTAATTCAAAAAACGAAAATATTCTAGAAGCAGCTCCAGCAGTTCAAGTAGTTCAAGTAGCTCTAATAGTTCAAATAGTTCTAGCAATTCTAGTAATAAGTCTGTTATTTCCTCATCAAAAAAAAAGGAAATGCTTAATAACAAATAAAGTAAAGAAAAAAAATATTCATGTTCTAAAAGAGAAAAAAAATAAAAGAAATGGAGAAGTAGTTATAAATAAAAATTCTAAGAGGACAAACTAAAGAGCAGAAAAGAATATAAAAATTAGAAATATGACAAAAAATAATCATATCACAGTGGTTCTAGAGATAAATCAAAAAAATGAAGAAAAAATAAATGTGATTTTGTTATTTTTATTTATGAATTATAAATACAATTTTTTTTAATTTATTCCTTTTATTACACATAGTTAAAAATTTCAGAAAATAAATTGTCCTAGTAATATTAAATAAATATTCTTTAGAGTATTTCTTTAAATACAATAAATCAAACTTACCCATTAATTTTAATTTCTATATATTTCTATATGCTATTATGAATAAATTTATTGATATTGATCAAGTTTAGTTAAATGAAAAATATTTTTTGAGAATAGTTATTCGTGTTATTTAAAATTTATTTTTCATCCCTTTTTTATATTATTTATTTATAATTTTGTCAAGAAAACTTATATATAAGGAGTGAAATTAAAAAAAAATATTTAGTGGTTATTCAATTATTAGTTTTTATTTAATTCAGAATTGACTTAAAATTTTATGGATAAGTTCATCAACATAATTTTGACTGGTTTGAATTTCAATAAAATGAACAATAATTTTTCTCTTAAACGAAATAAATTCCCTGTAGCTACTTATGATGCTTTAAATAATATATTAAAGTAGAATCAATATGGGAAGGGATTTATTATATGCTTGGCAAAATTTCAATATAAAAATCAACTTTAATTATTAATTCTGAAACTCCTACAAGCTTTCATAACTTACAGACTTTTGAACTACGGTCCTTTACATCTACATCCCATGATCAAGAATAATTGCTTTATGTTAAAATTTAAACCATGAAGGAGAAACAATTAAATTATTTATTCAGAGTTTCAAATTTATAATTAATGATAAATAAAAAATAAAATTTTTGGAGGCTACAGTTTGTCAATATTTGATAACAATATGAATATAAGTTCTCAAATATTCCAAATAGTTGAATAATTGTATGAATTTGACTGAATGGCCATATACGATAATTCAGATTACTATAAGTTGTTAAAATAATGTGTACGTGGCTTAATTCTAATTTATAAGAGGACTAATGCCATTAGAATGGAACACTAGAAATAATTTGTTATGGTTAGAATAGAGATCCATTCTCCAATATTTTATCAAATTCAAATTAATTGAAATCATTCTAGAATTTTGTATCCAAATCCATGATTGGGAATTCTAACTTTTTTTATGAACACACAAATATGGGTTGCTTCATTTAGATCTTCTTTAAAATTTGTTATTGTTAAAATTAATTATGGGCAAATTAAGTTTTTTTGATAATATGTTTTGTTTTAATTATTTGTTTATTTTGTTTTCTGGTGATTTTATTTTAGAGATATAATTAACTACAATTATAATTTTTATTACTTTTCTTTATCCAAGTATGTAGTAATTTGCTTAACCTGTTCTCTTGTTTCCTCATCTATTTGCTCTCCTTAAGAAATTGATTTATTTTTTCTTATTAGACTCTGAAAAAGGTCTTTCATATCATTTTGAATAAGAATTTATTTTTGATCCAGTTCATTTTCATAACAAAATATGCTTGAGATCAATAATGGTTGTAATTTGGCTGTCATTATAGAACCTACAATAAAGCCAAAATATATACTTTCGGTTGTTTAAAAAGTGGCTTTTAATAATCGCCTAAACACTTTTTTTATGTGGGCATAAAATTTATTCTTAATATCTTAGTCTGTTCTATGATTGAGCTCCTCAGCAATACAAGTCTAATTATCAATAACTTTTACCCATTTGTTACCATGAATTTTAATGAGTTCAAATAGCTTATCAAGTTCCTGGGTAGTCAGTTCTGTTTTATTGAATGTATTATCAAGGTGGTTGAAAAATCTCTCTCTACAAGCCTTGGTATTTCTGTCATAGCCTTGTTTTCTGAGAGATTGAGAAATTTTTTTCCAGCCAAGTCTTTCATTTTAGAATTTATTGACTAACTACTATAAGAGTTTGTCTTCCTACTATATTCATCTAATATACATTTTCTGTCCATAACATTCTTTTTTTTGGTGAGGGATTAGATTAGTTCAGCATTTTAATAATTATCAAGAATAAGATAACATATAAAGTAAGATTTATGTTTTTATCATATAATATATTCGGATCATCAAATAATAACTGTAATAAATTTATATAAAACTATGTTTAATCATACATATGTGTATCTAATTTCTTAATTTTTTTGATTTCTCAAATGGTTGAAAGTATAGAGTGTAACAACGGTTTGTATAATTTGAAAACTAAGAATCTCAATGTAGAGTAAGAATAATTTCTATAGTATGGCCAATATTACCAAAGTCAATACACCAATCTAAGCTATTATTTGAAATTTCAAATAGTTAGACAACCTTTGAAGCACAGATATTTTAAAGGTCCAAGGAGTAGACCAAACATAAGATTGGTCAAATTTGCTTATTAATAACAATAGTAATCTTCCACAAAAAGTAAGTGAAATAATATGGAGCAACTTTAACCAATTATTTTATTAGCGGATTCCAATATACTCTGGATCTATCTTAAACAAATTCATGAAAACTATGTAAATCTGAGATGAAAAATGCAGCACAATTACTGAAATCATGCAAAACCCATAAATCAAATCTAGAGTAACAAAGAAATAGATGAAAAGAAATATATGGATAATGTGTTCCATTACAGATGCTAAAGAATAAAATATTATAAAAGTTTCTGATTCACTACTCCAACATTTCCTAGATAAAGCAAATAAGTATATAAGAACTACGATTGGGCTAATTATTGGAGGAGTAAAAACAAAAGAATCTTCATCGTGCTGAATTGTTATGTCGCCTGTCTTATTCGGAGTTGTTGTATTAGTATCGTTTACATTGTGGGTGTTATTATTTTAATTATTTACACATGTATTATTTACAATATTCTGATTTTCTTCACAGATTAACTAACAAGTATTATTGACTAATGTAAATGTGGATTTGCAAGAAATACAATCAGTTAAATTACAAACTCCACATTATTCAATACTGCATCCATAATTAAAAGCATATTGAAAATTTGATTTTTATAAAATCCTTCCTAATTCATTAAACGAAGTAAGAGTAAATTGTTTTGAATAGTTACTAATTGGATTCATAAACGATATTTAAAAATTTAATACTTAATTTCCTTTAGGAATTACAACTTAATTATTGATTTCTACTCCATTTAATGTAAGATTGCTCAATTACACGTCAGTTACATCTAATTGTAATTATCCATCTACAGGGATATCGAAATAAGTATCGAAAGTTATAATGACCTTATCTGTTTCATTAATTTATGCATTTTGTTTAGTGATCTTCAAATTCTTAAAATCCATAATATTCAATTAAGGCAAGGTCAAATTGCCATATGCATATAAATATCCTTCTCTATAATATCCTACTTCCCAATAATTCTCTTCTTTATCAAAGTACCAATTAATCATATTTAAAGTATACTTTGTCTAATTGATATACATAGAGGTGGCATTGATTTTATTTTCCTAATTATTTGGCAGAATAAATGGGGTTTTCATTATACCTTTATCCTGTATATCAGGAGAAATGGTTATTTGCCAATTACCTTGGGCTTATTGATAATTATTATCAGTAATTACCGATAATTATAATTTTTGTGCAATTGCTTACTATCTAAAAATTTATTCTGCAATTAAACATTAATCGTTGTATGCTATTATTGTTATGGTATAAGGCTTTACATTTTTTAAATTATTGGCCGAAAATTGAATACTGTTCACCTAACCGTATTATAACTAATTTTCATTTTATATACAGTCTTAACATTTTAAATCAGTTAAAGTCGTTGAGACATAATATTTTGTAATTTATTTTGAATCTAAACCATTTATAGTGAAAACTGATTCTTCTCCGATATTAAATGAAGATGTACTTAATGTTGATGTTAATTTATATTTAACTAATAATGGAGTTATTTAATTAGATGTGGCCAATTCTTAATTTTAATAGATGAGTTTAGCCTAAAAATAATAAGAATCGCAACCAGGTAATAAAATCTCCAGTTTTATTATCACTTTATTTAGCTTTTATTCCAAAAGATTAGATTTGTAAATGTTATTCATTTAAGAACAATCTACATCCTAAATTTTACAACTATCTGTTGTGTAGGAGTTTGCCAATTCTATAAAAAAGTTGCTATATTGTTAATTCAATTACAAAGATAATATAACCAGTGCATAATTTAACATTATAGTTGTGTTCTAAGTCAGAGTCATTGATATTTAATCCTTAATTGGAGTGTACGAAATAGATCTTTTGATGCTATTAAAATTATTTAGAGTAACCTACAAATCAAAGCTAATGGAATTCAACGAAAATGGATTAGTAAATTATTAAATCAATGTGCTATGACAACTAGATTCATAAGAAGTAACATAGTTAAGTTTTGCAATTGAAGAGGTAAATATAAACTTACTCTATTCATCTAGATTACATAAAATGATTTTAATTGAAGTTGGCATTCCAACTACTTAATTTTCTGCAGACAATGTGTAATCATAGTTATTATTGATTGTTTAAACTGTTTGAGAAGTTTAAAACATGGTAATTTATCCATTGTTAGAGTCTAATATTTCTACTTTATAGTTTATTGGTTCATTAGATTTAATAATAAATTTGGAAATGCTAAAAGTACTTTTTGCATTAGATGGTAGTTAAACATTATTGATGATTATTGTGCTATCTTAAAGTTTTATTGATTCAAACACTATGCCAGTCAATTTAACTAAATTATCAATTACACCATTTGTAGTTATTATTATTTAAGACTATGTCGGGAATGTAATAGAAGTCCCATCTATAGTTATTGTTAAAGGAGCTGCAATGTAGGTTGTAGGTGGTTAAATTATGGATAAAGGCACATTTTTGAACTGAAATTTCAGTTGTACAAGCTTTGTGAAGATCACTGATTTTGTAGCAATTACTGAAGCATTTAATTGAACTTGATCAGTATATGTAGTTATCGGATTGTTTACATTGATAAAAATAATTTAGAAAGTAGGTGTTGCAGATTTGAAAGTAATTATAAATTTACTGTAAACTAAATTACAAGCTCCATTGGTCAAACCTGTTACACCACATACAATGTTTTCTTGGCCAATAATTTGACTTGGCAATTAGACATCCACTTATACATCTGAGGATGTTGGAAAAGTTGCAGTAATATTGAAAGTAATAGTATTAGCTGTTTATTAAATTGTGTCATTCTTCTAATCATAAACTATTATGACTTAAGCTAAAGATTTAATAAGTAAAGTAGTTAAAATGGTAATAATTGAATTCATTAATAATTTATTATATGACCAACTAGAATTTTTATAATACCCACTGTGAAATTCAGTTCACTTTTTATTGATTTTAGTTATTTTAATAAAGAATATTTATTAAGCACATTATGGCCAATAGATGTTAATTTGAAAACTCCAATGATATTGGTGTTTTTTCCAAACTTACTAATTCTTATTGCTTAGTTGCTCTAGGAGGAAGTGAAAACTTTTATTCTGTGTTTGAATCTGAACTTGGATTGAGCATGCCAGTAATTCATTGTTCAATAGGAGGTACAAGAATTATTGGAAGGTTGACAGCAGGTATTTGAAATATAAAAATTTAGGAAACAAAAATGGACTTCTCGTTCCAAATACTTGCACTGATTAAGAATTGAAATAAATTAGAAATTCATTACCTGATGAAGTTAAAGTAATAAAATTAATCAACATATGTAGGTTAAAAGAGTAGAAGAGAAATTATCAGCATTAGGGAATTGCGTTGCTTGCAATGACTATGTTGCATTAATTCACTCAGATTTGGATAAAGAAACTGAGGAAATTATTGCTGACACTCTTGGAGTTGAAGTTTTCAGAACTACTGTAGCATAATAAGTCTTAGTTGGAACCTATTGTTGCTTTAATAACTAAGGAGGACTTGTTCATCCATTAACAACAGTTGAAGAATTAGATGAATTGGCCAATTTACTGCAAATTCCATTATGTGCCGGAACTGTTAATAGAGGAAGTGACATTATTGCATCAGGGCTAGTAGTTAATGATATTGCAGCTTTTTGTGGTATCAATTAAATCAATCCCATTAGGTCTTGATACAACATCAACTGAAATCACTGTAATTGAAAAAATATTCAAACTCTAAGATAAGAATAAATAGAATATGGAAGTATAAATTCGTTAAGATATGATGCAAGAATTGGAATGATTATTTTAGTTAAATCCTTTTATTTACCAATTGTTTTCTCAACAAAGAGCCATTTTATTATTTTATGATTATAAAGTTTAGTTTTATGATCTTCTAGATTTTTTTAAATATATTTTTACTAACTGGAGCTCTCGACTTGAGAATTTACAAATTATTTTGGTTTTGGTTATTATAACATTATTTTCAATATTTGTCTTAATGTTATTTGATATTACAAAATAAAATTAAACCTAAATTATTAATTACCAGTTAACTATTGAGCCTGTCACCGAAAATGAAGAAGAAAATCAAAAGGAGTTTGAACTTCTTTTGATATTTAGATTAAGGACTTAGAGTTTAAGTTAGGTTTTAAATATATTTTTAAGCAGTCATTATGAGTTAGATATTCAAACATATATCGATAGAATATTTAAAGTATAAGTTATCTTTAAATTTTATTTGAATACCTACACACATCAGTTTTTGAATGTACTTTATAAGATTTTTCTATTTAATTGATAGTAATAAAACGATATAATAAAAATTAGATGGAATCAGAATTTAAAATTTTATTAATAAAATTTACCGCTTTTTAATTTAATAATTAAACTCTCACACTAATAATTCTGATAATATTTGCAAAGAAAAAAAAATCATTTTAACCTATATAAATGAATATAAGTTTAGTTTATTCATTTAAGGTCGCAAGATGGTATTTAATAAATTAAGGAATTAAGTATTTCTCATTTCTGAAGTAATTATTTTTATTAAAAAGCAATATTTTGAAACTAATAAATCATCCATATAAATTAATAGAAACTAAACTCTTCTGTAAGAAAATTGAAAAAATTGATATCAATTACCAACATGTACCTTCCATTCTCTTTCTTATTAAAATTATGGATTTATTCTATAAATTTAATTATATTTTAATTTTAATTAAATAGGAAATAAATTGTTAATTCTTGATTTTCATCTTGATATCCTTTGGAAGTAGTTAATGACCACTTCTTAGCAATCCTAAACTAAGCTTATTACTAAATGATATTTTTCTATATATTATTTTTTCTCAACTACTAATAATCTTGAAAATTAGAATCCTACTCTGTAATGGTTTTAATGCTATAATATCGTCTTAAAATGCTTTTTATAAACCATCTCTACATTCATTTGATGGATTCTCAGTAATAAAATTAACAAATCTTCTATTGTAAAGTACACTGTAAAAAATATTCTTCCTTTATTTGCAACATCGTGATGCATATGTAATAGTTAGAGAAAATCATTTCAACTATTCAAATAATTAAAGTAAAATGATCTTAAGGACTTATTTGAAGCTTAGATGATAATTCATAAAATTTGTTATGAATGTTACATTGATATTGAAAACTAGAACATAACACATAATAAATTGATCTCCTCTTCATGATAACAAAATTAGATGACAAAAACTAAAAGCCACTTGATGAATTTAAAATGATAAGTTCAATGTATTAACAAACATAGAAACATTTTATGATAAGAAACAAATTATTCCCAAAAAGTTATCATGTCAGATTACCATTATACATAAAAGTAGACCTGAGATATTCTAACTAAGGAAGGTGTAATTGATTTAAAAATTTAAAAATTTTTTAATTCTAGTCGATTAATTAATCTGTTAGTTCATCGAAATGTAGTATAAAAAGAATTGTGTGATCATGATTTTCAAAAATAATCAAAAACGATAAAAAAAATGCTTAAAGCTATTCTTGTCTTATTTTTAATCACATCGTTATAGGGTTCAAATATTAGAAGGCACCACAATAATATAAAAAGCTAGGAAGGGTTGTAATCAATTTTAGCAGAAAATAAACAAAACATTAAGAAATCAAATGAATAATAAAAGAACTTAGTAGGTGATTTAGAAAACAATGAAGAGAATTAAGTAGGGTAATTTGAAAAGGACAGCTTATTATAAAAAGGAAGCTCTAAAAAATAAAATAAAAAGAATGTAAAAGAAGAATCAATTAAAGAGGTTGACAGAGAAGAAATTCAATTGATTGAAGAAATGTAAATAAAAGGAAATGAAAAGAAGACTAAAAAACATACAAATGTTGAAAAATAAAGTAAATTATTATTCATAATTAAGAAGATAAAAAAAAACACTAAACATTATTAGAAGAAAATGTTGTAGCTGATGGAAGAGCTAGATCAAACGAAGAATGGATGCAAAAGATCGCTAACGATGTTGCTACCATTAAAATGAACATCAAATCATAATTAGATGCTGATCATATTGCTTTTGTTGAGGAGAATGTTGTTGCTGATGGAAGAGCTAGATCAAACGAAGAATGGATGTAAAAGATCGCTAATGATGTTGCTACCATTAAACAAAATATCAAATCCTAATTAGATGCTGATCATATTGCTTTTGTTGAAGAGAATGTTGTTGCTGATGGAAGAGCTAGATCAAACGAAGAATGGATGTAAAAGATTGCTAATGATGTTTCAACAATTAAACAAAACATCAAATCATAATTAGATGCTGATCATATTGCTTTTGTTGAGGAGAATGTTGTAGCTGATGGAAGAGCTAGATCAAATGAAGAATGGATGTAAAAGATTGCTAATGATGTTTCAACAATTAAACAAAATATCAAGTCTTAATTAGATGCTGACCACATTGCTTTTGTTGAAGAGAATGTTGTTGCTGATGGAAGAGCTAGATCAAACGAAGAATGGATGTAAAAGATCGCTAACGATGTTGCTACCATTAAAATGAACATCAAATCATAATTAGATGCTGATCATATTGCTTTCGTTGAGGAGAATGTTGTTGCTGATGGAAGAGCTAGATCAAATGAAGAATGGATGTAAAAGATTGCCAATGATGTTTCAACAATTAAACAAAATATCAAATCATAATTAGATGCTGACCACATTGCTTTCGTCGAGGAGAATGTTGTTGCTGATGGAAGAGCTAGATCAAATGAAGAATGGATGTAAAAAATTGCCAATGATGTTTCAACTATTAAAAAAAACATTTAACATTAAATGAATGGTACTGAATTTGTACAATAAAACCATATTGACAGTGCTTTAGTAGACGAATAGTAGCCACAATCATAAGATTACTGGTCTTAAAAACTAAAAGAAGACATAAATAAGATTAAATAGGATGATTCTAATAAAAAATTGGAATGATTTATTCAAATAACATTAATAAAACCATAATTTTTCTATCTAATATAAAAAATTTTAAATCCTACTAAACATATTTATTAATTAATTTTAACCAAATAACTCATCTTTTTATTTTAAATACAGCAACTTAAGAATATTTAAAATTTATGTTTTTTTTAAATATGTAAATCGATAGTCGCAGTTATCTGTCGATGAAGATGAATCTCAATATTCTTTTACGATATTTAAATAGATTATTACCAAGTACCCACCATTTGTCAAAAAATACTTTAAGTAATATTAGGTCCTCTTCTCTAAAAATTTTCAATGTAATACAAGCAAATATTATTACAATTTAAATTTTCGTTTTCCTTATTAAAATTATATGGTTTAGATTTGTCAACTTGATATTTTCTCATTTCAATTCGCTAAACAAATAATGTTTTTTTACTTGTATAAAACCTATTTCTCAATTAAACTTCATAAAGGAAATAACATTTATTTTTAAATCAAAGAATAAGGATATTTGCACAAGATAATTAAAAAATAAGATTAATTGTTAAAAATATTTCAGTATATAACAATAATTGATTGAAAGTTGATAATAAATTTTCAGTATTTGAACTTAGGATCGTTTAGAGCATTAACCAGAATTCAGCTCGATTAACTACAAGAAAAATACTATTTAAACATTATTTGATTATATTAATTGTAATCTAATTAAATTCGAATTCTTATATCTTCAATTTTTAATATAATTTTTATTATTGAAATAGTTTGTTTTAGAATTACAAAAGGTACTGATTCTCCTTTATAATTCGACATTATAATGAGTCATTAGTTTCTTATTATTCTTAATTTAAATTATTAATGAAAAAAAAATTCAATAAAGTAAGATCTATGATTATCCACATTCTCTAAAAAGGTGTTCTTTTGAAAATCAGAGTTTCAGATTTAACATTTAATAATAGTTTATATAGAACTTAATTTATCTGAAATAAGTAATGTAAATACATTAATATATCAATATGATAATTTGGTTGATAATAGTAAAGTTAAATTATTTGATATTTGCCAATCAAAGGAATTAAAAAAGAATTGAATGAAAAAAAATATAAATTCCATAAACACTATGTGTATATTTTATGCCTATAATCATTTTCACTTGCTTGAGCAAACCAAATAGGTTCCAATAAAAATTAAAATTAACCCAATCCAAGTCTTTTACTTCAATTACTATTTCTTTAAACGAGATTCTGTGATTACAGTTGTTGCTGAATTAACACAATTCACTATAACTGGTCCTAGACTTAATGGAGTATGACCCAAAAGGTAGTAATAAAATATTGATGCACTTTGATTTATTCCAAAAGGAATAATAAACTTGTAATTAAGTATTGTTTGAATAAAAGATTTAAATCCAAATAGGTCTTACTATTTATTACCTACTCCAGATTCCATAAAAGGATTTGTAATTCCCCAAATTATTCCGACAACTAATAAGCCTATTATATATATCATAAAATAAATAAAGAACAATTAATAAAGCAAATTAATATTTAATAGGTAACTTTGAGAAAGCAAGAACTTTTTCATGATTAAATTAATCAAACCAAGTGAATTTTTATAAATCATATTATTTTTGAAGAAATGTACATTAAATCGAAAAAAATTATCAAAATAAGAATAGTAGCTTGAGTATTTATATTAATAATAAATTTCTTTCAAAAAGCCAGAATTTCTTACTAAATATCAATAAAATTTTATATTACTAAAATTACATCAAATAACAGCATATCCTCCTTCGCTTGATAACCCTCTAAACTTTTTTATTATGCCAAAAACTTTAATAACAGTGAAATTAATCCCATCCTTAACCAAATGTGGAAAATCTTTCCAAAAGTGTGAATGCGGTAGTGCATCTACTCCACTTAGCTAATATTATTTTTTATTGTATGCTATTCCACCACCAAAATAAAGTCCAGCTCCTAAAATAATATATAAAAGCATTGTCTGACTTCCCCCGCCTTCGATAGTAATAATAATTACTTGGAGAGGATCCTGATCTACAACCAGCTGAGTGTTAAATACCCAATCTGATATTGCATTTACTAGAATCTATAACTCTAAAGTTAGGCTCATCTTTGCCACATGTGATTTCGAAAGTAACAGATCTTGGACTCATTTACATTTGTTCATTGTCTGCAATAATTTTTTGTAATCCACCATCATCTTTAACATCAAAACACATATCGCCTTATAATAAATTTCAGAAACAACCTTGTTTGTATGTAACAGAAATGCCTAATTCAGGATAAACTGGATTAACATAGCCAAATTCCTAAGTTTCTTTTAATCCCAAAACCTTACTATTAAATCATAAATATACATCGCAATTTTCAGTCACTTTTCCCATTACTTCAAGTGCTTCAAATGCAGCAACATCTCTTCCTTAACATTTCACCGCTCCTGTGCAAAAATTAAACTCGTAAACCATATTAAACATTCCCATGCCTTTATAAATTTGCCTAAAAAGTTACTTGTATCAGTATCAGGTACTTGATAGTTATTTATGTTGTGTAGTTTTGAAATATCATAAGTATATCCAAAAGAATCGTGCCACAGACAATTTTTATCTGTAGCATAAGACGTGGTGATTAAAAACAATAAGGAAAACATAATTTTATAATATTAATCATTTCATCTAAAATAACTACGGAAATTTAATTCATCAGCTATTTCCATGCTTTGATTCTTTTTGAATAAGGGTTCAAAGTTCTCTTTTCCGCATTTACTTTGTGGATTTTTTTCATGAGAACAAATATGCTTCAACGGTTCCTTAAACTATTATACACTGCTTTGCATATCTGCATAAGTAGGACTACTTTGATTTAATTAAGATTAAAAGTAACTTTAGAAGGATTCAATTTCACTTTTACTAGTCTCTTCAGTCTTTTTATTTTCATTAGCATCCCAAAATTAAACATTAATAGCAGAAGTGTCGAATAAATATATGGGATATTTAATTGGTTTAGAGGTTTTTAATTTTAAGGCTTCCATATTCTCCCCTTTAAGTTTCATTTCTTTTCTTAATTTGACTTTATATATATTTTGCATCATAATAGTTATATTATCTAACATTTAATCTAAAGTTTCATTATTTAACAACATCATCTCATCTACATCAATCATATTGTGATAACATAAAGCAATCTTTTATAATTTATTTCTTTCATCCTATAAATCTTTGCTCAATTATTTATATTTTCTTGTTTTTGCTTTTTGATTTGCATATCTCTTTTTAGTTTAAATGACGGCTTCTTGTTACTTTTGTTTAAGTTCATTAACTTAATTTTCAACTGTTTATTTTTCTGATTTCAAGATAATGAATTCTTCTTCTAAATTTTAATATTTCTTAATCATTCCAAAAGAATCAATAATTTCCTATTTAACCTCAACATCCCTACTTCCTTTTTCGGGTACCCATAGCACTCCAACATCGTGATAGTGTAAATGAGTCCATTAATAGGGAACATTTTTGGTTATCATTGCTTAAATATGATCAGAAGTATTAAACTAGGATTTAAATATTTTTCTTTGCTCTTCTAGTTTTTCTATTATCCTTAGCATCATTTCTTATTGCTACTTATCATCTACTCTAGCTCTTTGCAACTCCTCGATTTGTATTTCATAGTCTTTTATTACCCTATTCAAACTTTCGTCATTATCAAATCCTACAATATTTTTGGAGACATTATTTTCTATTTTTTTAGCGTTTGTCCCAAATCTTAAAGTAGACAATGTTTATTCAAACTAACTATAACAAGGATTAACACAAAGGATTATGGCAGTTCTTGAATTACCTCCTAAGGATGACCTTAAAATCTTTGTTAAAGGAGAGTTTCTATAAGGAATATGTTGATCACTAAATATTGTAAAGTACTTACTTTCTTCCTTATGCCCTTAGAGATATTACTTAAGTTAAAAAAAACAAACTTTTATTGATGTGTTTAGATTCGTTCTATCTATCTTTATATTGAGTGCCACTTCCACCTGCAGAGGTCCCTCTTTTTTTAAGCATTGAATCATGAATATTAATTTTTTCAGAACCTGCCAAATCAACAAAATTAAGAATAGACTCAGTTATCACTGAGTTTGGTCCTATTGTATTAGGAACACATCTGACATACAGTCTGAAAATTGTATGAGATCTACTACTGCAATGATTCATGACAGTTGAAGCATAATGTCTGTTGCTCTCTCCAAATTGAAGAATGTCCATTATTTCATCTATTGTTGTGACAACTTCTTCAATTGCTCCCTTAATAACAAATTCCCTATTGTAATCCTCATTTATTAATAAAGTTTCACTCAATCTCTCTTGAGTAGACAGCAGATCATAAACTTAATCAGTATAGATTTCAACATAGCTGCATCTTAAGAAAAATTATTTATCTTATTGTCTCTAAATTTCTCCAAAAAGGTCCTTGAGTCCTTACTTTAATATTCCTTCTTCTTAATCATACCCTATCATTGTGTAAGTCTTACCACTTCCTGTTTGACCATACATAAACACTGTCCCATTTATACCTTACAATGATGATAATGTGATTCTTTGGATCTATTACTAGTAAATAAATTTGGTGGTGTGTTTGGGATCGAAACATTAATCTATGAATTATCAATTGATTATATTACTGAAGGTGAACTCTACTCTTTGTCCTGGTACAAATTTACGCATTCTAACTAAATCATTAAATCTATCATTGGAAATTGTTATTGTGTCTTGATTCTAAACAGACCAAATTTCAAGGTCATTGTTGTCTTTCTCTTAAACGTTTGAGGGCCTAATTCTAACTACAACTTAGATGTTCTCCATTAATTTAAATTAAATATTGTTTAACAGATTATTTTACAATTAAAATGTAGAAATTGTATTGATATTAATATTGCTGATAATTCATTAATCAAAAGACCTCTTCTCTAACTTAAAGGAATTCTGAGGCAGCACTCACCTTTTGAGTAAGAACTTCTTATAATCTTTCAACGACTTCCAATTATTATTCTCTTTCAAAGGTTTAAGCTTCATATTATGATTCTTATTCGGCAGCCCATCTTTCTTAGATAGCCAATGAGTCTTCAGCATCTTCAAGGAATAACTACATTTAATTGATGATTTTACAGTTTAATCTTCCAAGTCTTCAACAGCTTCTTAGATGGTGACTTTGAATTGAACAATTGAGTTTTCTAAGAATGCCTTTCTCTCAGCTAATCTCTTGTGTTCCTCTGTCAAGTGACCACTTTAGACTTCCCAGTTGGCAGCTTATTTCTCTTCTGTTGCAAGGAGTGATGCTCTGCTGGCAACCAATTATTATCTGATTTAAGCCAAGAGTTCTAAGATTTTGATGATGCTCTTGTTATCAACCTTTGAGGCTAATTATGTCAAAGCATTGATGAGTGGCTATTCATATGGTTATTTAATACTTTGAAGAGAGCGTGTTTGCTTTCCATTAATTTAGCTTAGACTTTCTCGAATCTGCTCTTGAGTTGAGCAAATGCAACACCTGCTTATAAGTGTTAAACGATCTTAGAAGCTTCATCAATGGCGTCTATTTAGTCAACGTGTTCTGCATCCTTTCTAACCCATGTATCGTGTTATGATTGTCTTGTGGCAGATTCGTCGGCGAAGCTCTTTTCGTTATTGGCAATATCAGATGTGACAACTCTAACTTCAACTTCAGCTTCTCCTAATGCTTCAGTTGTTGAATCTCTCAAGTTTGAAAGAGCAACGATTTAAGTTTGAGTGATAAGCGATTTCTTATTCTAAATCAGCAATGATCTAACATTGTAATATTTAACTATACCTTCTCGAAGGCAACTGTGTCACTTTCGTGAACTTTGTCAGCTTTCTTTTAATCTCCATTGAGTTATGAGGCAATGTTGTTTAAAAGGATTTAGATTTCTCCGACTGGTCCTCCTGTTGCCAATTAGAGTTGGAGGACAGATAATACAGAATTACCAAATGAATCTTTGTTGATTTATGCCAACACTTCTTTTGGACTTTCACTCTTTGCTACTCTAGCAGTTGCCACTGCCAAGATAAGTGTCAATACAGGAATGATTCTAGCCATATTAAAATTATTAATGAATTATTATCACATCCAAGCAGAAGACTAAAAAAACCCGTTTTTTAATTATTTTTATAATCATTTTAATTCCTTTATAAATAGCACTTTCACTTTGCCAAATATCGTATTATGTATATATCTACAACAAACTACCAACAACTTCCTATAAAAAATAGCTAGCCTTAGTCAATATCTTGCATGCTAAATTTATCTATTCATAGATTTAAGCTTACAATTACTAAGTAAAGATCTAAATTAATTTATCAAAATAATTGCCACTTTAACTTAGAAACTAGTTTAAACATTTTGTCCTTTTGTATTTTTTAGCTTCTAGAAAGTTACTTTAAGATTATTTATCTTTAATATATTAATATCTTACTTCTCTTGCAATTAAATTCAATAAAAATTCCAAAGACACATATTTAACTTCATATTGATTTATAGCAACTGTTGATATGGCTTTTTGTCATTAATTTAAATAAAAAGAACAGTACATTCAATTGTATGATTATAATTAAATTTAAAACATAAAACATACTTATATTTAAGAATGCTTTCATAATGGATTTTAGATTATCAATTAAAAACTAAAAGAATTCATTTTTACTTTATTTTATTTTTAATAATTATATACAACTTACAAATCTTCTCCCTTAATAATAGGTAGCATTACAAATCAACATTGGAATTGTATCTTGAAATGAAAGCAAGTGTTTTCATTGTTTAAAGGTAATTTTAAATGTATCAATCAAATTAGTCAAGTATTTTTTATTTTTATTGAACTTTTTATATTAAATGCGTCAATAAAACCATAAAAACACTTTTTTAAAAACTATCCCGTTTACTTCTATATTTGTGGAGGCTTTGAAGTAATCTTCAATGTGGGTATCATCAAATTATATTGATGGGAATAGTTAATTTTAAGGTAAAGAAGAATCAAATATTCAGGCAAGTTACTTTTAAAAGTAGATAGTCAATGGGAATCAGTATAACTCAATCTACATCCTGAGAAACTATATAGAAAAGGAGTGGGATCTGATGATTATACTTCCTATTGTCAATTATAAGCATGTTTTTTAAAAAAGTTCACTCATTTTGATCCCACAATGCCTAATTATAGATATGGTATTAGACTGCAATTTGGGTAATAACTAAGCCATTTATTGTGTGAGAATTCAGATGTCTTCAAAAAATGGTTTCAGTTTTTAAGAAGATTCTGCATAATGGATAAATTTGCCAGAAAATATAAGGTTTTAGGTAAAATTAAGCAATGTGACCCTGTGTTTGGTTAATGCTTGTTTTCTTGTGTAAGAGTGCAAGATGCAGAGTATCACGTTGTAAAGGTGATAGATAAGAATGTGATAACTGCAGGATAAAAGCAAAATTTATATAGGGAATTAAGTAATTTACGAAAATTGAGCCAAACATAAATATGTTATATTGTTGAGGTATTCGAAGACGAATAAAGTGTTTATATATTATATGAATACTACTTGGGAATTGATCTAAGAACATACATCAAGGAATCCCAAATATATTAGATGGCTGAATAATCATCTCAAGGATTGGACGAGAAATTGGTTGCAGATATTCTATATGGAGTTTTATAAGCAATACAGCATATGCATTCTAAAGGGGTTTTCCATCGAGATATAAAAATGGAAAACTTGTTTATACCAGAAAAGAAGCGTTTGCCATTTGTAGTATTAGGCAATTTCTGCTATTCTGAAACAACAGATTCAACCTAGTACAAGAAGTGCGGTACTCCTGGATTTGTAGCCCCTGAAATCTTTAGGTCCAAAAATTACACAAGCAAGGTGGATTTATTTTCATTGGGAATAATATTTTATCTTTTAGTCTATGGAAAATTGCCATTCGAAGGCAAAGATTAAGAGGAAATACTTCGATCAAATGAAAAATGTGATATCGACTTTAAATTTGAGTAAAATAATAATTTGATTAAAATAGAAAAAAAATATGTAAAAAAATATCCATATCTGGCATGGATTTACTAAAAGGATTATTGAACAAAGAACCAATTAAAAGATTGTCAGCTGCTTAAGCACTCAATCATCATTGGTTCATAAAAATGGGAACCAGGAACTAAAGAAATCAATATCTTTAAGTCTAAAGAGGAAAATCTCTGTCAACTATTATAGAAAATTCAGTGGATATTACTTAAAGGTATATAGATATTATTACACATGTAGCTATTACTAATCAAATTCCTAATTGTATTAATCTACTAAAGAGGATGACAAACTAGACAGGGTAGAGAAGGAATTCATCAAAGGTAGTCTCTATGATAAGTTGCTTTACTTTAATAGCATTTAATATTAGCCATCTAAAATTCGTCGCATTTAGCAATCAACCTGATAATTTTATTTATTCTTTAGTATATTTATAGATTTTGTTTTAAACAAGAGTGTTTTGAAGATGTGAGTAAAAATTAATTTATTTATTAAATTTTAATTATGACATCCAAACTTCTGATGATTCCAAAAACCAAATTCAATCCACGGTTTCATCCAACGTCAAGAGAAATTGAATTGCTTAGTTAAGTTATAAAATTTGAGTAAAACGTTGATTCCAAAGTAAAATTACATAAAAGAAATTAGGCATTTACTTTGCATGAAAGTCCTTTGAGTGTTCATGGGAAATTGCATTTCGGACATTTTTATAATAAAGTGCACAAGGATATACTTAAAAGGTATAAACTTCTTAGAGGATACAAAATAACACCTTCTATGTCATTTGAATTGTTTGGACCATAAATTGAACACGCTGCATTCTAACAATTAATTTAAAAAGGAACAACCTAAATGGAGTATAATGAAGTAGCAATAAGACAGATATGTTCAAAATATGCTGAAGAACAATTGAAATCTTATTTGGAATAAATTTAAAGATGGGGCATTTTAGAATAAGAGATAAGCCTAACAATTGATCCCAGATACCAAAAGTAAGTGTTATATTAATTGGCTCACTTTCTCGATTAAAGTATTATAGAGATCTTATATTATACTAGATTAGATTTTTAGGGAATAGAAGATCGTGATATGGTCTAAATCTAGATTTTCAGAAGTGCCTCTTGATTCTGTTATTATTACTCAAAGGGATGTTCCAGCACATGCAATTAAATTTAAATTTACAAGACTAAGTCCAAGTTTTAAGAAATTGAAATGCCCTTTTTATTTGGTATTAGAATTGCCCTCCCCTTGGAAAATTCCTAGTGCAAAGGCTATTAAATTAGTGGAACAAGAATGGTTGGTGATGAAAGACAAGGAAGCTCTTATAATGAGCAAGTAATTTTTTAATACTCATAAAGAAGAATTTTCAATGTATCAATTTGTAGGAACAATAGTAACATCTGATTTTTTAAATTTGACTGTTGATAATGGTTTAAATGAGTTTATTGATTTGAGAATGATTGAAGGTGAAGAAAACAATTTAATTTGTCCTGCTCATTAAATGGATGACATACCTATAGCAAAAAGATATAAGCTTGACAGAACAGGAATGGTGAATGAAAATGGTCAATTAGTTTATGAAGACGAAGAATTTGATATACTTAATAATGAAGCATCTTAATAAATACTCAAAGAACTTAGAGAACGAAATAGAATTCTTGATGTAGTAAGTTCTGCCTAAGAAGTGTTCTATCATCATAAAGTTACAGGAGAGCAACTTCTTTTAAGAAGTGTTCCAGCATGGTTTGTGCATTTTGATGAACAACTCATAGATAATTATAAAGAAAAGTACAATCTGAATGAGGAGGATACAAAATAAAATAACAAAGATGAAATTTATACTCCATACATAGAATTAATGGAAGCTTTATGTGGTTAATGGTGCATAACTGAACATAATGTGTGGGGCATTCCAATTCCATTATTTAGAGCCACTGTACCTAAAAAATTTGAAAAATTAAAAAATGGATTCTTATTAAATGCAGAAGTCGTCAGACATTTTGCTGACTTAGTTGAAAAAAATGGCAGTGACATCTACTGGAAATGGAATATCGTTGATTTATTACCAGATACATATAAGCCTTATGCTTAAGATTTGGAAAAACATACATGTGTCTTAAACAGGAACTTTATTATACCTCAGTAATGTGATTTAATCTATGAGGGAATAGATTAGAATGAAAGCTTTCTATTTAGTAGTTAAATGATGATGATTTTATTCCAAAAGAAATTCAACAGAAAAATTCATACACATACAGTTTTATAATACAACAAAGATAAAATCAGTAAGACTAATTGTTTTACATTGGAAAATATTATTGACGGACAACTCAAAGCAAATGAATAAAAATAATATGGAGTATAATATTGTATTATTTTTAGAGTGGCGCTGATGTTTTAAGAGCACTTGTCACATCTATTAATGAACATGATGAATTTTCATAATTTATGTTAGACAAAAAGAAAGAATAAATAAATTACATAAGAAAAATCTATTGGTAGATTATCGGCTGTTTAGAGAATGCATCTGTCACACCTGTTGACTTTAAGGATTTAGAATTTGTACTTATAACCTTATTAATATTTAGTGTGATTCATATATTTATCAACAATTAATCCTATTTGTTGCCAACATTACTAAAGCTTATGAAGATTTCAATTTTGGATTGGCATATTAGTTGTATGTTGATTTCATGCAAAATTATGTTTCTTTATATGTTGCTAGCACTAGAAATAAAATTATAGCATTTCATAGCGAATATCAAAATAGTTTGTATATCTATTACAAAATATACGATATAACATTAAATGTTATTTAACCTATATTGTGTTTCAATTCTAGAGACATACACACTAAATTGCCTACTGCATGGCCAAAGATTCCAGTGAGTCACTTTGAGGAAGCACAATAGAATATTGTGACTTTAAGTTTATTACACAAATTACAAAAAGAGATTAATACTTAGATTGATGAAGTTTAAGAACGTATAAAACAAAAAAGCATATCAAAAAAATTGGAAATAGTTTTCATCATCGAACCTAATACTTATGAATAACAATTAATTGATATAGATCCTGATTAATTAGCATTATTTTTTTCCTGTGGTAAAACCACTTTTGAAACTGATTTCTTGAATAAGAAGAGACCAAATCATGTTTGCATGTCTTCATTTTTTGTGAAGGAACAATTTTACCATTAGAAGATTAACTTTCATGTCAAATTTTATGAAGTTACTGATAGTCAATGTCCAAGATGTCTTGAACATAAACCAATAGTATCAAAGATCTGCCAAGATTGCACAGACTATATTTAAATAGAAGAAGAAAAATTAAAATAAATTAATTGAAAATACATGTTTATATAATTTTATAATAACGTATTAGTTCCAAATCAATATAATTAAAAATAACCTATTTCTTGACTTCTGTTTTTTAATATGTCCATTTTTTATCTTCTTTAAGAGGGAGAATATTTGAACTTATTAAATATATTATTGACTTTTTAGTAATAATATAATACTTGAAATAAAGAAAATAATTTCAATTCCTTTCATAAGAGTCTTTGATTAGAAAGTCTTACAGTATTTATTAATTTAGGGTAAAATTGATTTGGGATTTCAATTTTAGGTGTCATAGGTGAGTCTAAACCATCATTTTTTTCCCAAAGGTCATATTCACTAGATTTGGATTAAGTTTCAAGATTTTTCTGACTTAGGTTTATCGACCTCAAGGATTTTCTCTCCTTAGCTGATTGCATAAACCTATTGTTCAAGAGATTAAAGGCATCCATTAAAAAAATCTAATATAAATATTAATAAAATTTTCTCCTTTTAAATCTTATCAAATCTTCATCAGTATTAAGATTATTATAAATTATTACCTTTTTATTAATGACATTTCTAATTTTATAATTTAAAGTCTCTAAGACAAATAGTATTATCGTTAATTGTCTTATGGAATTTTGATTTTTATAATTAAGTATTTTTGATCTGATATTTCATTAACTATACATTTTTGATATGACTTTTCATTTTATATTTTAAGAGCTTAAACAACATGTAAATTTCCATTTCTACTTTCTATTTTTATTTACAAGAATGAATGTTAATAATTAATTAATACAATCATAGCATATATTCATACATTCATAGAGGAGATCTTCTTTTATATTTATTGTTTAACTAACCAATTAAATTGGCTCTTAAGGATTTAGGTATTTTGTTTAGATTGAAACTCTCCTGATCTGAAGCTTTTGTATAGGACTGATTGACATCCAAATACAGAGTTTGAGTCTTCTGTTCAATGAAAGTATCAATTTATTACTTTTTCGACAACGTGGTTAAGTTTTCGCTCTACCCTTTTTTCTTTTTTTAACAAGCTTTTTAATGAAATCTATTCTTTTCTAGACTAAAAGAGTTCATCAATTAATATTAATAATGCTTAGATAAACGAATGATAACAATCAATAATTGAATGTTTTTAAAAACTCTATAAAATTCTCTAAAAATAGAATTTATAATTCAAACCAAATAAAACAAGCCCTAATGGTTGTGGTTATGAAGTCATGAATTGCAAAATAAAGAACCTTAAATTTCAAGTTTTATTAACTTCTTAAGTAATTTGTGTTAATTTTTATTAAATGATACAATTATTCATAATTTTCAGTTGAATTAATTCATCATTTTAGATGATCTTAAATGATATTAATTCACATCCACATTTAAGGATTGACAGAAATGGTACTGTTACAGGATTAAGACTTTCATTTTATACAAATAAATATATCTCTTTTTACTTATTTAATTATCCGTTTTTGAGCAGCTGAAAGACAATATACTTTATTTAATTGGTTGAAGCTTTTTGGGAAGATAGACATAGTTCATTGGGTACTTAATTGATAATTTAGGTTTAATTTTCAATAGAAACATCACTATTTTATGTTTAAAAATATAAACAAACTTAATTCTTTAAATAAAATTATTTTGTTTAGAAATAAAAATGAACAATTATGTTTATGGATAGAACTGTAATTATATTAATTAATACTTTCAGAATAGGTCATAATTTAACAATTGTTCTATAAGATAGAGTAGTTAATGGCAGAAATATAGAAATTAACCAACTTTTCCAATCAATTAATAATGAATCTGTAAACTTAAGAAAACTAATATAATTCACTTAAAAGATAGTTTAACGATGTCTGGGCTTAATTAAATGAGCAATAGAAGATCTGGTTTAATTTAAAGAACAATACCTAGCATTACACTTTGTCAAATGAAGCATTTGTGATGTCTAATTTAATAACAGACATAAAAAGTAGAGTATCAGAAATAAAGGAATTTAATTTGTATTAAAATGACTATCAAAAACAGAAAAAATGCCAATTGTGCTCAGAGAAAGATTACACGATAAGCAATCTGAAGGCACAATTAAAAAAATAGGCAGAGATTGTATTGAAATTACAATGTATAAATATAAAACAAATCTTAGTTGATAGCGAACCAACAAAGCTTTAAACTTAAAATAGTGATACTAATTATTCTAATCAAAGAACCCATACAGAAGGCCTAACAAGATAAAGATTTACCTCTCAAAAACTATTCCAAAGTAATTTAACTATTACAACAGCACCAGGCTCAAAATATTGATAATTTTAGATTTTTTATATCAAATATTATATTTCAATAACAAGTAGAAAAAAACATGATATTAGATAGTTTTTCATGTTTTGTTTATGAAGTTTTCTTTTTATTTGAAAAAATGGAATGATCCAAATTAGTTTGGAGGAGTTAATTATATCTTTCGACCATTTTATACTTGAGTGTAAAAGAAATCAAATACTAATCCAAAATCTAGTTTTAAGGATATTTCTATCTTTTATAAAATTCATTAGAATGCTAGTGCTATTTAGGAATTTATTTGTTTCTTAAAAAGTACCACTTTAGTTTGTAAAATAAACTAGAATTCTTATAATATTAAGCAAAAAATTCCTATACGATAAAGCAATGGTCATCTGATTTTAATTGTAGTAAAATGATATTGAGACATTTATTAATATTTTTCATATTTCGATTTTATCATTAAATAAGTATTTTGCAAATGATTGAATACTCTATTTTAATAATAATAAAGATTACTTAATAATGAACAGAATTTTTGATTATTGATATTTAATTAACTAAATTAAAATTAATAGTTACGTTAATGGATCAAAATCAAATAAGCCATATGATAAGTTCAACAATTAATTAGAAAACGATATATATGTGTGAACATTGTCGAAAAAGAGATATTCAAAAGAAACTTGGGTATTATTCATATTCAATTCAAATTGAACCTAAAAAGTCAAATATATCTCTTAAACTCAACAATAATCTTGATGATAAAGAAAATCAGATGATAGATGCATTCAATAGAAACCAGACTTCTAAAATTCAACTTTAAAAGAAAGCCGAATAAGCCAGTAAATTAACCCTAGAGATCAGATTTCCTAATCAACAGTAAATATCTTAGTAAATTTTATCACACAAGAAGCCCTTAATTAAAAAAGACAACAAGATAAAAAAGTGATGAATAATACTATAGTTTAATATATATACTATTACATCTTTTGAATAACTTATTTATATAAGAATTCCATTTTTGATATATTAAAATGGCCATAGTATTTTAAAATTGGTAAATAATCATAAGGGAAGTTCAACATGATTGGGTTTATAAAAACCTTAAAGTTTACTATTTTTGATAAATTAAGTTTTAATATATAAAATAAATTTCCTAAAAATACATATGAAAAAATTCAGGGAATTGAAGAAGACAGGTGATGGAACATTTGGGGTTGTTATAAAAGCTGAGGACACCTAAACTCATGATTTAGTTGCAATCAAGAAGATGAAATAAAAGTATCACAATTTTGATGAATGCACAAATTTGAGGGAAGTTAAGGCTTTATTGAAACTCCAAAATCACCCCAATATTGTTAAGCTTAAAGAAAGTATAAATAATTAATAAGTAGTTTTCCTTGATAATGATACTTTATGTTTAGTGTTTGAATTTGTCGAAAAAAGTATTTACTAAATGTACACTCAATAAAAAGAAATGGTACAACAGATTTATCTATTATTAGGGGAAAATAATATCGGAGGATCAAATAAAATCCATTATTTATCAAGTCGCCAATGGTCTTAGTTACATGCATAAACATGGATATTTTCATCGTGATCTTAAGCCAGAGAATATGTTAGTCACCAACAATGGAGTAGTTAAAATTATTGACCTTGGATGCGCAAGAGAGATAAGGTCCAGACCTCCTTACACCGATTACATAGCCACAAGGTGGTATCGAGTACAATTTCAATTAAAATTTTAGGCTCCAGAAATTCTGTTGAAGTAAGTCAATTACAACAGTCCTGTTGATATTTTCGCATTAGGTTGTATAATGGCTGAACTATTTCTAAACAGACCTCTCTTTCAAGGAAATTCAGAACTGGAATAGTTTAACAAGATTCTCTCGACTCTTGGGTACACTTCTTAATTCAATTAGAACATTTACTTAAACTGAATGGCCAGAAGGATGTAGATTAGTATCTCAAATGGGTTTGGCTCTTGCTTAGTTTTAGCCATTACAGTTATAATAATTGATACCAAATGCGAGCACGGAGGCCATCAATCTGTTGACCTAAATGATTAGATGGGATCCTAATAAGAGAATTACTGCAGCGTAAATGTTGACTCATCCCTTCTTTTATAACATAGAGAAAATAGCGCCATCTTTGATTTTCGAAGAATAAGTCAAATCAAAAGATGAGTTAAAATTCTTTGAGTCTGATCACAAGAACAAATCCTACAGTTAAAAGGATGAGCCTCATACTCAGTTCAAGCAAAAACAACAATTTTAATAATAAATCAAAGATGATGATAGCAATGATTTGGATGACATCCTGGATTTCATAACGACAGAAAACAAACCAATGCCATCCAAATTATCCACCTAAAGTGCTAAGGCTCTGGACTTTGGTGAATATGTTCCCACCTAACCTATGAATCGATAGACTAGAAATCTACAATCGAGTTAATTGCAGGAATAAAACAAGAAGGACAATAATTCTATTTATGACTTCAGTCATTTACAAAGTTATAAGCCAAACAAATAGCCAAATATAAATTCTAAATATTGATGATTTGAATTCTTACATTTTATATATTTGCTTAAATTATTTTATTGTTTCATTTTTCTAGTAAAATAACTTATAAGGATTTTAGATTCTCCAATTAAAATTAAACATTCATTTTGCTTATTGCTCATAATATTTTAACCTAGTATAATCGGTAATCAATCATTTCACATGATCATTATAATACTAAATTAAACTTTTAACATGAATTATTTGTATATTTAAATATTGAAAAGCAATAAGATATTATAAAATTATGGGTAATTTGTGCTAATGCCAAAAACCAGAACTCTAACTCGATCACTAAGAAGTTAATACACAACACTCTAAAGTACGACAGGAATCTGTTGATAATGATAATATCTTCAGTGAATTAATCCAATAGCATAGTTCATTGTATCAATATTAAAATGGCCTCACACTTACATCCACTAAGCCATTGTCTCCAAGATCATAACATTAAATTGTATTTTTAGAACCAAAAGATTTGTTCGATGAAAGGATAAATTATCAACCCATAATTCTACAAGGAATTTTGGCTTCTAAAAGCGACCAGCAAGAATTTATATATGAATCTCCACAGCCTGAAGCAAATGGAAAAGAAAAGATCAAAAAAAAAGTAAACTTTTTAAAGTGAATATAAAATTGACAATAATTATCAAAAATTTTGAACATATTTCAAAGCATCCTCAAATATAATATATATTGACAAAGCACATTATGACACTAATGTTGAAAAGAATCAAAAATAAAAAACTTGAAATTTAAATCTGTAAAGTTCCTTCATTAATAAATCGATATATTTATTTGAGCTATTTTTGGGAGAATTAAAGAAGAATTTTCGTATTATTTCAACAACTTTACTGTGCACAAATTACGATGCACTTATTCTAATTCTCAAAATGATAAATACATTTACGCTTAAATAGTTGCAATTTAAATCGAACCTTATTTTATCATAATCATAATCTCAGTAAATTTAGTCTTCATCTCTCTCACTATTTCAACCTGAAAATTTACTTACGAGAGTCATTCTTAAATTAGGATGTATAATAATAAATAATATAATGGATCATATTGAATTTAGTCAGCTCCTTTCTGAAATGAAAAGAATCGTGAAGTTTATATCTTATTCTATCTGAAGATATTTGAATTCTTTAGTCTCTAATTCTAATGACAATTAATCTTAGTATATATTTTCTCAATCTTTTGGTCTTATTAGTATAATATTACCATCAATAAGGTATGAATTACAATATAAATCAATCTATTGATATTCTTTAAAGAGCTTTTCATTTATACCTCATTTATATATATTGTAATCTTTGTTAGTCAAGCCTTCTCTTAAATAAATTTGATTTGATTTAATAATCCTTTCGTTATCAAAATTAAGATAATTAATCTCAATAGTTAATATCCATCTTTAAGTACTAATTAGTTCTGAATATTCCAAAGATATAAATAAGTTTTCAAAATAGCATTGAATTCAAATAATAAATCATCCTCTTCTATAGTCTTTTGAAGGAGAATAGAGAAGTTTCACTCTGTAAAGGTAACAATTTAACTGAATACAGATTTATTCATATAATTGACATACTTCTTAACTGATTTCATTATTAGATATAATTTTAGATAGTAAAATTTTATAGGTTCTCTTTTTATTCATCTATACATCCTTCCAACTTCTTGTTTATTTTACTTTGATGTTTTACTCAAATTATGTGAAGGGAGATGCCAATTTAATGAGGTCTATATGAAAATTGAAATAATTAATTTGTTATAAGTTTTATTTTCAATATAAATATTAATTAAAAAAAAATCATCCGAGGCAGGAGTCGAACCTGCAACCTACAGCTTAGGAGGCTGTCGCGCTACCATTACGCCACACGGACATATTAAGTAATTTGATGTTAGTTCATTTATAACCTTATTCTGTATTAAATCAATGATATTTAAAGTATATCTATTCTGTATCTAACTTTTGAGTACTTTAGAAATAATTTGCAGATTGATACCAGACATAATATTTAATAAATATTTTATAATAAATATAAGTATTTTTTATAAAATTATTTGTGTCAGAAATCATAATTTTTGTTAAGTAGCCTGTTGACTGAGTTTTTGACTGTCCATGCGGTGCCTGATGACAACGGAGCCTTAATGAAGTTAAGTGATACTCCTTTATAAAACCCTTTGATGATTCCCTCAACTCTATAAATTGTTTTTATCTGCATCCATGTGGATCTTAAATTATTATAAAATAAAAAGTACGTCATTGCTTAAATCTCTCCCTGTTAGAACAACACGTTCTATCCTTACATTCTCTTCTTGACAATATCAAAGGGATAGGCCAGAACCTAAGCTATAATGGCTCCGCTTGCACCTATGGCGAAATCTGTGCTTTTGTGTTTGGCTACCCATGGGTATTATTCAAGCAGATATTCCTTCATCAATGTGAATGAGAAGAAACCACTCCCATGATAGATTCCTACACCTATAATTCCTATAGGCAATCCAGAATAGAAGGACATGAATCCTTCAATTTTATAAATCTTCAAAGCTGCATCGTATATGTTTTTGTAAAGAAAAGCATCTTTTTGCATTGCCAATCTTGTTCGTAAAAAATCAAACGGATAGGCTATACTTTGTGCAACGATGCCTGAAGTTAATCCGCATAAAAATAATCTAATTTTCCTCATAATTGTCTTATCCTCCCTATCCGGAGCAAATCTTCTTCTTAAGTAATCGAAGGTTGAGAAATTCTAATATTTGTTTAAACTGATTACTATGGCTGATTGCGGAAATATTCTTAATACATTGGCCTGGTTGCCTCTCCAGAAGTTGATCAAACCATGATGTTGATACACGTATATTGCATCTTGGATAGCTGCTTTATAAGTGAATTAGGTCGATCTGGTCTAGGATTGATATGATATCACATCAATACCAAATATAGCAATTTGATTCTTTCGAACGGAGAGATGACAGTTTTGGCACAAACTCCAGCACAACCACCTTTTGAAATATTAAGAATCGTTACCTGAGATAAAACTAGTCCAATAGTCTTTTTGTTTATTACTCATATATTAAATATGAACATAAATAAATCGCTAAATTGTTAAAAAAGATATAAAAAAGAAAAATCTGATGAATTGATTTCAAATCTATAAGTATATTCATTTCGAAGGTTTCTTATTTAGACAAAAAAATTCGGAATTAAGAAAAAGTAATAATTATTATTATGCTTTCCAATTGGGATTCAGCTAAATTATACCATTGAATGTTAATTTTTGTTTAGCAATATAGCATTTGCAAAAGATATCTATTCCTATAACAGGAATATATGATAAATACAAATTTTCATATGAATAAAGATGTAGCATAATGTTGAAATAATCAATAATTTGTCTTCATCAAAATGTTTATTAATTTTGATTCAGGTTTGAAATTCAATATAAAGTTCAAAAAATAAATTGAGAAATATTATAATTATTGATTCTTAATAATTCTAATTATATTATTGATTGATACATCTATGTTATCATTAAGATCTACTTCTAAAATATTATTTATGAGAGCTATATAGATTTTAGACCTATAAATGTATATAAATGATTTATATACCAGTAGGTACATCAATTTCGGTTAAAGCTTTAGATTGTTTTTAAATGTATATATCTTTTTATGTATCCAATATTATATTTCTTTAAGATAATCATCATTTGTAAGATAGGCAACATCCTAATTAATATTGAGATATAGAGTATTCATTAATAAATTTAGAGTGGTCATTTTGTGATACAAAGAAAATACAAGTAGTTGAAATTCATCTGCATCTGTATTTTAATATATTTTTTGGATAGATTCTTATATAGTCACTTTTAGAGTAAGAATCAACAAATACCCTATTATTAATTGGTTTATCTTTTTCATAAGTCGCAACTAAGACAAAATATAATTCGATTAAATAAAAGGGGTTTTCACTAAATTAACACAAATTTTCACTAGTTCAAAGTTAGATAATAATTCGTAATCTGTAGATATAGAGATAATAATAAAAAATATTAAAGGATCATCATATATTGAAAGTTTCATAATTGCATAGACTAAGACTATTAATAAAATAAATTAAGATATATTAATTATTTAGAAACAAATTGATATTATATAAATTTTTAAGTTAACAATAATTTATTAGATAAATATATATATATCCATAGATGATTTTGCTTATATGTATCACTTTTTTTATTGTTCTAAACCCTGTTTGATGCGTGGTACTAATTCCTCTATGCAATTGATAAATGCAAGAATTACCTCTAACTTATCTAGCCTTTTCTCTGATTTATTGCATATTTTTGCTTTTGGCATTTGCTCTAATTTTTTTGAACATGGGAGCGTATTTAAATACATCTGGGATGACAACAAATCTGATTTGACTTCCTCTCAAATATACTTATTCAAGGGACATGGGTCTACCATCTCTTGTCACCATTTAGACTTCATCCAATCTTACATTCATTGTGTCCTAGAATTTAGGATAATTGATTACTTCTGCTTCTGCCATGTATCCTGTAAACATTTCACCAGTTTTTAACTCGACTGTGACGATATGATGGACTGCTTCATGCATAATTTTGAGTGGTACTCCTAAAGACATTACTTAATTTTTATATTAAAAATATAATTTAATTAATATTTCCTATAATTTAATGGGGAACACTGAAATTCACTAGGGACTGAATTAAAAAGTGGACAACTCCCAAAACTAACTTAATTTAGTCCTTTTTGAGATTCTGATTGCAAATAAATATAAATAAATAAAAGATTTTAATAAATAAAAATGGACAATAAGAAATGCTTATTTGAGAGATTTGGAGGCGATCAATAGGTTTCTGAACTCATTGATCAATTCTATTATAAAGTCCTCTTCGATAAATTATTAAGAGATAAGTTTCTCAAAGCTGACATGAGTCGTGTAAGATATCAATAGAAGAGATTCTTTTCTTAAATGATGGGTGATAAAAACACTCAATACACAGGCAGGTATGATACTGTTATGTAAAATTAGAGATTTGATTGAAGTTCATAAAGAATTGAACATATCAAATTAGCAGTTCGATAAATTTAAGGTGCATCTCAAAAACATAGCACAGGACATGGAAGTAGGAGGAGCAGATTTGGATGAATTACTCGATCACGTTGAAAAGTATAGAGAATAGATTGTGTTTAATAAGGCAGCGTGATTCTATAATTATACATTCACATAAACAATTTCATCTATATACTTTACATACGCATCATTAATCAGAATTATGTAAAACAAAAAGGTTCAGCAATTGAAGTGAGTTTTAATAATAATAATAAATCTAGTCTTCAATCTATCTCCAACCCTTTTCACTCAAAATAATAATCCACTCCTCTGAACAACTCTCATCCATGCTGTCCTTGAATGAATGATACACATCATCAACTAATTTAAATTTATTCTCAATATATTATTATATAATATATATAATTATATAATATATTTACTTCACCCTTTTTTTTTATCCAAATTCTCGAATTTAACCCATGATGACCCTGACTCTATGCTTTCCAACTAAATTATTCAATCGATCGTACTTACTTCGTCAGCAATATCTTCCTCTGTATGACCACTTCTAAGCACAGATGTCCAAAAATTGAGCCATTCTTCCTCAGATATCGTTCCACTGTTATCAGTGTCAACAGATTTAAATAATTCTTCAGTGTTCAATTTGGCAAAATTGCTCTTCCTATTCAGGTTTGAAATTGGCAAACATACCAATATTTAATTGTCTCTGATTTTTCAATTGATTTGGAACCATCAACATCGAATCTTGCGAATAACTTAAGCACTCGATCTCGCATTTAGGGAGACAACTAATTGTAGATTGTATTTGATTTACTTCCTTTCCTTGAGTAGGACCCATTGTTAATTTTTATAAAATTTTAATAATGAGCTCAAAAGATTCCCTTCAATAACCTCTAATACTTGAGGAGGAGACGAAAACTATATTTTTGGAGGATCGTTCAGCCACAGAAATGAATATGGAACAAATCGTCAATGATAGTGCTTTTGAATGGGGTTCTACATCACTCTTGGAGGACAGCAGCAAAGTGAAGGTGATTCCATTTGTTGCTAATGAAACAATCTTCTATCGTAGGACACTAGAAAAGAATAACAAGGAGCTCAACTTTTTCGAGAGATGCTTCAAAAGTAAGAAATCCACAAATCAGGTTACAATGGCTTAAATCATAGACCTACGACAAAAGGAGATATTTAAGGATTATGCCTATGAAACCAAGAAGACTGGATTCCTTACAGGCATGTCCTCATACATTCATAAGGTGAAAGTCCTTGAACCCGATTCCCAGTTCTACATATATTGGTAGGTTCTAAACAGCATTTTGGTACTTGGCTTCTTCTTCCAAATTCCTTTTATGCTCGCCTACCAACCACTTATCGACGACAAGTACGCCTTCCACTACAAAAAATACGAGGAAATGTCCCTATACGTAGGAATCTCTATTTTTATCGTCGACATCATAGCAACCTTCAATACAGCCTTCTACAAGCAAGGATAGCTAATCAATGGTAGGAAACAGATTGCCATCAAATACTTCAAGAGCTATTTCTTTTTAGACTTAATTCCTTTACTATGTTTGGTAGAATATAGATGTCGATTATATGAGGAGAAACAATTGGGATTTGAACAGTTTTTCTTTATTTTAAAAGTGTATGAGGTGAATAAGACTAGTAATATGATAAAAGAATACTTACAACTTGAACCCTCCAAACTAGCCAGGTATCGACTACTCACTGTAATGTTAACAATCATATGGTTATGTCATTTATTTGCATGTTTATTTTTTTTTGTTGGAAGACGACAGCTCAACAAACAATTAGGGAATGTGTCATGGTTGAATCATTGTGATATAGTTACTATGAATGGGGGGTATGAGGAAATGCCAATCTCAGAACTACATCTGTACTCGTTTTATTGGGCTGTAACAACAATGATATCAGTAGGATATGGTGATGTTACTCCAATGAATTTCTGGGAGGTTCTGGTGACAGTCATGACATAATTTATCTCTTGTATTGTCTTTGCCTATTCAGTCAATGCTATATGGGAACTGATCTACTCGTAGAATGAGAGCAAGGACAAATTTCAGTATATACCAATTATTTCATTCTAGAAAGTATGTGAATGCCATCTAAAGATTCATGGTTGAACACAACGTGGATCGGAAATTGAAGGCGCGCATTGAAGCCTATCTCTTCCATTTGTGGCAGACTGAGAAGGCTCGAGATCATGAATTAGAGTAGGCCATGATCCTTAAATTGGCCCCCGCCCTACGAGAGGAGTTGATATATCAAACCTTAGGTAAAATGCTCAAGCAGAATAATTTCTTCTCCTGTTTCTCATAAGATTTGCTTATGGAATTGGCATAAGAAATTTAGTAACAATATTATTCCTAAGAAGAAAATATATTCCTTGAAAGTGAGGAGACGAATGACTTCCCTTTATATTTTTTGGATAAAGGATAGGTTGAAATCTTTTTGGATAGTGACAAAAGAATCAAATTACATATCATTAAGTAAGGTATTTTTGGAATAATTGGATTCATCACTGGATACAGGAGAACAGCATCTGCTAGATGTCTCACTTATTCAGTGATTTACAAACTCTCTAGAATTTCATTCCTTAAATTATTAGACAAATACGAAACTGATAGACAAAGATTCTATGAAATAAGACACAACATACTATTCAATAACGATTATGAGCACTTGAAGTTGCGATGTTATATTTGTGAAAGCAGAAGTCATCTGGCCATCAATTGCAAACGGACTCTCTATCTTCCAGTAAAGGATCAAGTGATTCAATCAACCTACAACATTCAAAATAACAGAGAATCTAGTTTCAGACGAAGAATAGTGAAATAGCAATTCAAAGCTCTGTCTCATATTCGAGATGTTTAAGTGAATGCTTTGGCTATCAAGAAGTACTTTTAGATCACAACTTTCAATTTGGATTCCAATGATGAGGATGATGAATACAGTTCAGATGTAGACGATTACGAGGAGGAGATTGTGAACATCAAGAAGATACTTGAATAGGAGAAGGAGAAGGCATAATTGAGATAGAAAGGAAAATGGTTGGCTGATGATAATTATGAGATGAAGATTGATGAGAACAGAGACAATTAGAGTTTAGAGTTGTCAGATGGTTTGCTGAAATCTTAAGGGAATCTCAAGAATTCAGAGGAGGAATAGAAGAAAGTGAAAAAGAAGAAACAGTTTTAGAGTTTCGTCAAATTGCCATAACCGAAGAGAGTGAGGACTTCGTCAATGTCTAGTTTAACTCCGATTCAAGAATAGATTAAGAAGGTTGTTAAGGGATAGAACAGTAATGTCACTCCCAATACTGTTCAAATACTAAGAAGGAAGAGCAAATTGTTCCAAGGGAATGAGATTACTGATAAACAACTGGAGAAGATGCCATCTCCTGAGAGACAAACAAGTCAGGAATCGAAGAAATAGGAGTTGTTGCGGAAAATGAAATTTCTGCAGATAGCTCAGCCCAGAAACAAGGAGGTATCCTTAATAATCGACGAATTAAGGTATTATTATATTCTCCATCATTACTTTAGGAATTACATCGCAAATAGTTAAAGCAACAATTAGCCTCCCAAGATTGAGGATGATGCGAATGAGAATAGTGATGTGGACAGCTAATTCAGCATCGATCACATGGCCAATTACGAATGTTTCTTTTAGGAGTAGAACCCTGAGAAGGTGATTCGAAAATATAAGCGAATCTTCAAGGAGAGAGTGAAGTAGAGAAGGACAACTTTAATTAGATATTAGGATGAATGACATAAACAATTATTTTTATTTCAAATGTAATAATAATAAATATTACCTCCATACACATTGACATTAAAGGAGTTGCTGAGCAGACCCAATTTGGTGGTTGTCTCCGAGGAAGGCATGCGGTTCAGAACTGAAATTCGGGAGGATACTAGGAGTGCCTCTCCGATTCCCAAGAAAGAGAGCAATAAAACACTTAGAATGGACAAGTCGAAAGAGTTCACGAGTGGAGCTCTTAGGATTGGGAATTCATCGTTTTATCAAGGGAGGTAAGAAGTAAAGTGTTTAAATGAGACAAAAAGACCCCCTCTTAAATAGTAGTCATTTAAAGGCTCAAATCTAGAAGCCCTATGATTAGAAATTGATGGAGAAATTAACGAGTAAGATCTTAAGAGCAGAAACTCCGATTCAGACTATCTCAAATAGATTACAAGAATTATACAATGAGTTTGACAAGAACAACAAAAGAATAACGAGATTTGAGGAAACCATCGATTAGAGCAATAAAGAGGCCACTTTGGCTGTAATTGAATCCAAACTAGGCAAATTGCATGAAAATTATTAGATTGAATTGAAGAAAAGAGAGTGGACTCAAAAAGTATGATATTGTGGATCTAATTGTAAGCACATTCAAGAGGTGTTGAGACAGTAGAAGTTATACAATCAAAGATAAAATGAATTGTACGACAGTAATTTTGAGAGGCCTCGCAATAAAGAAATTGAGGAATCATATTATAAGGATCCAAAATATTTACAGAGAAAACAAATAAGATTGCGTGATTATCAGAAGTATAAATACGAAGTAGAGTATATATTGAAATGAATAGAAATACTGGAAATTGTAGCCAATAATTGGAAAACTTTAGTCCTGAGAAGAAATCCGATTAATTTGATATTATTTTATTATTAAATATTTATTAAAAATTTAACGTATATATGAGTCAATTGGAACCATTTGAACATCATTACAGTCATCAATATTAAGAGGTATTCGGATGTTGTCATTAAAATCGAAACTATTATTCTGATAAAGTCATCTGCAAAGAATGTGGAATATTTTTAAATAATGTAATTCCAATTCCTTATTTATGATAGCCAAATACTAGAGTATACAAAACTCTAAAAATGAAATTCAGTGCCTTTTTCAATCCTATCAAAGTGTTATAGAATATCTTATCTGAAGGTTTCCCAAAAGAACCTATTAAACAACGCTAACAGATCATCGAATTCATATTACAGGCTTCTGAAAGATTAAATCTAACATTAAATACATCATTTTTAGCAATTAATTACATAGATGAATATTTGAGCAAGGTTTCAATCAATGAAAATTAAACCTATTTATTCGTAGCAACTGCTTTGATGTTAGCAGCAAAGGCTTAAGAACTAGATGAACGAGTGCCTTTCATTAGTAAACTGAAAAGATATGCTTCAATGACAAATCATCCTGAAATCAGTCAATATTCAACTAGAGAATACAAATTTGCAGAGAGGTCTTTGATTCAGACAATGGAATGGAAATTGTAAAGAGTCACTTTACTTGATCGAATAGAAGCTATCCTTTCCTTTGGAGTCATAGATGACGATGATAGTTTGGGATAATAGCAACAACAAAAGGAAAACAAAGAGAGTTCACATTAACAACATGTAAAACTAAGAGATCTCCAAGAAAATCAAATCTTACTTTACGTGAAAGAGGTTGAAAATAAATACGCAGACGTAGCATTGCAAATCATCAGAGGTATCAAAAACAAAGTAATAATTAGATGATCATTTGTACTTTGGAACAGATCAAACGATCTTAGCACTCTCTTGCGTAGCCTATTTAAGAAAAAAGGCAGGACTACTAAACATATGGTCATAGCAATTACAGTGTCTGACTGGTATAAGTGCTCAGAAGGTTTCATCTTCAGTCTCCTAGATTATGACACTGATTGCTAAAAGTAAAAGCTTCAAAACTATAACCAATCTTTAATTAACTCCTTAAGAAATCTACTTCTAACCTCTTATGCCTAACAACACACTGACCACCATAAGCACAAATCATCTCAACAATCGACCCTTCCCATTCGAGACCAAAAGATAATCCTATGGTGACATTATGATGCAAAGTAGCAAATTGAAGATTCCTTTATATCAGTCACAATCGACTGTGCAAATAGCTGACATCCAAAAACAGAACCATTTGTTTAAGCACACCAATTTCACTACTGCCACCAACTATACATATCTCAATGAGAATCCTGTTACTCACATTGTCTAATAGTTTGCTATTCCCCAAAGTCAAGAACTTGACAAAAAATATGAGCAAGTACATAAAGTTAGTGGAAGTATGTTCAGACCTGTTCAATGATTATATGGATTATTATTATTATATCATTACTGTTATGAAAACATATATTTTATAGCTTCATCTATGAATTTGTATACGTATTGGTATTGTTCTGATGTGTGCACCATTCCCCATCTTTATTCTCTCAATCTTCTGACCACTCCAAAAATAGAAATGCGGAACTCCTCTGGATTCTCAGATATTTCTTGCTTTATTAATATAATTGTACTCGCAATGTCATTTCCGACATAGGATTGATACATCGTTAGAATGATCATCAGATTCGCCAAGGATATCAATGTTCCTGTCCTGCCTACACCTGCACTGTAATAGATTAAACAATATGAGAGTACCTGCAATGGAATACGACCTTCTGATCATTCAAGACTCTGTCCAAAATTTGAGTGAGCAATTCCTTTATTGTATTAAAGTCATTGTGATTTGGAACTCCTTGATCTGGCCATCCACACCATTGCAAATGAGTCACTTATTTTTCCTCTCCATTTTACTCCTGCATTTTTAGAGTCCTTTTTATTATGTTATTTCCTAAATCTTCTTGACTAACGAAATTTATGGTAATATTTCCAATAAGTAAATTGTCTCCAATATTTCTAGGCCAGTATTACTCACATTAAACCTTTCATAGATTCTAAACTTCAATTACCTTCCCATTTTCCTTCAAATTGCAAAGCATCACTATCATTGACGCACTTTCTTATGAAATCATTCTCCAAAAATGTCCTATCGTCTAAGTTACTGGACCTTAAGTGGCTATCATCATTTTCTCTTTTCCATTTATTAGCTAACATCTTTATTCATTACTCTACATTAATGTAATCAGCATTTATATATGATTCCCTTTGGTTCTCTTCCTCATCGCATCTCAACTTCACTATTGAATGTTTAACTACGATAACTGATTATGGTACAGGGAATGATGTTGTTATATCGATTCAACTTTAGAATATCGGGGTGAAAATCATATAGGTTATCATTGTGATATTGTGTTTCAGTTAGACGTCTCAAAATCTAAGAGCATTATTATTTATGCTTTACTCTGAATTCCATTTCTTGATCTCGACTTTGAATCTAATCACTAAACTCAGTGATGGGAATCCCTTTTTCTATGCTCGCCAACTCAGGATAACCCATCACCCACTCATACGAATAATCCTGGCTAATTTCCCTGCCTTCTACTTATAAATTTTGTAGCATTTTATATTAATTATATTATATCAACTTTTAATTAATTATCTTGACTTATACTTTATTTTTATAATTCTGTATTTAAAATACCAGGAACTCAAGAATTTTCAATAAATTTTGTAAAAATTATAAATTATTTATAAATCAATAATGTATTTTTACTATTCCTCACCCCACAGAACTTTTAGAGGCAAATTCAAGTAATATCCTAACTAATTATTTTTTTAACTCAGTTTCGTTCTTAATCGAATTTAGCTTAATCATGAAAACCATATGTTGCACATCTCCATTTAAATCGCTATTTAATCACATATCTTATTGTTGAAATTATACATTCCCTACTGGATTGAAGCATTAAAATAATCACTAAATTAAACTGACTTTAATACTATTATTCATTAGATTTTTAAAGTTAAAATAATTTAAGCCAAGATTGCCGCGATCAACTATTCTCAATCTGTTCAATTCTGATTCCTAATAATCGAAAAATGTTTTATAAATTTGTATTTATACCTATTTCATCATTTTGATATAAACTCATTAAGCGAAATACTACTTTTATTGAAAAAGTTTGCATTTCAACCAAGTCTTAAAAAAGTAAATTCTAAGTTAATCTAGAGAAAAACAAGATAATTTAAAAAAATATAATTTATTTGAAGGATTATTTCATTTAATACTCTAAAATATAGGTGTATTTTAAATGTATTTCAAATATTCACATTATCGTATTAAAGGAAAAGTAGGTTGTAAGACTATCGCTTTAAAATTGATCTGTTAGCATAGATAATATATATAAGAAAATTCTTTAAGTGATGCTAACAATTATATTTATGAAGAATATACTTATCAATATAACATAGAAAACTATGAAAAAATCTTTCATTGATTTAATTAGTTTTAAGTTAATACATTAAGGTTTTACGAACTTTGTATTTGAGAATAAATTCAGATCTTTTAGACTTCTTTTATTTCAGATATTCAAAATGGATTCACTATAATTACATATTTTGGATAATATTATTTTCTATAGGAAAATAGCTCCATCAAAACAAAATCTTAGTTTAATCATATTTTATCATTATTTCTGAATATTTATATAAAACGTCTGGAAACATCATCGATCTTTGAGTCTAAAAGAAGGAAATCTAGAATGGCAATTCTATATAATAGAATTCTTCAAAAAAGATTAATGCTAATGATTCTCAATTGAGTAAGATATTGAGTGCTGATATGTAGAATTAGTCCTCAATTCCTAAGATATTATGGAAAGATGGATGCCTGAGTGTGATGAACAAGGGAATAAATTTAGTAATTTTAATTTCAAATTTCATCCATCTATATAGTTGATTTCGTAACAATAAGTAATGGTATTATAATTGGTAGCATTGTCTTCAACTTTATAATCAGTTTCTTCCTATTATATTATAATATATACATGGCACAACTTTTCTAGTTGATCCACTTAGTAGTTGTTTTCTTTCAAATAATTGTCTTATTTTATTGAGAGACCAGTAAATAACATACACCTTCAAGAGTATTTTCAATTTGCTTAGTTAATTTCAATTCCTGGCTATTGAGATTCTAAAAGGGATTCTATTTCTCGCTTTTTCTTTTCTGTTTTAGGGGCAGTCCCTAATTTTGTGAGATCTTAAGCTATAACATCCTATGGTATGTGGGTAATCCAAGATTAATAGGAAAAGTGCATGAATATTATTATTTATAATTCAATTCACTTTGCAGCTTTCTTCAAGGGAATGAAGTACTTCTGGTTGAGAATTAGGTAAGCTAGGAAGTGACCTGTGCCATACACGAATCCTGTAAGAAGTGGATACAGGACAAGCTTTTTCAATAGTTGTTTTTCATCCTTTTTGTCTGAGATTAGGTCTCGATAGTCCATTAATTATTTTTATTTGTGATGTTAAGATTAAGTTTAAACTTGTTTAGAAGAAGTGGATTTCGTTACTCCAAGCCTTGCATGCTCTTTTCTCAAGATAAGGAACCTCCAAAAGGTATTTTTACTATTTTGGACACGTAGGCTTCCAAAAATTTCAAAGAAAATCGAGAATCCAACAAGAACAATCCATTTAACCAAATGAGGAGAAGAAGGCCTCGGAGAAACCCAATCAGGAGGAAGCAGAAAAGATCATCAAGGAGGAGTAATAACAAGATGATGAAACTCCGAAAGGTACTTTTATGAGCATAAATTGTGATAGTGGAAAAGCCATAGAAAAAGAAGTACCAATTTACCTATGATCCCAAATCCTTCAAATTATAGGAGGAGGAGTAGAAGGCAGAGAAGTTGAAATAAGATTAATAGGAGAAGTAGGACAAATAGGAAGAGAAGTAAGAAAAATAGGAGAATCAAGAAGAAGAAGAATAATCGCAATAGCAGCAACAAAAGTAAGAGAAGAAAAAACCATTGCTTCCAGAAATTGATTTTACCAAGATTCAAGAGTACCTAAAGAATCCAAAGAATCGCAATTATATTTTCATGTTTTTGGGTGTCAGTGGTTTAGCAGCACTTTACACTTATTTGAATATGGAAGAACAAATCACTTATACTGAGTTTCTTAAGAATTATCTAGAAACTAACCAAGTTAGTGCAATCAAAGTGTATAATAATGATAAAAGCAAAGTAAATTAAGCTTCAATCATTACAACCAGAGGAGAATCGAAAAAGTTAATTCTTGGAAATGTGGATCATTTCTTAGAAAATCTAGAACGATATTAAACTGAAAAAGGAGTGTATCCTGAATAGTTTATTCCAGTCTCATTTGAGATCTAAATAGACAAAGCAAAGATGGTTGATAGAGCATTGAATTTTGTGTATTATGGGGTTTCACTTTTGGTCATCATTTATTTGTTTAAATCTTTCAAAGGAAGTATGGGGAATATGGGAAAAGGAGGTGGAAGTGGTGGAAATGATGTGTTTGGTTTTGGTAAATCAAATGTAAAATAATTTGGATTTGAATAAAACGTAAAGGTCAAATTTAAGGATGTGGCTGGATTGGATGAAGCTAAATTAGAAATCAAAGAATTTGTAGACTTTCTCAAGAAACCTAGAAAATATAAAGAAATGGGAGCTAAACTACCAAGAGGAGCCTTATTGGCTGGACCTCCAGGAACTGGTAAAACGATGGTAGCAAAGGCTTGTGCAGGTGAGGCTGGAGTTCCATTCTTTTTTGTGAGTGGTTCAGATTTCGTTGAGATGTTTGTCGGAGTTGGTGCCAGTAGAGTCAGAGATCTATTCAAATAAGCAAAAGCAAAGTCTCCCAGTATTATTTTTATAGATGAAATCGATGCAGTTGGTAGAAAGAGAGATGCTAAAATTGGTGGTAATGATGAAAGAGATAATACATTGAATTAATTATTAGTTGAAATGGATGGATTTGGAACTGATACTAATGTTATTGTTTTAGCTGCCACTAATAGAAAAGAATTACTAGATCCAGCACTCACTAGACCTGGTAGATTTGATAGATCAATTGGATATCACATTGCCAGATATCGAAGGTAGAAAATAAATCTTCATGGTTCATTTGGCTCCAATTAAGTTGGATCCCTCTAAGACTATGGAAGAATACGCAAGAAGATTGGCCACTCTAACTCCAGGATTCAGTGGAGCTGAAATTGCCAATCTTTGTAATGAGGCTGCTATTATGGCAGCTAGAGCTAATAAGACATATGTGGACTCTCATGATTTTGAGATGGCATCAGAAAGAGTCATGGCTGGTTTAGAGAAGAAAAGAATCATAAGTGAAGAAGAAAGGAAAGACAGTTGCATATCATGAATCTGGACATGCTGTTGCCAGTTGGTTCTTAAAGGGAGGACATCCACTTCTTAAATTAACTATCATTCCTAGAAGCAAGGGCTCATTAGGATATGCTTAATATCTGCCTAATGAATCCAGTCTAGAGACCAAACAAGAATTATTGGATAGAATTTGTTGTATATTGGGAGGCAGAGTGGCTGAAGAGATTTTCTTTGGATAAGTCACTACTGGAGCCTATGATGATTTAAAGAAAGCTTATGATGTTGCTCACAGCATAGTGACTAAGTTTGGTATGAATGAGAACATTGGGTATGTGGGATTTCAGGAGGGAGAGTTCTAGAAACCTTATAGTGATAGCACGAATAAGTAGATCGACGATGAAATTAGGAAGCTTATTGAAGAACAGACTTAAAGAACTAGGTTATTGATCACTGAGAAAAAGGAGTTTGTTAATAAGTATCTTTTTGATTAGCATTTAGATTGGCGTCTACTTTGTTAGAAAAGGAGACTCTAGACTTACAAAAAATAATAGAAGTTTTGGGAGAAAGACCATTTGCACCGAAATCCAATTATAAGGCCTATCTAGAAATCAAAAAGGAAGATTCACAAACAGCCCCCGCATGAATTATATATATTTATGTATTTTTTAATAGTATTGATTGGATTCTCTACCTGAACACGGGTATAATTTTATTATATAATAATATTTGGGAATTTAAAACAAATGTATCTTTTTAAATAAATTAGGATTAAAGCAGAACATATAAGTGTAGGTAAAATTATTAAATTAAATTATCTTCTGTTTTTATGATACATACCAATAAGCATTCTAAAAAAGCTAGAAAGTCAAAGAACAGTGATGATTTCACTGAACCTAATCTAAAATTATTACTAGAACGTTTCCCCTACACCATAAGAGATTTTCAATTTAAAGATGTTCCTGTACTCCTCATAGATCAAACCTTTTTCAATGATCCATTCGGAATTGTAAAACTGATTCCACCACCAGATCTAGTGGTTCCAAACCAGAAATTTTTCTCTCAGTTAGGGTCTAGACTCTAGGGCAAGAGAATTCAAACTCGTATCTAAACACTAAACAATAAAAGGGCTGGAGAGGTATTTTCGTGTTTTAGAGTAGACTTTTTTGGATCTAACACTAAAGGCTTCACAGTGTAGGAGTATATGAATCTTGCTAATAAGTTTGATTGTGCTCATAGATTACAAGGAGTGAGAGAAGTTTCTAATCAAATTCGATAGAACGAGATAGAGTTCTGGTCAATCTTAGATTATCCAAAGTAGTATTGAGGTCGAATATGCAGAAGATCTTTTGGCATCCAAATATACCACAGGCTATTAGGAGGGGTAGATAGGCAATCCTAATGGTATAAAAAAAAACTTGAATTCTATTATTTAAGTACTTCAGGAAAAGAATGAAATCAATGGAATCTCAGTGTTTTGGTTGTATTTGGGCATTAAATATGCTAACTTCTGTTGGCATAAAGAGAATCTTAATTTATATTCAGTGAACTATATGCATGCAGGAGCTGCAAAGACACGGTATTTTTGGTGGAAATTGTCTATTTTTCTTGAGTTTCCCCTTGGAATGGTTGCTGTGTAAGGTAGCCTTGATGGCTGAATAGATTGGGTTCACAAAATAAACATGGTAAAAAGTATATATTTTAAATTTGCATCTAAGTTGTATGAAAAATTCAAACAAATGATGGATTTAGAAATTAGCAAACGTAATTTTATACTAAATTTGTATGATCAGGTAAAAACTATTTAATTTGCTAATTAGTAGGAGAAGTATGATAGAAGTGTTTGCAAGATCTGTTCCAATTATATGTTTTTAAGTTATGTTTTTGCTGGAAATAATATAATCCTTAATTTTACTGGATGTTTAAAGAAGGGATGTATCAGTCACAAAATGCATTTGTGCTTGCAGTATCTCTCTATATTCGATACAATAGTAAAGAACTGCAGGGGATGCTGGCTTTGTTAGAGTCCAAAATCAGAACAACGGGGTCGTGATTTAATACTTTTTATATTATATTTTAACAGAAAATAGGGAATAAAATTAACAATAAAAAAAATAACAAATTGCCTGTGCATGTCTGAAATTGATAATACCTCTCAAGAGAATACTCTTGAACTACCTAAATTTGAGGAAACCCTCCCTGATTTTAAACCTGAACCTCGTAAAGATCTCAAGTATGAAATCAAACATGAACCCAAATCCTCATTTGGTCAATCATCCAAAGACCTCATTGAATAATACAAAAGTAAATTTAATGCCTTCAAACAATTGTCGGATGATCAACAACCATTAGCCATGGAACCATCAGTCATTGAAAAATCTGAAAAATCTGACATCTGGAGAAGCGATGCTGAAATTCTCAAATCTCCCAAAGAATGGGATTGGAATATATTGGGATCCAAAAAGGCTTCAACAACCAATAATTAAATTCAATTTGATGTCCATGTACCAGATCCTATGGTAAGTGAATAGGAACACAAAGCATAAATTGCCTAACATAGACAAATGATTTTGGGTGTATTAGACCAGAGAATTGAGCCAGGTTTAAAATTGCCATAATCTCATTAACCTTAGAAGCCAATTGTTGGTGAGTAATAACATTCCAATTATTAAAACATTTTGGAAAAGTTCAGAAGTGCTTCATCCTTGGATGATTTGACAACATTATTCAATACTGTTTAATAAAGAAAGGTAGTCGACTAAGCAGCTCCTTAATAATAGTAGTAAGAGGATCTGTTCTCTAATCTTGATATCAGAAGAAACAAGAAGGCTGAGACTCAAATTCAATAGTACAAGACACCTAGTAAATCATAAGAGGAGATCTTTGAATACGGTTCAGGTAACAGAACAACCTCATTCTTCTAAAAGAAACCATCAGCCTAAAAGCAGCCACTCTAAAGTCCAAGTTTGGGCAATCATTTCAACTATAGATCTGATTAATCAGTAACTTCGAAGGTCACTTAAAATATGAACTTCTAAGTTGATGTCAAGGATCATAGTAAGACCAGTAAGAGAAAGGAAGAACTTCAAAGCTTCATGGGTAAATTAGGTTTAGGTAAATACGACACTCCTAAGGTGGTGATCAATTTGGAGAGTAATGCTCAGAGCAGTATGCAATTTATAAATATATGTAGATTCCACAATAGACAGAATGAGACAGTATGTAAATGGAACTCCAATTAGTGCGAGAAAGAGTGGAGGAGGTTTAGGTGATTTGATAAATGAGCGATCTCTGAATACTACAACATTCAAGTAGTAGATAAAATCATATCACAAATCTGGTTCAAAATAGGATGCATAAGGAAGAATGAGTGCAGATACTCAAAACTTGTCAGAATAATCACTTAGAAATTTGCATCTGAAATTGGTACACCAATAGAAGAATGGAATTGGAAATTCTGGATTAAAATATGCCAGATGTTGATTTAATATATACTTTTTTATATATCCATCTATAGGTTGAAAATATAATAAAAGTCAACAGCAAAGATCCTCTTACTTTTTCTTCTCTTGTTGTTATTGTTATTATCTATTTTGGAGTCTTAAATTCGATGTCTTCCTAACTACAGCCCTCGTATTATGAAGTTCTCGATTCAATATGTTTTTTGTGATATGCGTGAAGGCAGCTTCAATATTGATTGACGATTTGGCGCTGGTTTCATAAAATGGAATTTAATATAATCTCGCTAATACGATTTTAAGGGAACAGTACATAATTCTAGTCCTTCTTCATATGATACTTCTCTTCGCTCAGTGATATCTGCTTTGTTGCCAACTAATAATCTATTTACTGATTCTGAGGCATATCTAAGGGTTTTTTGAAAGAATTACTTATCGATTTCTGCCATCCAAGTTTTCACATTTTCAAAGGACTCTCTATCAGTGATGTCATAAACGATTATGATTCCTTGAGCCCCTCTATAATAACTGCATGTGATTGTTCTGAATCGATCTTGACCTGCAGTATCCCACTAAGATAATGAAATAATTGAATACAATTTGCAGTTTAACATTGTGCTCTCCCAAAGCAATAGTTTTGGTTTTGAAATCAACTCCTATTGTGTTGTAAAAGTTGTTTGTGAATTAGTTTTCCTTGAGATTATGAGAAATAGTACAGAATAACGCATAAGCATACACGATTTGCCCACACCGGAATTTCCGATCAGTAAAACCTTGAATAGGAAATGACTAAGTAAATTATAAAAGAAATCTTACTAATCAGAGTTGGAGTTCATTTGTATTTCAAATATTTATTTATTACGGTTAATAATTAAATAAATAATGCGTAAGTTTATTTCAGCATTTGGATTTAGTAACACTATTGGATTCATTGGTTTGGGTAATATGGGAGTATCATTTATAATGTATGATCCAAATAGATTGGCATGGCACATAATCTGGCCAAGACTCGAGTCGTATATGCATACGATGTCAGTCCTGCATGGCAATCAAACATTGAATCATCCAATATTAAACCTGTGAATCAGGTTGCAGATGTCGCTGCAAATGCAGATACAATCATTACAATGTTGCCAAATGACAAGATTGTCAAAAGTGTGGCCTAAGAAATCTTCAAGAAGTCAAAGAAGATATTGATTGATTCATCTACAATCTCTCCCTATACCTCCTATGAATTGGCCAAAATGGCTTAAGATACTTAAAACATTTACGCAGATGCTCCAGTCTCTGGCAGTGTTAGTGAGGCTAAATTGGGAACCATCACATTCATGGTTGGAGCAGAGAAGGAATTATATGAAAAAATATCTCCAATTCTCAAAGAAATGGGAAAAAATATTTTCAATTGTGGAAAGATTGGAGAAGGACAAATTGCTAAGATGTGCGGCAACATGGCTTTGGCTATTCAAATGATAAGTGTTTGTGAAGCATTGGCCTTGGGAAAAAACATGGGAATGGATCCAGCCATGTTGAGTTCCATAATGTCTGTGAGTTCTTCAAGATGCTGGACTGTGGATACTTATAATCCAGCACCAGGAGTTATGCCTAATGTTCCTAGCAATAAAGATTACGATGGAGGATTCATGGTTGAATTGATGCTCAAGGATCTTGGAATTGGTATCGAAGCATCCAGGTTAAGTGGAACTGATACATAATTAGGATAGCATGCTTATTAGATCTATAATAAACTGAATGAACATCTTGGAAAGAAAGATTTTGCAATTGTCTACAAAGAATTAATCAAATGTAAATGATATAGATATATAAATTATACAATACATATGTATAAATGAATCATAAGTCGTCTCTCTTATCATTACTTACAGTTTCCCATTTAGCATCATCTGTATTTACTTTTTCCCATTTAGTTCCATCATCACTTTGAGGTGGTTCTGATGATGCTTCTGGTTCTTCTTCGATTTCTACTTCAAATTCTTTGACTGGAGCATCTCTATCAATACCCAAAGCAGAATTAAATAATTTATAGAATCTACTAGCAAACTTCTCAGGATTTGGAATTGAGTAACCTAAAATTAGAATATTCTAATACCTGAATTGACTAAAGCAGCTTCATACAAAACCTTAGCCATTTCTTCTGTTTCTTAATCTGGATCATCTTTCACTCTTTATAATAATTCTTAAATGGCTTAGTGATTTGGATTGATTTCTACGATCTTCTTACCGAATTATTGGGAACCAGCTTTGCTTGAATAAGCTTGAGCCTTTGAAATTCTTTCCATATTTGCAGAGTATCCTGATTCAGAAGAAACTACAATGATTGGATCATCAATTAATCTTTAAGAAATGATAACTGAATCAACATTTTCTGATAGTAATTTTCTCCACCAATCAGTCAATGGTTAGAATACTTTCTTCAAAGCCTTTTATTTCTTTCTTTGTTCATCATTATCTTCTGGTTATTTGAAATCACCTTTTCCAACATTAGTTAATTTCTTTTATTTGTATTCATTTAAATGTTAAAATGTGAATTCATCAACTGGATCTTCCAATAAAAGTACTTCATATCCTTTCTTCAATAATCCTTAGATAATTGGTGAAGAAAGTAATTGTTCCTTGTTCTCACCAGCTAAGTAATAGATTGAGTCTTATCCTGGTTTAGCTCTTTCAATGTAATCATCAAATGATGTCAATTCAGTTGCATTCTTGCTTGAGTACCATCTAATGATATAAACTATTAATGTACCTTGTCAATTCAGCCAATTTCTATCTGTTTGATGAATCTTCAATGACACCCAATTTGATATTCTTTCCATACTCTTTCCAGAATTCATTATACTCATCTATCTTCTTCTTTCTCTTCTCATCCTTCAATCTTTGTTATTCTTCAGGCGTTGTTTCTGCCATGCTGTCATCCTCTTCACCTTCTTCAGTATCTTCCTCATCTTCATCATCATAAGAAGCAGCATCTTAGAATAATTCTAAGATCTTCTTAACAATCTTTCTACTGATAACCTTCAACATCTTAAGTTATTAAAGTGTTTCTCTGTTGACATTCAATGGCAATTCATCTGAATCAATAACACCTTTAACAAAACTCAAATATCTTGGAAGTATATCTTCGAATTCTTCACTGATTAAGACTCTTCTCACATACAATTTCAAACTTGTAGTTTATTTACCATAATAATTATCAAACATATCACTTGGTGCTCTTTTAGGGATATAAATAAGAGATGTAAATTCGACTTCTCCTTCAGCTTTGAAATGCACCCAATTGAAAGGATCTTCACCAGAGTTCTTTGATAAGACTTTATAGAATTTCTTGTAATCATCATCAGAGATCTCCTCCTTTGGTCTCAACCAAATAGCTTTGTTCTCATTGATCTAAACCCACTCAGACACTTTCTCCTTAATTGTCTTAGTAGCTTTCTTGTTTGTATCTGCATCATCATCATCATCCTTAACCTTTTACTTCATCATCATCTGTATTCTCTTATTGATCCTATTATTATTCTGGTTCTTCCTCTACTTATTTTGAGATTTCTCTAGTCACCTTCAAATAGATGGGGAAATTGATAAATTCAGAATATTTTTTGATTAATTCTTTAATTGTGCTTTCCTCTGCAAATTCAACAGCATCTTATTTCAAAATGAATAGTGACTTGAGTACCACGTCCTAAGGTATTACCTCTTGGATCTTTTGATACTGCAAATGAATGTGCTGCTTGAGATTCCCAAATGTATTAATCATCATCTGTATTTTTTGATGCAACTGTGACCTTTTAACCTGCCAAGAAACATGAATAAAAACCAACACCAAATTAACCAATCAAGTTAACGTTGCCTCCCTTGATTGCTTCAATGAATTAAGTGGTTCCTGATTTTGCAATTGTACCCAAATTTGATATTAAATCATTCTTTGACATACCAATACCGCTATCTGTGACAGAAACTGTCTTCTCTTCGGTGTTTATTTCAATTCTAATAGCCAATTCAGTTTTATCTCCCAGAATTTCTGGATTCTTTACACTCAAAAATCGAATTTTATCTAGTGCATCAGCTGCATTAGAGATTAACTCTCTGAGAAAGATCTCCTTTTAAGTATAAAGAGAATTGATTAGAATATCCATCAACCTACCTGTTTCTGCTTAAAATTCGTGTGTTTCTTAAGACTATTCCAATAACTTCTTTTATTCTTCAGTCAAATCTTGAGTCATCACCTAAACCCCAGATAGCATAAAGAGTAGCAACAACCCAAAGGCCTTTCTATTTCGTATGCATTAAAAATATTTATGATTCTGCGCAAGAATTGCATCAACATATATATAATAACACGTGTTCCCACACATTCTAGAAATTAATTTAAAAATAGCTCGTCAAACATAATATACATTATTGGGTATATTTCAAATGATCACTATTAAATTTAATATTGATGGTAGAGCAGCAACGAGTTCATTTCTAAGGATTACTTGGAGCCGCTGCTTCTCTCATCTCCACACTTGCTGTGTAACCTCTGGAGGTTATTAAAATGGTCATGATTGTTAAGTCCAATTCCACAAACTATAAATTAACAAGTGCATATGGATCAGTGGAATACATACTAATCAATGAAGGACTCAATGGATTTTATCGCCCGGTTTGCGTAGCATTTTCTCTCTTTACATAAGGCCCTGCATTAGTAAGAAATATGAGTGCTGGTTTCCTATATTTTCAAATGCTATCCTATGTTACAAGCGAAGATCGCAATGTTTCCCAAGACTTTCTTGCCTCCTTTTTTCGCCAGAGGGTACATCACTCATCTAATATTCAAGACTGTCCAATTTCATTACTAACCCAATTCTCCTAATTGAAACTCGCGCTGAAGTTCCTGGGTACTAATACATATCCTTATGGAAGACTGCGAGTACAATTGCAAAATAAGAAGGTGTAATGAGCTTCTTCAAAGGAGGTCTCACTTGCTCAATCAAAGACAGTCTATTCGCAGGAGTATTAATCCCCTTTATCTTTAGATCTATTATGTGGTTTATCGTAAAATGCATGAGATGCTCTTACCTGCTGATTCAGGCTTTTCCCCTTCAGTCACCTTCCTTTCTGGAATGGTCGCAGGTCTAGTGGGTACTTGTGCTAGTCACCCTTTCGAAATCTTGAGAGCCCGATTACAAACCAATTATTATACCGATCAAATGACCATCATGCAAAGATTCAGAAGCACATATCAAAACGAAGGACTTTATGGGTTTGCTTATTATTCCTATTCCTAGATTTACTAAAGGTCTCAGTCCGAGATTGGTTAGAAAACCTTTGGCCAATTCACTTTCATTTCTTCTTGTCGAACAATTAAATCATGTATTCTATGGTACTTAATTTCACTTTTGATTGTAATTTTAATGTAAATCACTTTAAAAGATTAACAATTCTCTAAATTTGATATAATTATTTATTGAGTTACAAAATTTATTATATTTTCACTAACTTTAGATTTCCATTCTACAACAAGTCTAATTACTTAATAAAACAATGTTCTAAAAATAGAATAATTAAACTTTTTATTATCAATCCAAAAAGAATACTAAAATTAATTAATCTAATTAAATATAATAATCAATTCATTTTAAAAAATTCGCATATGCCATCCCCAAAAGTGCAGCTGGTACCAAAGTAGAATCGGTTTTCATCGTATGTATCATTCGCTATTCCTGAGATTTCTCCATGCATTTCAATACTTTAGACGGAATCATACATAGAACTAGATGATAAGAATATTGTTACGTATTCAAGATGTGCAAATAGGAATTAGATTCAGCTAAGAACAAGTGGGATCCATTTTTTGAGAAACTAATGTTGTAGATGGGGTGTTCTGATCCGATAAACTACTATATGGGGACTTTGGGGGATCGCAAATCGTAGATGACAGCTGATCCATCCTCACTAGATGAAGCAAGTTGATAACTCTTGCTGGGATGGTAGGCCACAGCAAAACCAAATTCAGTGTGGGGTTCCAAACTATGTATGATAGTACCCGATTGAACATCCAATACATTTAATCCTAGTCTATCACCACAATAGGCAATTTATTTGCTGTCATTTACACTAGTTAGATTGACTGAAGCCTTATCTTGATAGGAGAAGATCTCTTTGAGTCCGTTTTAATAATCAAATATCCTTATGAATCCTCCATTATCATTGGAAACCAGATAGTTTTGATAGAAGTGAACATGGTTGATGAAATCTCTTTTTTGATTGACAATGTGTTTTTCTAATTTTCCATTAAGCAAATTAATTATCAATATGTCTCCACTCATTCCAGCTACGGCGCAAACGCTATCAATAACATCGAGTCCAAGTGCCTCAACTGGGATTCTGGTTGTGTCAGATTTTAACTTAGCCACATCGTAGAATACAATCTAATCAAAATGAGTGTGCAATAATAGATTAGGAATGCTTCCCATAGACAATGTATATTTTGATTGAAAATGAGCACTCTTCATATTTTATACTTGGTGAAACAATCTGAATTGATATTGGGTATCATCTTTTTTAATTAAGGGGAATTGTGTAGGGAACTTTTTTGGTGGCTTGTACCTGTTTTGTTTATAGGCCTATCGGTGATCAAGATATCGCTTTCTCTGATGAGGAGTGAGTCCTTAAAAGTTATTTTTGTCTCTGTTTGTTTGGACTAATTGCTATAATGGTTGGAGAATCATAAAATTAATTAATTAATAAATAACTTTTTATAATTTTTGAATACTTCAAAGCCTCTTGCCAAGATAATCTGTCATGATTTATTCGTTTTTATAATTTTTACATATATCCACGATTTATAGATATATGTCCCCAAAGGATTGAGGATTGATGTCTTTGACTTTCTCCAAAAAATATAACAATCTAAAATTAATCATGATATTATTACTATAGATAATCCGGGTAATACTTGGTATCACTAGAATAAGCAAACAACCCTTTGTTTGCTGTAATTCTATTTAGTTTTAGGATGTAACTTCCAAAATCTGGATTAATGTCAGTCACAGGGTAGTAGGCGGTTAAATTGTATCTCTCCAATTCCTGTGCTATTACTGAATGATATTTTATTTTTTTCTAAAGTTCCTAATCGATTACTTGAAGTTAATAGTAACTTTAATTATTTGGGTTTTTCTAATTTTATTTCTACATAGCACTCGAGTGTTCAAAGAAACACTATGCCAAACAGTGGAGATATAATTTGATTCCAAAGAACTCAGCCTTCAATTATGATTACATGTTCCTAAAATATATTAACTTTAAATTACAAATATTTATCTAAATTCTCTAATGCTTAATCCATTACAAATCCTGTTTAAAATAGTTAATCTGAAGTTCCTTTGACTTATTAAAACTGAAGTGGCTATCCTAAGATATGCATTTAAGAAATGGTAGGGAATCTTTAAGGTTATGGATTCATAAATTGTTTGGGTTATTAGTTCATTTGAGGTGCAATAAATGAATTAGTATTGGGTGGAACAGGAAAATTAGTAGGAAAAGGAGTAGAAAACACTTTCCCTTGAGGGAATTGAACTGGTTGTGTCCTAGAATCTATAAGGCATAATTACTTTTAAGCCTAAGGAAGAGGAGCAGTAAATGTTGGTTTAGGTAGATTTTAACAAATAGGAGGTACTTATTAATCAATATTCTATGTTTGAACTTGCTTTTAGTCTGGAATCTAAGCGGTCTCTTCTTCCTTTTCATCATCGGAATCTGTATTCTGGATAAGTCTAAGGGTATTATGAAATTGCTTACCCTGATTGATTAACTACTAAATTAGATTCCTCTAAAATGAGTGGATGTTTTAATAATCTTTCCCAACTTATTCTATTGTCCTCCTTATATTTGAGCATCGATTCAATCAAATCAGCAAACTCAGAAGTCATCTAAAAATGTCGATATTCTTACCTCTGGCCATTCTCTATTCACCACTATTGGGTTTGCTTCTAAATTTTTTAATGCCCTTTTTATTTATGTTTGATTGTGTGCAACATATGGCAATTTACCAAAAATCAATTCATAAATGATGATTCCTAACTAGATACTTATTCATTAAAAATGTTACTGAAAAAATGTCAGCAGAATTTGAGAAGTATTTCTCAAAATATAGTTAAGGAGCTACATATTTTGGCGTTCCCACTTTTGTGAATTCTGTGTTTTCTTCTAGCACTCTCGCCAAACCCAAGTCGGCTATCTAAGAGAACTCTAACTATGATGTACCTTGTAAACTCCGTTCAAAATTAATATGTTTGCAGGCTTAAGATCTCTATGGATGATTTTATTAAAATAAAGCATCTTGTAACCATTGACTAGCTGTTTAAGGATGTTTAGAGCTTCACTTGGTTTGAAGTATTTGTCATCTCCCTTCTACTTCTTTTCCATAACTGATTAGAGATCACATTCACATTTCTCCATAATCATCACAATTCTGTCTTTAGTATATTCTACGTATTCTACTCTCACAATATTTTTGTTTCCCTTAGCATTAGTCATTATAATTTTCATTAATTCAATTTCCCTTTAAACCTTTGGGTCATCCAAACTATCCTCAATGATCTATATTATTATCAACTTTAACCTTTGCACACAATTTGAGATGTGGGTTTTATAAATCCGTGCATTAATAGACAATACCAAATTATCCTCTGCCTATTTCTAGGCCCTTATTGATCTCATAGGATTTAACCTTATAAATATCATGCGCGTTCATCTTTACAAATTTTATTAATAATAGAAATTGCTTTTTCTAATTTGTTAAATGAATTTATTTCATAATAATAGCAATCTCTATCATATTTGATTAATGCATTCTATAGAATTCCTCCCCTTTATTAAACCCTCGTCTCTTTCTTATCAGCATTATACTGAATTGCCCTTCCTATGTTCCTAAACTAAATTCTCCTTTTTTTGGCTCTCAACCATCAACATTCTATCCTCCAGTCTTTTAAGAATTATTCTCCAGACAGGGTTATTGATACCTTAATATCAGAGGTAATTGAAATAAAAAAGATACTATTGAATTATAATGTAAATATATAAATTTGAGATTCTATTAATTATAAATAATAGACTTTTTTTTAGTAGACAGTACTTATCTAAATCTGATTATAGATTAAATATTATAACCATGTATTTTTTCATATCAAAATAAAATCATATTATTTTATACATTATTTAACGAGCTATGTAATGAGCAAATTTATTCTTATGACCTCTAATCTTCTTTAAGACTTTGGCATAAATATGATAGTTGTTTATTAACTTAGCCACCTTGGTTATGTTGAAATGAGGATAGTATTTTTCAAATACTTACACCTTGTCTATGTTTAGATCAATATATGATATTTATGGATGAGGATCCTCCTGGATTTCCAAATTAGTATTTTAGTTGTTGTTAGGAGTAAATTAATTGTTGACATTATTATTCGATATTAAAAGACTTCTATTACTCAATTATGGGAATAACTTATTCCTAAATAAATTTTTGATATCTTGCTAATTGAGAGATTACTGATGAGAATGCAATCCAATTATCTACTCAGATTATTCGATCTCCTCTTCCTCCAATTTTGGAAATCCTAACCTTATTAATTGTTTGGTATCAACCTAGAGTATTGATTTTTGAAGATCCAGCATTTTCTCTAAGGCCTTTTCTCTAACATGAAACAACTTGACCCTCTTTCTTTTTCTTTATCGAATAAATTATTCTCTTGAGTGATCAATGTTGCAGTTGTAGGCTGATATGACTTTGTTTCTGTTTTTTCTAAAGAATAATAGTGGACAATGCTTGAATTGATGATGACTAGAACAGGCCTCACATTTTATTTGAGTAGAATTATCTCCAAATTGAGTCTTATCGAGAATAAGTCTGTACTTCTCATACTGACTTTTGTCTTTCTACAAGATTGATAAGAATTCATTCTAAGTAATATATGCAACCTAGACAAAAGTTTAAGCTACAATATCGAATTGCATGTAATCCTAGAAAAAGAACTCTCTTTCACAAAATAACTTTCCACTTGTATATGTTTTTATTGTTCTATCTAACAAAACTGACTTCACTTTCCCAGCCAACAGTATATACACCTTATCAGAATAATCATCCTTCTTAATTATGAATTCTTCTGGAGCATAAGTCTTTTCATGTACGCAGAAGCATAACTTCATCAGAGTCTCATCTGACAAGTTTTATCCAAATATTTTAGACTGCTTAAAATAACTATAATACATTGCTATTTGGACCTCTTATTTTAATTTTGGGTTCAATTACCCCATCAATTCATCCAAATCCAATTCCTCCTCCTACTTAAATTATAAGTAGTACTCTATATATTTCCTTACTCTAAATTACAATTAAGTATTCAACCCTCTTTACTTGATGTGATTACTCACAAGCCTAAGTTTAGAGTTGTTGATATTCTATTATTCCGCCAACTTATAAAAGATGCTTTAAATCATCCCCAACGCATAACCAAACGTTCCAACGACCAAAAATGTAAAACAAGTTACCAATATTTTCTCTGGTGTTGTAACTGGTATGATGTCTCCATATCCAACTGTCATAGAAGTTATGGTCACCCAATAAAGAGATGTAAAATATTTCACATATGCGTTGGCTTCATAAATATCCTATTGATGTAACCACGTGTGTGAATAGCCAAAGTCTACTTCCAAAATGGCAAAGTAATGAAATAAACAAGCACAAAAATGAGATATCAACAACAATGAGTAGATTAAACAAAATAAAGAGTATATTACAGCTGTTTTTTCTTTGAAATTTGAGATTTCTTCTATCACCACCATCGTCCTTCTGACTTTAGTCATTCTGATTAACATTAAATAGTTAGCAAATTAATATCCGAACCAAGAAATTATAAACGGTAACACAACTATTAAATCAAGGAAGAACTCTCCTTTAATGTAATGCCAAAAGATATCCTTCTTTGAAGTGTGTAAGATTCCTCTTGCATAATAACCCTTGAAGAAGTTGAGAATTAACTCCATCAAGAATACGCAACTTGGTATTGTGCTGAATAATAGATACGCATTTCCTATCTATTCCTTATTCAAATCAAATGACAACTGAAGGGGAACGTAGAGAATATTGACAATTGTTACAAACATCAAGATTACATCCCAAACAAATAGAAATTTATCTGCTGGCAAAAGAACTGTTTGATTACTCTTAAGAAAAGTCCATATTCTCCACCAAAATTCATTTTTCTGTTTCTGCTCGTATTTAACTTCACCATACTAATATCGACTTAAATTATATCATACTCTAGTAGATTTAGTTTACAAGAGGCCATTATACAGATAGTATTAAAATGAGCTACTAAGGTCGTGTATCAAATTGAAAATGTCCTTGTTCAAAATTTTAAACCTGTACTGCGTTGAGAAATGTTTCATTTTTGTTATGAAAATGGCTACTTTCTAAATAATCTTGAGTGGTTTCAGTTTCCATACGCTATTTATGTATTTGAATTTACTCATTGTTCTCTAAGAGCTGTATCTCTTACTCAACATTATTCATCGCTTCCACTTCTATCAGTTTATCGGCTTATTATCTTGCTTCTTTCCGAGTAAATTAGATTAGGAATTTTGGTTTGCTCATTCTATTAATATAGCTTATAATAATTATAACAATTAATTTGTAATTTCAGATTCCAATTAAAAATGGACCATCTAACGCTCAGACATATTAGTTGTATGCAATTTAGAAAAAGATGAAATCTCAACTTTTAACGGATTCTTAAAAATTTCCATCTCCAATTATGTCTTCTTCAAATTAACTCAGATTATTATAATATTGACTTTGCCACAAAGGAGTCAGAAGTATGGATTTATTCCAATAATTTTGTGTGAATATAAATAAGACAAATTAAATTCGAAAATCCCTATCGAAGTTTTTAATTAATAATAATTAATATATTTATTATTTAAATAGAAACAAAGAGAATATAATCAGAATTTATTAAACACATACATTAAAAGAATCATGACAAAAGTGTTCTCATTTGATTATTCAAAATGCATAAGAGAATTGATAAATGAGCTATAAAAGTAACAATAAATCTAGAGGTGGAAGTCTTAACATAGAAAATATTATAAATAATCATTTTTTCTTAAAAAAGTTATCTAATTTCATAGAGCCTGCCCCAGTTGATGAAGTTTTGGGTTTTGAAGTTTTATTTGGTATACTTACTACAGGTTCAGAAGGTTTAACTTCTTGGTTTTTTGTTTACACTTCTTTGACTGGTTCTTCAATTATTGGATCATTCTTTATGACGAACTCTTCAATGATTGGTAATAGATTTTATTCTTTAGGCTAGTTTTAACTTTGAGATTAGTCTGATTGTTTGCTCTTCAATATAATTTTGGGCTTCTTCATTACAGAATCTTATTATGCTTTCGATTCTTTATTAATTGTTTCTTAAGCTATAGTATTGTTTTCATTAATGATTTTTAAAGAATCATTCTTGACTGGATCTGTGGATTTTAGTTGCTTTGACACATTGACTTACGTGTTCAAATCGGATGAATCATTTTTTCTCTTATGATCCAACCCGTCAACCTTTTTATTTACAACTACCTTTTGGGACTCTACTGTCATAGCTTGCACTAAACTTGATAAATTCACTTCATGAACGGTCACTTTAAGAGGCGCTTGTCCTCTAAAAAATATTGATGAGCAGCATACCCAAAGGAAGGGGGAAAGAGGTCTTCATCTACAATCTGGTTTTTATCTGCCAAGGCATATAATGAAATATCCTTAATCTTCATATTCTTATTTATTTGATCTGCAGATAACAATGCACTAACTAATCCATATCCATCATTCGCTTCTTGCAACACTGTGAAAACAGCATCCACTTGTTGGACATTCTATTCATAATATTTATTAAATGCTCTAAAATAAATTGAAACCCATTAAATACTAAATAGCTTGAAGTCTTTAATCCGGAAATTTTTATAATAAATGAGTTCTTGTAACCTATTATCTAAATTAAATTTACCATTCTTTCTGAACCAATCTCATGTTTTATAAATGAATATATATCTTCCATTTTAATTGCAATTGAGCGGGAGAAATTATTTAATTTATTTAACTAAAAATAATCTCTTACTATTTTTATAGTATGAATTTACGATATTTTCAACATTATCTACTTCAAATTTCAATCAAATAGAAATAGAAATATGAAGAAAATCACTATTATTTGTAATCAGAGAGTATTCATTATATAATGATATTTAATTATAACAACAAAATGACCATGATGAATTTATTCTCATTATTTTCATTATGGATCAATCATTCATACTATAATAATAATTTTATTTAATTTAAATTAGAATTTATGTTAAATTAGTTCCATAGTTTTCCAAAAATCACATCAAAACTTTCTTTTAGATTTATATCCACTTCTTGTGCCTTTTTGGGTAATGATATTATTTCCAGACTTTCGTGGCAATCTCCTTGTGTTTGTCTAGCAACCTCTATTAGAATCGGTGTTCTGACAAATCGGAATTGTGATACAAATTTTGAATGCCTTGTTCCAACTGTTCTTAAGTTAGGATTGGCATAGCTTCAATGTGCATATCTTCTATGTCTTTATGTTTGGAATAATTATTCTTAACCTACAGCTTTAGAGCTTCATCATCTTATTTCTTTTTTTCGTATCTCCTTTACAATTAAAGCAACTTGCCTTCTGTGTTGATGATGGCCATCAATTTGTTTTCTCTATCTGTATCCTCGACAATAGTGCTTAACTAAGACTAATCAGTAGAAATTCTATTCTTGATGTTGAGGTTATTCTCTTTGATCTCAATTCTCCTCAATTCCCCTAACAAATATCTCTTTCTCTTCGTCATTAAGTCTAAGTGCTTAATAACTCATAGACAATTACTTTTATCGTCCAATATTTTTTCGACCTGCTTATTCAGGTAATTGTTAAGATAGTCGTTCTTCTTTTGAATTTGCAAATCCTCTCTTATATGTTATTCCAAGACATCCTTGCTTTGAGATCCGTTTAGAGAAATATTCGCAGCTTTAGTGAGATTCATAAGTGCCACATCTGATAGGCTCTTGCGATACAATGGATTATCGTCCACGTCCAGGAGTAATGAATTAATTATGCTTGGTGATTTTATTTCAGGTAATGAATCTTTGCTTACTAAAACAGTCTTTTTCAGTTTTTGTTCTTCTTATTTAATTAATTCGTGTCTCATTGCATCCCCCAATTCCGTAATTAATAATCTATTCATTTTAATGTCGAAAATTAATATATTAGAAATGATTGATTTGTATCAAATATAAACGGTAATTCTAGTAAGGGGGATTGTCATGGTGATTGATTAAATTTAAGTGATGATTGCAATAAATTAATTGCATTCCTACTACTGCAAGGGAGGTTGCATACAACCAATAGAATGATGAAGGAAATGAATTAGATATATAAATTTAATTTATCAATTAATTGCGATGGGAATGTTTGCAATTTAGAGATTAAAATTTAATGTGTGATATTAATATTTATAAATGCAATCTCGTTCATAAAGAAGAAGAAGAATATTGAAATAATGCATTCAAAAAAAGAGTAAAATAGAAGACAATGCACATGTAACTCAGGAAATAGATTCTGATTACGAGGATGTAAGTGAAATGGAGGAAGATGAGCATATTCAATACGAAGATGAATTTGATGATGAATATGGTAAATTATCAAAGTAATTTAGTTAGAGAGTGAAGAAGGCGAAATCAATATTGATAGTGAAGATGAAGAAATGTTGTAAAAGGAAGAATAATCCCAAGAACCATCAGAATAAACATAATAATAATAGTAACCCTTACAGTAATAATCTAAACTTGTGAGAAAGAAGAAGGGTATGGAATAGGAGACTCAGGAGAATCAAAAGAGAGTGTGGTTCTATGATGAAGCTGAAAATTTAGATTTCGATAATCGGGCTTATAATATGTTACATAGAGTCACAACTGAATGGCCTTGTTTGTCTTGTGACTTTGTGTTGACAGAAGAAGAACAATTACAATACAAAAATAAGGAATACCATAAGATGAACAAGTATCCTTACACTGTGTATATGGCAGCTGGAACTCAAGCAGCATAGCCAACCAAAAATTAAATATACTTATTGAAATTGTCTAAAATGCACAAAACTAAATACGATGATGATGACGCCTCTCTATCAGAAGATGATAGTGAGGATGACAATCTTAGTAATGATGAAGAAGGATAAGTGCATTTGAGTAGTGTTACAGGGCTTAAATGTGGAGTCAATAGAATTAAAACTATGAATGGATAAGCCATTGCAGCCTATTGGAATGAAAATGGAGATGTAAGCATTTTAGATTTGAATCCATTATATAAAAAGCTTTTGACAAATTAATAATCATAATTTAATTTGTCACAATTACACCACAAAGTATTCAAAAATTAACATGAAGGATTTGCATTGGATTGGAGTCGTTTGAAATTAGGTGATTTAATCAGTGGTTCATCAGATGGAAAGATTTACTTATATCAATTAAACAACAATGATTGGATTCGAGAGAATAAAGCTTATGAATATCATAAGGGAAGTGTCGAAGATTTATAGTTCTCTCCAATCGAGAGTTTTGTGTTTGCTTCTTGTTCTAGTGATGGATCTCTATGCATTGTTGATACTAGAGAAGGAAAGCATAAGCAAGCTCAGATTTTAGTTAAAGCACATAATTGTGATGTGAATGTTATCTCGTGGAATCAAGTATCAGCTACTCTTGTAGCTACAGGAGCTGATGATGGTTGCTTTAAAATTTGGGATTTGAAGTATCCCAAAAATGATGCAATTTCTGAAATCTAATTCCACAACAAAGCCATTACTTCTATCTAATTTTAACCCAACAGTGATTCTAGTATTGCTGTATCCTCAGAAGATCACAAATTGTCTATCTGGGATTTTGCTGTCGAGAATGAAAATAACAATGTCGATGATATTCCAGATTAATTAATGTTTGTGCATCAAGGATAGAAGGATCTCAAAGAATTGAGATATCATCCAATTTATTATGAAATGATAGTAAGCACTTCTGCAAATGGGTTCAATGTTTTTAAACCAACATTAGATGAAGAAGAGAAGAAATCAGAGCAATCTGAAGAAGACTAATCCTAGATTCCTGTTATCAAAGAAGAAGACCTAAATAAATATTTTTAATAGATGTCTATATAATGAAATATTTGTTTATTAATAATCATTTGTGTATAATAACATACTCTTTTGACTCAACTAATTAGTGACATTATTCTAAATCCAAATTAAAAACTAAACAAATTTCATCCAAAGTTTCCTAATTGAAAATCATATTCTTAATTGTTTCATTTGCATCTTTCAGTTTCTCATCATCCTTTAGTTTCTACCCTATGAATTAGCCTTCAATCCCCTTCTCAAATCTTTTCGAATACTCTAATGAGCATTCCATCTATTACTCTTATTGCTCTTTTGAATTTTTATCTTCCTCATTAAATCGTTCACTCATCTTAATATAATTAGATGGGGCAACTAAAAAAATGTTCTCCAAATTCTACGCTTTCTATATCTGACTTGCACAAATAAAAAAATATTCATGAACTCGATTCAAAAAATTGTTCAACTATCCATACCTAATCAATTTGGTTAAAGAAATCTAGAATATTTATGAAAATACATACAAATTCTAAAGAGGGCTTATTATTTTCAATGTAATCTTTAAGAATAAGTCCTCTTTTCATTTCAATGTAAAGGGTCTGCAAATATTGTTTAAGCAATTCAAAATCTAATGCCTATCCAAATTTCAACAAAAACGCTTCATGTGTCGTATTGACTATTTAGAGAATGTCCTCCTACTTAAAATCATGAGTAAAGAAGTTCTCATTAATTACATACATGTTTGTGATCTTTATCATATCCACTAAACGAACTAAATTGTATTCGATCATCTCCTTAATCGCAGTCTTTATTTATTCGGCCTTAAATTCTTTCAATTTTTGGCAGATTGCTCCCACACAATTAATGCCATTAATTTCAGGTATCAATTTTTCTAATATCGGATTGAATGCTGTTTAGACTCCTTGCTTTATATTAACTATTGGGAATGGCACTTGACTATATTTAATAATGATATTTTGTGGAGGCAATGGTTATTATGGTAATCTCAAGAACATGTATTGTGAATCATCAAATTCTACAAAGCTTTCATGTTCTGCGCTTATATTAATGTCCTAATATATTTGTTTAATTAGGGTGTGTATTTCCTCCTTATTTTCATCGTTTCGATAGATGTAATTCCTATTGACTTCAAGTTATGATATCACATATGCCAATTTCCTTACGATCTCAAAGTAGGCGTCTTGATTTTTTGAGAATTATTCTTTTTTCACCTTGATCGCAACACTTAAAACATAGATGGCTCTTCTATAAACTGAACCATTTCTCATAACCATTGGGATATTGATGATGTATTATGATTGATACTCTCTTGGGTTATTGATGATACATACATCATAAGTAATTTACCTCCAAGTTCTTCTTTGGGCAACAGAAAATCTCCCAATATTTCAATATTTATTGCTTATCTAAATGGAAAAGATATTGATGTTTTTACTCATGAGGATACTAGAGAATGGCTTATTTGCCGATTAAGTCATGGAATTCACACAGAATAATTGATTCAATCATAATAATTAATTTAATATCTCCTTAATTTCCTCTTTCAGTCTTTTTCCAAAGGAGGGGCATTCATTAACATGTTTGGAAATTAAGCTGAAAAAGAATTTGTTATCAACCTTCTTCAACTAGATCAATTTATTGAGTTATTATAACAATTTCCTAAAACTTTAAGAATAGTTAGCATACTCATTGAATTCCTATTAGATTTCTATAGTCGTTTACGAATTCGATGGGTTCATATTCTTTTTGGGCTTACTATCCTGCTTCTTTTTGATTTACTCTTTCGACAATGATTTCGATGATTTTGATTATTTTGGTTATTTCTCTGGTCTGTCAGAATTCTTATTAGTTTTTTATTGCGTAGTGTCTTTGAAAACTTGCACTTCGCATTCTTCATATTGCTTCTCTTTTTATGTTTCTTCGAAAACAGAACTGCTTTTGAAAATATTTTCTAATTATTTACTTTGAACCTAAATCTATGTAACTAACAATTTACATTATTCAATTCATTGATAATATTTTTGAATTAATCTCGCTTATTAGCAGAAGAAGTTTTGATTTGTAATTTTTAATTTTGAATTTTTTTTTCTTCTGTCTTTTGAGGAATGTCATTTAAATCATGTTTACCCATGAAGATGTCTGAGTATTTCAATGGTTCTTGGATTTTGTCATTTGTCAAATATCTATTGTATTTAGCCAACATTTCTCGTTCCTCATTATTTAATAATTCCATAGTTATTTATATAATTATGATCAAAACTGAGTTCTATTAAAATTTCGCAATCGCTCAACCTCTTTGACAAACTCCACCATCTGCATAAATGTCAATGATTATGTAAATTAACACACTGTCTCATCCACTTCCTATTAAATTAATTTCAAATTCTTCATTTCTTTGTTTAATTGGAGTAAATACCTATGTACTTAAAACAAGACATACTTTTAAGATACTTTGCGATGATTCAATAATTTATCTATGATTGGGAGTACCTTGTATATCAAATTATTGTCTTCTATTTTTGTAAATTTCTTTACAATCTCAACATAATTATTGAATTCCTCATCATCTAAATTAATGTGTTCACTTACAAGTGTTCCCTCCATCATTGGTACTTATTAGTAATAATCCGTAATTTCCTTTCAAGAAGTTTCTCTGGATATTTTTGATTGCGTATTTGATATAATCTTTTCTTTTAATGCCGCAAGTCCCATATCTCATCTAAACTATAGTTTCTTCACAATATTACCATATAAGAATCGATAACCAATTGGGCTTATTCAGGTTAATTGCATTGCATGATTTGATCAATGGCATTAGAATTCCCAATAATCATGCTATTAAGTATCGGATGTGAAATCAACAACTGTGTCAGATATTCAAATGACTTCTTGGTTGTTTTTTTGTACTCTTAAATTTTCTGATCCAAATCGGTTACCTTAAAATAGAATCCATTATTATACTTTTTTCTCCAATAGCTTCAGATATACCTTCTTTCTCAATCTTGATTTCTTGGCACTCTGTCTCAGTCGTTTGTTTTTACAATCCTCATTCAATAGGTCATTTGCGGAGCCTAGCAATCCTGCCAATCCACCCTTTTTCTCTTTGGACAGCTCTTCAGAGGAACTATCTTCTTATAAATCCTCTTGCAATTCCTCGTCAAGCAATTTGTCTCCTTCAACACACAAGAGGGATGTGATTTTCTTAATATAGGCATTTTTAACATTCCCTTTGATTTCCTATATCTAAGGTTGTTGATCTCGCAAACTGGCATTCGATTAAATATGTTGCAAAGTGGATTTGGCTCTCTTAATCTTTTTGCTGTTCTGTGTGATTTACTAATTATGATATGGATTTTGAAGCATGTTCTGAGTGAAAAGACTTTGTAAATTAAGCATCCTTTGTTATTCATGTAATTGTTGTAAAAGTCGAGCATTCTGTGCTAGTAGTTATTCTTGATTGGTGTTAGGCTAAATCAAAGAGTTGTTAGTTTAATTATTGTAGCCAAGTATAAATTAATCTATATCTTCTCCAGGTTATTACATAAAAATTATTGAGTATAAACACAAGTGATAAGTTAATATTTGAAATTATTGAGATTAATCAATATACACGCAACTGGCTGTTTGGAACCAATAGACAATATAGATAGGAATAAACGATTAACAAATTTTAAGGAGTAGAAATTAAAATTGAATTTAGAACTCAAATGATGCACATCCATTTTTCATGGTTATTTTCTTGAAAATAAGAATAAGTTGTACAATATTTCTAATTGATCCCAGTTAGTCAATGATTTAATTGGAAATAGGAATTTATTTCTTCTGTAATTAAGGTAATTGAGAGTATTATAGATTGGTAGAGGTGCTGTGGGTAAGGATTGCGAATTAAAGATGGGCGAAACCGTTTTTGGGATGAGAACAATGTGGTTATTATTATTTATATTAGGGAGGGAGAAAACAATTGTTGATTATATATATTTGTTTATTAATGATCGTCACTTTTGTGGAAGCCATTGAGGATATGTTAAGGGGAATCAACGTAGTGAATTTGGAGTTGGACTTATTGATTTTGATACTTTACTTTGTAAATTGTGCCCCTTTAATATTATAAGTACCTGTGCATTCCCTTGGGAATAGTTTTCAATTCATTGAGATGTAAAAATCAGAGAGTTTTGTACAATTTATTCTTTGGCTTATTTTTTACTATGATCATCACTAAGGAATGGTTCATATACATTTTGGCATGGGCCATCTTAATTTACTTTGTTGGCAGAATGTTCAAAGATCCTTATTACCCAATATTTATCGTTGGATTCCTCATCATGTCGTACTGTCATGTGTATAGATTGATGGTAAGCATATATGTATGACTTCTATGTAGTATGATTACTTGAGTTGGAAGATGGATTATAATTGCATCCAAATGATGATAACAGCTCGTTACATATACTACGCAGTTGACAGGTCCAAAATCAAAGAGCACGATTCCTTCCTCATGTTCCTATCCTACATTTTTATGTATCCCAATCTCTACCTCGCTCCTCTTCCCTATGTAAGCTTCGTAAACCTGATCATTCGTAAAGAAGATTTCACTCATTACTCAATAAAACCTGCCCTCATTAACTTGTTCAAGGCTATGTTGTTTACGGCAGGCGAATTGTTCATAAGGCCTAAATTTGACACGGAGGTCTACTTTTCTGAAAACTGGACTCATTACAATTTAATTCAAAAACTGTGCATCACACAAGCAGTTTCAGTGGTATTGAGATTTCAATACTTTACTGCCTTTAAACACTCCCAGGCAGCCATGGATGCATTTGGAATTACATATAATCCAGAGACGAAGAAATGCGATAGATTTCCAGTGGCTGATTATCATTATGATATGGAAAAGAATATAATGAAGAAAACGATGATGTGGAATTCGAATGTGTAACTTTGGTTGAGGTATTGCTTCTATGATAAACTAAACCACTTGTTTGGGTCGCATACATATTATGTTACATTTTTAATCAGTTGTGTTTGGTAAATAGTAATTGTAATCTAAATTAGGCATGGGTTCTATATGACTTATTACTTGTTCTTTGTGTTCTGGGCCATCAGTGTGTAAATATGCAAATACTTCTACAAGGCTCAAAGCAAATTCTATTTGTAAAATTAGGAGTTATTCAATTAGCATCCCTGAAAAGATCAGACATGCGATTTGCTGGTTCTGGAGTTGCATGACGATTGACCATTTCGCCACAGGCATGAAGGTGCTGGATTGGAACAAGGCTATTGAGTTCCATCAGAGTTTGAATTGGGTGATTCACATCCAGGCTTTGGTGTTGTTTGGGTTCTTTGCGATCACAGGGTTCGGACAATAGAAGACGATGAAGAAGAAGGATTGAATTATATTGAAACAAAAGTAGAAACTAAATACAATAAAAAATTCAGAGTTGTCTGTAGCGAGCATAAGTGAGGATAGAGTACAGTAGTGATATTACAAGCATCGCAACAATGATTATCAAGTAGGATGCAGGGACGAAATCGAACTGTGCCATCAGTCTAACTGCTGTCCTTATGTTAAAAATAATCTTACTGAAACTCTAGGGTTTTTCGCTCTTAATCATGTATCGAGTGTCAATTACCAATCGTTCTTGAATGGTGAATTCTTCTATCACTTTCCCATCCAAATACAATTGCACGTCTATTAGCAGGTCGTCAGATCTCGAAAACATATATATGCTGATCGGCGGATCCCAAGTATCCTTCATCTCAAACTCACCAACGCCCTCAACAACATCAACTTCAATATACTCTGCTTGCAATATGATAGAAGGGATCATGAGGCCAATAAAGAACACAGCTATACCCCTTTTTACTTATTCGAAATACACAGCAAGAAATGACAGATCGTCCTCCTCTTGAACAACGAGAAATATTATTCCAAGCTATCTGCAAAAGGATCATGTCGCATATTCTCCTTCTCATGTAAAAAGTACTTCTAATCTATTGGCCGAAATTCTATTCCTGGCTATTGCACCTGATGTTGTTTCATTATTTATAAATATAAATTTCAAGTTCCTTTTATGTAACCACTTAAACCAACCAAACTCAATCCAGCCTCCAACATAGACTACAAAGAATTGCAGAAGACCCTCATCCATTTCCAAAGAGCACAACTCGAATTGGAAAAGACTCGCCAAGGCTCTCCCTTGAAGTCGGTCTCCCCTATGAGAGAAATGATTAATTTCCAAGCTCTCCAAGATGCAGGACTTATAGAACTAAATGAAAAAAGCAAACAAGTCGACGGAGTCAAAATCACACTCGAAGAAATCGAAAAAGCATTCAAAATCCTGGATGAGAAAAACAAAGGCACCAAGATTTCGTTACTTGAATTAAAAAAGAAAATCCCTGCCATCAATCCCAACTTCCCCAAAAGTGAATACAAAGCCTTGACTCAGGGCAAACCAGAACTCAAGAGCAAAGATCTCTATGAGTTGCTCAAGTAGAATGAATTGCAAGATTTCGATCCTCTCGAATAGGCCTTTTCACTGCTAGATCCCAAGGGCGAGGGTAATTTAGATATTAATAGGTTGGGGGAGGTCTTCAGTGTTCTGGGCTATGGCAAAATCGATAAAAGGGATCAGGAAATACTCTTGGAATGCTTTGGATGTGGATAAAGATGGCAAAAATAGGACTCCAGGATCTCAGAGAGATAGTTTGAATCAGAAAGACATAAACAATGATAATTATTAATATATTAAATAACTATGGATGAAGTTTTATCGTAGATATCAAATTAAGTTTATGAATTTGATACTCTGGGATTAGTTCAACAGTACATCTTCGAATTGTCCGAGCATTTCAAAGAGAATCACAATGCCTAAGTGGACATTCAGCAATTTGTCATTTTTTTCATCAACAAGACTGATGAACAAGGAATCGAAGGATTGATACTGATCTCCAAACTCATAGAACTCTACCAAGACATACTGTCTAAACAAAACGAAAAAATACTAAAATTAAAACATATTACCGATTATTTGATAAGTAGTCAAGAAATTTGCAGTGAATATTTTAATGCTAAATTCCTACCTTCACAAAATAATAAATTTCAACTTACTCGCCGCGTTTTAACTGACATCGAAATTTAACCTCCTGAAATCTTAGGCCCTCAACCCAAGCATGCTTAGAAGATTGCAAACTTAGCTCAAAATTGAAAATATCCACATGAACAATCAAGTCATTTATGGAATCAAAGGCGACAACGACATGTTCTTGATTCTTTAATTTTGCGAGAGCGTTTGCATGTTACACGAATTCCAATTCAAGAAAATGCTCCAACCCAGGAATATGATAGACGGCAATTTTGTAGTCTATGGTTATTTATTCCACAAGACAATAACGATTAGGAGTACTACTACGCAATAACACCTTGATCTTCTGGGATAAAAGGGACAACTATTAGTACGACTATCAAATCGAAACCTAATTAGAACTACAACTTATTTCGTATTTAGAAATCTAAGATTAATGGATAACCTCAGCAAATAACAGTTTACAAATATGGAATCTGGAATAAGGAAAATATTAAAATGTATAAAACCAAGTATTTTCTGGAGGGATCATTCAATTATTAGAAGTTATGCATTTACAAATGCTATTAGTATCCTCAAATCCCAATATCATTAGTTGTTGGGATATGTTCGAATAAAAGTTTTTGTTTAAATTCTAAGTATCTCATCAAATACTCTATCAAGTTGTTTGCAGTAGACAGTTCTAATTGATCTTCACCATAGGATTCAACAATTACATCTCCTGTTACGAATTACATGCTTAATATAATGATTATAATTTGAAATGCTAATTGGTAGGTCATTCTTCAACTGTTTAGTGCATTGAACACATAGAATAAACTGCATTGCTGATCTCCATCGACAATAAAAATGTGGTTATCTTATGGGACATACGATCACAGTAATAGACTCAGACAATTAATTTATAAACGAGAATACTTACTAAATAATTGATGTTTTATTGTAATAAATTATGTTTGGTTGCTAATATGTTGTAGACATTGAGTTTTGAAAAACAATTGCATCTGAATAAATAAATAAAATTATAGCAAGTCATCTATGATTAGTGGAATAAAAGAAATATTATAATAACTAAGGCAGATATTCGTATTTAAGATATAATAAATGGAAATATTTAGTACATTTTGAGTGACTTTTAAAATGAGATCTCAGCATCTTGTCTCATTGAACATGGATACTCTATTATAATTGGTACTATAGAAGGTGATTTGTATAAGATTTCACTAAAACACGGTCAAATCTTGGAAAAATGGGAATCCTTTTATTAAGATGAGATCCAATCCATTTAATATGATGAAGCCTACAAAATCTGACATACTGACATATTGTGTCAATGTAAGGAATATTGAAATGCTTACCTCTTACTCAATTGAATGTTTGCAAGGATAACATTTACAAGGACAAATGGGCAATACGTCAATTATCAGTGAATATTCTTATTAGTATTTGTCAACTCTCAATTGCACAGGGTTTATTGGCTGTAAGTTATGAGGATTTCATCTAAATTTGGAATTTGGAATATTATTGTGTGTCAATCCAAATATAATTAGAAGACAATGCTATAGTTACCTCAATGATATTTTGTGATTCTCTGCCTCTCTTAATCATAGGCACTAATTAAGCAGATATCTTTATATTTTAATTGGTTTAGAAGAATGATAAATTGTAATGCACTTTAGAAGGACATTTCAATATTGTGAAGGCTGTTTTGATTTAAAAACTAAAGAGTGTATACCCAGATCGTATAAGTATCATGAGCAATTTGTTTTCGAAAACATCATTGGAGTTAATCGAATTATATGATGAAGGGGATGAACAAATAGAAGTTAAGCACCTTTTCAATAACAAATATAAGTTAATGACTCATGGATCTTTTGCCTCTCGCTTATTAGTCCAATTTCATTAAGAAGAACTTAAATTATACATTGCAACAAACAGAGGATCAGCCTTAGTGTTTAATCTTACATAATTACTTGAAAAGAAAGTAAGAATTCTTCTTAATAGTTTAGAATGTAGCCAAGAAACTTGATCAGATTAATCAAAGGCCTAATTATAATCCCTATAGAGTGGTCTACAATAAATTGCAAGGAAACTTTATCGATAATTATCAAATAGTCCAGAATCGTTTGATTAAAGATCAATTCAAAAAGAGAGAATCTAAATTTGAGTAGAGCAGTAAAATCAAACAAAAGTTCAGGAATTCCTTAATCAGATTCAGTATTCTAAAGGGATTGAAAGACAATCCGGAATTAGACATCACTCATACCTTTAAGGATTCTATATTTTCATTTGATGAGTAACTTGAAACTGCAGATTAAATCCACAATGACATGATTATTTAATTAAACTTCCTTTACATAGATCCATATGAAATACTGTTTCGTAAAAAGACTTAACTCTTAATTACTGGATGCGTCGATGATACTGTAAAAGTATTTACAACGGAATTTATTCAAATTTGCGAATTTTCAATTCATAATCCCCTGCCGTTTTAATGGTAGTCCTTATTAAACGAGAAAAACAAAGTAAAAGCCACCATTTTGTTTTCTTTGGAATTGCTTTAATAGATTTTACCTTAATTAAGTTAAGAAAAGAGAAAGGCATATGAAATTGAGAACATGTTAAAATAGAATTCAATTAAACATATTAACAAGAACTATAAATTATCTAATATTTTATTAAAAAAAGAGCCAATTGGGAATTAATAGAAATTGAAGGATTCTTTCCTAAATAAACGGAAAATAAGTTTATGCAACAATATGAAAATGCCTTAAATATCTCCTAAATTACCGCCGTCATTGCGTTATTATGATGAGAAAATCAAATAGAGTAAGTATCAACAAGAAATTCATGAACAAGATTTGGCGAATCAACAAAATCAATAAAAAAGATAATAAGGAATTTAAGTTGAATTGTAGAGACAATAAAAAAAAGAGATCATAGATTATCTAACTCCTGAGACAAATACGAATCCAAAATTGTTTGAGGATTTTTCGATTTAGGCTCTGAGTGCTCGATTAAAGACTGAATCAAGGACTCATTAGAGTAAAATAACTAAAACTACTAATGATACAAAACGAACTTTTACTAGGTAGAGTTTAGATTTTTTTGATTATGCTGAGAAGAAAGAAATGCTCACAACTAGAAGTAAGATATCTTAGTCTCGATTTTAAACAAGAAGAGAACATCATGACTTTCACAAGATTTTGAATGAATTACATGGTAAATTGAAGATTTCAAAAAAATAATCATGAATATTTTTTTTTCTTGATTTATTTAGTTATTTCTTCTGGAGGTTTTTACTTATGTTATTTAGGTTACCGTTTGTTTTCGCATTCTGTGCATTAGCAATGTGAAGTGCACTTTTTTCCTCTAATGAAACATTCGCAATAACCTTTGACACACTTAGTCTTCTTACACTTACAACCCCATACTTATTTGGTGTCAAATGAGTCTAAGTCATGATGGGAGGCTCGTTATTCTTTTAATTTAATTTATTCCACAGCCTTAATGACCTCATCCTCATGTTTACCGTCATTAAAGCAATCGTTACATTTGCATTCGTTTGTGCAAGGCCTTCGATTGTGAAAGCACGAACAATATAATTATAAACAATGGGTTTTGGAACAATGACAAGCTTTGAAATCATCTTCTTCGGTTGGAGAATCATCAACATTATAATTGGTTTTATTCGCTTTTCTTCGAGTTTGGATGTGAGGAATTTCTTCAACCTATTCAACTTACTTCATTTCAATTGGATTTTGGTGCACTTTTTCTTTCTGCCTCTTCAACGGGGATGGGCTTACTTCTTCGATCGACATCTATTTTCTTAATTGGTGCTGATGCTCATCAATAGACATTTCTGAGCTATTCAAATCATTTTACTGTTTACAAGATCTGTAATAATTGGGGACCAGGTATAGTTTCCAATTGCTCTACAGAAGGCAAAGAACTTTGGGTGTGTGGCTATAATAATTGTAGTCTCTCATCTCCCCTTTTTTGGTTTTCATCTTTTTGAGTCTCTTCTTTTATTTTCAATTCTGATGGAAATTAAAATACTTCATTATTGTTGTTGGTGCCATCCTAATTGTTCATCCTTAATTTAATTAAACTAATAAGTCTTTAAATTACTCATTATTATACAAAATTTGAAATGTTCATTGTATTATTCGTCGAATTAAAGATAATTTAACTAGGCATCTCATAATAATTATATATACGTTAATTTAATACATGAATTTAGAAGAAACTCTCCTAATTCTTTTTGAAAGGACACTAGAATCAAGCAAAGATGACCATCTACAAACCATACTCGCAAGTCAAGCTAAAATAATCTAGTAAAAAAAAGAAAATGTCACCCCTATGTAATCCCAGACATCTGCCATTCAGAAAAAGCTCTAAGTCATAGAGAAGAATTTCATAAACTAAGATGCATTCAAAAAAAGGAGAAAATCTAAATATGACCACCGTTCTAATACTGGCTCACAACATGACAATGAGGATGCTCCAACAATCATGCTTGATGAGGATAATCAAGAAACAATCACTGACCAGTCTAGTTTATAAAAGCTCAAAAGTGAGAATTCCAAATTACAAAAACAAATTACAGAATTAGAGTATGTTCAAAGAGAAAAATACCTTAAAAATTGCAGCGAAATGGAACAAATTACTAAAGAATAAAAGCTGTTATTGGAAAACGACAAGAAGCTAAATGAAAAACAAAGAAAATCAAATTAACGATCATAGTTATTATAACAAAAACAGTAAAATTTGCATAAGCAAGAATTGAATTATTATAACCAACAACTCAATATAGATGAATGTTCATAGGAACAATTAAGATATGTATTAATATTTCTAATTCTTTAGGATAATCAATTAAACAACAGGAGAGATGAAATGGAAAAACTACAAATCAAATTGAATAGTTTTGTGTCCCAATTACTGAGTCTCCAAAGAAATAAAAATAAAGTACAGAGTTAGTTAAATGTATAAATTGATGCTGTTGAATAATTGGCTTAATTCATTCTAAAGGAACGCTCCAATCTCTAGTAGGACTAACAATATCTTAGACAATTCAAGGAAAAGGTCTTAGAGGAAAAGAAACAAGTCCTACAAATGTAAGAGTAGCTATCATGAATTATAATATTTTGCTATAAACAAATTAATAAATCAAATTGTCGCAATTGTTAATCCAATACTTATTGTTACACATGATAAAATCTTCAATCCCAAATTGTGTAATGAGGCTTATTTCCCAATATTTAGGTATTTTTTGAGTAAATAAGCTAAAAACAAATTAATAATCAAATTCAATGAAGACTCACTGGCACTCACAACTCCTGCCTAAAATATGATTCCAATACATTACCTAATAATATGTCTAATATGCATAAACGGAACTGAAGTAACCAAACAAAGTCATGATTTCGCCTATTATAGTACCCACTATTAAATTTCTGGGTTTGTCGAACAATTAAATCATTTCTATCTACATTTACCTATTAAACTTCAATTTAGCAGTTTGTATCAAAACAAACATGATACGTGTAAGAATGAAGAATTCCATATTTCCATAGATATTATACAATTGTCCTTCGCTCTCTCCTTTTCCAACATAACTTATTATGTTTGTGTATATAGCATGAGACATATCTGAAATGATAGCAAACTTAACAAATGGTTGAGACCAAAATTGAAATTGGAATATTTTAATCAAATGCCCATCAGTGGCTGGAGCTAAGCCTCCAAGAAGTATCAGAAAATAGGCAAGTAAATGTAAATAGCTGGATAAATATGGCCTGTCGGATAGATAATTTTAGAGAATTGAGAATAGAAATGCAAAGATTGAAGAAAACTAATTATCAACATACAAATACTTATAAAAACGGCAATATAACGGTGCTAGATGAATTCTCAAAGGCTCTTATGATGAAATGATAATGATAATAGGAGAATATTCCACTTATAATCAATAGGGGTAATGATTAAACAGATCCAAAAACAGTATAATTGCCTACCAACTCTGAGTACTGTGGCCCAACCAACTCTATATAAATAAAGTATCCAAAAATCTAATAATATTTCTAATATTATTACAATAATATAAGTAGTTAAAGCACATAGTAGCATCGTTTAGGAATGAGTTAGATGAATGCTTGATGGCATCTACTATTTCTTTTAAGGTAGCTCGGATTCTTAACTATCCAAAATGACATCGAAAGCAGTGTCAGCACTGGCCCAACAGAATGCAGAAGCAATGACTGCTGAAATCCAAGACATTGATTTACCCATATAAATTATTATATAATCATCCTTATTATTTTGATTTTCTTATTGCATCCAAAACTGCCTCCTTGTCACCAGCATCAACATTTTATAGAAGCTAAAACAATCTCTTCTTCCTCTCCTAAATTTCAGCTTCGTTATGTTGAATTCCTAATTCCTCTTCCAAATCAGGTACATCATTTGGATCCACTCCATCGGATTCATCATCGTCTGCTTATTATTATTCCTCCTCCTCTTCTTCTTCTTCCTCTTCTTTCAATTCTTTTTCCTTCTCCTCCAATTTGGTCTTGAATTCAGTTAAAAATTTATTGCATTTCCCAATTAAAGGATTGTTAGGATCGATCTTCAAAACTCTCATTATCATAATTATCTTACTCTTTTGAATGATTACATGAGCTTCTTAATATTTGCTATTCTTCATGCAAGTTAAAAATTCCATTTTTAACTCGAGTACTTGATGATTAGTTTAATCCATCTTATATTTTTTAAATTTAGAAAATTGTTTAATAAATTATGTAATCAAGAGAAAACTTTCTAGTATTCTGTTCCGAATTCATTATTTATTTTGAAAACATCTCTTTCTAAATAACAATTTATCAAACCTCGTTAAGGAGAGAAATTTAGAATTTATGAAAGATTTATTTTTGCAATTCAATTAAAAGCCTCTAACAATCCTTTATCTTATTATTAATCCTTCAAAAATATATACTAGTTAACTATTTTAAGTCAGAAGTACATATCTTAATCTAAGAAAATAATTCTATACAATAAATCCTTTGAGAATTCCTGAAGAATCCTTAACAATATCTTTGATAGGGAACTAATAATTTAACCTTAATTCAATTTATAGTTAACTCCCATAAGCAATTTTACGCTTCAAAATCCTGCTTTTTAATGATATCATAAAATTAAATCAAGCTATAAGGAGTAAATTTAATCAATAGAATCCATAGATTAGCAATTGAATTATGTAGCCTTACATCATATAAACTTTTTGTTTTCTTTATTGATTTTAACAATTGTTTCAACTTAATCTTTTGATTTAATATAGAGAGTCATTCCTTTACAAGAATTTATTGGAAGGAGTATTTTGAATATCCTGTGAAAATGTTATTTTAATTAAATAAAAACTTTAATCAACTTTGTTTAAACTGATGATTAATAATGTAAATTTAGCATCAGAATGAGTTAATATAAAATTTTTCATTTACTAAATAAATAAATATTTGATTAAATAATGAATTGCTTATAATTACATATAAAACAAATTAATTTTGCATTTTTAATAAAAAATAGGATTACTGAATAATTATAATTATTCATTATATGATCAAATCTTCTCCATAAATTCATCAGCTTATTTTGATTAACTAATATTTTTCAAGAAACAAATTTGTAACCACATTAATTATTTCACATTTTAAAAAGAAAGCAAGTTGTAAATTTATGCAAGGCCTTTTTATTGTGGATATAGAAGATAAAAGTAATGAGTATTTAGGAATTTAAAATTATCTAAAATGGGTTTCACATTCAATTTATTGAGCATAAGCAATTTTATCATTTAAATATAGTTATTTGTTATAACGCAGGAAGCCTTAAAATATATATAAGTTTATTAATACTTATTTAGGATTTAGGGGATCCTAAGAATAATACAGAATTTGAATCATAAATCAACAAAATATTTAAAACTTGTGGAGAATTCCAATAAAAAATTTCCAACTTATATGATTGTTGGAGGGCTTGATTTTAAGAATAATAAAAACTACCAAATCAAAGAGGAAGACCTTTCTTAATTTTAGGTAGATTAATATACATGCATACAGACTTTTCACTATTTAAAAGAATAAATATAAGATTTTTTTACCACTCTAAAGTATGATATTGATTATAATTTCTAAAATTTATGATTTTATTGATTTAGCTACGTTTTGATTTTGAGGAATTTATTTCATATTTATCCTAATTTCAAATAATAATAAAAATGAGGCATTTCAATGCAAATAAAAAAAGATCAGGAAGTATATAGTGTATTGAACCAGATGTCCTTATTAATGATAATCGAAAAAGTAGAAGAAAAAGCTGTACATGTACTTAATGTGGAAAAAATAGTGAATTTTAAATAAGATTTCATGATGTTCAGATTTCGTAGTTATCTGAGACATCTAACAACAATGAACTCATTATTTAGTAAGAATAAGAAACTAGGAAGTTAGAAAGTCTATTAAACAGATTGAAAACCTGCTAAGAAGATTTTGAGAAAATTGATTTATAAACTAAAAAAAGAAGGAAGAGTTGTTATTGTTCAGAATGTGGTAGCTTGACACAATATGAATTGAAAAATTAAAGTATACCATTATTAAAGATCAACTACTTAAATGATTGTAAAACATAAAGAAAAGTCCATAAATTTGTATCAAACATTAATATGTGTAATAAATATTTATTTAATTTAGAAACTAAGAGTCAATTTTTTAGAAGTTTTAAATAATAAAATCCCTCATTAATGTATTAATTTAGTCATTAAACTTCGAAAACAACAACTAGATTACTTAAGCAATCAAAACTAAAATTATCTAATTTGGAAACTAGACTCTCATTGACTCCATAATTAATAATTTCTCCAAGGAGTGATTAATCCACACCAAAATAATCATAAAGGTTAAAATCATTTGATCATACTCTGAATGGAGCCAATCTTAATCCCTATTTAGGTTTCCCCAAAAAATTTCTTTCCCCTCCTAAAAATTTAGTTCCAAAACTGCCTCCAATAGCTTATAAAGTCAGCAACGATTTATTGCACTTGAAAAAATCTTTATATCGAAAACGGAATTGATGTATTTATTCAAACTATTTATTCAATTTTGATTATTAATAATTATGAAAAATAATTAGTCCTCGAAAGACCTCCATGCATTAACACTAATTGATTCATACTGTGTGGTTCTAAACGACCGAAAGAGAATTCGTAAGACTACAAACTTCTTGGTCAAAAGAAATAAATTCGATGAAAAAACTGTTAGAATAAGAAGAAAAAGCTGTCATTGCTAATTATGTGGAGAAATGTCTGCAATGTAGTTTAATATGATGAATGTTCCCTTCTAAAAAAAGGAATAATTTGTGGAAAACCCAAAACCATAAATCCAAGAGAGTCTCAGCCCATCAAAAGGTAATTTCTATTGTATTATATTAGAGAGAAGAAGTATCTTCTATCAATATCAATCTTTAAAATCAACAGAGCATCATAAATTAAGACTTTCCCTTCAGATTCATGGAATTGACAAGAATTTCAGTAGACAAAGCACAATGAAAAGGTTAATAGCTGAAAGTAATGAAAGATCAAGGAGAGGTAGTATAAATGGGAGTTACTAAGTTAATACTTCTACATCTGATAATCAATCAGTAAAATCTCTCAATGTCAATATTGTGCAAGATTAAAGTCCATTAAACATTTAATCTTCAAATAATAGAGCTATCACAAACAGAAATATCTTAATACGCTCAAAAAAGAATTTAATGATAAACACCTATTTTTCTTAGTCGGCACGTTCACTCAAGACCACTCAATTTTCATAATTTAATAAATAAAAAGTTTGTGCTTTGCCTAAACTCATATAAAAAAAGCAAGAAGATTGATTCTTATATAATAACCTTTAATTAAGCGTAATAATTTTCCTTTAAATTACTTTTATATAATTGATTCATATTTATTCCTCTTTGAAAGTCACTGAACTTCGTTTAGGTATTCACATTATCAATCTAGGGAACGTTGCAATTTGAAAATTAAAATTATTTAGTTCTTAATCGAGTTCTTAGGTCTTGCCATATCATTAAATAAAATTATTATAAAATGTCATTGACTTTGAATGAATTAATCAGAAAATTAAAAGCTAAAGAATTCAAAAAGATAACAATAGCAGCAGGTGCAGGTATCAGTGTTGCAGCTGGACTTAGCGATTATAGAAGCAAGGATACAGGATTATATGATTAATTAAAAAAGTTCAATCTGAGCAATCCTGAATAGGTTTATGATATCAATGTGTTTAGAAAGAATCCTTCATTGTATTACTCAGTTAGCAAAGAATTTGGAACACATAATTTAGATTTACAACCAACATTTGCTCATTAATTTATTTATCACTTAGATAGAAATGATTAATTATTAAATTGTTTCACTCAAAATATTGATGGTCTGGAATTGGTGGCAGGAGTGAGAGAATCCAAAGTGATTTAAGTGCATGGACATAGAAGAACAGCAAGTTGTATAGACTGTAAGAAAACGTATTGTGTAAAAACATTTTATTAAAACGTTGATAAAAGTGAGATAATGAAATGTACTGATTGTAATGGCTTGATTAAACCTGATGTGGTATTTTTTGGATAATCACTTCCATAATTATATTTTGAAAAATTACCTGAAATTTCATTGAGTGATTTGGTTATCATTATGGGAACCAGTCTTCAAGTTCAACCATTTTCAAATATGATTTATAGGATAAATGAAAACGTCCCAATAGTTTTAATAAATAAAGAAACCAATTTGAGAAGATTGGACCCTATTAATAATAAATTGTTAATAAAAGGCGATGTTTAGGATATAATATCCTCAATCATGAAATAATTGTGATATTATGGGTTCAATTATTTTCTGCTATAAATATTATCTATATCTTTCAAAAATAATGTATTCCCAATAGGGCTCTGTTGCTATTCGAATTTGAATTCACTCAATTGTTTTTTAATCTATATTTGATTTTCTCGATATATCAACATACTTCTCTGAATTTCCTCATTCTCAAAGAAAAGAAAAAATACTATCAAAAGTCTTGCATCCTTGCTTGATCAAAATCCATTGAATTCTTAGATTAATTGATTTTCATTATAATTCTAAATTAAGTCTTTTAATTTGATATATATAACACTGTATCCAACAGTAAAAATCTTTTTATAATCATTGAGCAATTTTTGAGTAAGGGAGAGTTGGAAATTCATTTTAATTCAAATCTGTAAGATATTAATACTCTTTTAAGCATTAAGTTAAGGATAGAAGAATGGCATAAATCGAGAATTTGTTTATCTTTGTCCATCCATCTAATTTGATATTGGTTTTATTAAAAATTGAATGTATCTATTAATATTGTTTTCATTATCAATTATGCAATTTCTCCAATTTCCTATTTGCATTTGTAATTTTTTTCTAATTCCATAGATTTTGCCACAAAGGTTACTGCAGAACCTACTTTTTCTAACTTTTTAAATTGAGTAAAATGCTATCCTTTATCTTCATGATGATGGATACAGCCAATCTGATTATTTGTATATTTGATGTAATTGTGATCATAAAGAATCAAACCATATTGCTTTAAACCAACATCATTAATAAATAACAATTCATCAACTAACTCGAAATGGATCCAAATGATTATCTATTATAATAAATGATGGGTGCTGTTGGGATATGAAATTAGGTCATGTGATAGGACAAAATAATTGATCCAATGCATGATTCCATATCAGCTGTAGGATTGTCTAACACTAATTACTTTACATTCTTAAGCAATTTGATATTTTGTAAAAATTGATTAATCATTATAATATATATATAATTATAAAATACATATATAAGTTGAGAAAATGTCAAATATTGAAGAATTCATAGATTTAATTAGTTATGCCCCTATAGATGTAAGAAGGGCCTTCAGCAAAGTTCGGGAGTTGGCAAATTTAGAAAAAAAATATGAAGAAACCTTGGAATCAACTTAAAAACTAGTGTTTTAATTGAAATCTGTCGAGTCAACGGCAGAAAAGGAAAAATTTATCTTATAATTAAAAGACCAAATTCAAAGACATCATTTATAATTGCTGGCTTTACACAGAGAAAGAATTGCGGCTTTAGAAATTATTTAATAAAATTATTAAAAATATATAGCAACTCTTGATATTGAGGGAGAAAAGTTTTTGGAAGAACTAAAACAGTTGCCAAGAGAATAAGAAGATATATCTCGTAAATCTCAACGGGGGGATGTAAAGGTCGAACCTCCTGTTATTGTATAAAAGAGTGACAAAATTAAAAAAACTAAAAGACCATTGTAAGATGAACAAGCTGAAGATGCTCAATAACATACATATTGTGTGTGTTCATAACCTAGTTATGGCTGTATGGTTGCTTGCGATTCAAAAAATTGTTAAATAGAATGGTTTCATTTGTCATGCGTAGGATTAAGTGATGTTCCTGATGAAAAGACTAAATGGTTTTGTCCACATTGTAGAATGACCAGATGATATATTGTTTTGTAATTAAACAATAAATTACACAACAAGAAATAAATATCAAATTTCTCTCTCTTAATATTAGAAAAAGAATTTCATCATTTTTGTTATTGTTTGAAATATTGGTTGAATCGATTTTTGCTTAATTTACAATTTTATAATATATTAAATTATCAATGATTATTTCAAATACTTTTAAAGTTTAGCTGAGAAATAAGTTTTCAAGTCTATTATTTTTTTTTTTTTAATTCTCTTCCCAATAGTTTTGCTATTGATTATATATTCCATTTTAACACTATTCTATAACATATAATATTCTGATAAGTTTTAATAAGAAAAATCATAACTTTGTAATTCAATTTTTAACAGTCAAAATTTAAAATACCTCTCTTGAAAAAATTAATCATTTTATTATTTAAACTTTCTCTCATAATTTTTGAGCTTTTGTTTGACTTACTCTTTTCAATCAATTTTATATAGGATATTAAATTTATCCATCTAAAATTATATAAGTAGTTTCCTTTTCACAGAATTCAACATTCAAAAATATTCTAGATTTTCTTGATGTAAAATTTTAGTAGGTATCAAATTTTGACTTAAATCTTAATTAGAATTAAATATAATAATAGGTTTTTCACATATTGTCCTTTTAAACTAAAAAATAAACTACATCATTTTTGTTTAGGCAGTATAGACTTTTAAATTTAAGTAGTCCTATTGCTTCTGTTAATATTTTTTAATTCTAGAAGATATTTCGAGTCAATAATGTGGGCTATCAAATAATCAACTAACTAAAAAATGGATTTTTAAAATTGCAATCCATCAACATGATAAATAAATAAAGTATTTATGAATTTATTGGAGAACATAACTTATTTGTATCTAAATGAAATCATTATTTACTCCAGTATTTTAAATTCAATAATTTAACATTTAAATTACAATTAAGCTCTGTTTTTAAATTAAGTTATAATAATGGCTTTTTATAATTCTATTTAAAATAAAATACTTTAAAAATAAATTTTTTAGATTTACTCATTTCATCTCAATCATGCTTCCAATTTCAAGTCAGATTCTTAAATTAATGAGGAATTTTATTGTTATGTAGTCTCGTATTATTTTAGTAATTAAGACATCAAATCTTACAAATTGTTTTAATGTACCTCTTAGTCATCTTTCGGTAAGATACATTTAGAAATCTTTATTTATTTAGACGATGGTGATTTAAATCTTTTGGGACTTCTTCTTGGACTTCTCTTTGGACTTGTTTTAATGAGAGCTTTGGATTGATTAAGTTTGTAACAAGTCTTCTTGGGTCTTTTAATTTGACTATTTTCTTCGCTTGAAGTTTTCTCATTTTAATTAGCCTTCTTTTTATGTATGTCACAAAAGATCTTGAATTGACTTTCCACTAATTTTCCTTTAATTATGATAATGATATATACCTGTTGAAGAACTTTTCATGAGACAGGTGAAATGAAATGCTTCTGGACATACAGCACAGCACACAGTAGCTCCAGTTCTACTGCACAAGAAGCATTTCTAATTTAGATGAATTTGATTACAGTCTATTTTGATTTATCAACTTCATCATCTATATTGCTAGGATCGCATTATCCTTGTTTGTTGAAAAACACTAAATTTTAACTCCACAATCCACACATTTCATGTAAATCAAATTTTTCATTTAGATTTCTGTTAGAGGGAATCTATAAAAGTGGACCTAGATTAAAGTCATTAGCTTCTAAGCCACAGAAGATACAACTTCCCTCATCCTTTTTTGGATACAATAATTTTTAATAAGAAAACTTCTGTAATCGCCCAAAGGTTATGGTTTAATCCTTATTATCTTTATTTTCTTTGGTCTATTTCAATTTAGGTTTTTAATTATCACATAATAAATCCAATTGAGGAGCACTTTGAATTTTTAATTAATTGTTTTCTTTTTATTGTTGGTTCATTTATTATTGTTGAAATACTAATACATTTTATTGCGATTATTATGGCTAATTATTTAGTTAATTCGTTATTTAGTTATGTTAATTGAGGTTTAGGGAGTTTTAATTTTTTTGCCCTCCATTTTAAGCTTGTTTAAAAATTGGAAAATACTTTGTCTCTTAAGGGTTTCCTTTTTATATTTATTTTAATTCTGTTTATTTGTTTGTGTAGTCTTGCTCATTAATATCCTCTATGATGAAAGTTTGTGGATTGGAGGGAATCATTTCCTTTAATTCTCTTAATTATCTATCGATATCCTTATGAGCTTTATTGAAGAATTCTAATATTTTGAGTTGGTTCAATTATTGTTTGTCTAATTACTTCATACTATTAGATTCATCCATAGTAGCATTAACATGAAATCTTCGATCCAATTTTTCTTATTATTTTCTCTTGAGATAATTTGTAAATTTCTGAATAGTAGCTTTGCTCAAGGCAAGCAATTGATCAGCATCAGAAATAGCCTATTCAATCTCTTCTGCCGCTTATTCTAAGTATAAATTCATAATAAAAGAATGATTATATTATAACAATCAAATAATTTAAAGGAATTTAATGAATAAAATTAATTATTCAAAAAAAACATTTTTTTAATTAAAATAATTTTAATTAAAAAGACTATTCTTCTTGAAGCATGGTCCAGAAAGTTATTCAATTGATTTCTAATTTTTATTATTATCATGGCAGTGATCATATTGTTATAAGAACACTAATATATAACTTTTTCTAAAAAATCTATTTTTTCTAAATAAGTACTCATTATTTTCATAAATTTTCAATTTTCAAAAAATTTAAGTTTACTATACTAATTCTCATTACTTTTGTCTGTTGTTTCAGTTTAGAGGCTAGATAATTTAACAAAATATTTGAGAGACTTGGAGTTATGAATATTAAATAAAAATATCTTCCAAATATGTTCCTTTTTTTTATACTCAGCCAAAATAATGATTTTTTTATAGTAAACCCTAATTGGGAACACTGCTTCAAATGTACTAGTGACACTTTTGAATTTTAAGGAAGGTAAAAAATTTTAAAATATTTAGTCAAGTATGGTTGGTGTTAACTTATAAAATAGTCAAAAATATTCAGTCCCTTATTTGTTCATAGCATTAACCATTTGATTGATGTTGGACTTTATATTCAACATTAGAAATAAGATTTTTTTGTATGATTGAAATGATTCTTAATTTTATGGAGATCTTCCCTTCTAATTTGGCACACCTGCAAAATTTAAGTTATGACTCCTTTTCTTTTTCAAACTTTTTTCTTTGATGAAATACTATTGTTTTTGCTGTGGCATATTTTATCAAAAGTCTCTTAGCTGCCTATATTAAACTTAATCCAGTATAATACTTCTTTAATTTTAAATCCTTCCTCGAATACAAGTTGGTGTAATCGTTCTTTAGATTCTTAAGGGACTTTGATATAGGTTCTTTTATATTCTTGAAACATTCCAGGAATTACATTATTCCGTGTTCTTTGCTCCTTTTTTTCAGGAGACTACAAGATTTCAGAATTGGCCTTCAAAGAAAGATCTTCCTAATGAACACTATCAGAATTATTCATTATTATTAAATATATGGCCTTTTCGATCATCACTTATATATAAACACCTGATTGATGCGTCATAATTAGAACGTCTCTAAAAAAATCCATACTGATGTCTTAGAAAACTCTTTATCAGATAAAGCTAACCAAAATTCATTAGATTAGAGTACTCTAATGACAATTACTAAAAATTATTTTTGTAATTGTGATATTTCTATATGTAATTAAGCTTTATAGATATAATTTAATTTAATAAATTGCTAAATTAATACAAATTTGTATGTTAAAAAAAATGTCCTAATTTACATAAGGACTCCATGTTTATGCCTAAATATTCGATTTCTGACACGATGAATCTTAAATCAAAGATATATTTTGATTTGCTAAAATGTAATTTTCATTAAGGAAATTATCAAATCTAGATTTAGTTAGTTTAAATATTTTAGAGAATCCGCTCCTAAGAATATTTAATATTAAATACTAACATAGAAGTGATCTTCTAAAGTATAATAAATGAATAATAAAATTGAAAAACTGTGATAAAAAAATTGTAATATTCATTAAGATCCTCTAGATTGACTTGTTGAATTGGATGAAATTGTAATTTCGTACAAAATAGGCAATTTCCATAGATAGTAAATAGCAAGAATAGTTATAAAATTAAAATCAATAATCGCAAAAAGGTCTTATGAATATATTGTTACCTCCTTTTTGATTCTAATTCCAATTAATTTTTCCATAAATGATTACATTACTTTATCAATATATAGAATTACACTCTATCTATCAAAATTCATGAAAATGATGTTCCAAAATCGATGTGTTCATTATTTTATTACTGAAAAACATACTGTGTGAGTGGCATAATTTTTTGAATTTCAATTATCCCTAAATATTAAAAAGCTAGAAATAGCTTAAAAAATGACGTCCATCTATCTGCAAATCTTTCATTCATGGATGATCATTAAATTCGTCAATCTTTTTGACACAAAAATGAAGACATTTATCAAATTTGCATTTCAGAATATCAATTTGTCTTCTTGACTTTTTGTTTGGTATTTTTATGGTGGTTTTTTTTTCTTTTTGATGATTTATTCATACGCTAAGTAAATTTCTTTATCCAGAAAGTATTTACAAAGTGGAATGTGTTTTCACCACTTAAAAATTATTTTCTTTAGAATTTGTTTTACTTAAAAAATAATAGTTTATTAACTGATAATAATATGTTTCTACAATCAAGAAACAAAATTGAATTGTTTAAAATGATCTAATGACTTCTAATCTATTTTTAGAATGGTAATAGTTTGCCAATGGAAATTTTGAAATGCAGAAATCATTCGTAATTTGTGAAGATGATAATCATCAATTTCTGTATGTTAATTGACCTTAAAGAAGTACAACTACTGAAAAATTAATCGTGTTATGTATATAATATATTATCTTGAAATTAAGTGATATTATATATAAAGAATTTCGTTAATTTTATAGAGAATGCATTTGGTAAATAATATTTTCATGATTTCTTAAATGAAATATAGGGCTTTGGGAATGAATTAAAATATATGTTGAAATTTTTTGAATTATTTCCTTAATGAATTTATTTATTATATAAATGATCTTGGTTTGATTGATTAATCAAAATTATGGATAATAATTAACCAAAGGAAGCAAGATATTCTCGGAAATTGGAATAAAGATGCAAAAGTATTAGTTACATATATAAGTATCGAAATATAAAATTAATAAATAATATAAATCAATTTAGTTAGGGAAACAATACTTTATTAGAATGGATTTGCTATCTTTTTCTTGTGTACGACCACATACTATCTTTTCTAAAACTTATTACTTAAAAGTAATGGAAGATGAGGTGATAATCTCTGCAGTAACCTAATTATGTTATTTTTAAGTTCAACAATTTCAAGAATCCAAAATATATAATAGAACTCAAATTAACAACGTAAATTCTTTGGAAAATAGGGAAGTAAAACTTGAAAGCATTTGGAATATTTTATCAGAATAAAATCAAATATTTTGAAGCTCAACATAGTTATTTGGAATAATTCAAAAAAATGATTGGGGGACGAGTAATCTATAGAAACATGGCATCTTTTTATGAACCAATATAATTCATTGGAGAAGGAATGTCCGCAAAAGTATATTGATTGATTAATTAACAATTTTAGGTATTTCGAAGCATCGAGAAATAAACCAATAAGGCAGTTGCAGTCAAAATGATTAAACAAGAGTTTGGAAGAGAAGAACAGGCCTTGGTAACTAATTAATTTAAACTTGATTAGGACATAGTCAGAACGGAAGTAAAAATATTGTAGTCGCTTGATCATCCCAACATTATCAAAGTGCTTGAAGTTTATGAAAATGATTAGACTTTTTGGATTGTCTAAGAGTTTGTTCAAGGAACACCTTTGAGCGAAATATTAAAATAAAAACTGCCGACAGAGCAAATAAAGATGATAATGATCGTATTTAAACATCATATATCAATAGGGTTTGCTGAATACTGTAAGTTATTTGCAATCACTAAGAATTGTGCATCGAGATATCAAACCAGAGAATATCATTGTATAAAAAGATAGTTCAATTAAAGTCATTGATTTTGGATTTGCTGCTAATTTGAAATTTGGCTCCGTAAGCAGTGTCTGTGGAACGCCAGGTTATTATGCACCTGAAGTACTTAGATAAAAAGAATCAAGCTTTAATTCTGATATGTTCAGTGTTGGAGTAGTGTTATTTAATTTGTACTTATATTTATCAATTTTAGAATCACAAATCAGCCTATGCTTAAATCCAAGATGTATAAGGCTTAACAATATGTTGCAGATGAAGAAGCTGCTGATTTATTGAAACAAATGTTGGAAGTAGATCCAGTCAAGAGATTTACAGCACAATAAGCACTCGAGCATCCTTATTTTAAAGGATTTTAATCAATAAATGAAAAGCAAGACAATCAATGTTCATCTGAGCATCAAATATTACAATAACAAATGCAAAATAATTAATAACAACAATATTAACCAAAAAAAAGCAATAAAAGTCTAGATGCCAAAACCATCAAATCTCTCCGAACTACTAACATAATTGACTTGTGATTTTGATATTCTATTAGTAGTTGTACTATATGTTTATAGATTAAATTACATCTTAATTATTCTTAGATATAGCATAACATTATGATTCAAAATTGGATTCCTCTATTTTACAAGAATATCAGCCACTGTCTCTTTAATTCTCTAATTTTTTTTTGTTGTTATTATTTCAATTAAATTTCTTTAATTTTAATATAAATAATTGTTCTTTAGACATTACTTTAAAGTTTTAATATTAAAATGAATATATTAGATTATAAAAAATATATTTCTCCGTAATACAGATCATTGTCGCTCTTTGCAAAAAAGAAAATAAAACTAAAAGGCCGATCCAATAGTTTTGAACCTCGTAATCAATTAAATATATTCAACATCAAAGGGTTGATATTTTAAAGGGATTCATTAAGAAGAAAAAGTTGTTATTGTAATGAGTGTGGAAGCCTCAGTAAATTCTAATACAAATATTTGAATCTTAAACAAGTACCAAATATGAAAAAGAAAATTGAAATCTAATTGAGAGTTTAAAAGAGAAGATAGAGTAATATATTTTTATTACAATCAATTAGCTAAGAACAGTATATTTTACAAATATCGTACAATTATATTCGATTAAGTCAAAAGAAATAAAGTTGAATAACAATAAGTTGAATCAGTAGATGCAACTCCTAAAGAATCTGCATGCCTCAAAGAATCAATGCACAAATTGAAAGAATATTTTGAAAAATAAGAAACTCAAAAAAAAGAGATTCAAAATAAAGCTCGAAATTACCGCTATTTTGGTAATAAAACACCATTAAGCTCTCCTAAGCATTATCAATCTCCTCGGAATAAGGAATCTATCCCTTATCTTAGTTATAGAAGAATTGAATTGGTACAATTAAAACCATTAAAATTCAGTGACACTCTCAAATCATTCTAAACACATAAAAAAACCTTATCCACTTAATCTTGAATTATACATATTATACATAAGTAAATAATTTCAACAACACGAGTAATACTTGTTATCAAATATATTACACTACTCCTAAATTTAATCTTTTTATGGTGGAATCCAATGGGATTACACATTTCTATGAAAAAACAAAAGCCTGATATTTTTTATCAATCCATAATTGTAAGGATGATAAAATTTCGGATAAAACTTCAAATATGTAATTTTATCCCTTTTTGTGTGTTCCCATGTTGTCTGTCCAGTTATAATCAGCATAGTATGATATAAGAATAAGGCCCCTGTAAAAATACCAAATCCAAACGATATTGTTCCGAACAACAATATCATAAAATATTAATACTTATATTTATTATCACTTTGTTCTTCTTCATAAATTGAATAGAGACCCAGTTATTTATTGAATTGAAATAATCCATCAAAGCAGAGTAAGCATTAAAAAAATAAAAATAGCCAGAATGTTCTATGATTTAACTCACCGATACAACCTCCTACCCAAAAGCAATGATGATCATATTTGGGAATGCATTTCTTGCATTTTTGACAATGTTTCGTTCTAAATGGCTGAATTATCTTGCATTCCTGACAGACATTTCTTTCAGGGATTTATGATTCTTATTGAGAATTATCTCTTTGTGAAGTTGAAATGGAGAATTATGACAATTCCTGATCATCATCACCTGATAATGGACTGCCTGGAGAATCACTACAATTTATGTAGAAATAGGCTGCCAAAATAGCTTCAATCAATAATCTAATTCCAATTGGCAGAACCATCTCATTCTAAAATAATGTTAGAATAAGAAAGCCCAAGAACTCTGTTGTGAAGAGAAACCTTTTACAAGCTATTCCTATATCTTTAACTTCATTTGGAACAACCATACTTAATGTTATTTATTTATTATCTTATATAATACTAAAATTTAATTGATTTCATGAACATCAATTTAAAATTCATATACAATATCCCATAGTTACTAAAAATAAAAATTAGTTTCTCTTTTTTATAACCGATGCTTCAGCTGGATGAGATGTGTTAAGTGATCCTAGCTGCAATTTCAAGACATCTATGGGGTTAGTATAATTCTAAGTAGAAATTAATAATTTAAAGAAACAAAATTACAGTAATATTATTTTATAAAATTTCTATCAATAATTCTGATTTAAATATGTTTAGATTGTATTTTACGTTATAACAAATAATATTTCAATATTAAAAAATGGATTTTCTTGGAATTAGAAACAATCGATTTATTAAACATATAGAGCATCACGTACAAGATTAAGATGTTGCTTTCAGAGATGAATTAGTTTTAGCCTTAGACGCTGTGTCTGAGATATATGTTCCGATTTCATAAAATTTTAAACTAATCACTACTATAAAACACTCTCAAAGAAAAAAAAACCTTGATTGACATCAATTTTTATTCTATAATCAACTCAAAATCTAAATTTGCTTCTTTTTTTTAAATATTCCAATTTTCGAATTAATATATTTGATTTTCTCTCTAAATTTGAGCAGTTCCTAAATATAGATTCAAATTATAAAAGAAATCACCTTCAAAACCTACCATAAGGTAGCTCAAAAGTATGATTTAGTACCTAATACATTAGATTTTTAGAATAGTAAGGTACTTTCTATCCATTGACGTATGTTAATAAGGGAGACCATTTTATAAAATATATATGTATATAAAAAGAGGAAATTATAAAAAATTTTTTCATCATCTACAAATCAACACCATTTTGTGATATTGATTTTTAGTTTCATATAGAAATAATTTATGGTTGAATAAATCGATTGGATAAAAAAATTGAAAGAAAAAAAGGAAGAAATTATGATTTCTTAAATGAGTTTCAATCATCATGATCCACATGAACTTATTAAATACTCTTAAAATATTGAACAAAATTAATGAGAGAGAATTTTTGTTCTTCTCTTTTAACTTATTTAAGTTATTATCTTAGGGTTTGTTTTTTGCCCCCTATAGTATTGCCCAATAAATTAGTAATTTGACTCTATAGATGAGGTAGTTCAACCCTTGGATCATACGGAGGTTCATCGCCATCAGTGAATGAATCTTCTAGTTTCTATTTCAAGGATTTGAAATCATTTATCATACATTTATCAAGACCTCTAATGTCTGGATCATTTGTTGTCAAAGCCTACTTCATATCATTGCCAATAATAAGATAAAGAAGAAGGAGGAAACCATCTATTTTGGAGGTCAAATCAAAAGGTCTTCTGTCTTCAACATCAAGGGGTTTGTCACCTCTAATGATGGATAACTTTTCAGCCAACCTACCTATGGCTTCAATGAATTCATGGAAGTTCATTTGATAATGTTTGGTTGAATAAAGTTCATCCTTCTAAGTGATCATAGATTGCAAGTAGATCAAGTAGCATTCTCTCTCACTAAGATCATCGCATATTAATTTGCATTGTACAATCCAATCTTTGAAATCTTGTACAGAAATGTAATCATATTTGTATAATTACTTGTCCTTCTTACTCAACCGACTTATATACTTAAATAAGGATTTCAACATGGCTAAACGATCACTGAGAATGATATCGCATTTCTAATTCCACAATCTACTCTTTCTCCACATTTGAGCCTAATCAAATTTGGAGAAGTATTCTTGAGCTTGTTTGTTGATTAGACAAATGGCTTCACTCATAGTTGCGCAAGTACCTTATCTAATGAATTTATCATTGCACATTCTGATCATGATTTCCAAAAGCTGGCAACGAACCAATCCTTTATCAAAGGCTTAAGGGAATTAGACGTCTTTTGCACCTGCTGTTGACGTAAAGCTGATGTCTATGTCATTAGTCTTATAACCATCCAATAATGAAGTTTGAAGCAAGAAATCGATATAATCCTAAATGGTGATACATGGAATAGGTGTATTAAGTGAGCCAGATGCATGATATTTGTAACAATGGAATAATTGACGGTAGAGTATTTTAAGATTATCCTTTATTTCATTCAATTCAGTATCTTTAACTAAACGAGTGACTTTGGAGTTTTGAAAATCAAATTCAAAGCATTCATCAATCAAACTAGGTGTATCAGGTTAGAAATGTTTGAAGATAGAATTTTCAACTGACCAACAATGCTTTTTTATGTTAAGATAAGGAGAGAAGTCAAATTTGGCTAATGGTTCTCTGGGTTTGCATTGTACCATTGGCATATACTTGTCAAATAACCTTTGTTTGTCATTTTTATGATATACGTTAACTTAATCCATGACATTCCCATCTACTAAGATTTCATCGTTGTACAAAAATGGAATAGATTAAATATTCATTTATTTAATATTTTGATCCATTGCTGGTTGTTGAATGCTTAAGATTGGATTAGTAAAGAAATAGTGGATTTCCTTATTTGGTGGACACATTTTAACATAAAAGAACTCGTTATTTAAAAACGTCATCAAAAGAGGTCGATATTCTTCAAAATCAAAATGGATAAAAATAGGTTCATTGTAGAGACTGCCAGATTTATGAGCAGTCCATTCAAATTTAATCTCCTACCATCCTTCACAAATCCAGCAAGTATCAAGACGATTGATTTCATTAAAATTTTATTTATTCAATTTTGTAGATCTTATTTTTCTTGATCTACTAAATGGCATTATTAGTATCTCTTCCCTTTTCATAAGCAGATTTTCCTTTTTAGGTTCATCCAATAATTTAAAGTATTAAGGCTATTTATATAATAGTTATAACTTATCCTGTCTTTATTTGAATGATTAAACACTATTAATTAAAAATCCATTGGGATTGACAAATAGTTCTTACTGATTGCCTTCAAAATGGAATCCATAAATAGTTTCATTCTTTTGTAGTGCCTCTGAAATTAATTGAGCTTAAGGACTGGTAAATTTATTATACGAGAGATCAACGTGCAATAATTCGTTGTATGGCCGAGAGATCGCTTTGTTAATTGATTAAGCACATTCTAAAGAGGCTATCGTATTGTGAGATAGATCCAGAATTTTGATACTAGTGTTTTTGTACATGGCTTTCCAAATGATAGTGCCTGCACTACCGTTTAAGAAATTATAGCCTAAATACAATTCCAAGAGACGTTATGTTTACTTAAGTAAATTTGAGATGGCATTACAAGCACACTCTGTAATGTGGTTATTGTTCAAATTGATGCATTGAAGAGTGTTATTTGTTAGGAGATGTTTCATAATAATTTGGCACCCCAAATCTCGAATGTTGTTGTTTTCAAGATTCAACTTATAAATTTAATTCTTGCTTGCAAAAGCCATCAACACTTCCATATGCATATAGTTAAGTTTACAATTCTGCAATTCCAAATCCTTCAGAGTAGTAGGGAAAGTTAGCAGTATGTTGCGCAATTGGTTTGGAGTAAATTAATTATGATTTAATTGCATTACCTATAATTACCTGCTTTGCTATGTAAGCATCGCATTGGAAAAAGCATTACAATCTTCGCCATTCCTTAAAGAATGACTTACATTGGCATTTGTTAATTGTAGTGTATTTTATATCAATCCAAAAGTTTTCGGCATCCTCTCAGGCTGTGAAAAATTGAGACTCATGTAGAGGTTGTGTGGTTATTGTTTGTATAGTTTTGTGTAATCATCCAGTTTTTAAGAGTGCCTAACGCTTTTCAAAAAGTCCTAGGTGCTTATGGCAGACAACTACTTGCTTATGTAAAATTGATGTTTTACTTAGCCAATTTCATTTTGTAGAAATAATTAAATCGATCATTCCCAATCTGTTTGATACAAGGGTTGGTTTTACACTTAAAAGTTAAAGGCGTCTTTAAAGTTTTTTATTGCTCTTCCTCATTATTCACTTTATTTATCATATCCTACTCTTGATCCATGAAACCCTACCAATCCAAAATTTCCACTTTCATTAGACCCTTCTATATTTCAATACTCTCATTCTTCTCTTGCTCTTAATCATATCTCTTTTGAAAAGGCTATTTCTTTTTTTTCTACTAGTTGCAGATTTATTTAGTCTAATCAATGTAAGATTTAGTTATTTCACTCTTGTGCAGAAAGAGTAATCGTCTATTAGCTGATGAACTTGATGTACCTATTGTAGTAAGTTCAGCATATTCATCCTTCATATTAAATAAAAAATATAATCAAAATTCAATTTTAATCAATCAAATTTTACCGATACTCTTCAACTCTCTATACACTTTAGTAGAAGATAACAATTGTGATTTAACTGATTCTACCTTAATTTGAAATTCACAAAGCTGTTATATATTTACTAAATGTTTTATTTTAGACCAGATTAAATATGTCAAAACTGATCCACGTTTATTTATTTTATCTAATTTCTCTATTCTACTGCTGGAATGTAGCCTAATCGTCATTTTAATTATCCATGCATTGTTATTATGTAGTTCTCGAAATCTCAAAAGTCTATTGATTCTTTCTTGGATTATACGATTATATCATTTCCTTTTATTTAATTTTGCATAATAATAAACTTATTGATTGAAAAATAAATCAAAAAATTTTGCATTAAATTAAGAAGTATTGAATAATTACAGGCTCAATTCCACCATTTAATTATGAGCTCTATTAATTTATTCTAATCCCCGTTTAAAATAAATACTTTCGCAAACCTTAATACATTTATAGATTACAATTCCATTCAATTTATCCAAATCATTATAACTAGTAATTCCCTTATTTATATTTGATTAAAGTCTTAGCTACGATTAATATTTAAATAAAATTGAAATTCTCATACCTCATTTATTTATTAATGATTGAATTGATTATAATTTATTTAACAGAACATTTGTCTTATCAATTATTGTCTAGTTGGATATATAATAAACCGTTTAGTTTATTTTTAAATTCTAAAATAGATGGAGAGAGAATTGATTAAAGTGTGATTGGAAAAATAATGTTATTGAAATACAAGAGCTAAAATTTCAAAATTGCCCTGCACTTTCTTTTAATAGTTCATCGTCGTGTTTTTCATCGTAGTTCTTTTCCTACTTAATATTGAATAAGGCTGATATCAAATATTGCTTTTATTAATCACTAATATTCAGAGATAGTAGATTAATCTCATTCATGTGCATCAAACTGGTTTCAGTTATTTTCATCCCTTCTAGAGTGTGTAAAATGAAATCCGACTAGGATATTACTGAAATCACTTTACCCCAGATAATTTCCATAATTCATCCTACAATCTACGAGAATATTTGATTAATGGCATCTTTGTTTATTACTATTATTTTTGATCTGGTGTCGTAGGAGCTGTGCGATGATGTTTACGTTAGGTATTCCATTTTTTTTTTTATCTGTCTGAGAAATCCGACCCTCTTCTCGAAAGTGGATTTGACGAAGAGGTCATAGTGCTAAACAATTCAAGTGGCTACCCAACTTCCATTTTCTCTCTATTCAAATCTTATGGAATGTAACTGGGAATTATGGGTCCTTAGTAATTTGAATTGGACTTATAAGGAACCCTCGACAAAATTTGAGTATTTGGTTCCTAAATAATCCACTGCTTTTCATTTTATTACTTGGGTATTCTTAGAAATAAGGATGAGATGGTACCTACGTTCTTGATCATTATGGAAAAAGGGACACTCTTTTTTAATGCAATTAGGTTAAGCACATGGTTTTGTTTTGTAAATCAAGGGATGATATTCATATTCCTTCCATCCGTGACAATTTGGACAGTTCTCTTGATCAGGACAGCCTCCTTGGTCATACCTTTGGATCTAATCTGTTTTATTCCAATAAACGCATTCCTTTGGTTGAAGCTGATGAGGATCTCTTCTGAAATCTTGTGCATTATGAGCATAAACACAAGTGGCTCGGTCATGTCTTTTGGTTTTAAATGATGGGATACCCGACTATGTATGGACACCATATTGTTTTATAATGAAACATCCAAAATTTCTTGTCTTGTACCAATTATTCTAATTTAAGGGGGACTCGCAATTCGTGTTCATTGTGGGCAAATGAGCAATAGATTCCATATTCACAATCCTTATTCTATACGCAATATTTGCTCTTATATCTATTTGGATGGTACACTTATTCTACTTTGTTGTGTGAGAATGCACACAAATCTCCATGAGGACATTGCTCAAACTAAGGACAAATTTGACACCTTAGGATCATTATCAGTATTCTCACTTATATTTGAATTGATGAGGATCGCGTCGACGATCAGATTCATCATGGTAATAGGGGCAAAACTTTTTATGAGTGCTGGGATGTTGTTGAGTGCAAGGCTGTGTTTTAAATTGTGCAGAGTCTATTTTTCTTTGCTAATCTTAATTAGTGCATGAATTTTCCTGTGAACGAACTTTCCGTAATTGCATTACAATATATATTTATTTTATTTCATATAAATTTAAACTATCATCACATATTTTCATTTCCTCTCCCTAATTTTGTACCATCAGACTACACACGAATTCCAATTTGAACAATTGTAATTTAAAAATACAAATTAAATTCTTTACTAATTTCAATAATTTTTGTCTATTGTATAAAATTAAAAAATTAAGCATCTTTGAACTTGAATCCAATACTGCATATCCCATTTGGTAGAGCATGTTCAATATGATTAATTGATCAAATATCATTCAACATTTGGTTAACTATTCTGAAATAGGAATCTAAAAGTTGAAAGAACATCAAAATGATTAGATTTCTATTTATACATGTACAATATTTTATAGGAGTACTCCATCAGAATTCTTAAACACTATTTTGGTATTGGAGGAATATGATTTTCTTTTATATTTTGATTGGTAATATAATATATTATATAATTTTATTTTTATTATTAAAATTCACAGTTAAGAACATTAATTGAAAATACCTATTTAATCACTATTAGAGACGATATAATATAGAAATCATACCCACTAGACAATGCTTTAAAGATGGCAAATATGAGTATCAAAAAGGTGAAAATTGGGACTTTATGATTGGATGATTATGAAAGTAGATGATTCTATAGAAATATGCATTATGCATTTACGCTGGAAGCAGACATTGCTAAACTTCTTGCTAACAATGTGGGAATAGATACTTTGCTTTTGGTATTCAGTTGATACCTTGCTTATTTTTTGGTTGTCTAAATAAATAATTTCAACTAAAATTGAAGTAATAAATCAATTACATATAAATATAATATAATATAGATATCTATATGTCATATATTATTTTATATACCTCTTTATATAAATATGAACATAGATAAATATTAAGGAGATAGCATTGGACTTAGATTGAGAGTTTAAAGAAAGACAAATACTTTGTGGAATATAAAATTTATAAAATTATAATAAATTATATTCCAATAATTCCTTAGTGATTTTCTCACTCAATTTTAGCATGTGAAAAAGATTCTCTCTTATTCGTTATTATTGAATTCTCTTGAATAAAAATATCATTTCATGTTCAAAAGTTAATTGTATAGTGAACAAATCCCAACTGAGAAGATAAAGAAACGAAAAAATTCCTATATCGATTCGAGTCACTCAACTGAAATATAGGAGAATGGTTTTATTGAAATGTTAGAATTAATAAATCTAGAAAATAAGGTCTAGGTAGAATCTGATTATCTAGAAGGGCTTCTAGACCCTTCAGTTAAAAGAATAGTTGATTATAATAATTGTTATAATAAGGAGTTGTTTGACTCTTTGATACAGGACCGAATAGATTTGGGAAATAGCCTAGCCAAACACCTAATCAATGATAAATCCAGAGCCTTGATGGTTGATTGGATGATTAAAGTTTTTGGCTGTCGCAACTTCACCAATGAAAATACTTTTTTCAGAGCTGTTAACTTGATGGATGCCTACCTCAAGAACACTGAATAATAATACAATGACTCAGATATCTACCTGATAGGTGTCACCTGTATATTCATTGCTTCCAAGGTTGAAGACATTGAATGTTTTGACATTGAAACAATAATAATTGATCTTTCACATAATAAATTCTCCGCCTATTAAATCAAAACAATGGAAAAGGACATACTAGAAACTTTGAATTACAACACTAATTTTCCAACTCTTAACGAATACTTATAATATCTAAAATTTTAATTATTTGGATAGTCTTAAAAGTATTACAATAATTTTATTTTAGTTAATCTGTATAATCCATTTATGATACAGCCAGCCATATCCTGAAATTGTGTTGCCATGATTTCTAAATGATGTAGTGTCAATAGATGCTTTTGGCTGCCAGTATCTTGGGATACACAATTTATAAATACATAGAGTTGCATCAGTCTAGTAAGGAGGAATAAGAAAAGAAAAATAAGAATTAAAAACAATAGATAGTAATTTATAAGTTATATTCTTTGTAGAATAATCTCATTAGAATTGGATAATTGAAATTTGATGAGTATTTGAATTGTTTCAAGAAGGTGGAATAGGTGATTTCATTCTTTGAAAGATAGTATCCGAGGTGCGTGAACCTACAAAAAATTAACATTCAAAATTGATTTGAATTTTTTATAATTTTTATCTGAATTATTGGATAAAAAATAAAGTGAAAACAATGCTTTTTAAGATTTAACTTCTAATACATATTTTTTTTAGTTTTTTCTATTTATAAAAATAACGAATTGATTTGAATGATTTATTTTATAATTTTTAATTAGAATTTAATGATAATGAATATATATGTAATTTTGTATTGAAATGATATTTTTTGTCTATTTTTTTGATTACCACCATCCTATTTGTTATGGAATGGCAATATATATTCCAATAGAATTGCTACTCATTAAATTAAAGGGGCATTCGATAATTAATATAATAATTTATAGAATTTTATTGAATGAGTAAGGATAGTCTGCCTATGTTCAAGTTTATTGTAGTTGGAGATCAATGTAAATGGATATGTCAGACTTAGCTGTTGGCAAGAGTAGCTTTGTTAAATAATATTCCGAAAGCTAATTTGTAGAGGGAGCGAGTAGAGCAACAATTGGAGTGGAATTTATTAAGAAATTGGTAGTTGTTGATAAACGCAGAGTGGAGCTCTAAATATGGGATACTGTAAATGTTTTGAGTGATTGATTAGGCAGGATAAGAATAATTTAGAAGCATGATTAAGAGTTTTTATCGCGGAGCTGCAGCTGTCTTTGTGTTATATAGTATCAATTAAAGAGATTCCTTTGAGAAGCTGTAAGACTGGTTAACTGAATTGCATGAAAGTGCTCATGAAGAAATTGTCAAAATTCTTGTAGGAAATAAATCAGATATGGAACGTAGTGTTCAAAAACAAGAAGCTGAAAAATTCATGAATGCAAACAATTTTAGTTTGTTTTTTGAAACTTCTGCAAAGACTGGGGAAAATGTAGAAAAAGTAAATATTTAATATATATCCAAGGCCTTTGTGGAGGCAGTAAAATTAGTGATCATGAGGATGTTTACTAGTGAATCATTTAAAAACTCAATTAAAACTACCAAGAAAACACCAGCAAGTTCGAAATAGAATACAAGCAGAAGTGATTAACCAATTACAGAAGTGCCATCATTCACCTCAAAACCAATTCAATTGTAATCCGATCACACTTAAGAAAATAAGCATGCAAAGAAGCAATGTTGTTGATTTTGTAATTCCTATTCCGATTTTATTTTATTTTATATATAACCCTTTTAATTTAAGCATTATTTGCTTTTGAATTTAATATAATTCAATCTATAAGCCTGTGCATATTTAGATATCCAACTCTTCACACTACAATTAAAGCTTCATACAAACAAATAGAGGAATAAGGGGATTTCACATAGATACATCAACCTTCATTCCTAATTAAATCGATAAAATTAACCTTTTCTTAAATTTTGGATTACTTAATTCATTCCTCAATGGGTAAAATCAATAACATTGAAGAAAATAAATATCGTAAAGTCAAGTCAAACGCTTAGTTTTTGGATATAAATATTATCAAAATAATAGAGGGATATCAATTTATTAATAATCAAATTCAAGTGATTTAAATTGATTATCTGTCTAATACTTTTAAGTAAGATTAATGATTGTAGGTCAATGTAGATATTCAGCTGATTTAAGATTAAGTATAAAAGAAAAATGCAAAAAATATAATATTTTTAATTTAGTTTTATTTCGAATGTTACGCTTTTTAATAAAATAAGGGTTGCTTATTACCAAGTTAGATTTATTCTATTGAGACATACCACATCAATATATGCGAAATCAGTTACTCTTTTATTACTTTAATTATACTTTAAGCTTACTATTCAAAAAGTATAAAACTAAGAAAGTAAGGAATATTTGAATGAGTTGCAACTTCATAATTAGGTTGATAAAAATTACAAAAATATGGAATTCTTAACCTAATAGTAAATATATTGACAATTGCAGACTACTTTAAGTAAGTCATTTACTTATAGAATTTTATAAGTATTCGAATCCGAATATTTGAAAGTTGGAACGAATATTTGAGAATGAAAATTAGTTTATTTAGTAAATATTCAGTTTTTTCTAATAATTGGATTATCTTTCTAATAAGAAGACTTTGTGAATTAACATAAATTAATAATAAATAGTTGAAAATTCATATATATTTATAATTTTAGAATAATTTTTTATATTGTTTTCATTATTAATTGATATGTCATCGTTGACGTTGATGAGAATATTATATAAAAATTGTTGATGACTAGTCAACAAAAATGTTAGACTATCATCAAGGAAGGGAGCAATATTGATATCAATGTCTTATAATTGTTATTTATAATAATCAACCCCATCTGAAAGCTCCTGGTGGGTAAAATGGTCCTGCAATGAACTTATCTGAGCCCAAGTATGCCTTGATCTAAGCGATATTGGAAAATTCATCATGATGTTTCTTTAGGTTTGCTTATGCGTTGAAGGTATCAATGTTGAAGGCTTTTAAGGTTTCTTCAACTTCAAAAAGTTGGAAATCGACATAAGTCAGATTGTTTCCTGCTGCCCATTATCTGCCTCCCAAGAAAGCATTCAATTTTTCAATAAGCCAAAGAATGTCGGTCTTGAAGAATTCCTCTTTCTTTGCAGCATATTGTTCTTCTGAGAATGTGATTAATGTGAAAAAGGATTTCAATAGGTCTTAGAGTACTCCCTTGGTCTAAGCGAGAGTCACTTGCTCCTCTGGAGTTGATCCAAGTAAATCAGCTCTATTGGCCTTGTGTGCCAAATAAACATAGAGGGCACCGCTTTCAAAAATCCACTTGTCTCCATCCTTAATGTAAGGCAAGTTGACAAGAACTTCATTATTAAGTGGAGCTTATGCAACTTCGCCAAACCATTCTTCAGGTTTCACGTATCTTTTGTCTTAATATGGTAAACCAAGGTATTCCAAATAGTATCTCACTAAAATCATTATGAATTCATACATGATTAACCAAGTCCTCTGATTCCCCAATATCCAAACAACAATTAGTCTGCCATTATGTTATTATTTAATTACCCTAAAAAAAAGTCTGCAGATTATAAATTGCCGATAATAGTATTCATCAAAATTCGAATATTCTTTTTCCGAATTCCTTAAGAATTCGGAATTTTTCCATCCAATCTCTCTAAAACCGAACTTATTCCCAATTCATGATCGTAAAACATAGAAAGTCCTTCATTTCTCCAATAAAAGCCATTAGTTTTCATCTTACGAATGATTGAACAATGCCATAAGCATTAAGAATATATCAAATGAAAAGACTATTCAAGATAGTACTTTGGACTTGAGATAAACTTCAAAAGGATACTTTGTTTCTCACCTTTTTTAACACCCTCAAGAAGTGGAAAGTTTGGATCCTCTTAAAAAAATATTAAATAAATTATTCTAAAAATAATATATTCCTAAATCTTGATATCATTTTATAATGAATTAATATCTCAAGAATATTATTAACCATGGAGTGGAAATTTGATTTAAAAAGCATAAGGGAGATTATAAACTAGAATTTCCATCTCGAAACACCTTGATCTATCTTTTTTTATTTTATAAAAGTTAGTCTATAAGGCTTAGATTACTGTAATTTCAAAGAAACATAGTGAAGATTATGAGAAAGAAGAGTTGCAAGATAGTTAAGCAGAAAAGAATGAAAATTTTATTTTTTTTAGGAATTCGGAAATTCATAAATTTTATGTAAATATATAAATTTCACCACCATCTCCATCTTCCAATTGGATAAAACGGCTTAGCAATAAATCTATCTGAGGCAAGGTATTTCTTGATTTATGGTATTTCAGCTAGGGCATCGCGATGTTTTCTCAGATTTTGAAATTGATCCAAAAGTCCGGGTTTATAAGCCTCCAATGTCTCTTCGACTTCAAACTAAAAGAAATCCACATAGGTCAAGTTGTCTCCTGCTGACCAGGTCCTTCCTTAAATGAATTTGTTGAGTTTTTCAATTATCCACAAAACTTAGGTGTTGAAGTATTCATCCTTCTTTGCTTGATAATCTGCTTCTGGGATAGCAATTAACGAGCGAAATCCTCTATATAGATCGATCAAAACTCCTTTGACTTATTCTACAACGACCTGCTCTTCCTTTCCAGTTCCTAATAAATCGGGCCTATTTGCCTTATAGGCGATATAGATATAAAGCGCTTGGCTTTCAAAGACCCACTTATCGCCATCTTTGACGTAAGGAAGATTGACAAGGACCTCTTGATTCAAAGGAGGTTTGGCAACGGATTCTGACCATTCTGATTCAGCAATGTTGTAAACCTTATCGGTGTATGGGATTTCGACATATTCCAAGAGATATCTCACTTAAATAACAAATTAAGAATACGTGGTTATGCGATTCCTCTAATATTCCAATATCCAAACTCTATTTAATTTTGCATTCCAGGTTATTAATTAATCCTAAAGATGATACAATTTGAATTGAAAACCTCTATAGAATTTATCAAAATAGTAATTATTTAAAAGGGAGTACCTTAAATAATTTCTCCAGAGTAAATAAACTGTAATTGTGATTATAAATTTTATAGCAATAAAAATATCCTCAAAATATTTGTGTCACAACATAATGCAATCATCGTCCTCTTCGATTTGGCCTGGGTCGTTAAGATTCTTCACAGTCACATACTTCTCATATTGTTCTTGCTTAGATAGGACTTTGATTTCCTTTTTACCTTTGAATAAGCAAATAAAAACTTACTTTTAGGTTTCTCTTGCAAAGATCTGTATAATTCCTTGATTCTTAGTTGGTCTTCGGCCTTGAGTGATTGTAACCTAAAGAGGGGTAATTCTTAGCCTTTTTCCCCAGTAGGCCATTTTTTAACGCAATCGACATGATACCATACCTTCTTATCAAATTGCTAGCCTATTATATAGTGAGTTTAATGTAATACCTTCATCTTTCCTCAAAAATATGTGTCCAATCTTGAGATCATGCTTGTATATCACAGTGTGACATGTTGCACATTTTATGCGATTTGAAAGCGCATATTCGCACTCGAGAAATTATTTCATCTTCATTTTATTTAATAAATATTTATAAATTGGTTTTAATGAATTTAAACAAGACTATTGTAAAAGTAGTAAAATTTTTCATAGTGATTTTTAAATTTTGTATTTCAATGAGATTATTATAACTTTAATTATTAAAAAATCCCAATAGAGCATGTTAATTTTAAAAAAACTTATGGTTTCCTTTTTGCTTTAAATTTACAGTAAGGTAAATATAAATAAGCGCGGGTAAGGCTCACTAAAGGGATGGCAATCAGGATCTCTTGTGATGGAAGAATTAGGCAGTTAAAGTATAGTACATAGATGATGTTGATTAAAATTAAATTAAAAAATTATATACGCCTATGTAATTAATTTGTTTTACTTTATTGATTAAATAATTAAATTTGAATTATAATTATATATTAATTAATAACACTCTGAAATAGTTAAATATGTTATAAAACAGAGTTTTTGGCCTTCTTGTAATCTATACTGTATTATTCCGAATCGTACAACCATTCAAATGACTCATGGAAAAAACCAAAAATTTTTAAATTTCTTTCTATCTCTGATTAATGCTTATTTTTTATTGCAATTCGATGGCAATTCGAAATATATAGATGGAACCAATTTTTGTGAGGCTCTTTTCAAAAGGGAATAGGATTTCAGTTGAAGGGGAGTGCTTAGTGGTTCAAAGTTTAAATGAGTCCAGTAGGGAATTTGGTAATTTTGTCAATTTCTTGCCTACTTTACTAGCTCTGACTCAAACGATATTTAGAAGGAAAGAGTTGTTTGGATTACTCATTCGAATTTTACATTGCGAATATAATAGAAAACAAGATTAATCTGAGAAAAATATGACAGAGATTCCAAATTTATCTGCTAATTTTTATTCGATTTATGTATAGAAAGGAAGTCAATAATTTAATTTAAACATATTAAGAGTAGATGGCATCACCTAAGCAGATGGACAATAGATCCGGTTCATAGGTTTAAAATGATTCAAAGGAATCCTAGAGTGATTTAAAAATTACTTAAGGCCGCAAAATAGTTAAACAAAAGGGGAAAAAGTACATGAAGATCAGATTGAACACAAAGCAATAACTCTATACTATGGTGCAAAGATAGGGGATGAAAATTAAGGATGTACATAATAATAGCTAATGAGATGATTAGGCTGCTCAAATGTTAGGTATCAAATATGCAACGGCAAAGACCATAATATTTCACCAGAGACAAAAGAGGAAGGCGAAAAGGAAATGTGGGGAGAGAATGTGCGGATATACTGGAATAGTTGGAAATAGAGTTTCACGATTGAAAATAATTTGCATAATTGCCAACTAGATTGTGCATTAACAGGATTACAATTCATGATCAATATATATTAGCTGAGTTCTTGTTTCTTACCATAAAAAATTTTAATAAATAATTTTAATGAGGGGGAACTAAGAAAAAAGGATTATCACGAGAATCGAGGGAATGCCAGTGAATATATAGATAGTAGATGGGTGAATATTTCACTTGTTCTTGTTAGTTGATTGTTCTTACAACTGTAGTTTAGTATCCAGTAATGATAATATTTTCATTACTTTCTTTAAGTTAGTTTACATTAATATATTTAAATATATGGATATCCATATTAATATAATATTCATTTATTGTTTGGCCACTTGATTTTCTTCAATAAATAATCAATCAGAATCTCTGGGTTGTGCATTTTCAGTGAATTTTGATTGATCCACGATACCTTGGGTGCTCGACTATTCTTCAGTTTCCAAGACACCTGGAACAACAGATTTTGGCCATCGTTGTCCTTTCTTATTTAAATGATTTCGTCTGCAGAATCTCCATCCTCATACGAGCCTTCGCCTACTTCTTGTGGTTTAGTCTTGAGTGATTGTTCGAAATCTAAGACGTAAGTCATGACAGATTGCAGATTCTCGATGGGTTCCCAAGTCTTCTCGTTTTCAGAGTAGCCTTGCCATTTCACTTCATATTCAGTGCGACCATTCTTGACTCTTTTGTTCGTGATGGCTTCAACCATATATTCCTCTTATGAGGACACCGACACGGGAGAGGCAGACATGTTAAATATAAATTAAAAAGAGGGAGTATGTCGATTGGTAGTTAAGACTCTCTTAAATGTCTGGTTTTAATTTGTAATTTAAGTATATATAAAATGGCTGTTGTTGAGGCTGCAATTCAGACAGAAGGAGTGGGTAGATTCGAATATCAGGATGGTACCGTCTATGAAGGACAATGGAAATTGATAGAAGGTAAGAAAGTGAAACATGGTAAGGGAAGGATAGTGATAGCAAGTATGAAATATAGGAATGATAAAAAGGTTCATTGTCTACAGACAACGATTTGAAAGAAGAATACAATGGAGAATTCGAGAATGATTAAATGTGTGGAGAAGGTGTCTACATATACAAATCAGGTGCAACTTATAGAGGACAGTTTCGAGATAATCGACACAATGGCATTGGATTTTATCAATTTCCCGAAGGTTGTACATATGAAGGTGAATGGGTAAATCATAAAATGCATGGAGAAGGAGTGTTTATTGATAAGGAAGGCAATAGATGGGAAGGAGAATTTGTGGAAGGAATTTATCAATCGAAAATGCAGAAATAACTGAAGATGGAGAAGATGCTAAACAAGAAAGAAGCAGAAGTCAGGGAAAATGCATCCCATTTCTTCACTCGTTTTGTAGATGCATATGCACATTCAGATAAGAAAACCATGAAGGATAATATGACTCCATTCTTTGCAACAACTGAGGATATTAAATTATATGTAAAGGAACCTTATCCACAATTTGCAGATCGTCCTCCTGAAAAGTGGGAAGCTGGAATCAAATTCTTATCTGCAGGTTCTTTGAACATACCTCGATCTAATACTGCTGCTAAGATTCTGGATCCTCAAAACATTTTGGCTGCTTAATTCAGTGGAGTAGGTCAAGTGGCTGAAGTATAAGTGCAAGAAAACACAAGAATTGTTAGATTGGCCATTTGTAATACTGCTGAAGACAAATGGGTTATTGTATTCTATCATGACAATGAGGAACAAGAGATTAAGAAAAAGAAGTGAACATATATAAAAATAATTAAATTATGCCACCTAAAAAGAGGAAATTGATTTGAATGCATAGCCTCCTCTCAAAACATCTATGTGTAAGTATTCGAATTGAAGCTGTCAAATAAAGAGCAATCAAACTATTCAATTTAGTAAAAACATGCAAATCATTTTAGAAGAATATCTAAAGAAATAAAATCTTAGCTTCTTGTAAAGAAAAGCAATTGTATGTTGATCCTGAAAAAGAGTATCTCAAGAATTTTGATTTGGTTTTCATTGTTCAAGGTTTACCTCAAGTACCTCAGGAATAGATTGAATTAATTTTACATGTTAAGGAGGGAGTAATCAATTGGGGTGGGGTAGAAATAAATTAAATTGAACAACCTGAAGAGCTCCAAGATGATTTCGAAGAAAGAATGGACGATTTTCTTCCACTTCCTCCAATCAAACGCCAATATTCAGAAAAATAATTTAATTATGCTGCCAGTGAAAGAAGCGTTATTGATGAGTTCAAATAAGCCAGAGCCTTGTCCTTACACCATCGGATAATTGACTATTAAAGAATTTATTTTAGATATGGATTTCGATTTTGAAGAAGAAACCATCATATTCAAAGAAATCTATTAATTCAGTATTGATCAAAAATAGTATGCTAAATGAATAGCCAATAAGAAATCCATCTAATAATAATTAAGGAAGCTCCAAAAAGTCCTTTCGATCTTGAAGTTGAACGAATCTAACATGAGCTCTGTTGTCTGAAAAATAGCAGAAAGCAGCTGAAGAGACTGTGTTGGCCAAGAAATACAATAAGGGAGCCAAGAAAAACGCATATAAAATTGAAGTTGAAAAACACCGATTAAATGAACTTAGAAATAGTTAATTCATAATTTTATTGATTAGTAATCGAAAAGGAAAATCAAATTGCTTTTTAATATAAACAAGAGATAATTATCAGATGCACAATTACAGAAAGTGGGATCAGGAATTCTATTTAGAATGTTTTTGGATTAATTACAAACCGAATCCACTTATCTAACTAATCCAATATTCCACCGAGTCACGAAGAGCAAGAAGATTCTGATCAAGTAAATAAAATTTTGGTAGGTTTAAGAGGTTAAGGAAATGAATAAATTTAAAATAGAAAGTAGGAGTAAGTAACAGGCTCTTCCAAACAGTTTGATATTTGATGATTATGATTGGATTGAAATGAGAGCTTACTTTGCTTAATTACATGATCAATAATTGATTGTGGATAGAGAACATAAGATAGTTGACAATCTTTGCTATCCAGGAATAGATAGATAGGGGATGCCTCAGATCTCAGAGAAATCTAAAATAATGAGAAAAGCAATTAAGTCTAAGTGGCATCCATTTTTAAAGATGAATGTCAATTAGTTTAACAGAAGATAATTATATTGCAATTTGAAGAGTTGCTTAAAGAAAATTAACCTGAATAGGAGTGGCATTTTGGAGATAGAATCTATATGGAGAGACACAATAGAAATACCTTGAGATAGAAATTCTATTAGGCTCTGTTGAATGATCCATAAGTCATCATCAAAGATTTACCAGACGGGATTAATTAGAGAAGTCTTCATTCAAATATCAACTGATATATTAGGCCAATTTTCAGATGAATTTCAAATCTTGTCTAAACATTCAACATATACAATTCCAATCAATGGTAATGTGCTTAAGCAAACAATCTTTGACAAACTTAATTCTGAAAAATTAAACTGTCTAGTAAGCTATTATTAAAAAAAGTCAAAGATTTAACTCTTTAATTTAGTAATATAAATAAGAAGATATTATAGGAGATAGTTAAGATTCTGATTTGCTCTCCAAAATTAACTTTGACAAAATCTATAAAATTGATCCATTTCAAAGTCAAAGGAAAGAAGATTAATCTTATTAGGATGAAAATTGATTGCAATTTATCTATATATTATTAACATCAAGCTTTTTTAGCTGCAAAAAATTGTTAAAATTATTCTTCCGTCATCCATTTTCCTAATAAGGGATCATTATTTGTGGTATCTAAATAATCCTAAAGATTGTTATTCTTTTCTTATTTGCTTCCCTTTATACATGGATATTATGGTGGTGGTTGTAAATACTTACCATTTTTTATCATATGATGACGATCACTTGCAAAATAATCTATGTATTTTTATCCATCCACCACTCTGAACCAACTTTTCAAAGTAGCTTAAGGTTTTTAAAAGCCCAAAGCCTGTTTGAAGTATGTATTGAAATCACAGTTCATCGGCAATGTACTATCAAAATCATAAACAAATGAATTCTAAGTAATTTTTCCTTCTTGTTAGTAAGTGTGCTTAACAACCATGATGACATGATAATCCCAAACTACTAATGGTGAGCTTTTTTAACATTTAATGTATGTTTATTAAAATGGGTTGGTTATCAAAACAGCATAATGCTAAGTAAGATGATCTTATTTCTCTTCCATCATGTCCTGGACAAGATTGTAGATATTTTCTTCGCAATAGTACGCTGTGTATTTGTGTTATTTCATAAATTAATAAATATTATATTGCATAATAATAACCCTCATATATAATACCAATATGGTTCTTTACTTTTAAATTCTTATCCATTAAATAAATATTTCCAAGAATGCAAGTAAATTTCTAAAGGATGTTTATGGTAATCCCATTCTTCTTTCCCAGATAAACAGTCATTCAATAGTGAAGTATTTCCATATTACTATTAATGTAATTTAGTTTTGATATTATTTTATACTTATTATTATTAGTTTTATTATTTATCTTATTATTATTATTATTGTTGTTGTTATTGTAATTATTCTTATTATTTTTCAATTTATTATTAGTCTTATTATTTTTCTATTTATTATTCTTATCCTTATTATATTTATTATTCTACTTTTTCGTTCTTATCTATATTTATCTTCTCTTAACCTGCAACCTCTTATTATTCATTTTATAGTAGACTGGGTTCTTCTTAATTTTAGTCTTCTTTATTTTTTTCTTTTTATTATTCATCTTCTTGAGTATTCAATTTAACTTTCTTTCCAACAATTTCAACAACCTCTCCCTCCAATACATCCTTTTATCTAATCGATTCTTATTTTAAACCTTTAAAATTCCTATTAACAATTTCATTTCCTATAAACTTTCCACCATAACCAATATCATTCAGTATAGGATGTCCTAAATCAGCTAGATGCACTCTAATTTAATGTGTTCTTCCAGTTATTGGTTTACATTCCAATAATGAAGAATCGCTAATTGGATCATACCATAGTTTTTCAAATTTGGTTGTAGCACTTTTGGCATCCAATTTCTAAGCATCTTCTTCCGTGCAACATGCAAATATAGCATCTTTCATCGACACACAATATTAAGGCTTATTGTTTTCTTTGATATCCTCACTAAAATTTCCTTGTACTCTAGCCAGATAGGTTTTTTAAACGTTGAGTTTGCTGTTGGCATCATGGAACTTTTATGCTAATAATCGATTCTTAGAAAATATTAATAAACCTGAAGTCAGCCTATCCAATCTATGCAATACATATAAATCTTTAAGTCCATGTTCAAAGTGGAGAATAGCACTCAGACAATTGTAATGGTATCCTCCTCCTGTATGAACAATCATGGATGGAGGTTTACTCACAACAACGAAACTATCATCTTCAAAGACAATATCGACAGGTAGATCCAGGATTGGAGGTTCCACTCTTGTTGTTGCATGTTCTATTTGCATGCCATGTTCCAATTTATATTCAGGAGAGACTCGAACACTATTAACTGTGATCTTCCCCTCATTGATGGCATTTTCATAATATTCTTTGTTATACGCCCTAAACTCTTTTTCCATGGCATCTAATAGAGTCATGCCCAACCAACGAGATTTGACATTGGTCTTGTAAACATGTTGGTAGGGCTTAACGAAACGAAAGGGAGGAATTTTCACATATTCAGGGGGATTATCATACATATTTATTCAAATTAAACAATCTCCATTGCAATTATTCAATGTCTGTTTCATAGCGTTGTCGTTTATGGAGGTACCAGAAATTGGTTGGCATGACTGAAACTGCTTCAGTCAATCTGATGATTTTATTTTGCAGGCCTTGTTTGTACATTTGCTACATGGGTGGAGTGTGATCTTTAACTCTTTAGATTTCCCATTTTTACAAAGCATTAAATAATTTGAGGTCTCTTTCTCGTTTGCATTCTAGGAATTTTTTAAATTCTTTGGGACAAGTCATCTGTGCACCGTCTTGGTAAGTGCATCTCAATAGATCAAAGAATTCCACTTCACAGATATTTTTGGGAATGAGTTCGGGAGGGAAATCTTTGGGCAAAGAAGGACTGGGCTCAGAAATAAGATCTTTAGGCAAAGAGCCTCTTTCAAGTTCCATAATAGTTATTTTAATTAAATCACATCTTTACTTTTTTGATAGGTTTGTGGAGTATTTTTTGCATGTTTTTTGCCTTTTCGACAAATTCTTTAACCTTTTCATGATCCTTGTACAATGTTGACTTTTTTAGATTCTCAGCAAATGCTTAAGTATCTATTTTGACATTATCTTTCACACATTTGCATGTTTTTGCCTCTAATAACAATGGCAACCAATTTAATGTGGCTAAATTGACAGCCTCTGCAATATTGAATCCACAATTGAAGCCTTGATGATAGGCCCCAGCAAAAATAAACATGAATTCACCTTCATGATGAGACATTTTTGAGATGCGAATTTCTGGTACCTTTTCCTTCAACAAGTAAGGATTGATTACTGTTGTTTTATGTCTCAAGAATTCTGAGCATTTATTGAAATGATCTCCGTATATCTACCTTGTATACTTTTCTAACAAATGACTATCAGCCTCAGGAATCGAGTACCAAAATCTATTATTATTATTTATATTTATACTTATCTTTACCCACATGGAGATAATTGACACTGCATAAATCAAGATCCTCTTTATGCCAAGCAAAAAATGTTTTCCAAGAACCAACGTAAATGTACGGCTCATTCACTCCAGGTATACGGTTTTTGAGTCCGTAATTTAACAGACTTGTGACATTATTGAGGTTCCAAGCATTATTGACATCCATTAGAGACAATTTTATATCAGCCCCATACAAGGGAGGACTGAAAGCTAAACTCTTCCAGTACAGCCTCTCGAATTGATCGGGAGTTAGTTTTTCGTGTTATTTATCAATATCCAATTGCTTATTTCTGTAATCCTTTAAGGGCATAGATTTTTTAAGAATGTGAAGACATTCGTAATTACCTCCCTTGCCATACACATTCTACTCTATGGGGCCCTGGATGATGAGGTTGTCTAATGATTTATTATAATCCTATTAGCGAACTCTAAAGTTCTTAGGAGGAATGATCTGTGATTTATTTAAATGTTAGTATTTACTTTCACCATTCCAAAGTTTGCAGAATACTATTTATCCATTTTCTCAATATATTCATAGAAGTTATCAAACTCTTACTGAGTAGGTCTTAAAGTTGGACACTCTTGGATGCTAATCATGTTTTAAATAATTCTTTAAAATCTTGCAATCAAACACTGTCTTTCAATACCCCGGTGTGACCAATATATATATATATTATTATGGACCCACCGCATAGAAGGCCAGTCATCCCATTTCTTTAACTAATTAAATTTCACTATAAAGTTCTCATTCTAATTTTGTAACAACTCCCCTACCTCCCCCCCAACGAGATATTAATTAATTCATACATTAGAATCATTTCTTCATATCTTTCATAATGAATTACAAATTAATGGCAAGGTCTTCCTCTTCTAAGTCTATAAAGGCTGAAATTAAAGTTTCAATTCATAGACAAAATCTTTCCCTCTTCTTCCTTAATTAATAAAATCCCCGCCAAATGTGAGAATTAATTTTATTCAATATCTTCTTTGCTTCAAACAACCTCCTTAACCTTACTCAATTAATAGGTTTTATGCTATTTTGGAGAAGGCATGAGATGCCAACCAATACTTGATCAAAATTTTAAGAGAACTCCATAATTAAGTAGCCACCCAAACTATTATCAACTTTACCTATGAATTAACGAGAATCGTCAACTTATACTTCATTTTCGTTTTTATTCCCTAGTGTCCTATTTTGTTTTTCTAGCATATCAAATATATACCATAAAACACTCTCTTGGATCAATCGTCTAAATCATTAATGCCTCTTCAATTTCTCTTTTTTTCTATAAAAACACCTTTCCAACGGAATAATGAGGGTTATTATATTAGATATTACTTAGACTACTAAAGTTGATGACAACTAATATGATAATTAGTATAAAATTATCATCTAACTTTCTAATGGTTAAGAGTCAATATAAATATATATTATACTGTTCATACAACCTCAAATACAATTATACATGACAATATATTCATGACTTGTCTATAAATTAAAATGAATAATAAAGCTATTGCTTAAATCAGAAAATTGCAAACTGGAGAAAATAGATATTGCTTTGAGTGTCAGACAGGAAGTCCAACTTGGGCAAGTTTACCTTATGGGATCTACCTTTGCTACAATTGCTCAGGGTTACATAGAGGGATGGGAGTGCATCTTACATTTGTAAGATCAATTGAAATGGATTCCTGGACTGATAAATAATTGGCTATGATGCATTTAGGTGGAAATGAGCAGTTAAGACTCTTTTTTTAATCTCATGGAATTTAAATTACCGATTCTCACAAATGGAAGACTAATGCTGCTCATTACTATAGAGAATAAGTAATCTTCAAATTTTCATATTATTAAGATGAGGGCGTTAGTTAATGAAACATAAATGCCTGAAGAGCCAGATGATTGGGCTGCAATACAAGAGGCCCCAAAACCATAAATTTCACAATAATAATCTCAAATCTAACCAGATCCTCCTTTGACTCAAGAGTAATAAAATGTACCTAATCTTTGCTATTATTTTAGTTCTGGGAATAAGCTTCTAAATCAACTAAAGAGGCTTTTGCAATTATTGATGAGAAGATCTCCAAGGTGTAAATCAAGGAAGAGGCAGTTTAATTAGGATAGTAAATTACAGCAAAAACTAAATAACTTGGAGTAAATTCTTATTTAATGATTAGGAAAAATCTACTTAGATTGCAGATAAGGCATATAAGAGTATAAAAAGTGGATTTAATGATGCTTTTGGATTTATTAAATCAAAAGCAGATTAAGTAATAGGTAAAGAAAAATAAACCTAGCCAGAGTAATAATAATAAAAATAATAATAATAGTAATAATAATAATAATAATAATAATAATAATAATAATAATAATAATAATAATAATAATAATAATAATAATAATAATAGTAACACTAGACTAACTATTTTCTAGATAATCAATAGTGGCCTTAATAGTTTTAGATGGATTGCTAAAGTTAAAAGCAACCTTAAGATTTTTTTTCTTTTGAAAATAATAATAAGTAAAATACTTCTACAGCTAACCAAAATTAATAATAATAAATGAATATTATGGATTATTCTGACTATTTTATAGAAAGTCCTTCTTCGATAATCACCTAAGAAAATCCAAAGCAAAATTAATAAATAAATCAATAAGAAAATTTAATAGATTTAATGCAAGACATAAAATAACCTCAACAAATAAGCGAAACACCCAATTTACTTGATTTATGAAATTTTTCTTCATCACAACATTTATTAATATTCATTGTGTTATCATTATTAATTTAACTAAGGAAATAGGATTCATAGGTTTTTGAGGGACGTGGAAATGTTTTTCGAAGTTTCGTTATTCTTTCTTCACTCAATAATTTTTTGATTTCATAGTTTGGATCTTCCTCATCTTATGTTGTTGTGAGAGTCAGAGTTGACTTTTTGGGTTAAGAACATGTTATACCCATATTATTTTAACAGTTAAAAAATAATTATATAATTATTAATCCAAAGTTCTGAGTGCTTGATTTTTTCAATCCGAACATATTTTTTGTATTTTAATTGTAAATTAATGACATAGAATGATTCTGAAGCCACGAAACTAACTAATGATATCCTGACTGGATCGAAGAAAATAAATAAAAAATAAGGACACTGGAACGAAGCAGAACACAAGGCTTATCTTAGCTTCCTTGAAGAAAACAACAATCACACCAAAGGATAAAGATTATTTAAGAAAATGAGTTAAGTTGTAGGCACAAGAACTCCTAGTTAGTGTAGGTATAATAAAACTCTATAAGATCGCATCATCAAAAATTCAATCCATAAAAGCCACATTGCCACTCAGAAACGGGTATTTTAAGATCAAAGCAATACGCTAGAAAATATTTTGCTAAACAAAGAACTCTAGAACATGATAGTAATTGATATCATTTATATCACATACTAAGAATATGATAATCTAAGATTTTCAATTAAGTGCAAATATTGTCACAATAACTTTAGATAAAATATACATACTTCTCAAAATTGTCTTGCCTTCTTTGTTTATTTAGATGCTAATTGTTGAACCTCTTCTGCAAATTGTTCTGTATTAGTCTGTAGCTCTCTCAAACCAAAATCTTCATTCCTATTTGGATATTTCTTGACATTTTTAAAATCAATGTATGTTTATGCAGGATCCTCTTTTTTATTTGTTCTCAATTTTCTAATAGGTCTGAAAAATTGTAATTCTTAGTACTCAAAATCATTTTCAGTCTTTTATTTGTTATAAATTTCAATAGTATTGTTTTCTAAAGTTTTATATTTTTCAGCATACATTCTAAATATTATAAAAATTTATTACTAATTCCATTTTTCAATGGCTTCTTTGTAGTCTTTCATTTTTCTTTCAAAATCGAATTCTAATTGTTCTCTAACATTTTAAGACTATTTAAAATATTCTTGGACTAAAAATGAAAAAGACTATTTCCAATTGATTATTCTAGATTAAAATTTGTACCTATTTTTAATTATATATTCAAATTAAGGAGTGAGAGGCTTTTTGGGTTTAGAAGGAATATTTTTGAGTTCATTCAATTGATTGATGTGTTTTTGATTACCACCATAAAAGTAGATTAGCTACTCCTAAAATTGTTCTTCGCATTATTCAAATTACTCTTCATAATATTCATGCATTTCAGATGTCAATTCCTACCAGGCTTTTGAGATGGGACCACCAACCATATTAATGCAAACTCCTTGGCTCAACAATATATTCAATTGTTCTTAATAAAATATTTGATATGGGGATATATATTATCTTCTAGGAGGCTGGTTAAACTTACAACTTCGAAGCTACATAACTTTAATTTAAGAATTATCTAATAAATTAGAGGCGTGTCTGTTTAATTAAAATTAAGCTTAATATTGAGTTAATGAATTTAGTTCACTCTTTATTTTTGGTTAAAAAATAATTTGTATGTGCATTATACATATTGAATAATGTTAATCACAATTATGTTTATAAAGTTATTATTTAATTTAATGAGATTAAGATTAGTTTGCAAGCATTTGTTTAGCACCTCTTAGAAGGTTCCCCCAAAACCTTCAAGTATCATGGGTGCCCAGCTTTCCCAAAAATAGATGGATGAATTAATGAACCCATTAGGATTTTTAAAAGAAAATGAGAAAGGCGAAGTGCAAGAATAAATAGAGAAGGCAAAGGAATTGAAGGAGTTGATTCAGAAATACAAGATAACTAAGAGCCAATAGAGCGGAGAGCAAGCCAAGCCATATGAATTGGATAAAAATGGGATGCCACCTGAGGTAGGATTCAAAGTTAAGGGCCCAGAACCAACTAGATATGGAGATTGGATTGGAAGGGGAAGAGTAACAGATTTTTGAGATGCTCAAAATTTAGATATTATTTTAATTTAAAATAAATGGAGTATTGTGATTCATGCAGAGCAGTGTTGAATGAGAGACATTTATTGGAGGAGCAATTGGCCAGGCTCTAAAATAAGTTGGAAATAGTAGCGACGCAATTGAAGTTGTTGAGGGAGGAGAATGAATTATTAAAGAGTAACATAAAAGTGCCTAATAAATAAAGACGCAAAAACAATAGGACGAAGGCCGAGGTTGAATAATGCTAGAAGGAGATTCAAAAATTGCAAGTGATAATCTAACACAAAGATGTGATTATCCAGAGCCAAGTACGATGTGATATAATTAGTGAAAGCTCAATTATAGCTATGGACAGAGTTAGGAAGAAGGTGAATCTTTGAATATAAAAATGTATATATGTCATATACTAATTTCAATGTTAGAGAGTTTTATGGAGTTTAACATGTGGAGTTCGATTTTCTTGTTCAATTCAATGGTGATAATGAAGTAATGTGGTTATTTAAAATTAGAGTAGAGTTTGAGTTATTGGAGTCTCTTCATGCATTTTGTCATTTGGATGGTGATTTGATATACGTGATAAAGCACTTTGGCTTCTTTTAAAGGAACTTTCAAAATTTATACTAAGGGATTTATAAAAACTTCTACTTTGCAATTCCTGAATTGCTGCGGATAGGAAATTATAAATAACGCAAAAGTCTTTCAGAATGCAAGTTCCCAATTGAAGAAGAAGTGGGGATTCCCTACAAAGTAAGTAGTCTAGTAATTTGACAACCTGATAAATTGGAAAAGTTACTTAAGACAATTCCTGGAGTAGGGATGCCAATGGAAATAGTATTTGGATTTGAACAAGTAATTCATATTGCAAAAACTTTACTATATTTTCAGTTTCAATAAAATCTATCACTTCTTTGTAGTAATCGAAGTTTTCGCATAATTTGGATAAAAAATTATAATAGTAAATAGCCAATCTGGACTTATCAGTATGATCTCCGGGTATGAGCTTATTTGAAATAAATCTGCTAGTAAATTCTTGCTAGAGTTAGTAAATGAGTTTGTGACAAAGAATTAAAAACTTAAAAGAGCCAATCGTAGTTAAAGAACTTTGCAGGATTTCGAAAAATTTATTGTGATGTTCTTGTTTGTTTTCCCCTGTCAATTCATCGATGATACCTGCAATTAAGTAGAATAGCAATCTTACATTGGATGTGTATTTCTTGTATTGAGGAATACCTTTTACTTTTTTTATATTTCTTTAAGATCTATCATAATCAATATCTTATAAATAAAATACATAGATGAAGTCAGTCTGAGCTCCTTGTATCATATTTAGTTAATTTTAGATTTAATGTTCTAATTTTTTATATATAATATACTTAGTAAAATTAAAATGAGGAAACCACCTCTAAAAATATTATTGGAAGACAATGAACTCGAGATAATCAAAGCAAAGACCCATGATGTACAATCGCAAAACAAAACAACTAGTTTCTATTCCAATATTTCTGATGGTTAAGAATAATTGAGTGAAGGGAAGCTTTATTAATGTGACACTTCTTACTCTTCAAGTAGTCTTCATAGTTCAAGAACATTACTTGAAGAATCCTAATGGTAGAACTACCAAAAACGTATAGGTAACAAAAAATACCATAATATAAAAAGATTCTGAAAGTCTCTCAGAATAGGCTAAGAAGGTTTTCCTAATCTCCACATAATCGTCGGAAGAGTGGCTGGCTAACTTTACCGAGAAATGTCTGAAAGTTGAATGCTTTTTCAAAGACTCTACTTTTAATACAATTATAGAAACAACTTTTAATAGTGATGATCAACAATTGAAATAAACCTTGGTTCTTACATTAGATTACTTCACCAATCTAGTGACATTTACTTTTTTCTTGTTGTGGAAAGCAGTTTGCAATGAAAACCAATAAGACATGGCTTAATTTGTTTCAAATTCTAATTCAATCACTGAATTTTTAGCATTAATGATATCTTTAAGAGTTAATGAATTCAGAATCGACTTTTAACTCCTAACAATATTTGAATCTATCATTTAACCCTTTCCAGACAAGAGCATATTTAAGGAATGCACTGATTCCCAAAGGAGCTCATTGTCAATCGACATTATTCAATAAAAGACATTCATGCCTTTAATGAAACACAATCAAGTCCTGCCTTGGTCGACTGAAGAAGTTGCTTTTGTCTTGAGTTTCATCAACTCCTAGTTCTACGCTGAACTACAGATAAGGAACATTATTGTTAAGGGAGGACTCAATCATGTAAGATATCAAATCTAAATTTAGTATTTTCGAAGAATCAATACGATCTCTTAATTTATCATTTATTCAGTCGTGCGCAACCCTAGCAAACATGATCGCCAGGATGCTTTGGGATACTGGATTGATTTGGCAGAGAAATTACAATAAAATTATGATCTTGAAGGACTCTTCATTGTTTACAAATACGGAATTCAACTGTTGTTAAAAGATTACATCGGAACAATGCCAGTCCTCTTTAGAGACTTGAATCGAATCCCAAAAATCAATGCATTTTACGAAGAACATATCAAACATAATTTCAAAGATTCAGATAATCAAAAGCAGCATCTCTACATTCCCTCCTTCCATAAATTTATTACTCAAATCAAGAGATTAGAGTTGCAAATCAAAACGAATAAGAGTCTATTTCACTAAATCTCTGACATTATGTTTTCGTTGGTAAAAATGTCTAAACGACAACAAGTGCTTTACCAACAGATGTGTCCAAAAGTAAAGTTTACTTAATTAATCATTTAAGATCTCTGAAAATGAAGAACAAATCATCCACCATTTCACTAAAGGGATTGAAAAGGAGTTGGAAGCCAATCTTCAAACTCCCCTTGACAAAGAAACCTTAGTGTATATAGAATTGATTAAATTGGCAAAAACTATTCATTGAATAGTCATTAGATGGACAACAATAATAATTATGAGCTGTTTCATATATTTTTATCTTTTTATCAAAACAACGCTGTATCTGAGTTCAGTAATCTTGTGTAAAACCAAGAAGTTACATTAAAAAATTATTCTTAATAGTAGAAATAGTAGAATTAAAATTCTATTATTTTATCCAAACAAAAGAAATCTAAAACAGTTCAGTTTATTAGAATATCAACATTTGGTTTACTCAAATATTTATAAAGAATTCACTAAAAGTGATAAGTTTGCCATTTATTGATTGGATTACTTTTGGTTTTTATTGGGTCAGCAATAAATCATTTTTCAATTACTTCTATCATTAAAGGTCATGAGATGTACATATAAGTGGAATGGTTTGAATATATTATGAAAAGTATGTATAAACATATTTTATAGGTATATTAAACAATCATAATTTACGATCCGCTCAAAATCCTCCTCTCAATTAAATGACCATATGGACAGTATCTCCAGCTTACATTTGAGCATCAGCTATTTTATTATCCTCTTAGAGATGTCTTCCTTTGAAGATGAGCTAAAACAATGACAATTAAAAAATACCTTAAATTATTCAGAGCTAATTCCTTCTTTTTCCTATAATTGCATTTTAAGTTATTGAATTGTATTATCTGCTTCGATATTGTATGAGACTTTCTTGCCTGCCAATGTTTTTATGAAAATTTACATGTATTTATATTAAAATAATTATTGATTTCCTAATTATCGAAGCTAGTATATAAATAACATGATTGAATTCTGATAGATTCTGTTTCATTTAAATGTGACTTTATTGTTTATTAAATGATGGAATTGTAGGACAGATTTAATGCAGCTTCGTATAACTGAACGGGATGAAAATTTAATCAATTAAAAAAAAACAAGGGAAAGGCAAATGATCACAAAAAACTACTTTTCTGATTGAGATTTAAACTAATTTATTTAGCATTAATTTGAAATTAATTCAAAATATAATAATACATGTTAGAGTATCGTTAAAATAACATTTAAGTGGTAGTAAGAGTAAAGCCGGAATAGGGTTGTATTAAGGTTGACGAGTGCGATTCGACCGTTTTATTGATATCGAACAAGCAATATCACTACGATCATGTGATTCCTCCAAGTGCTTCATAATAGGATGTCTTCACCTTGATAGGATAACCACTGATAAACAATGCTTTACAAGGTTACAATGGGTGTGTCTTTGCTTATGGCCAAACTGGCAGTGGCAAAACTCATACATTGATAGGAAATAATGATGGGTTACTTCCTTAATGTTTGCAGTACATATTTGCTTGTTCTATTGAGGATCCCAATGTTATCATCAAGGGTTCATATTTAGAAATCTACAATGAGTAAATATTTGATTTGCTCTCTTCCTCTTCCAATTCTTTACAAATACGAGAAGATCCTAAGAAAGGCATCTATGTTGAAAATTTGAATGCCGTTGTGGTCTCAAATTATGATGAAGCGATTGCCTTATTGAAAAAGGGCAATTCAACAAGACACATTGCAGCTACTAAAATGAATAGTGAAAGCTCAAGAAGTCACGCAGTATTTTTAATTCAATATTCTACTTCAATTTAATAAGAAAAATGCGAAGTTCATTTATATTCAAAAATGTACTTTGTTGATTTAGCTGGCTCAGAGCGTTAGAAGACTGCATAAACTGAAGGGTAAAGACTAAAGGAAACTCAAGCCATCAATAAAAGCTTGACTCAGCTTGGATTGGTCATTTATGCAATTGTAGAGAGAGAAAAAGGAAATAATAAAATTCATATACCCTTCAGAGATTCCAAACTTACTACTCTATTGAAGGATTCTCTTGGAGGCAATTCAAAGACATTCATGGTGGCTGCTGTTAACCCATTGCATGAGGAGGAAAGCATTTCCACTTTGAAATTTGCAGAGAGGGTTAAACAAATAAAAGTTAAAGCTCATGTCAATAAGGAGTATTCAGGAGAAGAGATTACTAAGCTGAATCTCCAGATCTCATAACTTAAGGAAGAATTAGCCAAGAAATCAAGGGAACTAGAAAATGTATAGCCGAGTGATGCCTTGTAATCTTAATTGCATATGTAATTTGATGAGATACAGAAATTACTTCAATAGATCCATTAAAGTGCTATGCAAATGGAACTGGAAACTGTGGAGGGACAATTGCAGGAGTATGCTGAAAAGAAGAGTTATATTGTTTAGATTTTGAAGTCTCTGAATTTATCATTTAAAGAGGAGGATACTACGAATTACTAAACGTTGAATGAGAATATTGAGTATTAGAATAAGTTGAAAATACAGTTATTACAATAGGAAGACGTTATTTATAAGTTGTAAAAAAAGAAAAAGGAGTTGGAATAAAACATTAGTGATCAACAACAGGCTCACAAGACTATACTAGCTTCTACTTTAAGAGGATTTGAAGATCAAATGAAGATGAAAGATTATCTCTATGATTAGATCAAAGAGGATTTCGACTAGATGGAGGTTTCTAAACTATCATTATAACATTAATATGATGGATTGAAAGAAGAAGTTCAACAATATATCGAGAAAATTGAATAAATGTAGATTCAATTATTTCAAAATTAATAGAATCAATCCAGCATATATGAGGAGAAGGATTAGAATATCTAAAAACTAGATTCAGATTTGTAGAAATAAATTGAGTATAATTCTTAATTAAGATTGCAACTAGAATAAATTCATGTGGAAATCTATCAAAATAATTAGTCATTCTAGGCAGAAACTAATCAATTGAATGCTTAAATTGAATAGTAGCAATTGGAAATTAATAGATTGTCTGAATATGTCTAAAAAATAGAAGATGAAAATATCAACATCAAATAAAATAATGATTTCAAAAGAGAATATGATCAGTTGACATAACAATATACTAATCTCAAAAGTTAATATCAGCATTTAGAATAAGAATTGAAATCCCTGCAAACTGAGAATTAATATAATTTGAGTGTGATAGAAAATCTGGAAATGTCAATTAAATCCTTTGAATTATTTGAAGATAATTGGAAATAAGAAAATCAATTATATAGAAATACCATTTTAGAATTGCAAGAGTAATTAAATTAAAAATAAGAAATATTCTTACACATTCAAAAATCATTCAAATTAGACAACTGTGAAAACATTATAAATGAATTGAACAACAAAACCAACCAACTTCATAGAAATGAATAGAAATTAAGATAAGAGATCTCATAACTGAAGTCAGAATAATAATTGTACATCCAAAAATTACAAATAAGAGATTAAACTATATCCGATTTGTAAAATGAACTACAAGATTTACAAAAGACTCATAGATCAAGTGAAGTGCAAAAGTAAATTGAATAAAATGAAAAAACATAAAGTCAAAGGTAATTGGAATAGAAGATTGCAACCTTGAAATTAGAATATGAAAAAATTAACAAATCTAAAAATGCCTTATTAGTGGAGTATACTAAATTAGAGAACAACCAAAAGGAATATGAATCATTTTTATTGATTCTCGAGAAGAAACTCTAAGATTATGTGTCCAATACATTCAGAAAAAATAGAGTCATGAGTTAAGAATAGTAGATATTATATTTGAAAACAACTCAAATCAAGTAATCCAAATTTGTAATCATTGAGGCTCTAGTTGACATAGTCATTGTAACTTATATTATAATAATTTTAGCTAGATACAATTGATAGGTAAATAAGAACCTTTTCCTAAATTAGAATAAATTGATTAATGTTTTATACTAACTAATTTTACAATATTCTTAACATTCTACTTTATTTCAATTAATATCTTTATATTCCATATATAAAGAACCAAAAATAGAAAGGAAATGTTATGAAAAATATAATTAGTATAATTAAATATTAATTCGCAACAAAAAAGATAATTGGGTTGGGAAGTCCATTGCTAGATATTTAAGCTGAAGTATCATTGTAATTCCTAGAAAAATATGGATTAAAATTAAATAATACATATTTTGCAGAGAAAAAGCATATTGAATTATATGAAGAATTGATCAAAATTCCAACTCATTCTCACGTTCCTGGTGGTATGTTGATTTTCTTAATCATAGGGTCTGCTTTGAATACAATTAGATTGGCGAGATGGATGGCATAGGCTGAAAAGGATTAAGTGAAATTTATCGGGTGCGTGGGAAAATAGGATAAATTTGCACAAATGCTAATTGAAACAACATACCAAGATGGAGTTACAGCTTTATTTGATGAACAATCATATCCGACTGGGAAATGTGCTGTTCTCTTATGTAATAAGGACAGGTAGTAAAATGAATATTTTTAGATGTCTGGTACCTCTAATAGGAGCATCTGCTCATTTGAGTTAAGAATTTGTTGAATAACATATAGAGGAGGTTAAAACAGCAGCTGTTTTATTTTGTGAGGTTTATTTCCTATATCCGAGAGCGGAATTAACAAAATATGTCTTCAAAGTTGCATAAGAAAACAATGTGCATACTTGTCTTTCATTGTCGAGTGTAAATGCAGTGAATGATAGATTTAATGAAATATTGGCAGTCTTACCCTATGTTGATTATTTATTTGGAAATGAGGAAGAAGTAGAATAATTTGGAAAAAACTTTGGCTGTGGATTTGGTCTACAGGAATCTATGTTAAGAATTGCAAAGTTTAGCAAAGTAGGTTCTAAGGATAGAGTTGTCGTCTGTACATAAGGTCACAAACCTACATTAATTGCTAAGAAAAACGAGCTTCTAAATATTTAAGTAGAATCAGTCGATCCTTAAAAGATAGTTGATACCAACAGTGCGGGGGATTCCTTTTGTGGAGGGTATAATTTATTAAATATATAAAAGGTTTATAGCAGAATTATTAAATGGAGCTGATTTAATTAAATGTGTTAGAGCTGGAAATTATTCTGCAGCCTAAACTATTCAGCATGAAGGTAGCACTATACCAAATTATCAACCTGATAGAAGCTGGTGAAAAAGAGTATAAATATATGAATATTTTATAAAGTAATATTGATAAAATTCGAATTCTATATAGGTTTTGATTATGATTTAATATTTAAAAATATATTTTATTAGAGTTCTAATAAGTAATAAGAATGTATGATTAATAAAAAGATCATTGATTTATTCTTTTATATTATGGCTAAATGTATTATTGTCTTAGACTAAGTTCAATTTTAATCAGAATGTTAACTCTTATCAATAGTATGACCAATTATTTTTTAATTAAGTTGGATAGAGAATAATTATTTTTGAAATTCTATCCTTTTTTTTTGAAATAATTAGCAATAAATTTATAGAAGTATTATTATCAAAATGTAATGAATTGCACATTCCAAATTCTATGTCTTACTTTTCATTTTAACATTAACACTCGACAAATATTCCATATTAGTTCCAAAATCAATTTGAATTTTCAGAAAATACTCTATGTGTAACATGAAACCAAAGTTAATAATTTGAGTACTTTAAAAATGATATGAAGATCAAAAAAATTATTCATTTATTCAAACTTTTAGCTTTTTCTTACTGTTCTCTTCTTGGAGAAATAAAATAGCTTGTTTTATTGGTTCTTTTTATTTTTTCTTTTATTTGTTCTATATGTTTGTTAACTCTTTCTTCTACCATTCTAGATTTGAGTGATGGCCTTGTATCTATCATCTTTTAATATTCTTCCTTAAATGACTTTACAAGTGCTCCTATTTTTGTGGAGTTATTCAATTGAATATGATCACATGCTTTCACTCCTGTTTACCCACTCTTGCTTCTTTTGAATTTATTTTCTTCTTTACAAAAGTTCAAACAATTTGTAAGCAAGGAATACAAATCTCTTCCTAATTAACTTTATTTATTGAAGGGTTTTAAAAGCATTTTCTCACAAAATAGATAATTATTTCTATCTACACTCCCTTGAAGAATTCTATTGATCGCAAATTCAAAATGCTATTTGGCAGAAAGCCAATCATCTTCCAGTTAATTTGTTCCTAAAAATATTAATGCTCTGACATAACTTTAAACATCAGCAGTAGGCTTAAGTAAAGGTGTTATTTTTTAGTAAATTTATTGTGATTGTGCTTAAATAAATTCATATCTCATTTAAGAGAAATTAAATTATTAATAATTATAAGTAAACAGAAAAATAATAATAAATTATGAATCTGTTTAGAATATAATAATAATAAAATCATCTAGAAAATATATTCCTTTAGAATTTACCAATTATCATAGAGAATCACTAAAACTTAATATTAATTATTAATATATTTATATTTAAGTAACTTAAACTCATCCTAATTGACTATATGAAAAATTTATAATTAGATTTAATTTGTTACTTAAATTAAATAACATTTTGAGAATTGTTTTTATTTTTAAGTTGCTTTAAATAATATAATAGTTATCTTCATTTAAGTTCAAATTCATTTCGTTGAATTTTATTGAATGTATGTCCTTAAACTTAAATTTATGACTCCAAAATTTGTTTTTTAGGTTGAAAACCAAGAACATCCTATGTTGAAGTATTTCTCTTAATGCTTATTCTAGTTTATTTGGGGGATTTTGATGGATGTCCCTTTTTGATATCAGTTGTTTAAATAGGAGGATCATCACTAAGATAAATAGACAATAGAACTTACATCAACTTTAATTTCCTCTTAATTCTTAAAGCCTTATTCATAGCCAAGTTATTGAATGTGTATAATGAAAAGATGTTCCCAAAGTTTTTCCTTTTATCCATGTTCATTTTTAAAGTTCTCATAGCTCTTGCAACAATCACTTTTGGGTTATTCCAACTAAAATAACATTAGAAATTCTTTAATGCTTCAAATCCCTCTAATTCCATAGAAACATGTTACTCATCGTAGTTAGGACTTGACAATTCTTAATTTAATGTGTGTGTGTGATTATCTAAAATTTTGGTTTTGAGGGATTTTGCAGTTTTGCTCCTATTAGTTTTTGTAGTCTTTCTCCTTAATTGATCTCGTTTATCAATCGATTATACTGATGGGTTTATTGCAATTTCTTATGACATTTCTCTGATATCCTTTAATTTAGGTTTCCTATTTGAATTTTGAGCTGATTAACCTCTCTCCCTTGAATCAACTTAGGTTTAAGATGAAAATAGTTTTTATGAGTCTTCTTTTTTTTATTTACGAACCAATGTGATCTTCCTGCCAGATGACCTTGCATTTTCAGCCAGAGTGGGGAGTCCAAGGGAATCATTTTTCATGGAAAATTTATAATCTTCTAATTTTTAAAGATTAGATTAGGCAGCATTTTATAATGGCTTGTCATGAATTGATTCTGTTAGCTATTCTTCTTAAATAGAAACAAGTCTATTATGAAGTGATTCGCTAACACCAAATCCAGCCGTTTGTAAGGTCTATTTAACTTACTTGACTCTTTGCTTATTAGGACTGGCGCTCTCCATAGAACTATCACTTTCTTAAATAGGTTACAAATGATTATCTTATGAATAACTTCTATTTTAAGATTGTTATCTAGAGATTTTTGACAAGCTTTTAGTAAGAGATGCTAAAAATGTTAAATTATAGTACAATATTCTGGGGGAGATATATCTAATTCATTATCATCATATGATACATCTAATTCATCATCCATGACTGTCACATTATCTAAAACTTATTTGGTTTAGAAATCCCTGACTAATACCATAGTTTTTTTGCATTCTTTCAAAGTTTCAAACCTTTTGCGTTCGTATTTCCTTTTAAATTTCTGACTTCTGTCTTGGTATATTGGGAAATACTCTTTTTTTAAGACTCGTTCTTGATCTGCTACATAATGTAAGACTGGACAATCTTTGATGAGATGTGTGAACTTTTTACAAGAATAACAACTTAATTTAGAGGGTTGATAATTACTGGAGAGTAGAATGCTATCTCTGACTTCGGAATATCTTTCCTTTGATAAAATGATACTATATACCAAGTCAAGGGGAGATTAAGCTAATACAATCAGTAATTATTGTCTGGTTATTTTGTAGGCTCTTGAAAATCCTAAGCTTTTAGCAGTTGCAGTTCTATTCATTCCTGTGAAAAATGAATACTCGCCAAAGGATTATCCCTTGGTTAGATTTGATAGGGCTCTTGTGTTGCTTCCTTTGTTTTCATCTTGAAATTAAATACACACATTTCCTTTGGTAATTATATACAAGGCAGCATCATCACAAATACCTTATTATAATATTTGATCCTCTGGTGAAAACCTTACTTCTTCAATTTGAAGTGACAACTGCTTCAAGACCTTTTAGGAGAACTTGGTTAGGACTTTGTTAGTTTTCATCACGTTGTAACGAATCTCAAAATTAAGTTCCTCTTAAAGGCTACTTGATAACTTTGCTGTAATTTGAGAAACTTCTTCATCGTTGATTTCTTGTTCCTCTTGAAATATATAATCATAGTAGTTTCTAATTCGTGATTGCAAATCAATTTTAATTTGATTCTTAACCAAATATTAATTTAACAAGTTGATGCTTTTTTTATATAAGACCTACCTAGAATTGAGATTGCTTAGCATTAAACCTATGGAATTGAATGAGAAAGCAAAGACTCCACATGCTAAAAACATACTAATATTTGCACACATTCTTTCTGCATTGTTTTATGGAGTTATATCGCCATATCCTACAGTGATCATAGTTTGTACTGCCCAATAGAATGCATAATTGTACACTGAAAACATATCAGACTCATTCACATATACATCTATCCAAGTTTATCGATAACCCTTTTAATAAAAAGCAACGCCATGCCATAAACAAGCAAATAGATGTCCTACGTACAAGACCATAAAAAGTAGTTTAATTAATTCGATAAAATCTTAATAGGATGCATTGAGATTGAAAAACCTATATCACTCATATACAATTTACTCTTCCAATTTATGTACTCGTTCTTGTAATTTAAACAATCGACAACAATAGTATAAACAATATGGACACAATTACCACCCTAATTTTTCACTTGAAGTTTCAATTTCAAATTCTATTGCAATCAAAAGGGCACAAAATGAAAACTATATAAATCACGTCTAATACTAAATCATAAACTGCTTGTCCTGCCAAATAATTTGTAAATATTTATCTCCTTGATTTTATTATTATTCCCTTCTCTATATAGGATGTATTTATAACAACCAATACGTCAAATAATATTGTGATTAGAAAATAACTTTCCACATTTTTAACTGATAGTCCACCAAACACAATTTATTGATATGTGATACCAAAGGCTATGTTAAATGGAGTCCAAAAAAATACTGTAATTATTGTTAAAATGTAGATTATTTACCATCCAATCACTAAATAGCTGCTTTAATCCAAAATTGGAAAAAATCTTAAGTGCTTACAAATCGCACTCAACCAATGTTGTGAAGATTTGTTGTGCTAATAAATATATCTGAGATCATCCATCAAAGAATTTTAAAATTGAGAAAAATGAAAAGGTTACTTTACATATGACTTTTGTAGCATGTTTTCAATAAAACGATTGGAATAACTTTTTGCTATAACAGCTTTTAAAAAGTTCTTCATAAATTCATTTTGCGTTGTATTTGTTCGTGGTCGATCTTTGAAATCTTTAGTACCCTTTTATAGCTCTTGCTTCTGTGTGGAAAATAAAGGGATATCCTCTATTATTGAGTCTGGAGGCGAAAACTAAACTACTTTTGGACTGTTTATCTATTCCAGTTATTGTGATTATTATGAAATTGAATTATCCATATATTAACTTCCAACTGTTGGTGGTTTCACTGTGCAATCCCCATCTTCCAAAGGATCAATTTTGAATGTAAATCGAATTGGTCCTCTAAATTACCAATTATTTGATTCATCTAAATTGCTAATTATATTTTTACCATGATGTTCTTCTCCCTAGTAATTATGTTCCTAATTAAGGAAAAAATCAGAACTCATTAATTATTTATAAAACTAATTACTCAAATTAAATTCTCATGCCTTATTTGTAATGTCTATAAATCATTCTTTCGAACTTTTTATAAAATTGAAAATGCCTAGGACTTACACCAGTATAAATTAAATCAATTTCAAAAAAAAAGAAAGTTAAATTGTTCAATAACAAAATTGTTTGAATTTCTAGTAAAATATTAATTAATGGCTCATCGCTAGTATTCGAAGCATTTTAAGGTGAATTTTCATTATAATTATCCTTTTATTTAATTGTTAATATAAAATAATTCAATATTTTATATTAACAATTTATTGCTTTTTTATAATTCGATCTTGAGTCCTCCAATGAGACCTTAACAACTTAATCAAAATTTATTTTGCAAAATTATCTATTATTTCATAGATTGTTCTTTTGTTAGGTTTCTTCAATTATTTCATACTTCTCCTAATTTAATTGGTATCATCTTATCTTTAAATAAATAAAAATATATTAAATATTTAATAACTCATTATTTTATCGTGTCATTCTAATTGCTAAGTGAATAAACCTAACCATCTCATTTCTTAATTACTACGTTGATTCCAATATTTTTAGCAATTTTGACTGAAAAAATTCTTCTTCCACATTTTAGCTATACTCCATCATTTTTCTTGTTAACTAAGCACCTTACTCATAAATGAACTACTTTAGCATATAATTGAACCATTTTGATACATCAAACAACCTTTGTTATAATTATTTTAATTTTGTAGAATAAGATTATGTAAAACGAAAATCCCTCTAGATTGCTGCTAGCAATTTAGAAATATGAGAAACTTAGAATATTTTTGAAATAACTCCTCAAAAATAGATTTTGATGATTTTAAAAAAAGTTATCAAAATATCATTTTATTATGGACTCGGAAGAGGCAAGCATTTGATAATGTTTCCAAGATTTAATTCTCATATTTTAATCTAAATGTAAAACAACAGTGAAAGTCTCTGGAGGAACATCAATTATTTATATATATGTATATTAATCATAAATAAACATTTTATTTCCTCCAAGAATTTAAATATGGCTCTTTCTATTTCAAGAACGCTCTATCAGGTTCTTAAGATAGCTGAAGAGAATATTATAAGATTGAATGCAATAATTTAACAAATTTAAAATGAAACAGTTCAAAAATCTCTGCATATTTTTAGAAGGGCGTTTCTGTATTATAAATGCCATTAAGGGTCTTTAATTTTAGAGTTAAAAACGTAGCCAACGTACTGTTTCTTCAAAAAATACCAACTTGAAATTAAAAGTAATAAATACCATATATTTCGAAAACACTCGTGCAAAGAGTTGACATCCTAATTTTTATGTGGCTTGATAAGTTTAAGAAGGGTAGTTAGGTTTTATATATTTTTGTTTTTCTTTATGAAAGAGAAGAAAGTTTTGGGATTACATCTGATGAGATGATTATAGTATCCTCGCAGTATTTGTTAAGTGATCACTTTAGAAATATTTTTAGGTATATTTTTGGACTTTGATGATTCACACAGTCTAGGACTGGGCTTTTTGATGGGCAGTTTTGTCAAAACCATCTTCCTCATCTCCACCTTCCAATTAATTCTTCTTTAACTTGATATAGGAGTATCACAGCTCTCGTTATTTTTGTTGGTAAGAGTAAGACTTTCTTCAAAAGATTGTGTGATGCTCATGTTCTTTTTAATATTTAATTATTTTTTCTGAAATATTTGAAAGGCCTATTAATACTCTAATCGTTTGGTAAAAATATGTATTGGATTGTTAAAATAATATCTTATAATTCGCATTTTTCTATATTGATATTTATGCTCGAGACCATGTTAAAAGCATAATCACATTCTACGTGATTAAAATTTGAAGTAATGCCTTTGAATCTTCATTGCTCCTCAAATAATTAGAACTTAATATTTATAGGTTAACAATAAATTATAAGAAATCAAAATCGCAAGTTTAGGATTAATTATGGATTTAAGAAGAAAGCGTTGAAAAACAGTATATTATTTATAATACTATAATTTTTTTAATAATTTGTTAAATTTATACAATAATGAAATTATGAAATTTTTATCATTTTTATAATTTATTATAAAAAAATAGAGGCATTAAATATTTTAAGTGTTTATATCAAAATACTCTATTAGAATACCCTTATTAACAACAAAATATTATGAAGTCTAAATTACATTAAACTAATCTACAAAACCTACTTCATATTTTATATGACTACTGTACTTTTGTTAAATTGTAATTTTCAAAACTAAATAAATACTAAAGTATTTTTAGAGTTTACAAAACTTATATTTTATCACATGTTTACAAAAACTGTTTATGATCAAGGAAGCTTCCTAAAATAAATTATCTACAAGTGCTACTGACTTCCTTAATTAAATTTCAAGTATATTCGTTAAAAATACGTGATTTTAAACTAATTTTATTTACTTATACTATTGTCAACAAAAATCAAGGATTTATAACCTGATCAATTAAATCAATAATTGAAAATTTATTCTAAAGTATTGATGGAAGTTTTACTTTATTTAACTTTTGAGATCTTACATCGGATTTTGGGTGAGACCTATTTGATTTCTGTATTCTAATATATACTCAACAAATTTGAAGAAAATAAAAATTTTGTTAAACTTCTAAATCCAATAAACATCATAAATTTTGAAAAATATTAAATTAGTCTTAGAGCAAGCTAGTTATAAAAATGATAAAGTTAGAATATTATATAATCTAAGTTTACTTAACATCCTCATGATATTTATAGCTATGCGACAATATCAAATATTCTCAGATATGAAATTTTCTTTGAAAAGATTATAATTGGAATCAAATTCATTGTCATTAATTTGCATAAATATAATTGTTGATGAAATTTTGGAAATCTAAAGAGATTAGCAGCATCCAGATCATAAGGGTGTATTATTAGCTGGAAGGTCTAAAGAAGCACATCTTCAAAAGTTCATCGAATTTTCTAAAACAAAGATAAGTTTATTGTTATATAATAAAGAAAATTCCTTGAATTAACATATTTTCTTATTTAAACAAAACTCTATTTCAAAAATGTCTAAAATATTAGTATCGAATTAAGATTATGAAAACCAATAGTCTCTATGAGAATAGAATGAATAAGATAAATTTTATAATAAATAATAGATAAATATGTTTTAAATAAATGTAGTTTCAAATACGGTATTGGCAGTAGGGACATTAATTTGACTTTTAACTCCATTACTTAAAGCAAATTTCATGGAATCTATGAATACAATTCAATAAAGCTAATTTTTCACCATTTCGGAATTCTTGTGAGCAAATTGAGCACTCTAAGTTGTCTTCAGATAAGACTTTAGTTTTTTTAAAGAGGATATCAATATAATTTTTTTCTTTTTCCTATTCATTTTTGAATTATTCTTCCTTCTATTCGTCTTTTTATTTTTGTTATTAATATTATTATTACTTTATAAACTAATTATGTTCCTCTTATAACTATTTCATATTTTTTTGGAATTCAGAGAATGACTTCCACTTTTTTTCTTGTTTTTGTTCTAATTGATCTAGAATTTCTTTGTGTTTGTATTTTATTCTTAAGAGCTCTAATTTTAATTATTCCTCACTTTTTTATTCTAATAAATCGTTTTTTAATTTTAATTCTTAGTATTGTTGTTTTAATTATAGTTAGTTGTTGTGATTTTCAATTTTTCTTAAGAAATATTACTCTTTAATTTGAATATCAAGTAATGGTAAGGTCTTTAACTACTCATCATCTTCTATCATCTTTTTTAACTCCTCTTGACTTATTTAATTATGTTCTATTTTTCCAGGAATCTTTATTTTCCATTAATCCTAGGGATCTCCTTCATCCATTTGTTATTTTTTCAAAATTTGTCTTAACTTTTAATTAGTTTTTAAATAATGAATTTGTTATCTTTTTGAATGTTTATCAACTTGTTTATAATCCCTTTATGATTCTTGGCGTTCCTTTCTATTTCGAACCAAATCAAGAATATCACTTTTTTTTTCACCAATCACTTTTTAAATACTAAGAAAATCCATTTCGGAAGACATGTGTGAATTATTAATAGAATTATTAATTTTTAAAATGTCGTATTTTTATTAAGAACAGTTATCTTAATAATAATAGAAAATATCATTATAGAAATATATTAAGTTTTGATAATTTAAATACAGAAGTACTTTGATCTCACAATTCTTACAATAAACAATAAGTATTCATGGGCTATAGAATCTTAAAGCTGATTCTTTAATATGGTATTTTTACCTTGAATAAGAATTGAAATATATACAGGTATTATCTGCTAATTTATCTCATCTTCTCATAATCATGAGGTAGATGAGAAACTTTCATTTATAATAAGGGATTTTCCTTTACATCTATAGATGGGAATTTGAGCAAGGCTTCTTGACCAACTTCAAGTTAACGCAATTTTTCCTCCAAAGATCTTTTGGGAGCACGCATGCTCTTATCAAATTTAAGCCAACCTCTAATCAAATACATCTATTCTCGGCTAACTTATTTTTCAAAGTCAGTTCCACCCTTAATAGAATGCTATTTTAATTGATTGTTAAAAGGACTAATCCTGACAGTCCTTGGCATCTCGTCTGTTGGTTTTTGAACACCCCTTGGGCTCCCAAAATTGACTTCATATCGATGAGTATCAAGTCCTTTGTAAGAGACATCATATTAGCCTAGGCTAGGGCTGATGTTATGACTTCGGGTAATTTTCAGATGTTTTTATGAATGTTGGCAACGCTGCTTGATATCGCTTCTAACAAAACCCTTTTATTGGTCATCAACAGAACTACATTATAAGAAATATTTGATTTGCTGTCTAAATTTTGATTAGATTGCATAAATTTTGACATTTCTTGATCGTACAATTCTGTAATGGACTTAAGCATAATTAAAAATATATATATATCGAATAAATTTTTAAAAACAATTATCAGCAACACTTCTTATTTTTTTTGGAGCATTTCATTTTATGTCTTAGTTTTGATTATTTATCTCTTTCTATGGCATTGATCTCATCATCACTTGTACAAGTATCTGAACTTTCTGATTCTTCCGTGTGTGGTTTATGATAAATGCAACAAACTAATTTCAAGTTAATTGATAAGTTTACTATTAGATTTGAGCTTTCCTAGATTTTCATTATCAACAGTATCCTCTGTCCATTGAACAGATCTTTTCTTTTTTTCTTTCTTTTACGTTTGCTACTCTACCTCATGTGATTCACTGCTATTGAGATGTAATATCGTTTAACTTGTTTGACTAATTGTCTGAGTTTGTGAAATCATGAGTGTTTTGTGAGAATTATTTTATTATTATTATAATAATATTTTCCAATTACAGACTCTTAGAAGGACACCTATAAGACAATAATTAACTTCAGGATTGCGAACAATTCTTACAATGATTAATCTATGGTGATGTAAATTAAATAATGATTAAATGAAATTGAGATAATGTTATCTTACGAAAGATCTTAACTAGAATAAATAAATATTGTATCTCATTTGAAGGTTCCCAATTTCCTAGGACGAATGAATTAATTGATCACATAATTCTGTTTTTCTATAAATTGATCAGTATTGTGATAATAGGACGCACTTCTGTAAGTGCAATTACGATAGGGGATTTAGTGTTTGCTTGTTATGATACCTAACATATTGTTGTACTCTCCAATATATTTGTTGGTTTTAATGTTGGTTGTATGTTGAATTTTAGGGAGGGCGAATTGCTGAAGGTTGATTCTGATATGGGCAGGACTTCCTCCAGGAGCTTTTTGGTTGGATTATAGTTCTTCAGTGGTGTGATTATCCAATTGCATTAACGCACTCCTCTGAAGCTTTGAGAGATCATTATTTTGTGGGGATTTCCTATAGAGGATCTCTTTGAGTTCTTCTCTTTTGTGTAATTTAAGCATTAAAAATATTTATTTTTCTCATTTTTATTATAAATTTTGATGATTTTCGATGTTTATATTTTTGTAATAAATCAATTTTCCCAATAAATATTGATTAAAATCAAATATGAATAATAATGGAAGAGTGCAAGTGTACGAGAAGTTGTGTTAATGTCTCACCACTCTTGAGTTGAATAGATATAATCATCATGCGAGAACTCCTGAGAAGGACATCACTTTGATCAAGGAGTAAATCAATCAAGTATCATAAATGATAATCTAAAAACAAGTATCTTAAGCAACATTTTAAAACACTTTGTTACTCGACAGAATTACGAAAGACACTCAAGAAGATAATACTATAGGGTGAATTGCATGAAATGAATTACAACTGGTAACCTCTTTGTTCCAATCCTTAGGGTATTATTGGAGTTGTCAGGGGCAAGAACAAAAAGAGTTCAAAATCCTGATGTGTACGATGAAGTCACCAAACTCAGAACGGACTATCCCCAGTCCTATTTTCAAACAATTTAATTGGTATGGTTGTCAAAATAAAATTAGAGGATGTCGTAAGAACTGTTTCACCCTCCCTGAGAATCAAGAACAATGACAGAACTTACGAGAGAAATCACGAATACGAAGCCAAAATAGAAAGGATTCTGGTTGCATATTCTATCAGAAATCCTTTTGTCTCCTATTGTCAAGGTTTAAATTTTATTACGCACTTTTTGGTTAATAAGTTAAAATTTTCCGAAGAGGATGTAAGTTTGATAGTAAAATTAATAGACCTTTTGGGCATTGAGTTCATTAATCGAGGAAATAATGCCATTAGATTATTACACAAATATGATAAGTGTTATGGTCGACACCAAAATTCTCGAGTATTTCAGTAAGATCTATGTACCTCAATTACTACAGCATTTCAAGGAGATTTACTTGGAAGCTAACTTTTATGCCATACAATGGTTTGTGTGCCTATTTACTCCAAATTTGCATATAGACATAGTTAAAGAGATATGGATGAGAGTCATGGTTCAAGGGAATAGAGCATTAATAGCTTCAGCAATAGCAATATTGTTCATTTTTGAAAAGGATTTGTTGAAATTTTCAGATTTTGGAGATCTATTGGAATTCTTTAAGAAGAGTCTCAAAGAATATAACAACATACATGAATTCCGATTTATCGTCAATCAAATCTAAATAAAGAAAAAGCCTTTATTTGAAGCAAGAGATATGTTCAGAAAGATCCTCGAGAAGGAACATGAGTAGAGTCTTGGAAATGAGTCTCCTAGTTTAGATAAAGTGACATGTAATCCCTAATGGACTGTCTGCAACAAGGTCATACACCTGAATAGGACTCTGAAAAGATCATTCTCCTTTTTTGTTTATTGCTAGAAGGAGCCTTGCAGAGTGATCAACGATTATTGGGATCGATACGATGACTCCAGTAGTAGATGCAGCAGTACAGCATCTAGTCCAAAAAAGAAGAAATAAAAAGAGCAAGGTCCTCAGGTACTACTTGGAAGGCAGTTCCATATTTGTTAGAATAACGACCTAGATGAGAATGATAAATATTTATTTCGATCTCAATTGCTGGTGCATTAAGATATAAACTCAGAAGTATAAAGTAATGAGGATGAAGATGATGATACTGTAGAGAATAATGAGAGCATAAATTCGATCGAATAAGACAATAATCGAGGAAGATCTGTAACAATGAACAGATACATGCCTCGATTAAGTGAATAAGGCTATGATGGATTCTATAAGTAGGCTGTTTATCTGATGAAGTAATAACAGCCTGCAGAACCTAGGAAAAATCAGTGGGGAATTAAAGCTTATATTCCTGAAACTAAAAATGAATAGGTTTAACAAAAATTTAGAGTGGCTAGATAAAGTATTAGTAGCATTGCTTTTGCTACTTAATTTGTTCAAAAGTGAATGAACAACATATATATTTAACAAATAATTATAAATTATAATTAATTTTTAATGTACGAACAAGAACTTCCATCCAGTTTAGATGACTTTCCTAATTATAATCTTAAGCAATCAGCTGAGTCTGAGAAAGTCGTTGTAGATGATGATCAAAAGAAAAAAGCTGCCTATCAATTCATGCAATCTTTGGAAAAGAATCTCAGAACCAAGATCAGCAGTCCTCAACAAAGAGTGCAAACATTGGCTGTGTCTCTTGAATTGTACGACACAGTTTTCAATAAAATTTATTGCAATACACTTTATAAGGTATCAAATTCATATCACATCAAACAGGACACCCTATTCCCATTGGCTGAAAGTTTGGAGGAGGCTTTCAATGATGAATTCGACTCGATTACCAAATTGCTCTTCAATGAGAGTTGCTATAGACATGCATTCTAAAGTGTGCAACAACAATTCAATTTGTAAACTTCAATAGAGTCATGGCAAAATTACTAATTGCTCTTTGCAGCACTCCAATAAAAGTATACAACATGCTGAATTAGGCAAAACATTGATCTTCCCCTCCCTCCAAGTTGGATTTGGGACATCTTGGATGAGTATGTCTACCAATTTTATGTGTCATCCAGATGGAGGAAGTTATTGAAGAACGACGAAATTACTCAATTGAAAAACATACAAGACTACTGGAATCTGGAGGAGATGCTCAAAACCTTGGAGGGATTCTATGCTCAACGAAACAGTTCAGTCTAAAACACTTTGCAATATTTAGCCTATTATTCCTATTTAGCCACTGCCAAATTACATGTGATGTCTGGCAATTTTAATGCTGCTTATACTATGTTGTCATAGATTCAACATTCAGAATTGATTATTTACAGCAAATCAGGTGGAGCCTATTAATCATTATTCAGTTACACTGGATTCTGTTTCTTATTGAATAAGGAATATAAGAAAGCTAATCTTACCTTAACTCTGATTGTGAATTACTTCAATAAATATAAATAGTTATATACAAAATCCTATCAATATGATAGTTTAATCAAGCAACATGAGAAAATATTGGCATTGTTGGCTATAACATCTTTATTTTACCCCTGAAATTGAAGACAATATCATCACTCTCTTAAAGGAGAGCAGAAACAAACTATTTGAGAAATACGAGAAAATGTTGAAGTATGACCAACAAACCATTGGAGAAGTCCTCTTATAATCCTGTCCTAAGATAACCAACACAATCAAGAATTTGAAGGAATTCCAAACTGAATAGGAACTTAATCCAAATGAGATAGTCATAGACATGAAGGATAAGTTGTTGAAAGAAGTCTTGGAAGCCAAGAAAATCAATGATGTTGAATAAGTGTTACGTCTTTATAATCAAATAACCTACCAGCATTTTAACAAAGTAAATCAAAGATACATCCATTTAGTTGCTTCCTGAGAAGTATGTCTCATTGTACATTGAGAGAAATAACGCAGCCTTGAATGAAAATGCCTTTGAATCAAGTGTTCTTAGTAAGTTTTGGTAGAAATCGAGGTTGTTGGAGATTGAGATTAAGAGTGATATCATCCACGTCAAGGAAGTTCAAGTCAATTAAGTAAGTTATCTATTAAACCCTACTAGAGAGATTTCATTAATTAATTAGCTTAGATGAATACAAATCTTGAGAAGAGCATTTTAGAGTTGAGTAGGAACTTGTGATATTTGTTGTTGAAATTATATATAAAAAAGTATATCAATAATTATATTAATAATGGAATTGGCCCCTCAGCTCAGATTCAAAATATATAAGTCCATATTAGATTATTTGTTACCGGAGGAGAAAATAGATTTCAAATATCTTTTCCTTTGCAGATTGTATGTTAAAGAGAAATATGTAAGCGGTAATAAAAATTTGATGGATTTTAGATCCTTATATAATCCCTTCAAATTTTAGACTGTTGTTTTTGGATAAGAAAAATTTTCAGTTTTTTGAGGTTGATCCTCCCATTTTATTCAGCGACATTCCCTAAAAATTCTTTGATTAATAGCGATTGCCATTGAATTAGAGATAGCAATTCACAAAATTGAAAGTTAATAATAAAACTTAGCTTCAAGATTAAACGTGTCTCAAATTTATGGAATTTTGGTCTCATATCATAATAGAAATGGGCAAGGATGACATCAAGAGGTTTTAGGCCTTCCTCTTGAAATTGCCCGAATTACACAAAATCCCATTCCAATTAACGCTGTAGAAGAATCTCTTGCAAAACAACCAAGAAGTCAGTGACAATTACAAGGGGGACATAATAAGAAAGAAAATTAAAATAGTGAGCTAAGAGCAATTTTGGAATCACTAAAAACCGATTCAGGAGATGAAGAGGAATCTAATCAGTGAATGTCAGAATGCTTACACCAATAATTTGGATGCTGTACTGTAGGAGCTCATGTCTTATTGCAGCATTTACAAATTGAGTCCAAATGATAAGCTCAAGTACGTGGATTAGCTCCAATTGATCAATGACATCAAACTCAACACAGAACAAGATGACAATCCCTACATGAGAAACCGTCCTCCCAAGAAGACAAAGGGAAAGGAGTAGACCTAAGCGAATAAGTACGGAGATGAAAAGGGGGCTCAACATCAGTCCTACGTCTAGTCATTCAAGAATATTCATGAATAATAATTAATTAATACAGAATTGGGAAAATAGTACATCAAGACCTTTGGGCTGAAAATTATCGATGAACTCGCATGTAATTCTTAGTTAAATTAATTAGAGCAGACTAATTTCAATTTGGTGAACGATTACAATTACGATGAGGAAGCCATAGGTAAATTATTTAAATTAATATAAAAATAGCGATTAGCGGGTTGAAAACAATGTAGCAAGATCCCATGAATGAAGAAGTGATTTGTAAATATAAATATCATAATTAAGATCAAAGAGCACAGGGAACCATACTAGATCCCTCGTTCCTAGGCCAACTCGAATTGGAGAATGATGGAGTCCAACTCGATGAACAACCCAAATCAAAGGTCAAGGCACTTCAAAAGACAGCTCCACTTGTTAAAAAATAATACTAAACCAATTCCGAGTGGGAAAGAGATCGAAATTACATTCTCCAATCCATTAACTCCTTCGATTATGACAAAAAATTTACTAGTAATTTTAATCATAATAATTTTACAAAGAGGTTGACATCTATTAAGCAATTAAAGAAGACTACAAATTAAGCTTTAAAATTTCAGTAAGCACCATCAAGAGACAGGAAGAGAGAGAAAAAGAATTTTATGCAGAAGTCAGAAAAGTCTACTCAAATGTGAGAAGATTACTTTAATATTTGTTTGAAGGCTTGGAATAGAAAAAAAGTGAATAGCAAATGAAAGAGTACACTGAAACACTCTAAGAAGAAATCAAAGCCATTAGAAACAAAATTAATTAGCTATAAACTAGTGCCACCGAAAAGGACAAGTTTAAATCCCTCTTGTATGAAGATTTACAAAAATAAATTGAAATGGCCATAAATGAGACTATCTATAAATGAATAATAGTACAAACAGGTCTTATGTTCATCCTCAATAAATGCTAAAGAGTGGAAATTCTGTTAGTAAATTGCTGAATAAATAAATCGACTCCCTCTTCCCTTCCAAGTACTTCTTTACATTCCTATCTGCATCTTACAAACCGTATATCTCTTTAAATATTCTTACAAAAGGGCTTCTCCTTTTTATTGACAACTCTACTAAATCCTTATTCTAATAAGTTGCCAACACTTCAAATGATGCATCTGATTGAAGGTGATTAGAAATAGGATCTGTGCCCAACGCCAAGTTTAAGTACATTATCTTATTTAGATTGGCACTTAATATTGAAATTTATAACTAAGAAATCTATTCATAAGATGACTCTGATCCTCCAATTCTTCTCTTCATTTAGCTATTTTATTGATACAATACACTTTCTAAAGGTGGAATAATTGACATTCTTTTATTTTTAGACCAAAAACAACATGAATTTCTTTTTTATCCTACATAAAGGCAACAAAAAGAAAAAGTTAATAATATTCCACCTAAAACAGTAAAAAAAGTGATTGCATCCTTTTCACAATTATTCTACAAATAACAAGAAATGTCAATGAATTGAGAACACTTTATTTCACACACTTTTCCTTCACTAGTAATTGTTTAATTGTAATTATTCGATTGATTTGTATTATTATCAAATTAGTTAAGATAGACAATTTTCCAATCCAAAAGAGCTCCTTCATTACTTAATAAACTAAAATTACAGCTAGTTGATTTTTTGATATCAATTGAAACATTTATGTCTTATTAAATTATTATACTCTACAATGGCTCAAGTTCTGTAGAATTTATTGTGATAGTATTCGTAGAACAATTAAAAAAGCTCTTAAATTCACTTAAACTACCTCCAGTATTGGTAATTTAAGCATACAATAAACCAGATCCTGATGCAATCGAAAAATTATGAATTTCAACTAAATCTATTTATCCTTTCACACTTTCTTATTTATTCCCAATATAAGAAATGCGACCAGTTGTATTGATTTCCAATGTTATAGTCGTGAACATTTATTGATCAATGCTAAATTAAAGGTATTAATCATTATTGATGTTGATTTACTTAAATTCCCCATATTTTTATATCAAATAGGTAGGTTAAGAATTGTTATTAAGTTAAGCAATATCATTCTGATATAGATCCTCTAATTAATTTTATAAGCAAGACCTTATTAACTTTTTGCAACTATTTCTTTCATTTTTAAATGAAGTATATGAAACTCCAATTTTGTTACATTCTCCTTACCCTAAAAATTCTTTAGGTACAAACATATAGGCTGCTGATCCAGCTTATACCCTATTATGACTGGTAGGTGAACTAGGTTTCATTAGCATAAAGGACTCTAAGGATGGTGGCTAGTTTGATGGAATATAATCTGAAATAATTTTAGCGATAGAAGACTCACCTTTAACTTCTTTTACTTCACTCCCTAGTGTGTATTATTCAACTTCATCATTGGAGTACTTAATAGAAATAGTAATGTTATAATGGATTACAAATTTGGATATATTGTAAGAGCTTAGAATAATAAATTACAAAAGTTTACCTATACCAAAGGGGAGAATATCTAAGACAAAAAGCCATAGTAGCAACCGAAGCATTTTTGCAAATATTAATCCTGACTGATTAATCATTTTAACCACTGTATTCCGAGGATCCACAAGAACAACAGAAGCCTTAGCTGTCTTAAACCTTATTAGTGCTTGAATATTAGAATCCACATGTTGGCGAATTAGAAGTCCAATTATCATCACAAGGGTTAACTGCTGATGGGATTTAAAGTTCATAAGGTTGACTATTGTAATTTTGGAAATATTTTAATGGATAATAAGCATAGACAGGTGTTTTTGTAATTGTAAGTGTAAATGGAGTTGACAATTAAACAGTTTGATTGTTGAGTATTGTTGAATTGATTTAGATTTATTCTGTTGAAGTTGAGAATGAATTTTCAATTGTCAATGAGATAAGCATGTTTTCAGAACAATCAGCATTTTTGTTTGAATCGCAAACTTTGATTTATGAAGTTGTCAAAGGTTCTTGGGAAGTAAGTCTAAGTAGGGTCAATAAAAATACAGACATTATTATTAAATGGGAGTTCAATTGCAATCATTTAAAGAGATTAAGTAATATTTTAGTTAAATTATATATTCACTTTTTATAAGTTTTCTTTTAACTCTTTCTCCTTTTCAAGCCTTCTATGGTTTGTGAAATTGTTTATAATCTTTTTAATTTGTTGGCGTCTTAATCTGATGATTAATTGTCGCTACTCTAATCATTGTCACTTTCACTCACTACTTGTTGATTTAAAGCTAAATTATTCTGATAGATCATAGTATTAGGAACAGATAGGTATTTAATCTGCCCATATTCTGGTTCAACTCTTATGATGCTCCCTCTAGTTTTGCGTGACAGAATCTCCACATTGCCATCATAGGAAGTATTGGAACTATTCTCATCGCTGAAATACTCTTGACCTACGATGGATAACTATGCCAATTTCTATTGTTGTAATTTCTTTTTACATTTGTATCTCTTCATAGCCTTGAAAGCCATGAGTACAAATAGATATTGCACAATAGGATTAACTAGATTTTCTTATTTGGAAGCATCAAACTTAGTAATTTTTTGTCTTGTCTCATCCTCCTTTTATTGTATTTTCTTCGCTCCTATTTCTGTTAGGTTGATATTCAATTTCTTTTATAGGTAATTCTTAAGAACTGCAAATAGGACTTGATGATATCTGACATAGCCTTCAGAGTCAGAATAGATGTTCATCATCATTATTTAGGTGGCAACATTCTTTTTGGCAACAACAAGGAGTTGCTATTTGAATTTATCTAATTAAGTGGCATCCTTGTTATCAGGATTGATATTCTTCCATTCTTAGATGTCTTCCTGTAATCTTTTATTGAGTTCATAACCTAATGGCTATTCCATTTCAAACATCAAATTAACCAAGGATGTTCCATGCATTTTCATTCCTTTGTCCTGATACGCAAATTTTGACCAACTCTCAACAAAGATATTTTCAAACTCTTAAAACTTATTCAGAGGATTATCTGAATTAAAGTAATTTACTTCATATTGATCTAAAATAATCAAGATAAATAGGTTCAACATAATATATTATTAGATAATAATGAATAAGACGAAGAATACGCAATTATACTCTTATCCTCCTTTCATAGTATCAAACATTATTTTATGCCAATCTTCTCCACTTGAACATTAAAATAAAATCTCAAAGGAATGATGAAAATCTTAGAAATTATTACTTTCACTAATCACCTAACCCTCTCTAATGTCTTGAAATAAAAAGACACCCAAAATCGAAAATATAAAAAACACCAGAAACAACAAAGCTGTAACATTAAGCATAGCAGGAAGTGAGTACAGGGCTGTTTCAATTAATTTTTGTAATCCCTAAAATTATTTAACCAATCTAAACAATCTCGTCACTCTTAGCACTCTAAACACTCTTGCAATTTGAGGGCCCACTTTCAAGAATGTCACAAATGAATTCCCTGAAAAATCTAGGACCAAATCCAAAATAGATGCGCAAACCACAAAAAAATCAAACTAATTCCAACTATTCCTCATATACCCGATAATTCCCAAAGCTATTAATTTCAATATTGCCTCCAGGATAAATACGAATGTGAATGACATATTCAAATAACTCAAAATTTAGTCGTATTGCTTTGAAGCCTCCTCCTTAGCCAAGCCCATAGTGATGATATTGAAAACTATGATGGTCATAATGAAGGGGTCAAAATACTTATTTTTGATCAGCTTGAAAAAGAGAGCTCTGAAACTATTGTCAGGAGGGAAAAACATAGCCATATTGGGATTTGAATGTATGATTAACTTCTACAGATCAAGCCAATCACTTTGAGTCTAAGTTAGATTCTAATCTCTTGATGCCTCTTCTGCTAAATGGTAATTGACCAAAATGACACCAATAAATAAATTAATCAAAAGCATAGCTCCAAATAGAATAAAAATCACAAAATACCAAGAGAATTGCAATTGGGCATCAAAAATTGGCCCAGATTCATCAGCATCAATAAAATAGTACATGTAATCTGGCCACCCTTCCAAAGTCGACAATACGAACAATGTTAACATGCCTTAAAGCACATTATCAAAGTTGATATCTCTGTTATCCCATACTCCTTGGTATTTATTGATGCAATCATCCTTGCCATAATAGTATGTCTGGTTGTCATTTAAATTGCAATAATGAAGTTTGTTCTTCATCAAACTCACTCCCAAAATGGCAAACATCAACCAAGATAAGATTATGACTATACCCACATTGAAGATCCCATTGATTGACTATAACAAAGCACTTACTAAAATTTTCATTGACTTATTATGAGTGATGAATCGAAGTGGTCTTAAAGTTCTTAACAATCTCAGGATCTTTACAAAGCTTAAATTGATACTAGACACACTGACATCTACAAAAGAGGCAATGACAATGAAGAAGTCTAAAACATTCCAAGACTCTCTCAAATAAGAAGCTTCTTCTTAGGCAAATCCAAATGCCACTATCTTCAGAATGCATTCCAAACCAAATAAAATAGCGAATCCTATATCAAATTACAATGAATAAAATTTCAAATCTCCTGAGGAAGGAATATAAGTATCCAAAACTAATTTCATGCTGGTCAGAAAAATCAAGGTAAGAATGAACCCTTCAAACTTGGTGTCCTTGACTATTCGATATGCAATCTTTCTGAATTAATTTTATTAACTAAAAATAAATAACGAACTTTGGCAGATCCCTTATTCACTAAAATAGATAAAGGCAGGCTCTTTCTTCTTCTATATTGCATCATCATGGTGAAAGGTTATCTTCACTTATGATCTTCTCCTCAAAATTGGCTGATTGATTAGCTAGTTTTAGGTGTTGTTAATATTGACTCCTGAATGTTGTAATGTAGAAATTGGCAATGCTTAAGTAGTCGAATGATTTTTGCTCATTTGAAGATCGGATTCCAATCCTGTCTTGTCTACCTTATACTCTTCCTCGAAATTTTCCAGCAGAATAGCTAGAAACAGATTCAAGAAGACGTAATTGCCAATCATAATCCACAACACCAGATATATCATTGTAATCACAGGACTTAATGGCTATAACAGTAGTTCATACAACAGAGAATTCCAATTTTCTAGTGTCAATACTTAGAACACCACAAGAAATGAACTCTGCAAGTTATCAAAATTCTCTCTACTGGGAGTGTAAGTTAATTATCCTCCAAAAAAGGACATTCCCAATAGAGTAAATATAAAGATGAATATAATCATCAATAACAGTATATACATTAAAGATTGAAAAGAGTTTGAGAGTACTTTTATTAAGAAACCCATGAATTGCAAGCTCTTCATCAGTTTTGTAACCCTTAAAACTCTAAATGCTCGAAATATTCTAACAGCTCTGAATGCCGATAGTGAAGACTTTCCATTAGATCCTCCCAAAATGAAAAGCTCCACCAAACTCAAACACACTATCAATGCATCAAAGATATTCATGGTATCTTTCATATAATTTATTGCCCCCAGTGCCATCAACTTCAAACCCAATTCAATAGTGAATAGAATGGTGAATGTAAAATTGAATTAGATCAGAAGTGCATTGCTTTCTTCTGAGATCAATCCATCCAAACCCAAAATCAGAGTGTTTAATGCCACTGCTAAATTCATCATCCCCTCAAAATAGCTTGATTACACTAAATGGTATAAATTCCTTTAACATACTAATAATAAACCAGTAAACCCTTTGATCCATTTAAAATATGCATTGTCATCATAATTCATGGCCTTCATTACCGAATTCATTTAGGTTGCAAACTTCTAATCAAAAAATGTGTAATCTGACACCAGCAAGACATCTTCAATTGAGGATATTGCTTAAATAATTCCATTTGATAAAGTATCCTTCTTCCTTATTTCGTAATAATCATGATAAAACACTGCTCTTTATGCCTCTCTTTCATGATATGATAAAAAGATGTTCTTGTTGCTTTGCTCTATTTCTTTAATTACTGTATTATTTTTATTTAGATCTACAATGCAATCATTACTATCATTAAAATGGGATTGTAATTCTTAATAAGTAAGTTCTTGCTTTTGATTGAGTTGGTTCTTCTTTTTCCTTTTCGAATGATCAAAAGTGTCCATTAGAGGATTTTGTGAAGTTTGTACATCAATAATTTCTTAATCATCCTCTCTACGAGTTTCAGAATCGACTAAATCGGACATCATTAGAAACTCTTCAATCGGATGTACATCATCTAATATGGGTTTGACTCTTCTAAGGCCATGAAATATTTTGAATTTCTTTGACTTCGATTGCTTCAAATTTTGAGTAGTTTGTAACTTCTTAGCAATAGATTTTTGAGATTATTAACTAAATAGGATTTATTTAGAATTTTTGAAACAATATTATATTTTGACACTCATAGTCTTGAATTTATGTTCCTAATCTTATTTTTGTAATTATAATTCTCTAATGTATTTAGTCTCAAGGACTTCTTCAGTGCTAGTATATTATTCGTGCTCCAACTTAATGATAGGATAGAATTATATGTTATGCAATTTTGATTTGAGTTTGAGATTCTTCTCATCAAATTAATTGTCGTATTGTTCACTTTAAAGGAAATCCTTCATTTTCTTAGCATCTGTTTTTCTCAATGTTTTCATTTCCTTGAATTCATTTTCCTTCAAATTCTGCGAAGTCCCTTCCAGTCTAATCTAATCTAAATCAACGGCAATCTCTTGAAGTCGAGTATCTAATTAATCTTCAGAGAGTTCACTTAGATTAATGCTGCTGAATTCTGTATTGCTGAGTAGATCCACACTCTCTTGTTTATTGACAATTCTGACAGTCTTCGAGTATTTGGAAGGAGATCTGACAAAGTTTTAAAATTATTGAGAAGTAGACTTTCGTTTTCTTTGATTGGGAACCTCAAGTTTTTGATTTTCATCCTAATCTCCGTTTTTGCTATAATCTCCGTTTTTGCTATAATCTCCATTTTTGCTTTGAATGCTATTGGTTTAATTTTTGGATTTGCTTAATAGTTTTTCCTATTTTTCTTAATTGGTTTCACTCGGAGGTAGATTTTCAGATGATTTATTTTTTTCTTCATTGGTTTTGGAGGAGATAGAGTAATTGTCAGTTTATTTTAATAGTGGATCAAATTTGGAATTGGTAGCCAATTGATCTTTATCAATATTGCCCATCCCATAAATTCCTTGGAGTTTAACTTTGTCTTTCAAATTGATTGGTTTGCTGTAATATTTGGCTTATTGGATGGCTTTAAACGTAATATTCTTGCGACTTGCAACTCTGTGGTTGTGTTCAAGGTTATTGAAGTTGACAGTGTTCATTTTTTTGGACCTTCTACGAATTTAATAGGCATTGGTAAATTTTGATGGAGTGACTCCATAGTTGGTTGTGTCAACCTTATACCTTTTCGCTTTATAGAGGCCAAGTCTTCTCAATTCCCAGTAGTCGTAGAATTCGATGTCTTCTTGGATTAATTTGAGTTCTTCTTCAATCTTTTCAGGTTTGAAGTTTAACTTGATAACAGCCAAGGTTAGATTCACAAGGAAGAAGGCTCCCACTATTACCACTAGTAAGAAGTAGAAGATAACAAATTGAGAGAATGTGAGAATTACTGCTTCTTAGATTTAAGCCCATCCTTCAAGTGTGGTGATAACAAAGACTTACAGAAATGCCCAACCAAAGGTGTCGAAATTGATAAGGTCGTTCTGAGGATTGCTGGTTTATTTTCCACAAAGATAATCAGTTGGACAATCTGAGTCAGCTGAACAAAAGGCATCTATTTCAATGGAAGTCATCAGTGTGATTCCTATGTCACTGAAACAACGACGCTTCAGATAGCCTGAGAACAGTTGCACTCCAGCAATGGCAAAGATAGTATAAAAGAAAATTAATACTATCGCGGCATCTCTCAGTTGTGCCAGGGACGCGAACAAAGCCAGCAGAATCATCCTCAGAGATTTAATTGAGGATATGGTTCTGAGTGGCCTTAACACTCGAAAGGATCGTAAAGAATTGAGATTTAATGAGTTAGATGAGACAAAGTAGGGCAAGTAGGCAGTGATGATGACTGAGAAATCCAGGATGTTCCAGGTTTCTCTCAGATAGGCTTTCTTTGGCCATATTAAGCCCTAGTTTAATGAGTTAAGTTACTTGTGCGATGATTTTTAAGATTGCTTCAATTGTATAATAGATTAAAAATATTTGATCCATCAAATTGGCAAAGTCTGTTTGTTCTTCAGTTGTGGGATCATCCATGGCGAGCATAACCGAATTGAATATGATGATGAAGATTGTTATGATTTCAAATATCGTGTTGGTAACAATCTTATTTGCGATTAGGGATATTTTCTTTTAACAAAGTAACAGTTGTTTTCTGATTCCTAAGAATGGGTATCTAATTAAGGTTGGATAGATACTGGTCTGTGTAATTCAGGGCCAATTGGAGGTCGCTTTGAGGAATGAGTTTCAAATAGGAATTGGAAATGGTCTTGTAATTTGAGAACATCTCTTCGTATTCGTCTTGCATTTGCGATTGCAATTCTTCATAGTAGAAGTCTTGGTCCTCTGCCTTGACATCGAAAAACAAATCGTGAACTTTTCTCAACAATTCCTGATTGTTTTGAACTCTCAATTCATTGTTTAACTAGTATACACACTTGAACGTACTTCTTCAATACTGAAAACATCAAAGTCCCTTCTAATTTGCTCCTTCTCGTCCTCATTGTGTAGTATTGATTGTTGAACTATCATAAATATCGAAATTTCTGGGGGGGGATTTGCTATTTATATAAATATTATAAATAAAATGATGGAAGATGAATATGTTATGGTGAATGGCAGAAAAACTGTAAATTGCTCAATCCCTAACAATAGATTCCCCGCAAGATGTATCAACTCAACAAGATCTACAATGGCATCACACTCAATTTGCATTATTCCATAGGGTATTTGTGCATGATCAACATCCTCTTAGTTTGAAGCAACGAATCCAATCGTTCATTTACCAAGAAGACTCGTTGGTTTATCTGAATGGTCATCACCTGGTGCTCTACGATATTAATAAGAAGAAGCAGCAATTCATCCTGAGACCCAAGGATGAAGAAGATGTAAACATCTCCCACTTAATCCTTAGGCTGTAGTGATGAATCATTGTGTCAATGACAAGATGATACTCTCCGTTGGTCTGGGCCTTAAGAATAGCATCAAAAATTATGCAACTGTAAGAATCTATAAGACCAATCACAAATCCTTCACTCTTCTCCATCAGCATCTCCCCTTCGGAACCTAAGTCAAGGATGTCGCCTTTCTTCACACTGCCAAATACACCATCACTCTTTGTTCCAATATCAACTCTCATGACACCTCCTACATCAGCGTGTTCAAAACCAACACTGAATAACTCATCACCTACAGCGATGTGGGCGAAAACTACGCTGGCTTATTTGGAACCTATAAGGATTTCGAATAGTTTGGTACATTCGGACCCAATGTGTTGAAATTGTGGAAATTCAATCCAACTGAAAAACAATTAGACGATGTTTTCTTGGATTACGAAGGTGTGATCACTCATGTAGTCCAATCCAACAAGTAATCAATATCTCTTATAATTTAAGAAAAATATTCCTCATGAATAAAAAAGGAATTTTGTACTTCTATCGCAAAAACAAAATAATCAACTCAGCCAACATTCCCGCTGACTTGAATGAGATCCCTACTGTTATTGCTGCTTACTCGGAAGGAGTTGTTGTTGGATTTGAAAACAAATCTATTATAGCAATGTATGAAGCACACAAAGGCATAATCGAATATAGAAAACAATATACTTTAAATATTACTAATCTCTAAAAAATAGTGTATATTCATGTTGGTAAAGATGACTCCTATATTTCCATTACTGCATAACACAAGACCAGACAAACTGAAAATGAAGAAATCAATTGTGAGATCTATCTCTTCAATCTCGGATTTGTTGATTTTATCAACTCCGCCTTCAGAGATCCCTTTGAATAACTCTTCCCTTAAGGAGTTCACAAGAGTAAAATTCTAAATATCGAATCCTCTCCATCCAAACCCATCATCTGCGTTTTGTCTGAAGAGAGAGTGTTCAAAGTCTGGGAATTCACTTATGAAGAAGGTAAATTCAAGTGTCTCTATTCCTCAACTCTACATGAAGTCCCTTAATGCATGGCCTTGCATCCCATGGCATTCCAATGTGCAATTGGGTATCGAGAAGGTCTCAAGTTTTATTTTGTTCTCCATGACGAACTCAAATAAGTGTATTATGAATCCTTAAAGCAATGCAGTGTTGTTAAGTACACTCCTGGAGGGAATCAACTGGCTGTTGGATCTCAGAATCAAATTCTCATCTATGATCCCTACACCTATCGATTGCTACAAACAATATCAGGCCACATGGGTGTGATTGCCTCCTTGGAATGGTGTGACAACACTCTCATCTCCACTTGTAGTTAGGGACTAGTAATGGTGTTCAATCAGACTAGGCTGGTCGATCATTCATTCAAACTGCATAAAGGCTTCTGTTAGACTTACGACACCGAGTATGATTTCCTTGTTGGAAGCTATTCGGATAACAAGGTCAGAATCTTTAACGAGAAGGGATAGAACCTATACTATGAAATGGATATCTATCCAAGTCAATATGTGAGTGTACAAATCCTCAGATTTCTGGATATGATTGCATTTGGAACCAATTGTGGAAAGGTGAGATTGTATCTGTGGCCTTTCACTTAATTCAAAAATGATTAGGAAATGTTCGAATTCCAGTTGCATCAGGGACCAATAACCTAAATTAGAATGTCATCCGATCAGCAATTCCTCATCACTGGAGCTGAGGATGGTTCAGTACAGATTTGTAAGGTCAAGGAATGGTATGATGGCAAGGACATGACACCCTAAGAGATGTAAAAAGGACAAAGAGTTAACTCTAAAGGGCTGGTCGTGTCCAACCTATATAGTTTTAGTATCTTAGCCTTTGTGAGTAAGAATAGCATTGAGATGAAGAAGGACCTCATCAAAGAGTTGGATTTCAGGATTTCTAATCAAAAGAGTGATCAAGAAGATTAAAAATAGGATATCACTCAGAAGTACCAAAAGCAGGAAAAGGAATTAGAATAACAATATTAGTATTAGATTGCCAGGTACAAAGAAGAGTTATCATAAATAATGGAAGCCAAGGATACAAGGAATAAGAACTTAGATATCGATTTAATTGATTTGAGGAAAAAGTATTAGGTAGAATCACATCAAATTTAAGAAAAAACTGAAAAGGATCTCCTGCAATTGTATTAGAAGAATGATGAAGTCAAATAGAGATTGTAATTCACCAATGAGGAGAATCTAAGAGAATATGAGTAAAAGAAAGCTCATTTAGAATCTATTAGAACCAATATCAAGAATGATCAGGATACTAAATTTAATGATTTATTTTCAAGATTTCAATCATCGAAAGAGTCTTTTGAATTGGATGAAAAGAAGTATTTGGAAGTGTTCAAAGAAACTGAAAAAGAGTTTGAATAATTGATAAATGAGTAGAAGGAGAAGAAACTCATTAAGTTGAAGGAATTGTTGGACAAAAGTGAAAAGATTAGATCCAGTAATACTAAATTTAAAAAAGAGTGTGATAGATATCAATTGAGAAAATAGGAATTAGAAAATATGATCAGAGAAACAAGAACTTAAAAAGATTTAATTAACAAAGAAAAAGATAATTTCAAATTGATAAATCAAGAAAAGAAGAATCAATTAAAAGACAGAGAGAGATAAATCTTTTAGAAAGAAAAGGAAATTAAAAATTATAGAAACAAAAATGGTCATCTCTAAAATTTTAAGAATGTCAATTCATATCGTTTGTAATCTTTATAGGAGTAAAAAGCCCCTCTTCAAGAACATCTATAAGATTTAGATTAGAATGTCAAAATTATGTACTAAGAGTTGACAGACGAGGCAGAAGCAGAAAAGAATTTAGAAAACCTTATAGAAGATACTTCCAATAAAATAAAGGAGTTGAAAAATTAGTATCTAATTAAGAGGGATTCCTTGTTCTCTAAGAGAGGAGAGGTTCAAGAGATAGAGAATAACATATTCAAAGTATTAGCTGACCCTGAAATCACCAACTTTAAAGAGATGCTGCAAAATGTTCATAAACAGCATTTCATTAATGGCAAGATTAACAAAGGGAGATGTTAATGAAGATTCCATTCTATGCTGAAATTGAAAAGAATACAGAGGTTGCCATACGTGAGGAAATGCTGAGACAGAGGGATTTCTTAAGTAAAAAGATCAACACAATCACTAGAACTAGCAAAGCAGCTGATGAGGATAAGACCAGTCTCATTATTAGAGTTTAAAAGGAGAACACTAATCTAGTGAAATCTTGTAATGAATTGAGAGAATAAAGAGCCAATCTCATCTCCCACTTGTCTAATATGCAAAAGGCCTTAGATATATTACAAAAGGAAATTGCTTCTTTGAACAATGGCGAATCTATTGAGTTTTAACAATCAGACGAGGATGTTCCACTTTATATAGAGAAAAACAAAATATAAAAACAAATTTCAGCACCAAAATTGACTCCATTTTAGTAATATCATTAGGAGAAGGAAATATCAAAAATCAGAAAATCTGACACCGTTCTAAAAAGAGATAAAGGACAATTGGATTTATAACAATTGATCAAAGAAATTAAGACTTACAATTTAACTGATCAAGAACTCAGAGTAATAATATCTTTATAATTAGGATTAAGTATAGCAATTTTTAAGAAATGATGAATCTTCATCTATTCTACCTTAGATTCTAAAATATCCATTCAATCAGTCTCAAGAGGAAACCCAATTAGCAGGACTAGAATAATCCATCATCAATACATCCTTAGAAACACAAAAACTTCAATTGCCATTAATTAAACAATGATGCAAATGAATTTCTATATCAAATTGATTTACATATAATTAATTGCTTTTTGAATATTATTGCTTATAATAGTATATGAGATTAGTGAAGAGCTAATTTGAACTTGGATGATATTAGTTGAAATTTTTATTGGAAGTCTAAGATAGTTATATTGAAGTTTGCTTTCAAACTTCTTTCTATATAATTAGAAGGCCAAGAACTCATTATTTAGTTACTTTCCCAAGTTATTTTATACATTTTAATTCTTAATTAATAATAAAAAAATAAGATCCTTTAGGTTTTATTGATGTTCAATGTTCAAATTATATGAAATATTGTCAAAAAATCAATTATCATAAATTAATTCACTTTTTGATTTTTCTATAATGTCTTCCTATGCTTAAATTTTATCTTTGAAATCTTTTACTTATGTACCATAATCTGAGGGGTTGAACCAACTTTTCTTGCACGTTTCTAAATACTCCTCCTTTTTTTTTATAAGCATTTTTTGCTCTAGTTCTGCTTCATGTAATTTAGATCTAATGTCTTTTTTCTTCATTTCCTTTTCTTTCTGTTCTTTATTCATCTCTGACCAGGCTTTCTCTACTTTCTCCTTCTCATCTTTAATACTTTGAAGCTCTTAATTTTTAGATTATTAGATTTTCTCATCGGCATTTGTTTTTTCATCAAGTGATTTATTTAATATTTTTATTTGTTCCGCTTATTCTGATTATTTCAACTTTTTTAATTCCAAATTATGCTCAAATTTATTATTTTATTCTTCAATTTTAAGTTAGAGGTTTTATTATTCTCTGTCATGTTTAGCATTAATCTCAGCTTATTTTTTCTCTTCCTCTTCTTTTTTTTCCTTTTGTCTTTTTTATTCTTCTTCTAATTCAATAATATATTACTTTATGCTCTTTTTTAGTTACTTTTTAGATAATTCAAAGTTTAAATAACCAGATATAGATTCTTTATATTTGAAAAAGTATTGAAATATAGAAAGAAACTTTTCTGAAGATTCTTTCTTATCTTTGCTTTATTCTAATTTTGATAATAAGTTTTTAATCCATTCTGATTGGCCGTTACAATCATCTTTTGAAATATCTTTCATTTTTTTTATTTCACTTTTTAAATTGTCTAAACACTGTTGCAATCCATTTAATTTTGCATCTTCCTTCTTTTTTTATAGTAACCTTTAATAAGAAGTAATTGACTTTCTTAATTCTTAAGTAATATATGAGCCAACTACTTAATTCTCATCTTAATAATCTGGTTTATAAGAAACTGCAGATATTGCTTTAAGTTTAGAAATCACAGAGTTTTTTGTATCATCCGAAAGAGCTGTTGATAAATTCAGCTCATAAATATCTTCAATTATGATTATTTGTTTTGAAAGTGCTTGATAGATATGAGCATTTTCCTTATCTTACTCTGCTTTTAAAGATAGTTATTCTTGAAACTTTTTAATGACTATTTTTTCATCATATGTTTAATTTTCAGGATCATCTTAAAATGAATTTATTATTAATCCAATTGAATCAAATTTTGTGTTTTTCGAGGTGAAAGCAGATTTAATAAGTTCTTAAATATGAGTACCTCTTTCCTCTAATTTGGTTGTAGATTATGGTATAACAACGGCAATTTTAACATTTGTTTTTGTTACAATTTCGTCAAACATTAATTTAATTGATAATTAAGAATATTTTCCTTTTGTATCCTTAAAACCTGGAAAATCAATTATTAGATGATCATCAATCTTATTAAAATTTGGAATATAAGTCACTGATTACATTGCATTGCTTTAAGCAGAAAATTTGTTATCTTAACTCTCAGTCAATTTTAATACATTGTCCTCAAATTTAAATTTTGCTCCACAAACCCAATTAAACACAAAACTTTTTCCAGAACCTGTGTCTCCAATTAAAAGTATAGTATTTAGTTTATCATTAACGTTTTCGTTAAATTTTTTAAAAACAGTATCCTAGTCCTTAATTACTTAATAAAATTTTTCTAAATCAAATTGCTCCATTGAATAAAAGTATTAGTTATGTGAGAAGCAAGAATTATTAAAAGATGTCTAGATATTCTATTAAAGTTCAAAAAATAGAATTTTATGTTTTTTTGTTTTTTTTTTCTATTAGGTAATTAATAGTAGAAATATATTGAAATTTTATATGTGTTTTGATTTAATTAATTATTACTTTACAATATTTTTCATAAATGAACACCTATAGATAAGAAAGAGAAGAGAAATAAATTACAACTTTACTTGAAGTCATTGCTAGCTTAGAAAAGATATTAGAACAAATTAATACAAAAATAGATAAAAAGTGTAAGACAATATTGCTACTTGGAACACAGGATCAGGAAAAAAAGTATTAATTTCCGTCTTTAAAATTGCAATAATTCTCCTTTTTATCAACTTAAGGCAACGTTGAAACGAAATTATTGTGTAATAATATAATAATATATAACTACATGTGAACTTCAGAATTTTCAAAAGTTTTTAGTTTAGTTCTAGCTGTAAAATTTGAAGTTTTTTGTTTATTGAAATCATGTCCAATTGTCAAAAATTCATTTAGGAATGTTGGACTATATTAAGTCATCAATTTTGGATTACTGATTTTCTAAAAAGTCAGGAGCGAGATTCTTTGATTAAATATCAACATGAGAAAAAACATTGTTTGTTACAGTTTCTTATAGGATATTTATTTGCAATTTTGCTGATTATATTAATTTTTGCGAATTTAAATTAAATGTCGATTCTCTTTAAATATATTTATAATTTAAATACAAAGATAATAGAATTATAGGTTGGCTATTATCTTGTCTAGTTTGAGTTTTAAGATACTTTATTGCTATAAAATTATCTAGGTTGTACTGATAACCTCCCCCTTATATTAATTGATTAAAAATTTGATATCGTATCTCTAGAAATAACTAATTCACTGTTGATATGAGTTTGATTAATTTATAGTCAAGTCGATTCACAAAAATAATTATAAACTTTTCTTCATCTCTTATTAAGCTCAAAAAAATCCAGTATTGGTTCCTGAAACTCAGTTAAATTTCTGTAATTTTTACTCTTTATCTTTTGAGAGTAAAGATGATTCAATTATTTTTATTTTTGATATGCTCATTTCAGTACTTCTTTGAAAATTTCTTTTCTTAGTTTTTTTAATTTCTAATATTAAATAGATTGCAATTATTTTATTAATCCAAATATCTCTAAATCAGAACTTTTAGACCTACACCAAACAGCATTATTATCTAATTATTGATACTTTATATCTGTATTATAAATCATAAATATTATTCATTAGAAACTCAAATGCAGGTGAATAAATTCAATACATTCAGTCTAGTATGCTGAAACTTCATTTATGGAATCAGTTTCTTCTAATATTTTAGATTTTAATGAAGGAATTTGCTTCTGATTTATTTAAAGCACTTTTATAAGGGAATGCAAATTATATTATTAAATATTATAAAGAGACAATTTTCTATAGAATATCGCGATGCTAAAAAATATATAGTAAAGTGTGGTAATAATGAAACAATAAAATTTTAGTATAACAAAGTTAGAGACTATACTAATCCGTTTAATTTACTAATTCCTTGGTTGAATGCTATTTTTAAAAAATATATGGGAAATTTCTTTAATGAGGAGATAAAGAAGGAATAATTCACCTCCATGGGGTTGAAAAAGTTGACTCTTAAGGTTGGTTCTCTAAACTAACAAATGGCACCAAGCATTCCCTTTGTGTTGGAATCTGGATCGATTTCTCTTTTAAAATTGGATCTACACAAACTAACATGTGTAATAGAGGAGGTGGAATTGACCTTGAATTTCAAGACAATAGAATAATATCGGTTGTTTGTGCAAACCTACACGAAGCAAAAGATGACAGCTGATAAACTGTAGAAGATCAAGGATGAAATCATTAAAGCCTACAAGGTCAAGAGTGAGACCTCGAATAATGTGAATCAGAATGCCTGGAACATAATTAGATAGTTTTTATAAAAAATAACATTCACAGTTAATAAACTGGTTTTGCATATAGTTGAACCAATCCACAAGGACAAGCTCTCTTTGGCAATAAATTAGATCAGTATGAGAGTGAGAAAACTGCAGGAGGAAAAGGATTAAATGGTCAGTACAATGATAATTGGGGGGTGTTCACTGCACATCAACGAAAAGAACTAATTGTTTGACGTAAACAACTTTTAGAAGGAATCTTGCATTTTTAGTTTATAGTAGCAATACATCAACAAGTATGATTAGCATGTGGTCATCCATTTAAAGACGGAATTGAAGGAGAGGCTAAAATTCAATAGTACACTATGTATAAGATTGATGCAAATGAACTTCAATTATAAGTAATTCCAAATAGCAATAAGAATGGTTCTGAGTATTTTGGATCATAACAAACTCATCTAATCTCAAGATAAAATAATCATCGAATCTATAAGATAGGAGACACCACAATTTTAATTTACGTGGTGTGAATCATAGATACACTTAAATTATTGTGATCAGATGGGAGAACCTAAACAGGATGATGTAGAGAGCAAGTCATTGAGTGAGGAGGACATGGTGGAGTTCAATGAGGATTTAGAATAACGCTTTAGAGAAGTCAGTTAATTCAATAGAAGAAGAAGGGGAAGAACAATTTGAGGAGTCCCAGATAGAAGGGTTGAATTAATCAGTTCTAAATTAATCGAATTTTGGTGATTTAAATCAGAGCACATTAAAATAATCCATTTTCTCGATGTCTGTTTTTAAGGAATTGATTAATGATGAAGATGATAAGTAGGGATTAGAAGAATTGGATGAAGGCTAATTAATTTTTAAATTGAAAGTGTAGAAAATAAGAGTGAGATTATCAAGGGATGACATAGTAGACAAATGGAATCTGGATAAGCTAAAGAAGACCAATTACTATGAGTTAGAATTAGATTAGCTGAATTGGTTGATGACCAAAGAAATCAATCAATAGTAGGTTACATCTGTCAAGTAAACGAGAATTGAGATTCCAACTATTTAACTCTTTCATTATGAGTATTGCAGATTATTCCCTGATAATTCAGTTAATGAGCAGTAGAAGGAGGATGAAAGTCAGGAAATATTTTAGAGTATTAAGGACGAATATTCCAGTAACTCGTAAACTCAAGAAAGTCAAATGTTCCATTCTTGTTACAATTTGAGTTAGAATGATGTGTTAGAGAAGATAACGTCGAAGAAGAATGAATTGCAAAAGGAATAAGGCAATTATTACTATAAAAAGAAGTGTTTGGTTAGCATTTATAGTGGGGCAAAGGAGGAAAAACAATTAATCACAAAAATAGATAACCAATTCATATATTCAAATTCCAAGATCATCTCTTATGGAAATGGTCTGTAAATTTAAATGCATCATTAGAATAATTCTTAAGCCATCTCTATCAAACAGATTGACATTAATGTTAATATCGACGAAATCTTGGAATTTGTGTAGATATTAAAAATCAATTATGAAAAGAAGCAAATCAAGAGTATCCCCAATTTAAATCTAATTACAATCCATCAAATTCAATTTGATGTCCAAATTCAAGAAGTAGATTATGTGGATTTCTATTATTTATAACAAATCATAAAGAACGATCCCAACAGCAGCAGTGTGATACATTAATAATAGAAGATTTCTTTCTTCACTTTCAATATTATTGATCTCCAAATACAATAGTCCAATTCTGGGTTCATTACGTTTAATTCAATCACCTGTTTGAAGAAGGAGTACGATAGAATCAAATCATAATTTCAAGAGGAAACCATAGCTGAAATAGGAGCACAAGACCATGCCTAAATTTTAATCAGACCTATAATTAAACTCATGGAGACAAAGGAAGTAAGAGTGGCAATACCTAAGGTTGAGATTTTCGTGAATATGTCTTACATGGAATATGTAAAGACACTATTTACAGTCATTAAAGATTTTCAGAAGAGATTGCTGGCCCTGAGTAACGAATCAAAAGAGAATAAATAAATCATCAAATTACTCTTCGATGAAATAATTGTCAAGATTAATTTGGAATAACAAGCCAATTCCCATCAAGCTAGATTTATTATACATGCATCTAAGTTGGCTGCAGAAATCATCGGCAAAGATGAGATCATGTTAACATTATACAATTGCCTGATCATTGATACTAATTGGAATTCCAAGAGACCAAAACAAGATATCCCAATATATGGCAGTCCCAACGATGCAAAAACAGAATAGCCTTTTTAAATATTGCATTTTAGAAGATAAAAGTATTAAGCCAACTAAGTCTTGTTCTATAAATAAGAGCGTTTCAACAGAGAAGGGTTCAAAAGTCTAGTGCAAAATGAAACCATTAAATCAGAACCAAATATGGCTTTTCAATATACGACTGTCAAATTGAAAGCTAATAAGTACATAAACCCAGATTGCTTGGATGCTTTGTATGGCAAGACTAATTTGCTTTCAATCAAAATCAACAAAGATAAGAAAATCGAAATCCAATACCAACATGGGATCATCCAAGTAGATGAATAATGGATTGACACTATCACAACCATCATAGATTTAGCTAAGAAATGGGAATAAACTTTAATCCTAAATAAGAGCAATGCAACTCAAACCAAACCTATCCCCAATTTTACACTGAGTGTTCAAAACATATGGCTGAATTACTTACCAACATACAGAAAGTCAACGTTGTTGAAATAGTACTTATAGAAGAAAGAACCAATCAAATCATTAATTGCTATATAATCCGAGTAGTTATATTACTCTTGGATCCGAGTTCTACTCAGAATCAAGAGTGCCACTGTATCAAGTGATTTACAAGCCCATTTGAGTTCTGCATAAATATACGTGAAGAGTACATCCAAAGAAATCAAGCATGCTAATTTGAGCTTCTTAAATCCCATATTATTGGTGCCTCCTCAAATTGGACTCTTCGATGAAAATAGAAAGTTCTCTGATGGGTTCCAAATAGACAAGGATGAGTAAGGGTTGTTGAGACTTCTTTGTTTTTAGAAGTTATTCAAGATCAAAGGAGTCACAGTCTCAGGGAAAACCATCAACATCGGTCAAATAAGTGGGAATCTCAAGAAGGATTCGATCATTAGTTTATGGGATATTACATCGATGACTATAGACAGGATAAAGAAGATTATTCCTGAATAAGAAAATGATAAATAAATTAGGTTTCTGCAGGATGGACACTAATACAATCCTTCTGAGAATATGAATATTTTTGAGGATGATGAAATTGAACTACCAAATAAAGAAAACGTTCCGAATGAAAAATAATTTGAAATAACACTCAAGAGTTTTGAAATCAAATTGACTGTTGGTTAACATTTTCCCCCTGAAGTGTTTAGTGACAATAATCCTTTCAATACGGAATGCTAGTTGCATAATCAAGAACAATACTACCTTGAACACTCAAATTTATTACAATTAGAGGAGTTTCCACAAGTAAATGATCAACAATGCAGTTCCATTCTATTTAGTATGAAAGAATTGAAACTAGTATGTTGTGGACCCTCATAAAAAGAAATCAATCAATTTTATTTGACCTTATTGCATTTGTAAATTGCAGACAGGATCTAGAATTCAAAATTTTCTAAATTGATTGGTAAAGAACCTAATCATGATGAATAGAATTTTGCCTATGTCTTCTATTAGATTGACAAAAAAAATAATACTATTGATTTAGAGGCTAAATTTGTTCCAATAAGAGTTTGTGTCTCTGGAGCGGCATTAGAGTTTTTATAGGAAACCATGAACAGCAATGAACAATTGAGTCCGAAGATTGATTTGCTGAGTAAATTAAATGTAGGAAATGACAAAGAGTCCATCATTGAATTCTGTGTGCAGGAAGGCTATTAAGTGACATTCTCCAGAATCAGTGAGTTAAGTACTAATATAAAATTATGTAGAAAAATCAATAAAAGTCAACTTTTTGAATATTGAACGAGTCTATTGCTACATAACATTCGATGGGAGTGGTGTTAAATTGGATGGGAAATTGAAAGGGTTAGTTCGTTTGACTTCGTATGACAGTTTATTTATATTCTTGAAGAGGGCTCAAATTCATAATTTGGTGTTTGAGAATGAAAGAGATCTCATCAAGTTTATGTTTGAATAATACCAACATCTCATAAGGAATGATTCACAATTAATTTCTAAATTGATTCTTTCCTTTAAAGCCTTCCAAAATGTAACCAATATAGTGCTGGGGTAGCAATTAAATTGTATATTAGAATCTAAACTATGTTTATGACAATAATAAGACAAGGAATAGTTACAGGAGTGTGTTCAGGATCCATTCCATTAGCTAAGGCACTCGGAGATGAAATCGTGTATTTGGCCAAGAAGCCCATTGAAGTGTGTACCACAATGACTGAGGGTATTGGATTAAAAGTGGCAAACGTGGTCTTTAGTCCTATTGAAAGGGTGTTGGACTAATTTTAAACATTGGTATTTGAATATCTGAATTATTTTTAGACGACGAGTGATAGAATCCCCAAGGAGTTCCTTAAGAAAAATAATCCAGACTAAGGCAATTCATGATCATTTTTAATTTTTATTAATTAATACTTTGTATAAAAATAATATTGTTATGTTTCGAGAATTCTCCAGTCCCAATTATCATCCTAACCAACCTCAATAGAATCCATTTAAGACTGCTGGGATGTAAAGCATAGACTTCTATGGAAACATTGGATATCCAAAACCAGATTACCCAGTTTTGATGCAATAATAATACTATGATAATTATCAATACAACAAAATGTTCTCATCATAAGTGTTTACTCCTCATGTGCAGCCTATATTTATTGCAGGTCCAATATATAAGAATTCGCCTGTTTTTTAGGGTCCTCAGTATTTAAGTTAGAGTCTATTCTAACCAGTCCAAAAGAACAGGTTTTATAATTATAATTAACCAGATGAGATTATTGAGGATCACAATGGTTTGAATTTGCAATCAAAACAACAATTGGAAGAAAATATCAAGATAAGGAATGAAATAATAAATTAATGGAATTTTGAAGAAGAATAGAGATAAAAAGAATCACAACAATCAAGTGAATACGAATATGTTTAAGAAACACAACATAAAAGACCTAGTTACAGTGATAAAGAGAAACATCATAAAAGAAAACATTAATAAAATTAATAACATTAATACCAGTATTAGGAAGAAGGAAAACAACTTATTGAAAAAAAGCATTCCTAAAAGTAAAGTTCTCATTCCTTAAAGTCTTTAGATGGAGAAAAACAAAGGCAAACTTAAAATCTCCCCTCAATCTAAGAAGAAGTAGAATAACCAATAACCATTTTTAATAAAAAACCTGAATTCCAACAAACCGTCTCTACTAAGAAACCAGAATAGCAATAAACCAAAGTGAATAAAAAACCTGAGATGCAACAATCAAAATCAAGGAAAAGAGGAAAGAGGAACTTGAAAATCTTGTTGAAGGCTTTGACATTTATTCTCATGTATTTCTTAGAGATGAAGAGATAAATTTTGAAAAGGAAAAAGCTCTAGGCTAACAAAGAGAACGGTTTAGAAATAGTTAATTAAGCTATGGAGGAAGGGGCTGATTGGATACTTAATTTTGCTGAAAATGATTTAAACTAATTTTGGAGCAAAAAAGAGTCATTAAATTGGTTGGAAAACGATTAACTATCTGATAAGGAAAAGACGAACAGGATTACTAAAGTCAAATTGTTTATTTAAAAGATTTCCATTATTTTATCTGATAATATGAAAGAATCCAGTTTTAAACCAGAGTTTTTATCATTCCTTGCCTAACTTACTTAAAACTTTTAATTCCCTCCAGATTAATATTTTTTTAACTTTGAAGTTTAAAGATTAGAATTCAATTCTTTCGGAGCCATTAAGAATATCAAGAATCCATAATAAAAAATGGTCCTGGCATTTTTCATTATGATTAGATTGTTGGGATTCACAATATTATATGCACCATGGACTTTGGGAGTGAGCAATATCAGCAAAAGTTCAATTTTAGAATCTAATTCTTTAATCATTGTCTCTGTGCTATAAGAATTAGTAGTTGGAGAGTTTAGAGAAATAAAGATATTGGAGAATAACTAGAATCACTTGAGTAATGATTTGAAAATTAATCCTCGACCTCAAGGTCCTCTTAAAGTATATATTAATTGAATAATTTTAAGATAATACCTGACCCAAAGACTACACAGGAAAAAACCTTTTTGAAAACTACACTTGAGCCTTTAATTTATCCAACATATAAACGAGAAGAAATGAAGGATTTATTTGAAAAATAAATTGAAGTATTCATATTGATAATAATGCATTAGTGGGTAGACAATACCATGTCTACATTTGATCAAATATATACACAATTAGTAAAAATGACAAACTCCTGGCATAAAAATAATAAGGTTTCTATTACAGCCGGTTTGAAATTGAAAAAGAAATAAAGATATTGACATTGAATACATTTATACATCTCTTTCAACTTGTCCAAATTTCAATTTATTATTATAAATTACAAATATTACTTTCACTATTTTAATTTAATTGCCACTTAATACCATCTAAAATAAATTGATCACAAATAACAAGTTTCATTAATGTTAACATTAGTTATTTTAAAACTTAAATTTTGATTAAATAATTTTTATAAGTACTTTCAGAAATGATTTATTGATTCAGTCTACATTACAATTTTAATCATTAATACAATCAGATCATTAATTATGAATTCTATTTATAAATATATTGAAATTAAATTCAAAAAAGAATTAAATTTCAACATGTTGATTAAAACAGAAGAAATTAATGGTTGTTAATCAATAATAGATTCTCATTATTACGGTTCTATTAATACATCAATATAGGAATTATATTTAATATACATAATCTATATTTAAAAATGAAATAGAATAATGTAATATTTGCTTATATCTCTCCTCTTATTGAATTAAGAGATGCAATTGGTTGAAAAATACACAATTTTGTTTTGTTATAATTACTAATTTAATTGAATTTATAAGGATTCATTAATCAGAATCTTTCACCTCTAATTCTTCTGGCTAATTAGATATCTCTTGACATGATTGTGACTCTTCTAGCGTGAATAGCGCATAAGTTGGTGTCTTCAAATAATCCAACAAGGTATGCTTCAGCAGCTTCTTAGAGTGCCAAGACAGCTGAGCTTTAGAATCTGAGTTCCTTTTAGAATTCGTGTGCAATTTCTCTGACTAATCTTTAGAATGGGAGTTTTCTGATCAAAAGCTCAGTTGATTTTTGATATTTTCTGATTTCTCTCAATGCAACTGTTCCTGGTCTGAATTTGTGGGGTTTCTTTAAACCTCCGGTAGCTCCGACAGCTGGGGCTGTTTTTCTTGCAGCCTTGGTGGCCAAATGCTTGGTTGGTTTCTTGTTACCAGCAGTGCTCTTTCTTGCAGTTTACTTTGTTCTTGCCATTATATTTATATTTTTATTTAATTTTGAATTTGTATTATGAGGGGGGTTTTAAATCTGATATACTTGAATATGATTGGTTCAAAAGGAATATTTAATAACAATGCTAGACAATAAACTTGTCCTGAATTCCCTTAGACACCCTCTAAAATACTTGAGATCGCACTGCAGAATGGATTTTACGCTCAATAATAAAAAAATCCACAACCCCAGAAATACCATTAATATTATTGAAAAATAAAAAATGTTATAGTCTACTCTAATGCAGTATTTAATTGTGAAATACATGTCATTAAAGTTTAATTTTTCGTTTGTGAATGGGGGAATTCATCATTTTGAGAATCACAAATTTAAATAATAAAGTCCTCCCATATTTTGATATAAATTAATTTAAACCATAAATCAATATTCAAAGTAAGAAAACCTTTTGATTCACTTCGTGGTCACAATTGAGAGTTTGTGATATATAATATTGCCACAAAATAGAAAAATATTTGAAAGGGAATAATTCGTATGTGGTCAATTATTAAATTTTTATAATAAATTATAATGCTGCCTTTACCACTATAGACTCTGAAAATGCCAAAGTTAGATTTAATGGATTTAATTGAACAAGGATTCGGGTAAAATATGAGTTTATACTCTGAAATTCCTTCAGAGCTTCAATATTGCCAATTTCATAAGTATAATTAAAAAAATGATGAATGCATGATTTTTAAGGAAGATTACTCACTTTACATGTATGCGAAAAAATACAAAAATATTTGGCAAATTTACACAAGAGATCCATCAGATTCATAATTTGATAAGGAGAATTTCTAATGGACCTTGAAAATTTAAGATGATGTTTTCAGTCTTTGGAAGAGACCTAATGAATTGATTTCTGTAGTCAAGATAATCCATTGTAATAATTATGCTGAATCATATAATCGAATGCGTTTGTTGATTACTCATGAAAAAATAAAGACAGTGCCTGTACTGTTTGATGCAGATTACTATCCATAAGGTTGTGATTACATTTCAACTATTCCTCCAATATATAATTCGAAGAATAGACTGTGGCATATGCAGGATTCAGAAAGAATGGAAAAAGCTAGCAAAAGGAATTTTTTGTTAGGTTTGCACTGCAATGAGGAGAAGAAATAGGTCCTTAAAATGGGTAAGATTTAAACAGGAGTGTTCATAGTGGATTTTAGGGCACCTATAAATTTTGTGACAGCTTTTAGTGTTGCTTTAGCCACATGTGAGCTAAAGTCAAGGATAAGAGAGTAATGAAATTTATAAAATATATTATACTAAAGATCAATTTATTAGATAGCACAGCAATTTTTGAAGTTCAGTTTTATCTACAGGCTTGTTAATGAAATGAGACATTCCCACTTCATAACATCCTTATCTTGTTTGACTATCAGTAAATGCAGTACAGGCAATGATTTTAGGTGAACCAGCTTTGTATTTATTTAAAATTGCTTTTGTTGTCACATAACCATCCATAATTGGCATATTGATATCCATAAAAATTATACTATACATGCAATGAGCTTTAGAATAGAATTTAAAAATACCTTATTCTAACATTTTGATTGCTTCCAATCCATTAAAGGCATGATCAGCCTCAAAAAACAAAGACTTCAACATCAATTACAATCCCAAAATATTAATCATTTCATCATCAACAATTAGAATGGTCTTACACTTGCAATCAAGAACATAATGTTCACTTATTCCAACTGATTGTTATCTTAGTTCACGAAGTATATCACTAGGATAATAACGAAGTTTAAGATTTTGAATTTATAATCTTTTTTGATAATCCTCTTCATTAGTTTCTTCGTTTACACTATCTGAATCTATTTTTGTGTACTACATTTACATTCCTTAAAAACAGTCTTTTGTAGGTTATTTGAAATAAGAATGCTCTCTATGTTAATCATCATGAAAGCTTTTTACTTTTGGTACCATTACAGTACTAAATCTCTTAGTCAATGGTTTTTTCAGTCCACTTAAACTTAATTCAATTTATGATTGTTTTAAATCGACGATCACATTTTTCCCTATTTTTATTATGCCGCTCGAATTATCTTATGAAGAAACAAAATTATAATTCAATTATTCATTAAGGATCTTGAATGTTACCATGGTACCAATTTCACCTTAATTGTTTGAATATCTAATTCCTCCTCCATCTTCGTACTTTAGATTTGAAAGACTCATTGCAATTTTATTACATAGATAACTTCCCAAACCAAATCCAGCTGTATTTTTAGATATTTATTATTCGTTTTTGTAATCAGTTTTAAGTACATCTGTTAGAATTTCCAATTCAGATGTTGAGAGTCCAATACCTGTATCGATAACTTCGAATTGGACATACTTTTCAACTGATTTAACTACCAATCGAATACCACCTTTGAAAGTAAATTTTTGAGCATTGGAAATCAAGGTTATTAAGATTTATTTTAGTCTTCTTCTATCAGTAAAGATTGTTTTTTCATTAAGAAATACATCAAAGTTTATTGTTAATCCTTTTTATTCTAAAGAATGAGAAAAAATACTTTTAATTTCATAGAGAATTTCAACAATCTTTAATATTATCAGAAATATCTTACATCTATTTTTTCAAAATATAATTCTAGCTTCTTTCCCAATAGAGCATTAAAATCAATCATGTCTAACACGAAATGGTACATTATTAGTCCAGTAGCTTTAATAGGTTAAAAGTAAGATTATAACTCTACGTCATTATATTTATCTATTGCTACTTAGGATAAAGCCAGTAAATAATTCAGAGATGTTCCAAATTCATGTGACATAGTATTAAATAATTATTTTAAAATTGCATAAACATAATTTCTCTTTTTATATTTATCTATTTCTTCGACATCATAAAATTGGATTTCGAAATCATTCTAATAAATGATTTTAATTATATGATTCTCTAACTTAGGATGAGTGTAGTCAATAACTTAAATAACCATTGGGATGGCATTATTTTTAACTGAGTCTAAGAAATATTTTAATGAAATTTAATTGCATTTCCAAGGCAATAACTACTTTGATTTTTAGTCAATTTTATTTATGTGCAATTCCTACAGTAGATTTTACACATCCCCATCTGTCAATTTATAAACAGCACTCGATCTCTAAAAGTCTAAAACATTGTAATTCTCATCCAAAAATAACGAAGTCACTTTTGGATCCACTATCCGCTCTCCAATGTTCCTTGGGTTCGACCCATCATTGTTGGCCATTGTATAGTTTATTTTAGATTGTATCATTATTTATTGTTTATTTGCCTCTTTTTGAAGTTAATCTTGGTACTTAAAACATTGCATTAACATTATTGCTATTCCTGCAAACACACTTCTACAAATTTGTTCTATCTCCAGAGATGTTCCAAATATTAGTATGACCAGAAGTAAGACTAAATCATTATTTATTCAGTTTTTACCCAACCATTCTAAAAGTAAACCCCTATTTAATTGCTTTTGTTGTGAATGGCGAAGCACTATATGATAAACTCCACTATAAAATTTAAACTGAGAATTCGGCATTAATACAAATATTATCGTTGCCAAGCATATAAGCAGTATTCTCTAAATCAACTCAGAATATTTCATCCTGCTTAAAAGCAACAACATTGCCAATCCAAAAAGTTCCAAGGCCAATGCTATCACTTCTTATGGTTCCTTAAATTCCGTAAAACCTATGATAGTTGATATAGATTATGTCACTATCAGAGTAATTAATATTTTCATTATTAATGAGCAATACTTCTAAATTAAAGCCTAATAATCATTTGTTAGCTTATGAAGCTGCAGAGGCAAAATGCAAAGAAAAATATCCCAAAATTGAAGTATTAATACCTCAACATCTAGGAATGCATGGATATTTCCAATACAAATGTTGATATGAAACTATGCAAATAGATGCTAGAAAGATTTTCAGAATGCTTCAATGTTCATAAACCAGTTGCATATATGTAATTAGGAAAACATAGAGATTGAATTTTAGTGTATAAAGTCATATTATAAATATATCGTAATAATTATTATATGTGATTTTTAATGCCAAATAATTTTTACCTTACCAGCAACACAAAAAGGGCAAATTTACATTTAAAAATACTCTATTTCTTTTCCATTAAATTCAGGGGTATTTTATATTCAATTTCCTGTTATTCTCTTATTACAACTTGATTTCTATACTTTTATTTAAGTATGAAATTAATCTCATCAGATAAACATAATTTAATGAGCCTAATTTAATTTTAGAATAAATGTGATCATAAAATATTAATCCTTTTCGTAAAAAAATAGAAGTTGAACCATAAATGGAGTGCAATCAATTACAACAATCTGTTTCAGGTTTTTGAAAGAATATAATTAAAATACAAAAGATATTAAGGAAATTCAGAATAAATAAGTTTAGATCATAGATATTGCTTATACATCAGATCAGTCCCTTAGCAATTAACTATAAAGAATTTTATTTCACATATTATTTACAAAATTCAAGTAATTAATAGATTTGAAAATAATTATGAAACGGTAATATCTCCTTTATTTTATATATATTATGGACTTTGATAATTTAAAACTGAAAATCCTAAATTTATTATGATCTTTAGAATAACCAAGATTTCAATAATTAAGTTCAATTATTTTCCATTAAAAAAAATATATATCTTATTTTAATGTTTTTTTATATTAATTTATATTTTAATGTCTTAAGATTATATATATTGCCATATATTATTGAATGTTAATTAAAGATATCATTCCTATTATCCTGTACCATTATCTGCTCTAATGAATTTTATTTTGTTCTCTAGTTTCCATAATTAAAACTTTTATGATTTTTTTTCCCATGTAACTAGATGTTCACCACTCTCAGACAATGTGGCAAAAATATCGTTATTTTAAAATTAAATTGTTTATTCTAATATACAAGTTTCCTTCCCTATTATTTTTAATAGATTAATTGTATTTCCTATTATGTTAAGTAAAATCTATTTAGAAACAACAAATTACTAAGGCTAATACTATTTGAAATTTTCCCCAACAACCATCTTAATTTCTTCCTTTTTAGTAAAGGTCTTTTATTCTTTTTTAAATACATATAGAGCATTTTTCTTAATGACTTGACAAGTAAAAATAAAATCATTTATTATACAAACGCTAGAAGGCATTTCTTTAATTTCAATTCTTTATTTTATCTCCCATATATGATTTTAATACCAATATACATCTATTTAAGAACAACTTTAAAATGAGCAAACAAGTATTTGTGTTGAAGCATTCAAACTCAAACTTCTAACTGATTTATTTTACAATTCTAAGGTCTATTTTTATTTCCATCTATTTTCTATTTTATCCCAAAATACTAAAGATAATTCACATCCAGCTATTAAAAGATTTTATTTTTTATTCATAATAGTGCAATAGACACTCCCATAACCTATTTCTATTAAATCACTTTCGATCTAAAATCCTTAATTCTTTTGACACCATATTTTAATTGTTTCATCTTAACTACCAGATAAAAAAGATTTAGAATCTTTTAAAAAACAAAGACTATGGATAGCACCCTTATGTTGCTTTAATTTTTCGTTAACTATCAATATCTTATCATTAGATGTAAAAACTTAAATAATCCCAGATGAGTAACCAACTATAAAAACTTTACTATTGCTATCAAAAACAGCTGCTGTAACTTGATCTTAAGCTGAATTATCATTTTAGAAATTATTTATGTTTAATTAATTATGATTTGTTTGTTGCTGAATGATATATTCCTCAAATTCTTAGTTGTTGCTCTCTTCATTTGTGATACTAGAAAGGTTTTCCTCTTTGAGATTAAAGTTTTCCTACAAAATAGTATTGAAACAATTTTTGATTAAGTCGTTTAACTATTAGTAAGTATTATTAATTTTTTCATTTATTTGTTAATCTTGTATTTTAGATTTCTATTCTTCCTCTGAAGTACTTAGCTAATTTTAGGATAATAAATCAGCTATTTAAGATAGTTCTTCTAAGCTTAAAGAACTCCATTCTTTATTCATAAGGTAGAGTTGTGAATCAATCTATTTTTTAGTACTAATTTTTTCCAACTCGCTTTTAATCGAATTAACTTTTACTTAGAATTCTTCTTCTAATTAACACAGCAGATTTTATTTGTTTTTTAAATCTGCCTACAATATATTCTATTTATAAATAATTTCCTCTTTTATTTATATGGCATGGTTTTCCCATCTTAATTAAAACTATTTTAACTCAGTAAATAAAGATTAATATTCCGATAAACAATCAAAGCAAGCTAACCTAGTTGGTACAGTTTATTTTAAATTCAAATCAGCAAATATTATATCTTTATCATGCTTTTTGCATCTCCAATCATAATTAGTTGGACTTTTGCAAATTTCAAGCTCCTCGAAAAGTTATTTCTCGATTACTTACTCTGAGTCGGCCTTCCAATAGCTAATTTAATCTAAAAGGTTTTGAGTTTGATTCTGAAAATCTTGGAAATAAAAGTTTTTTAGTTAATTCAATATTGATTATTTTATTTACTTAAGATTTTAATTTTAGGTTGACAACTACTTGCTGATATTTTGAATTGCTTCTATTGTAAAATCATGGGAGATATCTACTTTCTGTCGTATTATAAAATTCTCATACTATTATAATTATGAACTAAATTATTCTAATTATGAAGAGAATTTAGCATAAAATGTTAATAAGCTGTCTTTGAGCTATTTAAAAATGAATGTATTATTTGCTATTTTAGTTTGAGATTCCTTTGCAATTTTCGAAGTTAAATTATAATACTTATATTCTACATTCTCCCATGCAATTAGACTCCGATTTTATTAAAGAATACATTTTTCGCAAAGTTTCTTTAGTTTCGAAGTTGTCAGAGATGTTTCAACAAACAAAAATTTTTTTCCATGTTCCTAACAAATTTATTTATCTTAAACTATTTTCATAAGTAATCAAAAGAAAACAATAAATTATTATTTTTAATTTTTAGTTTAAAATAACCTATAATTAAAATATGCCTTTTAGAATAAATAACAGAGATTGAAAGGATGCTAATATTGTTCTAAAATAGATTTGGAAATGTTTGAAAACCCCTTCATTTTTCAATTTTTCTAGTAAATGATTTGATAAGATAATTAGGTTTTAAGAATTTGTTAATAAAATATTATTATTCATATTATTTAAATTGCTCATTTTAATTAAAATTTAATGATAGTTTCTTGATTTAAATCTTGTTGATGTAAAATAATTAATGCCTAGTTTTAATTTAAAATTTTTTCAATATAATTTTGTAATTAGGTTATTTTTGGAATAATTTGCCTAATTTAAGATTTTATATATAGTTCTAATAAATTTATCATTTGAATTTAATATAAAGGAACTTTCATAATTAAATTAGTTTAAATAATAATTGAAAAACAAATATTAGGTTCTAAGATTTTTCTCATAATGATTTTTAAACTAACAGTTTTATTTTTATAGAAATTAATATCATTATAAAGCCTAAAACTATTTTCGTCTGAAAAGATGAATGATTATTAAGAAGATTAGAAAATCGAAAGTAGAAGTTATTATTAATAACAACAATCATTGTTCAAATACTATAATGAATACGTTATAAATTTATGACTCATTCATTTTTTGGCTCCTTTCTCGCATAATACTTTTTCAAAATTTTCATTTTCAATTGTCTTAAAAGTGGATTGTCTAATATTGCAATTTTAAGCTGATAAAAGAGGATTTTTGGCAAATATATGATAGCAAGCAGGTATGCCATAAAATTATATTGTCTACTAATTGATCTTATAGAACAATATTGATCCATCCTCCATTCCTAGAATGAATTATTCTTAGGATGGAGTAAATTAAATTGCATTTATTTTGGAGCTAAATTTATTCAAAGTATATTATAATTAGCTTGTTTGAGAATCAAGAATCTCCAAAGTTCTATTATTAAGTTTTCCACTATATTTGGATATACCTAATTATTATTTTGCAGCTCTAAAATCAAACTAATCTTTATCTTTGATAACACCTATTTCTAAATATTCTGAAATATTTTAATCAATTATAATACCCGATTCACTAAGAATCCTGATTGTTTCTGAATTTATAAACTGGATAGCCACAGCTTATATTGGTTTTTTCATATTAACCTTGACTTTTATTGAGCTTTAATCAGAAATATCCCACAATCTTACTGTGAAATCAGTGCCTAATGATAAAAGAATTTTCCCATCAGATGAAAATATTAGATTAGATTTACACAATAAATCATTAAGTGGATTATCCTCGAAAGTTGCGATGACTATGATTTCTTCCTAAGATATATCATATAGTTGAAGTATTGATTCAGTTTAAAGAGCAATTACATTATTTGATACATTAAATGCCGCTGAAAATTTTTTTTTGCAATCAACAGAAGCTTAACCTAATTATTTTACAATAGTGCCAATCTAAAAAAATATTGCACCTACCTCAAAATCCGACCAATTAATAGTTTCACCCCATATTAATATATATTCCTCATCTTTACTAGAATGCAAATGCAAATTTAGAGAATATACCAAGTACTTATCGTTCTTCAGATCTTATATCTCAATCAACTCAAATTTATCAGTTATATTCCATAATCTTATTTTTTTATCATCATGATATGAGAACAGTATCTTACTATTTCCAGAAAATATCATAGTTACAAGCTAAGTTTTTTTATTTTCATTAGAATTTAATATCCCCAGTTGTTATTTTTTTTCAATTGACCATATAATAATTGATTGATCTTCATTTTCAAAAGCAAATCTCGATGAATTAGCACAATATGCAATTTTTGTTATTTAACTGGCTGATATTCCAACCATTTATTCATTTTTTAACTCTAATTTATTGTTTATATGAATTATCTCCAATGGATTGGTTTTTATCAGCAAATTTTTTGAAAGAATAATTGATCTTGTTTGATTCTTTAA